GGGAGAGGGAGAGAGATAGAACCCCCCCCCCTTCCTTCCCCTCTCAAAAACCCCATCCAAAACCACCTGCCAACCAAACCAGCCTTTGATCATGGCCCAACCAGCTTCCGAGAGTCGAATCCGTGATCAACGAAAAAAAAAAAAAAGAAAAGTCAAAGAACTGAAATCCTCAGAAACGCCTTACATGAATACCCTATACACCCAACAACCATAAACCAGATTGTTGAAAAAGAAATCCAGACAATGTGCTGAACCGATATCCCGTACATAAGGTATATGCCTAACCCTCTCGCTTCTTAATGTAAAAAGTTCAGAAAAGAAACGCGTTACCTTAATGATGACAGGCAGGTGGGTATATATCCCACGTCCCAGAAAAGATCATGATGAAAAAGGGGGAAGTGGGGGACATTGTACAAGTGGAAGGAAATGAGACGGAAATGACGAGGGAAGCGTAATGAGAAGCCAAGCAGAAGAGCTGGGCAAACTCATCTGCTCACTGACTCGCTGTTCTCCTTGATGAAATCCATCGATCCATGACCATTCTCCCCGTCTTTTTGTTTCCAACCCGCCCCCCTGGGATATTGAAGAATTGCTGAAGAACGCAGATAGCCGACCCAGAACCGAACCGAACCGAACCGAACCCCAGAAAACCAAACTGGCCCAACCAAACTCCCCGACCCATGCATGCATGATATGGTTCTTGTGGTTGTTCTGGAAGATGAGAAATTAAAAAAAAAAAAGACATGGAATACAAAGATAGGGGAGAGGTATCATCAGAGTGAAAACGGAAAAAAAAAAAGAGGAAGAGAAAAAGCAGAAAAGTTGCCTAAAACAGAAATGAGTCGTTCGTCAGTTAACTGGAAGTGGGAAAACAAGGTACTCCGAGAGAGATATAATGCTGCCCTCGAAAAAAAAAGAAAAGAAAAGAAAAGAAAAAATTGAAAACGCCCTTAAAAGCCCGAGTTGAGATCGAATAAAGCGGTTAGTCAGTAAGAAGCATACTCGGGCATAGCGGGATACCACATTTCCTAGATGAGAGGCGTCGCCGCCGACCCGGGAGTACCAGCAGGGTTCACAGCGGGCGCCGTGGGAGCAGTAGCCACAGTAGTGTTAGCCGTAGCCGGCACAACGGGAGCTTGAGCTGCCGCAGCCGGAGTGCTAGGAGTAGGAGGAGGCTGTGCAGGAGTAGCAGCTGGAGTTGTAGGCTGAGCCTGAGGAGCCGGCGGGGCGGAATTCTGGGGGGCAGCCGCAGAATGAGCAGCAACAGCAGCGGCCGCAGCAGCGGCCGCCTCGGCAATAGCGCGGGCCTCGAGTGCTTGCTGCAGCTGCTCGATCTGCTGCATCATGTGCATGTTCTGGCGCTGGTTATGCTCGAGGCGGCGGCGGAGCTCCTCATTCTCCATGCTGAGACGATTAACCTCCTTCTTGAGCTCGGCGATTACCTCACTGTCGTCACGTTTGCGCTTTTGGCCGGCCAGCTGGGAAGAGGCCTGCTGCACGGGGTGGTGCCGCTCTTGGTGGGCGGCGTGGCCATCGAGATGGAGGTTGGCTGTCGAGGAACCGTTGCCGTTGGTGACTGTGTTGCTGCCGTTCGGAGAGACGGCCGGTGGGGCGACAGAGGTGTGTACGCGACGCAAATGCTCATTCAGGTTCTCCTGGCGCGAGAAGCCCTTTCCGGTGTGGCGCTTGCAGGTCGGGTGAGGGCAGAAGTATGAGTTCTTGGGGCCGCCATGCTTACCGTGCACCTCGCGCTCGTGTCGTAGAAGGCCGCCGGAGTAGGTAAAGCCGGGAAGTTTCTCGCAGCCTTCGGCGGCGCACTTGTAGGGTCGGTCGTGCTTGTCCATGTGTTTGCTGTCGTCGAAGTTAGCTCCGCGCATGCGATTATTGCGCGTTTTGATCAAGGGCGACTCACTTCCACTCGCATTTGCGACCAAACTCCTTGCAGTCCTCGGTGCAGTTTGGATATGTGCAGACAAATTTTCCATTCTCATTTCTGGTTACCTCTCTCTCGGGCTTAGGAATCGGTTTGATGCGCTGAGACGCCGGGGCGGGAGCAGGGTTCTCTTTCGGCGGCGCAGGAGCAGTATTGATAGGCGCTTGGGCGGGAGCCGCGACAGGCGCCGTAGCAGCAGCGGCAGCAGCAGCAGCAGCAGCAGCAACAGCAGCAGCAGCAGCAGCAGCAGCAGCGGTAGTCGTGGCAGTTGTGGTTGGGGGCGCAGTGGTTGCGACGGTCAGTTCGAAGCGGGGCTCGGGCTCGTCGACGAGCTGCGGGGGAGGGGCAGGGTTCGTGAAAGTCGCGACGGATGCCAACTCGTTGACAACAGCCTCGGTAGTAGGATCGGTGAAGCGATCGGCATCGTTGGTAGGATCGTGAGATTGGTCCTGATCGTCGATGTGCGGGTAGGCCCCGTCGTGGATAAAGTTTCGCGGCTCGTAGACGACACTCATGTTTGCCGGGAACCGCGGCTCAGTGGGGGTGGGGTGTAGGTAAGGCACTCAGGAATGCGATCCGATAATATGCGACGCGATGCGATGCGACGAGAACTGGGCTCTGCGCTGTAAGATATGGATGCGGGTGAAAAAAAAAAAGAAAGGAAAGAGAGTTGTCTGCGTTCCCGTTAGAGTCGCCTCGGCGTGGAGAGAGAGAAAGAGAGAGAAGAGGTAGAAATGCGTAGTGGTTGTGAGAATGGTGGAAGGTTGGCCGTTGAGTCGAGACACTCAGAAAAAACAAAAATCACGAACCCTCAAGAACCCCCCGACCTAGTTCTGGAAAGTGTGGGGGATGGCCGTGACGCGCTAGGATCTTAGACGCGTACCTACCGTTCCGAACGTTCGGTTCGAATGCAAGGCAGCGGCAGCGGTCAAACACGAGTCGATGCCTGAGGTGACTACCTTAGTTTTTTTGGGAGCTCTGAAGACTGATCCATAAATTGTCAGTTGCCTGATTTTTGAGGACGAAGGGAGGATGCGTGAAAGGGCTTCGGAAAAGCGTTGCTGGATCCGCAGGGTAGTGGGTCCAACCCCTGCCCCTCTGCCCTGTGGCGCTGCTGGCTGAGCCGGCCTGAGTTGAGTGGGCAAATTAAGCGACCAGGTGATAAACAACGGGTTTGGGGGAATCGCCAAGACTTGCCTGCCTATGGGAATCTCTTGGTCCTGGTGCCTTTCCGTCTTGGGAAGTCCCTGTTCAGGGAATCAGGAGCAGCATCACAAACTCGCCAGTGAGTGAGTGAGTTGGGTCAGCATCGCGACGATTGGCTGGTCAATACGACACCAGGACACGTCTATGTTCGAGAGCGCGTATCGTGTCCTTTTTGTACTGCGGATATCGCGTCGCCCTTATTGTCTCAGGTGACGTGGATTACCAACAGAGATGGTCACGTTCGCTGGGTCGAGGTCGAGGCAGCCAAATCAAAGATGAGTCAACTCTCCCTCTCCCAGTTTTCTCAAGAACTTGAGTTTAAGATCACAGTTTGACATGGCACGGCAGCTACCTACCAGACGGCAGCAACACACCATTATATACATTTAGTCGTGCGGGCAAACACCACATCCCGTGACTCTGGCAAACACAAACGTCCTTCGCATTAGCACCTGAAAAGCTGAGGCTCGGCCGCAGCGCATAGCTGCCTCAGTCGTAAGCCTTGCCGCTCAACTCACACGTTAGCTATTCTCGATTCAGAAGATGCAATTTCAACGGTTCCTTAGCGGTCTTGGAGCTGGAGACCTAGGTCTGCATGATCCCTCGTTAAGCTAGGCATCTGTCAGGCAGCAAAGGTACAAATGAGGACAACATGCTTGATGTTGTGGTTAGTGTTCCCCACTTCGGCCTAATCAAAACGTGCTTTTGGCCGCTTCGTCATCAAGAGGAAATCCCGGAACAAGTGGGCAGAGGATGACACACTGACGACCTTCACCTTGGTGCCTTCGGACTTTATGGGGGGCTTCAAGATTAAGCCTAACCTAGGAGTGTTGGTCCTTCGTCAGTCCTTGCCACTCTTAAAACAAAGTTCTACGATTCGAGCTTGGGCTGTAAGCCCTTGGACAGTGCCTAGTCATCCACGTCTAGTTCTTCCGTCATCTTCCAAGGGGAGGGTAGACTGTTGGTGATGAACAAACACAAAGTGAGGCGAAAGAGTTTGACCGAAAGTGCTGAATGGCCTGTTTTTTACGACCAGGACATGCGGCTATATTATAGATATATATATATATATATATATACATGGCATGTGAGAACCTGTGAACGTGTAACGTGAAAATATTCTAACAGACAGGAGACTTTCCTCAGAGCCTTCCACTCGAGTGGTGTGAGAGATAGTTCCCTAAGGATTCTCGACGAGGCTCATATCTAGAATGCCTGCCATGTTCTCGAGCCTCACTCAAGTGGGAATTTTATTTTTTTTAATTATTATTATTCCAGAATCTTCACGCGAAGTTATAAGCACAGGTGTTCACGAACGTCCTCATCCTTGAACCTCAAGTGACACAGAGCAGCCACTTATGTTTTCCAAGGCCGTGGAGTATCATATCATTGTTCCAGAGATGGAGTGAAGACCTTGATGGCGCCACGTGAACTGAATCATACAACCTTCTACAACATTGGACCAATGTTCTTTTTGGGCCACCGTATGATCCAACCTATCAAAGATAGATCCAGTCCTCCTCGAACCACATTTGCTGGTTACATTACGTTAGGTTTCACCTGCGGTTAGGAAGACGGCAATGCCCAACTCAGCAATTTCACCAAGTGTGAACGCCAAAGCGTATACGGCCCATGCATCCCAGGCAAAGAGTGAGCTCGGTCTCGGTGAATCTAAGTCCGGCTCCGGGTCAAGTATCTGCATGTAATGTGATACCACCGGCTGTTCTCCACTGGTGAAGCTTCCTTATCTCCTAGACTGCGGAATAATCTGATGGAAACAGATCTATTTCTGCATTTGCATCCACATCGATGCTGATGTAAGATGATGACGAAGCACGAGTCGCCATCTTCTCGTATATCAGGGCGGGGTAGGTAGTCTCCCTCGGCGACCGGATATCTCGACCGAAGGAAGATTGGATTTTTTTTAAAAGATGGAAGTTGGAAAGAAAGCTGTTCACTTACAAGAGCGCAAACACTACCGTTTCTACGAGCTCAGTCTGACAAAGTCATACGAACGGTCGACGCAACATCTCACGTAAACTTTTCAAGACACAGCCACGAAACGCAAAACTTGCCACAAAGAGAAATTAAGAACGAAAAAAAAAAAAACAATGGTCGTCAAAGTCGAGCTTCCCGAGCCCTTCGTGAGTATCCCTCGCGAGCCACTTACCTTCGGCCCGTCGCCGATTCAGCACCTCCCGCGCATCTCCCAAGCGCTCGGCGGCAAGGTCAACGTCTACGCCAAGCGCGAGGACTGCAACTCCGGACTCGCCTTTGGCGGAAACAAGATCCGCAAACTGGAGTGAGCCACCTGCCCGCCAGTCAGCCAGCTAATCACTGGCATAAATCCTTTTTTTTATGTATGTCCGCTAATAGGATGTCTGCTTTCCCCCCCCCCAAACCCCCTCCCCCAGATACCTCCTCCCCGACGCCCTCGCCCAAAACTGCGACACGCTCATCAGCATTGGCGGTATCCAATCGAATCACACGCGCCAAGTGGCTGCTGCGGCAGCCAAGCTGGGTCTGCATGTGGCACTGGTCCAAGAACACTGGGTTCCCGGCGTCTGGTCGGCTAACCCCGTCTACTCTCGCGTTGGCAACCTGCAGCTGTCGCGCCTCATAGGCGCCGACGTGCGGGTTGCGAGCCCGGAGGAGGGGTTCGGCATTCAGCATAAGCCGACACTGGCCCGACTGAGGGAGAAGTTGATTGCGGAGGGGAAGAAGCCATATTATATCCCCGCTGGGGCGTCGGACCATCCGTTGGGCGGGTTAGGTTTCGCAAGGTGGGCATTTGAAGTGATTGCGCAGGAGGAGGAGATGGAGGTGTTTTTTGACACGGTGGTGGTATGTGCCGTGACGGGGTCGACATTTGCGGGGATGGTGGCGGGGTTTAAGCTTGCTGAGTTGAAGCTTGGGGCGAGGAAGAGGAGGGTGGTGGGCATCGATGCGTCTGCGAAGCCGGCGGAGACGCGCGAGCAGGTGCTGAGGATTGCACGGCAGACAGCGGTTAGGATCGGGTTGGAGGAGGGGGATATTCAGGACGAGGATGTCGTGCTGGATGAGAGATACCATGCTGGAGCGTATGGGGTTCCGGATGAAAGGACGATGGAGGCGATCAGATTTGGGGCGAGGACTGAGGCGTTCATTACGGATCCGGTGTATGAGGGGAAGAGCTTTGCGGGAATGTTGGATATGATTCGAAATGGGGAGATGCCGGAGGGGAGTAATGTGCTGTTTGCGCATCTGGGGGGACAGCTGGCGCTCAATGCGTACTCGGCGCTGGAGTAGCGGGCGCCGCGGGAGCCGAGGGGTTGAGCTGGTGATAGTTTGGGGCGTTGAGTTAAACTTTTCGAAGTTGAGTTGTGAGTCAGCCTCAAGCTTACAAGCATATGCTGTGCCGTAGTATCATGAAGGGTGACGTTGAGTTAAGCTGCATCGGCAAACCACCCAAACCCCTGACTCTTTAGGATCAGGGGATCATCTATCCCCGAAAAAAAAAAACAAGAACTCAGCTTAAACTGTGATAATGCTTTGTCGAAAAATTTTCTTACGTCCAATCCCTGACTCTCCCCGCGTCTGCCCCCGCGTTCTCTCAGTCTCAGCCGGTGATATCCTCGTGCAAGTGGGTTTTCTCATGTCATAGCAACCAGTTGAAACCAAGGCCGGGTGCACTGCAGCTGGGGCTTAACCACTCAACAGCATTCTCTCAACAAAGCTTGTTGACCACACCATTCACACCATCATTGATCAGGATTTGCAGCTTGCAGCTTGCAGCGGCATGCTCCGACCTCGGTCCACAGATTTTTTGCTCAGGAATGATACGGGTGACGATTCTACGAAGAAGCTTAAATCTTCCATGCCCCTCTTGGCGGCATCATCCTCTACCTTTTTTTTTTTGGTGTTTTGTTTTCTTTCATCTTCACCTCGCTTCCCACTTACTTTACCGAAGTCTCCCCACCTCGGCCTCTGACTCAACACAACACAACACAACACAACACAACACAACACAGCACAAACACCTAACCCTTCACTAAAAAGAGCCAGAACAGAACGATTAGCACGCACCTCCATTGCTCTTCGCTCTTAGTAATGGCTCACGATCCCGGCACAGTTCGGCCGCAGCCGCAGCCCTCCAGCTGCGGCGACATTTCCCCTTCCCCCAATATCAACCCTAAAGACAAGGACCCCGAACATGCAGTCCCTGCACCCCCCATCGAAGACTACCCGCTCTCCCGCATCGAACAGGTCTACCGCCGCCTCGACGCCCGCATCCTCCCCGCCTTCTGGACCCTCTACTTCCTCGCGTCCGCCATCCGCTCCAACATCGGCATCGCGCAGACCATGAACCGGTCGGACGCCCACGACCTCGCCAGCGTCCTCCATCTCTCTCCTAGAGACACCTCCACCGCGCTGGCGCTGTTTTATGTCAGTTACGTCCTATTCGATCTGCCGAGTAACCTGGCCATGTCGGCCCTCAGTCCGAGGGCTTGGATGGCGCGGATCGTGATTGCGGTCGGCGTGGTGGGGACGTGCTTTGCCGCGGTGGAGCAGGCGTGGAGTCTGAAGCTATTGCGCTTCTTGCTGGGCATGGTGACCGCGGGGATGTGGCCGGGTATGGCGTATTACTTGACTCTATTTTACCCGCCGTCGAGGACGGGGAAGCGCATCGGGATGTACTACACCGCGGCGCAGGTCTCTGCCGCCGTGGTTGGGCTCGTGTCGGCCGGCTTCCAAAAGATGGACGGGATAGGGGGGATCGTGGGGTTTAGGTGGATGTTTCTCGTCTACGGCGTCGTTACGATCGCCGTAGGCGTCAGCTTGTTGTGGTGGTTGCCCGAGCGGCCGTTGGCGCCCGGAGAGAAGAGGGAAGAGAGGAGGTGGTGGCTGCGGTGGTTGCCGCGCAGTCCGGAGGCGTTGAGGGGCGAGGATGCCGTCGTGCATTATCATGACTTGAGGAGGGTTTATCATGCAAGGAGGTGGACACTGAGGGATTTGGAGTTGGTGTTGATGGATTGGAGGTTGTGGCCGCTGGTGCTGATGTATTTTGGTGTTGTGGGTGTTGGTATCGGCACGCAGCTTTATGGCAATGTCATCATCTCTGCTATCAATCCCAACTTTACGGGCATCGAGATCAGTCTTCTGTTTGCCCCGATCTGGATGGTGAGAGCCTTTTTTTCCCCTTTCCCCCTTTTCTTCCTCCAGCTTGGTTACTAACCCCTGTGGTGATGGTTGGTAGATGGACCTCCTCGCCATCCTCCTAATCACCCCCATCTCCGACCGCTTCCACCGGCACCGCGCACTCTTCTTCTCCTGCTCCGTCCTCATCCAAATCACCGGCCTGCTCACCGTAACCTTCGCCCTATCCAACCATTGGGCCCGCTACGGCGGTCTTCTCCTAGTCGGCTTCGGCCTGGGCCCCACGGTCCCCATCACCATGGCCTGGACGAGCGAAATCTTCCAACGCCGCCACCGCGAGGTGGGCGTCGCCGCCGCGTCAGCCCTCGTCTCCGGACTAGGCAACCTCGGCAGCGTGACTACGACATACGCGCTCTACACCGGCTGGCCTGAGGACGCCGCCAAGGGCCCGCATCAGTTCCGGAAGAGTAACCTGACCATGATTGGGATTTTGTGCATGAGTATCACGAGTAGTGTGGTCATGGTGGTGTTGCTGAGGGTGTTTGGGAACGAGCCGAGCAAGAGGATCAACAGTGGCACTTCTTCGACCGTGGACACGGACGATGAGTACCAGGATGGGGCGGCAAGGAGAGAGGTACACCAGAGGGGGTTTGAGGGGTTGTGGTGGTGGAGTAAGAATTAATCTCCCTTCATGGCTTGACTTGACTTGGTTCACTCACAGCTGAACGGACGTCGTGAGTAAGTCACTTGGTCAGTCAAGTAGGGAGGGAGGGAAGCGGTTGTCACGTTAAAGCACCCACATAACCGCCGCGGGATCATCAAGGGCTGGTCCGACGTTTCCTTGACCACACGACAACACCATCTTATACTTCACAACACTCATTTCCCCCTCATATTCTTCCTATCTTCTCTACTCCAGGTGTGGGAGGGGGGGAAATACCAAACCTTCAGGATTGTCATCCCGGGCGCGACAATGCCGCTGCGCTATCGCCCCTGGGTTTGAACATTCCCGAGAGACTGGTTATCCTTCCCATTTTTTTAAATCTTTCTCCAGTTTTTTTCTATCATATCTCATGTTTTGGTTATGCTTGCTTACTTGCTTCATGATACCCCATTTTGTTTAGATACGCTGTCGCATTGCCGAAGGATTTTTTCTCTGCTTTATAATATTTCCTGCTTTTTTTTTTCCCAGGGACTTGAAACGAGCGAACGAACGGATGAACGGACGGACAAGGAGAATAAATAGGTTGGGTTGGGTTCAGGTAGGGTGTTTAACTAACTGCAAAGTGCGTTTCCAAAAGCAAAGTGCACACAAACAGACGGATGGTCAGGGTCGGGATTAGGAACAAACACTGCACACGGGAAAAAAAAAAAGGAAATATTGTTTATTCTCTCTAGACAAATCTTCGACAGCGACAGTGCCGCTGCGCCATCGCTGGGACGGCGTGTCGGAACGGAGGCGTCGGGCTGGCGACAATGCTGTTGCGCTATCGTTGGCCGGCCTCGTGGGAGTTGTACTTCTTGCTTCTATTGCTTTATACATCTTACAGAACGAAGAGGGTGGGCTGGTCACTCGCTTTCATACTTTCATCTGGGATATCTTCCCGGAGGAACAAGAATTGAGCCCGTTATCCCTCGCTTCTTGGTCTTTGTGAGCCTGAACTATTGGTGTGTGTGTGTGTGTGTGTGTGTGAAGACAATAGCGCCAAGCCATTACCAAAATGACTTGACCTGGAACAATGTGTACAATTGTACAAAACAACGCTGATTATATTCACTGTTTCGCTGTCTAGCTGGACCGCTCACGGAACCAGTATGCTGAATAATCAAAACGCTAATGATATGGGATCGTCACTTAACTGCCCACATCGCTCTCGACCTGATATCTCATCATCATTGGCTTTCATCGTCCTCTTCCCCGCTGCTGTCTTGGCCTTCCGAATCACTACTGTTCTCCCTTTGGATCATGAGCTCCAACTTCCTTCTTCGCTTCTTCTCTGAGCTAGGGCCATCCTCTCTCAACCACGCGCTCAACCGAGATGGCCGATCGTCCTCGACGTCAGACTCTTGCGTCACTTGCCCGTTGTCGGATTGTTCAGCATTTCCTACTCTCTCAAAAAAGCGCTCCCAAACCAGGGTCTGGTTGTCGATAGGGAGTTGGGGTATTTTCAAGACAACAATGCCACGCGAGTTTCCTCGCACATGTTGCAAGGCTGTTGGGTGGTCATATATATCAAACTCGTCTCTTTCGTCGAAGATCTGATTTATCTCTCTGATCAGCGCGCTTTTCCTATCGTTGATAAGCGTGGTGATGACCTCGAGGGCTTCGGGATCAGACTTGAGGCGGAAATTGACGAGCCGGACCTGGTTGCCGGTTGCAGGAGGTTTGCAAGCGAGTGCATCATCGACCATGCTGACAAAGGTTCCTTTCTTCTTGAGCATCCACCAAGCGTTTGAAAGCAAACCGTTGCCAACGAAGTCGATTATCATGTCGACCTTGGGTGTATCGGCTTCTTGGCAATTTTCCAGGCGTCCTGCTTCCGTATTCTAATCGTAGACAATGGCGCCCAATCTTCTTAGCAATCTCTTGTCATCACCATCACACGTGGCAATTATGGTGGCGACCCCTGCCAGTTTGGCGAGCTCGATTGCCCACAACCCGGCCATGCATCCCGCACCGGTGATGAGAACTGTCCTTTTGCTGTTTCTTTGGTATGCTTCCCCACGTTCGCTTCCCCATCCATCGGTGATGCTGGGCTTTTGAATGGTATCCGTCGAAAACAGAGCTTGGTATCCAATAAGGCCCCCCAGAGGGATGCGAGCAGCATGGCTCCACTGTATCTCGGCTGGCATCTTGGCCAGCTCATTTTCCTTGACGAACATAAAAGTACGAGCATTACCAACGCGTCCGAAGCTGGTTCTGCCACTAGAATGGTGTTAGCAGATGAACTGAGTCAGGAGGTTTCGTGGGACATACTAAACACTGTCTCCCGGAGCAAACTTGCCGCCAGAGTTAGGTGGGCCGATTATAACACCGGCAAATTCGTAGCCAGGAATGGTCGTCTCTTGCAGTCTGGGAACATCCGCATCGCTGATCGAGGCAACCTCGCCGGCGTGGAGGGTTACGGCAAGGACATTGACCAAGTACACTCGCTGTTTGGTGGGGATATTTTTAGAGGGCCATGCATTCCGCTGTATGGTCCACTCGTTGTCATCGCCCTCTCTGATGCGGCATGTGAGGGCCAGAGGATTTAGATCAGGGAGCTGAGAAGGGGATTCGCCCCGCATGGTGGCTCAGAAAGAGAACAGAGGATCAGCGGGGGATGGACAAAGGGGAATCAATCTGTGGCTAGGTATGTGAAGACGATATGATTGTGATGATGTAGGTATCTTAGGTAAAGAGGTTGGACAGGTACACCTAGGTAATGGCTGAGTATCTTAGGGTTGACGGAGACGGATGTTAGGTTTTCTTAGGTTCGACGGAGAGAGATGTTAAGTTGCAGATTGCGAGCAGGCGAATAGAAGTGCGACGAGAAATACCTAAATACTAAGGACCTCGGATCTGGAGCCCACATAAAATAACCCCTAATGGCAGGAATGAGGCAGCAAAGGAGAAAGCACCAATGTTGCACTGTGCCAGGTGCACTTGCGAGTCACCAAACTGCGAAAGAGGCGTTGGGGAAGGAACATGTGCTTGTATTATACTACGCAAGACTTCTGATGCAGCCAAAGGGGCCAGCCCTTCGGCAGCCTTCGCAGCACTCTATCGCCGCTCCTCGTCCGATGCCAGAAGTGGGTCGTACTCGTTTTGCTTCGCGTTCGAGTCACGATAAAGCACATAATGCTGAACAATAAATATCAAATCGTAAATGATGGACACGTTGCCCAACGCGAACTTAACGGGGTTGCCGGTGATACCGGACCAGTCACGCTGGATGTAGCTGTCAATGCCCTGCTGGGCGATACTGAGGATGCCACCCGAGAAGTCGAGAAGAATCATGAGGATGCTCCAGCCCTTGGTCGAGCGGTTGCGGTAGTTGAAGAGCACTTGTGGAGTGTACTTAATGAGCGTGACTACAAGCTTGACGTAAGAGACGGCGTAAATTACGTCCAGCCACACCCATGAGGTGACTGCGAGGTCATCCGTGCTGCCGTGATTGGGCGAGGCCATCACGATTGTGACAACGACGGCAATAAAGAGCAGGGAACAATAGATGACGCCCAGGATAGCGCGGCTTGGGCGGTTGCCAAGACTAGGCGTGAAGCCCCAGAGGCGGGGAAACAGGTACTGGCTGGTGGTGACCACCGAGGCCAGAATGCCGTGGAAGGCAAAGGTGATGTCGCTGAATGAAGCCGTCGGCGTCAGGCCCTTGTAGCGCGCAGCATATTGGGCTCGGATGACCGAGGAATAGTAGAAAGCGACATTAGAAGCAAAGTAAGCCGTGAAACCTGCGCGAGGTTAGTATGGCGCTGGAAGGCATATAAGCGCAAAGAGCGCCTGAAGAAGCGACTCACCCAAGATATTAATCAGGTGAAAATCTACAACTGTTCCCGACGTCGACTTGCGCCGGTAGTTGAGAATGCCCTGCGGGTAAAAACTGATGGACCATGCTGTGAAATATGCTAGGCCAAAGAATCCGGACAAAAGCTCAAGGAAGCCCATGGTGTAGTCAACGGGCTTCCGATGCAGAGATATAGCGCGTGAAATAGAAAAAAAAAAAGACTTGTGGAAATGCGTGAAAAAAATTTGAAGAGGTTAAAGATTATAACCGCTGGAGATTCATGGTCGAGGGCAAACGCTCGGCTGACGACAATAGCACGCTGATGAATGTAGTGAGTGTGGCTGTGGGGTCAGGACCTGAATGACGACCACCACCGACAGTTGATGCGACAGGGATCGCATCTTTAGCGTATCTCAGATGCTCGGCACTCGGCGATAAGATTGCGATAAGACTGACGATAAGATGAACTGCAGATGACGATCAGATAAACGGAGAAGATCAGCCAAGCGTGCAATTCTGCTACCGGGTGAAAAGTCAGTCAGTCTCGTCAATGGTTTGCCACAACTCCGCTCGAGATGAACTGCAGCAAGTTGGTGTACAGTCTCGAGATCTGAGAGACTTTCGTCTGAAGTAGGCTGTGGCTAAGGCAATACCGTGTCACATGCCACGTTGAAGGTCTGACCCTGGTGTAACGTCGATTTTATTGCCTGTGTCCTGCGCCCGCAAACATCCCTCCCTCTACATAGGTCATTTGTCTCTCTCCTTAACAACCCACTTGCTGGCCGTCTAGACCTCAGGGTATCTTTGCACTCATACCAACTGTTTGACAATAGAAGATCACAACTCGAACTTTACGGCTCAGCCAGGGACCATTAAACAGGACAAAACCATCCCCATTCTATGTCCTCCCCGCTATCTTCTCACACGCACGACTGTACAATCTCGAACAATGCGCACCCCTGATGACGAAGAATCAGAATCAGAAACCTCTAGTTTGAACATCTACATACCTCACGCTCTCCCCTACTAACCCATCATTTTCTTTCTTTTTCCCTACATCTTTTCTCTTCTCCAACACCACCCCTTCATCCCACGGATACACACCAGTCTTCCCTCTTAGGCTTTCCCCGCGTGTACATAGGTTAAACTAGTCAGTGCATATGTACCTTTTGCCCGCTGGCGTCGTGGAGCAACCTTCATGGGTGAAACTGGTCGAAAATGCAATTCAATTCAATAGGTCAGTTGCCGCAATGGTGACTCTCCACCAACCCCGACCCCCAACGGTCCCCTCCAGAACCGAGCGTGCCAACATGCTAGCGGCGCCAGGGCCACCACGCGACCCACGCGATCCACGCGCACACCTGGACGCGCTAACGCAGCAACAACCCTGGCGGTGATCCATGAACCTCACTGCTGGGTCGGCCATCAAACGCAAGCGAGCTCCGCGACCTCCAATCGCGGGCCGCGCCGGGGCTGTGGCCACACGTTGCACCGTGGACACTCCTCCCCGTTGTCACCGTTGTCACCGCCGTTCCCCCTGGCCGGTGCTGGGGCCGGGGGGCGAACCGGGCTTGACCATGCAGTAACACACTGACACCCCGCGTCGCCGACGACGCCAAGTTGAAAGCCGAGCGAGAGCCGGGGATGCTGCAAGTTGACAGGGGCTCCGGTTGGTGCTCGGCTTCCCCAAGCATCCACGAGCGTCTGGCCGGACGCGGTGGCTGTCGCTCAGCTCGACACTTTTCCTGATAATGACACGCTATGGCACGCTGCCCTGGCCGAAGGCTGCGCTTCTGTTAAGCTTCTGTTGTGGAGGTCCTGGACGTCTTGGAACTTTTGACAGGCTCTGGGTTCTGCTGGTGGGCGGCGTCTGGCCGCAGCCTCACCGCTTTTGACTTCCTGTCAAGGCAAGAGGCCCTGGAGTGTGGATCGGTGGTTGGCAACACATGGAAGGGACAGGGGAGAAGGAAGAGCTTAAAAGACTTGTGAGTGCCCCCAGGAAGATGGCGGAAGGGGACAGGCCATGGCCGCCCTTTCCGTCTGTAGGAGACTGTACCTGCTTCGTGCGCGAGACTTAAACCATCCTGCCACCTGAGACCTCGAAAAGCCGGAATCCTGGAAACTAGCTCCCGGACCTTGACTTGCGATTTCTTGGAGTATCCAAGCTGCTCAGACAGCACTTGCTCGAAGTTCACAGTCACGAGCATCTCCAATCCTTAATCCTTGCTGCCGCCCTCAGCGGACCAATCATCAGAGGGGCATTCCCTCTTCGCCATCGATACTGCCCCTCATCAACGGGCATCAGCCTGAACACTCACACTTTTTCCGTTGAAAGACCGGGGCAGATTGCCATCATTACCGACGATACTGACATTTCCATCTTTTCACCATTTTCTCGTGTAAATACGATCTACACCATCTGATCAAAGCCGCCACCATGTCGTCAACAGCCTGCAAACCGGCCCCCAAGGCCTCCTTCCTCACCATCCCTCCCGAAATCCGTCTCAAGATCTACGACTACCTCCTCGTTCTGTCTGACCCCCCTCTCCCGCACGAGCAGACGGTTTCCTACCGATGCGCATTTCCCTTGTCACCACCACCAACACCAATCCATAGCAGCAGCAGCAGTGATGATGAATGCTCCTCCTCTAAGAAAATCAAATCCTCACACTCCCCTTCCCGATGGACCAACCCACGACAAATCCACATCTCCATCCTGCGCGTCTGCCGCCTAATTAACCACGAGGCCACTCCCCTACTCTACACCAAGAACCTCTTCACCCCTCACCCTGTGCACCTGACCATGGCGCCCTCGCTGTACGAAGGACCCGACTGGTTCCATCTGGCGCGGGTGTACCATTCCACGTCCAGCGTGCCGAGGCCGATCCCGCAAAAGTGGCTACGCCACATCCGGCGCTGGTACCTCCGGCTGCAGCTGGACGCGCCGCCACAGTGGAAGCCGGACCAGGTGTCGCGGGCGCTGAGCGGGGCGGAGGAGATCACAGTCGAGTTGTTCCGGGCAGGGTACTGGTGCAGCGGGCGGACGAGGTTGTTTGATCAGAGTAACAATGATAATGATGCTCTATCTATTACTAGTAATAATGGTAATAATGCCGATTCCAACAGCGCAGGTCTCATCCACAAGTGGTTCCCAAATCTGGAAGGCGGCTATCCTGATGGTCTGGAGATCGCGTTTGAGATTAATATGGAGGATGAGGAAGATCCGGATTGGATAGCGAAAGATTATAGTATCCGGGTGCTGTGGCAGCTCTCGGAAATCCGCGGGGTTAAGAACGTGCGGTTTGTGGGCTTGATCAACGACCCGAGGAAGATCGTCAGCAAGAAGTTTTTGGACTTTCTCAAGGGGAAGATGATGTCATCTCATATGACAGATGAGTGCGGACGTGATGCTATGCACTGGTAAATGGAATCTAAATATTTTCCTTCACTGAGCTGGGGAGACTCGAGGCGTTGTCGGGAAATTGGCAGATACCCAATATAAAACGGGCATGGGATATCATAATGGAATTCAAAAGCTTGTGTTGTGAAACATCAACTTTTATATCTATGTCTATTCTAATCCACCTTCATCTGCCTCTCTCTCGCGGTCTATTAACAGACCAATAATCCGAAAACATAACCAACAACAATGCTATCCACTACCACCCAACACTGCTTGCTTGCCAACCGCCTTTTGCTCTACCAAGACCTCGTCTAGTGGTATAAGCCAAAAAAAGAGAGAGAGAGAGAGAGAGAGAGAGAGAGAGAGAGAACCTAAGAGCGAATGACTGTACACAAAAATGAAGAGAGAAAAAGAAATCATCATGCCATTCATACCAACTCGAACGAAAAAAAAAAAAACATATAACAGAAACAAATATACAAAACACAAAGCCAAAAAGCATCCAAAGCAAAGAATCGTCACTACCCTTTTGATTACCCACATCGATGCTGCCCAACCGCCCGAAGTAACAAAAAGCCTAAAATTCCGCTACGTCGCTTTGTCCTGCTTCATCCTGCCTACCACTTGGTAGACCCGATGACTAGGGCTAGGCAGTTCGATCAAGCTGTGTAACTTTGATGCCCTACACCTCCCCTTTTACCCGGCCAGTAAACAAAACCGGAGAAAGGAGCGAAAGGCAGCGGCAGCTAAGAAGCAGGGCAATCGACAACAAGATGCGGGAGTTAAGTGAGGGATATATGTATATGTATGTAGCCGATCTATTCGGTCCATCCATCCAACGAGTCTGGAAGGGAGGGGCGGCAAGAGGGGGTAATGATGAGGTGAGAGAATGACGCCAGGCGTTCCCAATGAGAGGATAAGGACGTTGAAGTTGACATTAATGCCGTGTAGCCGTTAGAGGGGGGGCCAAACGTTGCACAACTTCTGTTTTATCCCGGTGACCTCACTTTATCCACGGAGAGGATTGAATGAAGGTACGCGGGAGCAGCCGCATGGCAAGACATCGCATTGCATCGCATCGTTGTATTGCGTCGCATCGCCTTTGCATCGTAGAGGTTATGAAAATTGAACGATTTGAAATCGAAATTAATCGCGTTTGCTTTTCTGCTTTGTTGACCCATCAAGTGAAGAGTGAAACGTTGTCGAGTACCGCATCCCAAGGCGAAGAACGTCACATCAGACCGATCAGGCGATCAATAATGATGTTCTCAATTCCCCACATAAAGGGTCGGTCGTTTCGTTGCATTATCTGTGGGTTGGGTGTTGTTTTTTTGGGGGGGGGGCGATCCTCCATTTCCATTCCTCCCGCCCGTGCGTGCCGTGTGCCGTGTGTTGTGCCGATTCCCCACAGCCGAGCCAAGCACAAAGCGCGGTTGTGTACAAAGCAACAACTGCCGCTCACCCGACCCGGCATCCGCAAGGGGAAGGTCTTATAACGTGCTGCGACACAACTCACGCCAGACCCGACGCGACATAAAATGCAATGATGTAATTTTTTTTCCCCTCTTCGCCTTTTGCAAATCCCTCCTCTTAAGACATTCTCACCAACATCATCACCCTTCACGACGACCCCAACCCCCACTTTAACTCGACGGATCAACGACATATTATGTCACCGCCTTAAGCAGTCTTCGTCACACCACCCATCCAACCAGGCAGAGCCTTCCAGCCCTGCGAATTGGGCCCTAAGCTGGCCAAACCGAAGTGCTGATTGACGTCGAGCAGGACCTTAAGGGCATTGCGCGAGCGGTAGAATGGGCTATCTGCCGCAGCCGCCTTGGGTGCGAGGATATCACCGCTGACGGCCTTCGCCTCGGCCGGCTTGAACGGGTTGGGCAGCAGGTTCTGCAGCAGTTCATAGGCGGCGAGAGTAAAGCCGAACTGGGGCGACGAACGGAAGATACGGGCCGGACCGCCCTTAAAGAAGGCGCGGAAGCCTTCCTCCTTCCAGATGGTCTTAGCAGCGTGGCGCAGGCCGGTGTAGCTGGTCTCACCCTTGCGGGCCTCAACCTGCAGACGTGTCTTAATGACGTCGCAAGGCGTGGTGAAGTAGGCGGCGGGCATGCCGGCGATGGCACCGGCGGCGAGGAGCTGGAGCACGCCGAGCTGCTTGGTGGGGGATTCGCCGAAGAAGTCCTTCTTCAGGTGGTTGTAGGTCGGGAAGTAGATGGCCGAGAAGGGCACATCACGGAGCAGGCAGGCAGAAGCACCCTTATACAGGCCGACGAGACCAAGGTTGCGCACGATCCACATGGCCGACCGCTTCGGGGCGCCCTCGACGCTCTTGGCGACCTCGCCCTGCACCTGCAGACGGATCTTGACGATCTCAAGAGGGTTGGTGAAGACAACCTGGCAACCACCGGCAGCACCACCAGCCAAAATCTCCCAGCCCCACCAAATCTTGCCCTGCTTGTCGGTGAACCAACCGCGTACGAGGTCGTTGACGGTCAGCTTGATGGCCTTCTCGGGCGCGACACCAACCAGCTGCGGCAGCACACCCGAGTACAGACCAAGGAAACCCTCATTACGGATGACCTTGCGGAAGCAGTCGATCGAGTTGTTGTACAGGCGCTGGCCGGGGTTGACGCTACGCTGGTTTTGCATACGCGTCTTGACCAGATCGATGGGGTACACCATGAAGGCACCGAACGCACCAGCGATCGAGCCGAGCGCGAAGCTGTACGCAGACTCGAGAGTCTGCTGGAGCGCACCACCCCGCTTGGGCTCGGCCGCAACAGCATGCGCCTCCTCATCGCTGCGGCGGCGCCAGCTGGCATCCAGCACTTTGGCGAAGTCGCGCAGGCTCAGACGGCCAGAGGGGTTGTCCAAGCTGGCAAAGTGGAAGAGGACGTCGGCCTCCATGGGTGTGAAAAGGGAAAAGCGAGTGGTCTTAGCGGCCTGGTTGAGAAACTCGGCGCGGGTGATCTTGCCGTCGGAGCTCTTGGAGCAGGCAGAGCGCACAATCATCTCGACGAGGTCCATCTCGTTGATGAGGTTGAGGAAGGCGCGTACATTAGCATACGACACCTTGCTGCCCTGGGCAATGTTGCATAAGGTGTGCAGATTCTCAAGCAGGTGATCGGACAGCTTATGGCGGGCCGTCTCACGGATGATACGCGCAAACTCCTCAGGCTCGATGTAGCCGTCGCCGTCTGTATCAAAGTGTTGGAAGGCCTGGCGGACGCGCTCACCTTGCAGACCGCGCAGCATCTGCGAAAATTGCTGATAGTCCATGCTGTGGCGCTTGGCTTTGCTGCCAATATAGAGCTTCGCCCACTCGCAGTCCCAGTCAAAGGGAATGCTGTCAGGGCCTTTGTTGAGCTCGTACAGGCGGCGGAAGTCATCATACTTGACAGTCCCGAGGCGCTCGACGTCGAACAGGCGGAAGGCGATCTCGTACTCGGCGTCAGGCTTGTTGAGGATATTCTCGAAGTAGGCGTAATCGGCCAGCGTCACGCGGCCCTTGTTTGTCCTGTCGGCGACGCGAAACAGGATCGAGTACTGTTCCCTCTTAATCTTGTGCTGCGGACCAAGTAGGTTAGCCCTCTGCAGTACAATAAATAGGGTAGACGACTTCTCAAGCCACTTACGTAGTCCTCGTTTGGCGGGGCGATGGCGTCGATGAACTGCTCGATGCCGAGATACAGTTCGCCCGTCTCGGGATCCTTGACGGCATGGCGGTTGAACCGGGCCTTTGCTTGCGCCGAGAGCTGCACAGGCTCTTCAGAGCCCACGAGAGTCTCCTTGACGGCCTCCTTAACGGACACAGACACGACCTGGGACATGGTGCGGTGTCGACAGGTAGAAGTAGGTGTGGACGTGGATGGCGGGGTATCTACCAGACTTGGGCTGTGGGTGTCGCACCGCTGGCCTGCTTGTCCGCAATGAACGCTCAGAGCAGGAAGGAGTCAAGACGCAAGAAAGATATGTTTGTTTAGGTGAGAGAAGAAGAACGCGAGGGAGAAAGAGGCCTCGCAAACTGATCACTAGCGCGCTCACAAAGTCGAGTGAGTCAATCAGTCCCAAGGTGGGTTTGCGAAAAGGGGGGGGCGTGTGGAATATTCGGAAGTTTGCGTGCAGCGGTGTGGATGGTGGGTAGTGAGGTAGGATTTGGCTGCGGGAAAAAAAAAAACAAAAAAACAAGCTTGGTGCAATCTTAAAAGAACACGCGCCCAGGGAACCGCAAGCAAGCCGCACACAAACAGCCTAACTTCTTTTTGCTTTGTTTTCTTTTCCTCTCATACGCAAGAAAGAAGGAGAGTGAGTGAGAGCAGGAGAGACAGACAACATGGAGGGAACGAAATCGGAGGCGGATGGGGACAGACTTGTGTGAACCAGCGAGTGTGGGTTGTGGCCTGGGCAAAGTCCAATGTGGACCTGTGGCTCCCCGGGGGGGTTTCGAGGATCCAAAGGTCAAGTGAACAAGGGATGAATGCGGCACCGTGTCGTCTCTGCGGAAGAGAGGTCACCCTCACCCTGCGAGATGCGAGCAGGAAGAGGCACTTTCGAAGTTAGCAAAATGTGGGAACGTGGGAAACGATGTGAATGGATGGCAACCCGCACACCAAAAGTCGTTTGTCGTTAGCTGCCACTGCCACATTGTCTGTTGCTGCTTCGAAACTTTTTTTTTTTTTCGTCTTGATTCGCCTCATCCAATCCCGTCCAATCCGGTGTCGCTGTCGTGCAGATTTTTGGTGGGGCTGACAGCCAGCCGGTGGGTCTTGGACCCTCGTCTGGAGTCTCTTAGACCCAGCTGGGGCCTTCGCATGTGGAGACTCTTGGCCCCGCTTGGCGCCCAGGTTTTCTGGAGAACGGTCTTAGCATCGCGGCTGCAGGGGCCGCCAGGCTTCAGGGCCACATTAGCCGGAAGTCCAAGGAGAGTTTTGCTCGGCAACCCCCCACACCCCGAGATCCCGACCGAAAGTCCTCTGTGGCGCGCTCCGAGGTTCGAAACGCGGGGTTACGTAAAGTTACCAGTTGGGGGCTCGGCACGGGCCGGATTTCCTCCGTGGGGAGCAGAGATTCGGAGGGGTAGAGTTGGGCAGAGTTGGGGGACGCTTGGATTTTTACAAGGTTCTGCTATTTTTTGTTAATTTTTGTCTCTCCCACCTCCTGAGCGGTGAGTCCTGGATAGGTTCAGGGTTTCTGCTCGTCACAGCTTTATCATGAACTTGACGAGGCAATGCCAGAAAACGGCTCATCACATGTGGAAGCGAGACCGGGACCTAGGCATGAGGGTGGATCACTTCAACCTCCCGCCTTTATCATCACCCTCCGACTGGCGGGCAGCTGGTATCTGCGCAGGTATGTATCGCTGGGATGCCAGGTCCTAACCCCGGGCCGCGGATGAAACGGGCTCGTTAAAGCCAAAATCGAGGAAAAAGACGGAAGGGGCTCTTGATATCCGGGGCCAGCGCCAGCGCAGAGTCGCTGACGTGCTAAACCCCGCAGCTGTATGTAGGGTACGCTTTGATGCCCCGCCATCATCAAAAGCCATCTGATCTACGGTCTTTCCTCCCGCGCCAGCGACAGTAGGATTCAATGCTTCAATGCGCATGTTGTGTTCATGTTATCGTGGGATGAAACACTTAGCTCAATCATCTCACTTTGGTGACCTTGCGTTCTGACCAAAATTACAACGGAATCGCTTCAGACAGTTTTCGATCCGTGAGGGTTTGGCGGCTGTCAAACTCATATACCAATGTCACCCTGCCATCTCATATCACACAACAAGCATGAAATAACCGGCAGCACTGCAACATCACGAGATCCAGTGCAAAAGAGGTAGGTACAGAGTAAAGAACAGAAATCATTTTTTTTGCTCGAAACTTAACTTGGCCTGACTGAATTGCTACCATGATACAACATGTCCCATCTATGTCGTGGCTAAGTATTTGTGGAAGAAAAAGAGACTCACCGAGATCCTCTCCCTCCTAACTTTGCCAACCGACGACTGTAAGACATGCCCAGTAGTAATCTCTCTCTCCATCTCTAAACAATGATAGAGAAAAGAATGAAATGACAAGAGTTCCCGTCCTCGCCAGAGCCAGAACCTGACCAGACCTGAAAACCTGTCATAAAAACAAACGAAAAGAGAAAAAAAAATTATAACACTAATACATGTACGAGAAAAACTCCTCTCTCTTTATGCGAAGAAAGACTTGATCGAAAGCGATCTCCGACCCAGAAGAAGAAAGGCACGCCGCGCCATCCCATTACCATACTTAACCCATTCCTTTCCCGTTTCATCCCAGTTGCTCCGTTCCAGTCCGTCCTGCCCATCCATTTCCCAGACGCCAGTAACGACCAAGTCCGCCGTTCCTCTTTGAGGGTATTGGGGTATTTTGTTTCTTTTCCTCTCGTCCATAATCCTCGGACCAAGCGCTGTGATGTAGCTGGCTGATCCCACAAGTTGACCTCAAAAAGTTGGTTAAGACTGAGAACAAGAGTCCAGCCCACCGAGGTCGGTAAGGAAGACAAGCAAGAGAAGCTCAGCTCCCTTGCTACTCCTCGCCGAAACAAAAGTTTTTTTTCGCCTGACTTCTTTCCTCCAACTCATTTTTCTTTTTCTTTGTTTCTTTTTTGGTAGGGTTGTGATTGCTTCAGCTCTTCAGCTTGGCAAGAGAAAAAGGAGAAGAGAGGAAAAGAAAGGTCTGGCAAAGCTATGAGATAGTGAGGCAACAGAAATCCGCAGACGAAAGAGGAAGAAAAGAAGAAAAGCCGAAAGAAAAGGGAAATGAAAAAAGACAAAGGAAATCGATCCGCAAGGCCCATTATAAGATCATAGCAGGCTGGTTGTTGCTGCTGCAATGGTTGCTGATCACTTCTTTTTGTTATGATCACCGAGACAGCGTGTCTCGAAGACCCCAATAGTAGAAGAGCAGAAAACAAAAAAGATCCCGCGATGCTTTCTCTCCAGCTGCTATCATCAAGACCCAAAAGATCTCCAAGAAGCTCACCAAAATAGGAGAGATCTCCCAGAAAAGGTAAGCAGAACGAAAGAGACCAGGCAAGCCTGATGATGCATGCTAAGCCGGAAGAAGATAATCATAAGCGCAATGAGCGCGTATCATAAGAAAAGTGATCGGGGTCGAGCAACCGTGAGCAGGCAACGAGAGCCTCTGAATGAGAATGTTAACATCCGAGCCGTGCCGTGATGCGTAGCTGCTAAGCAGAGCAGAGCAGAACGCAAGAGAACATCACATAATAGTCGTAAGGGCTGTATAGTCGTCCCCATGTCCTAGTCGACGCAAAAAGGTTAGGGACGACAGCCCAACAGCGCCAGTAGTTTAGAGCAGACATGCCGTTATTCATCAACCGCATCAAGTCATCATCAAGCCATTAAGTCTCTCTCGGTGGAGGAGAGGTCGTTTTAGGCCGTAGAAATCGTAGTAGTCGATACATCATCATCATCGAAGGTCGAAAAATGTTGTCTGCCCTTGCGAGACTGGCGATGTTTAAAAAAAAAGGTCGACAAAGATGTGTCCGCCTAACCCTGGAGAGGGATAGGCTTGACAGTCGACGTGATAGCCGGGGGCAAGCCCAACTTGGGGGTATCGTCGACAGGACCGTTGCTGGGACGAGTAGCGGCAGCAAACAGTTGTGAGAAGGTGATGCCGGTGGCCATTTTGCCTGCGACGTAGGCCGAGCAGTGCTTGTACTTGGCTGTCGCATACTTCTGGTAGACAGCATCGTGGTGCTTGTGGGGATCGATACAACATTCGTACATGGCTTGGATGAGTGGCTTCAGCTGGGACAGCGTGTAGCCGGAGTAGTGGACATGGGCCGGGGTCTGGATCGAAGTTAGCACTGATACAGAATTTACAACAATGTCAAAGAGAACTTACCCAACCGCCCTTCTCCAGAAACAGGCGCGAGATGCAGTGCGCGCCCGCCGCTAGGTAGCTTGCAGGGCAGCTGACGAAGCGGTGGTCCATGACAGTGACCTCAAGGAAGTACTTGGCCAGGGTACGGGTCTCGAGCTCGTAGTCATCCGCCTTGCTGATGCGGCGGAGGAAGCTCATGGGACCAGGCCAGCCAAGCTCGAACTGCAGCATGCTGAGCATGAAGCGCTCGGCCTTGACGATCTCGTCGACAGTGTAACCAGAATCAACCATGTAGACAATCTCCTGAACGGACGGACAGTTGATTTCCTCATACTTGGCTGCGATCAAGAGAGCCGCGGCGCCGACGAGCTGGAGCTTGCCGAGCGAAACAACCTTAACCGAGAGGAAACGATCGACGATGTTGACAGTCAAGAAGAGAGTCTCGGGGAGAAGACAGAAACGGTGGTGAACATGGACAATCCAGTCCATGAGGACGAAGCGCATGGGCCATTGGATCTCGGTCTGGATTTCCATGTAATTCGGGTTGGGAAGGAGACGGATCTGAGTCAGTTAGTATCCAGTGCACGATAAAGGCCTTGTGATGGATAGAGACATACCTCGAGCTCGCGCATGTAGTCAAAGATCTCTTCACCATACTCGGCAACCATGCTGACATCCCAGGTCTCCTCCTCAATCTCCTCGTCGGTCTGGTTCTGCATCACGTACATCTTGGCTAGGTCGAGCTCGCGCTGAGCTTGAGCATCTACTATAGGGGCAAGGATGGCATTCCAATTGCGAGTAGTGTTATCACCAAGAGGCTGGTAGGGGCGCACAGTCGGATAACCCTGCCCCTTGTGATTTTCCTTGTCCTCGGAACGATCCGCTGACTCGGTGATGGGAAGTGCCGGGAGAAGCTTGGCAGGGCGAGAGTTCTCGACGGCCTGGGTAGAATGGTAATCGTAATTGTAGGAATGATTCTTCATGTTCTCCGACTGAGCACTGGCACGGCTGACGTCAACCTGGCACTCTTCGACCAACTGCTCGACGGCGTCCTCGTAAGCTGCCTCGGTCACGTTGTCGTCGATGTCACCGGTCTCTTCCTCGTCGCCAGTGGAAATCTCGCGCTCCATGGCAAGCTTGTTCTGAGCAAAACGAAGAGGCTGTTGCGACTGCCCGTTGCGAAGGGATGGCTGACTCTTGAACTGGCGCGGGCCCTTAGCCAGCTTGGCCACCACGATGGCAAGATCATCAGCGAGATGGACCTCGGAATCGGCGCCCATCTTGTTGTTGTTGTTGTTGTTGTTGTTGTTGTTGTTGTTGTTGTTGTCCTGGCGGTCATTGTAAACAGCTGTGATCTTCTTGGTAACGCCATTGCGAATCGGGGGCTGCGCAAGGCCATTGCCTGCCTTCTGCTGGGTCAAAGCATTATTGCAGGGAGCGGCTTTGATCTGAGCAGCAGGCTGAAGCTGCTTGTTTGGGTTACCCTTCGAAAAAGCACCGGCCTTGGTACTTGCGTTGTTCTCCTTGCCGTTTGGACGGATCTCGCATGCGGCGAGCATGGCAGAAGCAGCCTTGACACGAGTCTTGACGGCCTCCTTGCTGTTGGGATCCAAGGCACGACCTCTAGCCGTGTTGCTGACATCGCCAAAAGCAGAGCGCTTGGGCGGCGCATTGAGGGCGCCGGTGGCAGACATGTTGGAGTTGTTGTTGTTGTTTTTTAAGTTACCAGCGGTTTTGTGAGAAGCAGGAATGATGTTCTCGTTGCCCTGTATGGCAGATAAGGCGGCGCGCGACGGGCGCTGTGGCTTGAGTGTGCGATGAACTGTTAGCACGAACCTGGCTGGGACTGATCTATGGAGAAGGTCGGTCGAAAATTCGAGAGGCCAGGAAGGAAACGCGAAGCCGCGCAGATGCACACTTGTGCAAGGCACGCGGTAACGGTAAATAAGGTAGAGAACTGTCGACGACCAAGAGCAATGCCGTGGCGAGCGCGATACTCGCAGTTTTGCGCGTGGAAGGGAGAAAAAGCCAAAAAAAAAAGCAGAACGTCAGACAAACAATCAAGACACGGCAGGGCGACTTACCTTTGCATCCATCTGGGGCCAGTGGATTCTGATAGAATAGGCGATGTTGAGTGATTCTGCTGACGCGAAGAAAGATGATGCCGGTCTCTCTTGAAGATGCTATTGGTACTGAGTAGTACGCGAAGAACAATAGATTCGCGATGTGATTCAAGGCCTCAAGCTGTGCTAACCGTGGGCTGGTCAGGGCAGCGTGGGGAATTATCGGCGGGGTCCTGGACGACGCGGACGTCGATATGAGAGATGATTGGAAGTGGTTTCTCTGGCTGCAGAGAGAGATCTATGGATCTTGATGGGGCGCGCGGGGGATGGTTGGCTCCGTCACCGCTAATGCAAGTCAACGACGCAAAGCGCAAGACGCAGGTTGCAGCTTCGAGTCGAGCAAAAGGCGGCGACTTATGATTCCAAGACAGGGAGGTCGATACTTGGCGGAAGTGGGCAGTGGAAGCAGCGCGTCGCAGAGGTTTTAGCCCTCGATCCAACAAGACATGAGGAATGTGGAAGGGATGACGCGTAAAAAGAGGAAATCCTATTGTACTGAGCCGGCAATTCCTGCACCAATGGACCCTCGGCTTGTTGGAGAGGAAAGAGAAAAGGCAGGAAAGTAAAACAGCCCGGCTGCGTCACAACCCAAGTATTTTTTTTTTTTTTCCCCTCGAGGGTCCAGCACTGGCGATGCTTTGTTCCTTCTGTTTATTGACAGCCCCGTAGGGTAAACACAAGCTCCTGCTTGGCGTGGGAGGTGGTCCGTGCCACCCCTAAAAACGGTTGCTTGGTCGTTGCCGGGACCAACCACTGGCAACCGCCCTCCAGTGACGTAAAGCGATTAAAGCTGCCAAGTGGGGCCTTTTCCCTCCGACGCGTCCTCCTGGAGAGCGACCAAAGACTGGAGTTGCACGTAGAATGTCAATATCGCACTCGTGAATCTCAAAATTAGATTCTTTGCAACCGCGCATCAAAGTTTCATCTGCACAATATCTTCTTTTGCCATTCTCCCTGCCATTGTGGCTGTCTAGCGGCTTGTTTATTTCACTTCATCAATTGGTCGACTGACGCGCCTCACATCGCGCTAGCGATGCCAAGTTTGACACGAAGTCATGTGACTTTGCCATCGGCTCTCAGCGAAGAAACGACCTGCACACAGCGACCCCATTTCTGCAACGACGGCGACATGTTTTCGGGTCAAACTTAGTATCCGACAATTAAACACAACACCGATGATGATTTTCCTCGGGATGCTTAGCATTGCTTGGCCGGGAAAGACGTCCGATAGCGCTTCCTCTGTCATTTGTACGGGGAGCCAGGGGAACTGGCCTGCGTTCTAAGCGGCCAAGCCCCCCCCCCCCTCCCTTTCGCCTGCTCCCGCGCACACAAAGATGGATGGCCAACAACCGCAAAAACTGACCAGTGAGAGCGCGCGCGCAACGGGAGTTGAGGTACCGCATTGTTTTGGTGTTCTGGCCAGGCTCGGTCGCTCTCTCGTGCCGGCTTGCTTTCACCGAATCCCCGGTGCTGCCAGACCCAAGCAGTGCCAGTGACTGCTGCGGGGTTTTCGCAGAGCCTGAGACTTCAAACTGCCGAGCACAAAGACAAGAAGGGTTTCTGTTTTGGCCAACACTGCCCATTTTTGTTGCGGGTCTGCTGGAACTACTCGGATATGATCGAAATCTGAAAACATAGGGCCGGCAAGTTCGTCTGCCAGCCAGTCAATCAGTTTTGTGCGATTGGATGATTGGGCGCCAGGCGCAACAGCACAACACACGCAACATGAACGGCACTTTTGCTCGATTCCTGGCCGCCAGTGCTTGGTTTTACATTCCCCCAACTTTCGGTTGATCCGCCTGTTCCTGTTCCAGCTATTAAATACCCAGAGTGTGGTGCCTTTTGACGAGACATACCTGGAAGTTCGTGGATGGGTAGCAGCATGGATGAATGGAAGAGATTGTGCTGCTGAGCAGTGCCAATGCTGCTTACTTCTGTCCTGCTGCTACTGACGCGGGGTTCCACTGTGCCCAGCGGCCCACTCTGCCGCCATTTGCGAAACCCTCCTAGATGTGTGCGAGGTTACGAGGTTGCGAGAGTTGCGAGAGAGATGTGCGCTGCAGTGTTGTTGCTGGCTTCCTGCAGGGGTAGTGCGATTTCACTCTTTACCTTGCAAATACTCAAAAAAGCCACTGTCTGTACGAGCGCCCCCTCTTTTCTCATGGAATAAGAGCCAGGGCAGCAGCGCAAGTGGCGAACCTTCGGGCGGGGGGGTGTCCAGCGTCTGTCTGTCCAGAGCAGAGCATCTCAACAGTCGTGGGCCGGGTGCCGCAGATGCGCTGCTGCATGTTTCCATCATCGCCAGGGTCTGGGTTATAGTGGGGCAGAAAGCCTGGGCGCTGTCCCCAACCCACCACACCAGATGATCTGCCCAGCCCAAGGGCCCAAAATTGCGCCCGTCGCGAGCACAGAGAGGCAACCACGTCGATGTTGCCCCTCGGCGGCGACAGTGCCATCGCAAGACTCGATCGGGACGGATGCGCTTCCTTTGCGACAACGGGCGACCGCCTGGGGCGACGAGATCGAAGGGAGCTGCAGATCTGTAACTTAAAAACCGGCAGGGATGCGGGAGTGGACGGCAGCCCGTCTAGGCGGGCTGCCACCCAGCTTTTTGATGACTGATGCATCCTCTGCTGCCCTACCTGCTTTCTTGGGAGATCTAGCTGGTGATCAAAGGTTGGTGTATACGGACAATCAAAGGTGTCTTTAGTCTGTCTGGTGTGCTGCACAGCGCGCATGTTGGATCGAGACCTGAGGCCGTAGGTTCCACGGCAAGCATAAGAGCTTCGGGCGTTCCGCCCTCTCCGCGTTCCACCGATTAATTCCTCTGATTCCAGGCTTTTGCGCAAAGAGTGGAAAGTGGATAATGCGACTCATCGAGCCGCGATCGCAAATCGGCTCCCGACAGTCCCGCGCTTGATGAACGGAGCAAGGTGGACGGCAAGATCTTATGAAGACTCTCTATCCTTGATTTTCCCTGAAAGACATCTCCTTGGACAGGTGAGAGCCGGAAATTTTGAATCTCATGTGCTTTGGTTCGCCAACTCATGCATTTCAAATCAACGTCTCATCCCACAAATGATTGCGATCTGACCCTACCCCGTAATGTTTTCTTGTCATCCACTAGCCCTCAAAACCCTGCTGTAGTGGCAACTGAGAAGCAGCAGCCTCGGTGTTTCCCTCCGAGCTGACCTCAAGTCCTCGAACTCCCCAGCTTTTCATGTCATTTGCATATGCGTAACTTCGATACCCCGCGATCGGCTACTCTCTAACGGGAGATTTCGCCATGGACGGTCGCCTTTCGTCTCAGCGCTCTGACTCAACTTGTAAAGCGATTCGTACTTGCGCATCGCTCACACACGGCGCCCACACCAGCGATCTCCTCCAGCGATCTAGGCGAGCACATTTGCCCATTCTTCCCGTATCCCCTCCTACGCTGCAACTGCCCGTATGTGAGTGTGTTCTCTCCAGGCTTTGGGCAGCGAAGCTTGCATCCAGAGGAACCGTCGAGACCCAGAACAGCCCAGAAGCCCACTAGGCACAGCGGCACTAGTGTACTCAAAACGGTAACTTACAACCCCCCCTTGCCCTCGCTAGCATGGCAGCCTGGGAATGCCATTGGTTGGTCGAGAGCCGACCTGGGCGCGACAATCCACCTGCGAACTTCGAATGACTTGGCTGGCGCATTCTCGTCCACTGCCTTCTTGTCGCCTGCCGCAGGACCCATCCGGACAGTTTCCGTTTCGCGGCTCTGGCTCTCTTTCCAGCTCTTTGAGGGGTGGGATTTTTTTGTTTATTGTATGTGTGTGTGTCTCCCGAATATGTGCGTCCGTCGTAACATCGGCGCGGGGCCGTCTAGAAGCATACTGCGGTACATGCACACACAAACAAGCAACAAAAGCTGATCGGCCGAGTCTTGATGTGCCGTCAGGCCATGCCAACGTACATGAAAGCACACATTGGGCCCGGGCGATTTCATCTAGACGGGAGCGCTGCTTGACAAGAGGGACTTGGAATGTTTGCGACACCTCAGTGATGGGTTCGGGTTGCCTGCGCTTGCACAAGCAGTTTGCTCCGGGGCCAGATAGCAGAGATTATAAACACCTGTCTCTCGTATATGGGAGCGCTGGAAGCACAAAAACTGGCAGCTACTGGTCAACTCCTTGAGACCATCCTAAGAATGCCCAAGTCTTCTCCGTGCGAGAGGCAGACCAAGTGCGCCGCAAAACCAAGCTGCATGTACATTTCTCATTGCCCAGGTTTTGCTTTGCGATCCACTATCTCAGGGAATCTATTGCATCCATCGCCGCACAAATGAAGGGGTTCGAGGGTTTGTAAGATAAGGGAAGAAACGGTTACCTGAACACCCACCCGGAACAGGCGGCCGACCCGACGAGATCATCTGGAGAGGAATGCGACAAGATTGCCGCAGGATCCATGTGTGCGCCGTGTCGAGGAATCGAGGGCATTTTCGATACGGATTACGCCGTTACAGCCCACAATTTTACGCCCCCCCCCCCTTTACCAACCCTATTTCTCATCAAAACCCGCCCATTGTGGACAACCAACAACTCTGTAAGATCTGAGACCTGAGATAGCCTATGACAGCCTTCAATGGACATGCTGAGGCGGCCACACAACGGCCGACACAACGACGAGATTGTCTGGCGCTGGTGTTGCTGGCGGTGCTGGCGGTGGCCCGGGTGGAGTCGCAAGCGCTGGCCTGACAGTGCGAGCTCCTCCACGTTGGCCTCGAGATGCTCGCTGCTTCGCAAAGCGACCAGCTGAGGGGCGACGACAACGCACAAAACCAGGGATAAATAGCATCATTTCAAGTCTGGAGATAGAGGGGAAAATTTAGAATCGATTCTATGTAAAATTTAGCATTACTGGCTCGTTGATTGTTGCCGCGACGTCGTAGAAGACCCGGCTGTCGCAGGTAGATACAGTCATTAGATACAGTGCGAGGGCCCATCTCGTGCTCATTCGTAAGGTAACTCTGCACAAAGCCTGGGGGAAGATGGGGCACTCAGCGAGCAGCACCTGGCAGATGTGCTGCAGCAGTGCTGGACAGTCCCAGCAGACAGTGCCAGTGGACAGTCCACAACAGACAGTGCTGAGATGGATTGAAGCATGGATGGTGTGCGATTACCGGCATCTGCCTTTTAAAAGCACTTTTCTTGAGACTCCTCTCGTTCTCTCCGCCCACAACCTCCGAATTGCACCCAGCTGACCGGTGACCCGTCGAACCACTTCGAATCCCAAACCACAAGCCATTCCTCTCTTCCATCGCCCGTCTTCTACCATTTCCATTCGTCTACCGCCGCTCCTGCACTCCATTTCTCCCGTCCTGCCCCCAGCTGCGGCCCTGTCGCTCTCTGTCGTCGAACCCCCAGCCTGGGTATCCAGCTAGTGTCTCCGTCTACTACTGCGTCCGCTGCGGTCGCCTCTGCGTCCACTTCTGCTGCGGATTTGTGTGCGCAACGTCCCAAACTCCCGGCATTGAATTCAGTTCCCAACCCACACGCTACCAACCCCCTCCCCCCTCAGCGATTTGGTAAGTCATTTCGATGCTGCTGCCACTTGCGATCGACGCCGTCTGGTCATCTGCCGCCCCCTCTTTGTCGTTCTCGGACCCAAGGCTCCCAGCGTCGCAGAGTCCTTCTGTCCATGGGCTCGTTGCGATCGAGTTGAGTCGAGTCGAGTCGTCGCCCGCCGCTTGACCAGCACCAAAACACCATGCACCAAGCACCAGCACACCTCCTCTCTCTCTCCACCTCCGCTTTCGTCCCAGCCCCCAGCACCGCCAGGCTTGCCCTCGTCAGACACCCGCTGCGCATTTTTCTCCATCCCATTTCGATTGTTCGAGTGCTCACAAGCCTTCTTCTTGAACAGAACGTGTGGGAAAAAAAATCGCAGTCCAGACTTCCCAAGATCCCGATACCCGGCGTACTCGCAACCCATCTGGCCGCCCTCTCTGCAAGCCGACGAGCCAGGCGTTCCGACGCCTGTGACCAACGCCATTCGTTTACTCGTTTCACACATTCAATACCTCGGGGTTAAGTGTTGGCAGGGTCGCTGTTGGCCAGTCAATCAGCTGAGCTCGCCTCCACGAGCCCAGATCTCCCAACCCTCGGCGGCACCCTTTCGGAGCCGACGCCGGCGGCCTACCCGGCCTAACGAACACCACAACACATACAATACACATCAAACGCCTCTTGGTAACCCCCAACGAGGTATTGCCGCCAACCATGTCCACGGCAACACATAACGGAGTGGGCCCGGTGCCCGGCCTAGAGAGTGGGAGCATCTCCCCTCGCACACCAGCACTGCCTAAAACGGTGCAGTTCATCCTCGTCTTCAAGGACAACACGCATCGCGCGCGCTTACCGTTGCGTGTTTCCATCTGGCCCCATGACTCAACAGACTCCATCATTACCACAGTCAAAAACTTCTATGGCATCTATTCGGGGCCTGGCTTCTCGAAGGGTGTCAGTTTCGAAGATGAGAAAGGTAACATCCTCATCGCGCGATATGAGAACTTCACAGATGGTATGATGGTCTTTGTTCGCATCATTGACCAGCCCATCGAGCCTGAGCTCTACAGCCCCACGTCGGGCCCCATGTATGGCATTGACCCGCTTTCCAAGCCGTCAGAATCGGATCGGGCTCGCACATCGCGATTGCGCAGCCCGTCTCCCAACGGCAGCGGGCGGGGTCGTCGCAGCACGCCAGCTGAGACGAACTCGACGAACGGCAACAGCAAGAAGGGCCGCTCGCGGTCCTCGAAAAACCGTGGTCCCCAGAACGAGGACGGCAACGCCGACAGCGCCAATGGCTACACCAGCGGCGACAATGCGCCCAAATCCTCGTCGGGGAGAAAGGAGCAGCTTCCTCCTGCCGACATCACTATCGAGAATATTGTTGAGGGTGGTCGGCGCAAGCGCGCAAAGTTTGAAAGCTCGGTAAGCTATTCAACAGTGAATCGCTGAGATCCGTGAAAATCGCTCGGGTACTGACGAGAGTTGTCTTTGCTCTGCAGGAACTGCCTCTCTTTGCCCCTCCTCAGATGCCTGCCGTGACCTCGAATCCATCCGTTTCCCCTGTTCGCCGGTTTGAAGCCAGACACTCTCTTCCCTACATCCAAACAGGCCAGAACCCGTTCAGCACGCCCAGACCACCGCTTACCTCTCCGCAGTCGTACAACCCCTCGTACTCCGGCTCTGCACCGTACAATCCAGCGAATACTGATAGCCGCCGCAGTCGCGGAAGCTTCGGGTATCCCTCTGGCCAAGGCATGGGCCCGGGTATGCAATTCGTTCCCACTCCGGAACCCACTGTCGGAAGCTGTATGTCTGAGGAGGATAAGGACGTCGCCATACAGCTGATGCGCCTGGGTGAGATGTCCAATCACGGACGCGCATCCGCATCGACTGTCGACGACGGTTTCAGCGGTCGGGCCGACGCCTCTTCTACTGGCGCTACGAGCGACGCTGAGAGTCTTGCCCCCGAGGACATGCATGCCGGTCAGAGGCAGAAGCTCGACGCTATGGGCAATCACAAGAAGATTTTCAACAACACAGACGGCACCTTCCATGCCGAGGCGAGCGGTGATGAGGCCGACGACTCTGATGTCGACGACTCGTTGCCGCCCTCGGTCGTGAAGAAGCCTAAGGCTACCGGCCTCAACGGTACGGGTAGGGCCAGGTCGATGCCTGCCAACAAGGCCAAGACTACCAAGACTGCGAAGCCCAAGCTCAAGAAGGCGCCCGCTGCTGTCGGCCCCATGTCTCCGGCCTCGCTCCCCGCATCCCGCAAGCAGTCCATCAACTCCAACGCCGCCTTCCCTCTGCCCCTTGGCGAGGAAGAGACCCCCGACCTCTCGACCAAGCCCCGCTGCCAGCGCTGCCGCAAGAGCAAGAAAGGCTGCGACAGACAGCGTCCTTGTGGTCGCTGCCGCGATGCCGGTATCCCCGCCGATCAGTGCATCTCGGAAGATGAGGGCAACGGTCGCAAGGGCCGGTATGGTCGTCACATGGGTGTGCCCATCAAGAGGGAGGATATGCCCCCTCCGGCGACGGCGCCGACCGCCGCGGTTATGACCGGTGCGACCACCGCAGCTATGCTGCTGCCTGCGGCGCCGATTGCTCCCGCGTCAGCTATTGCTGGCCTGGCTTCCCCGAGCGCGGCTGGTAAGGATAAGAAGCGCAAAAGGTAGCTGGCCAGCCTAGTCGTCTGGCGTGGCTCTCTCTTCTTGGCGTGCGGTGGGGTTCGTCGAATCGAGGCCTCGGTGACGAGCGCGGTCTAGCCTTTGGCGCGTGGCGCAAGGGATTTACTTAATCTTCGACCCCGTCGAGCTGTCTGATATATACCGTGTGGGTGGTATTGTCTGAGGTATGAGAACAATGGAAAATGTCACCAAAGCTTGGACTCCATACTCCACTCACTCGACTATTGTCTGTCCACGTGATGGGATGGAAGACGAAATATATGATGAGGGAGCACACAACTCTCAACATCCCTCATATCCTTAACGAACGAAGAGGACTGTCTCGTGAGGTCGACGAGATCCCCACACCTGGCGCGCATCGAGGAAGACGAGGGAAAAAAAAAAAAAGGTGTCATCGCCGGTCGGCTATTTGCCTCTCCCACTTGCTACTCTGATCCCTTTCTGTACTACTTGCTCTGATTCATCATCATCATCGTCATCATCGTTTATATGGGTTGGGCGAACTATGAGCGCAAAGAAAACACAAAACACACAACATATAAAGGACGAACGAACGAACGAACGAACGGGCGGTTGGATCCCGGGAGAGAGGAGGATATGAATACGGTGATTGCCATGGAAATGGATGAAGTGGATTCATTCGCGAACTTGATGTACGGTTGTATCGATGGATTGACGGATGGATGGATGGATGGCCGGCTGGTCGGTTGGCTTGGTTGGTTTGGTTGGCAGGCAGGCAGGTTTGTGTGAACTGGTTGGCTGGTTTGGCTGGCTGGCGGGTTGGCGGGTTGGGAGTGTGAAACTGGTTCTCATTATTTCATTCCATTATCTCTTTTTTTTTTTTTCGATCTTGTTCCCCTCCTCCTCATCCATCATGATCATATCCATCTACTACACTGCTCGCGGTACTGCCGTTGCTGAAGCTACTAGGTGCACTAAGTACACTATACTCTAGGTTCTAGGTATGGAAGGTGACTTACACTACACTGCACTACTCCTGGGAATACCTGGACGTTATTGCGAAAACAAAAATGGTGTATTGTGTTTAGATGGAAAGGTTTGTGGGATGTGTGAATGGTTGGTAATCGGTTCGGTAGAAAGAAGAGGATAAGAGTCGGCAACGAAGCAAAACTCGACAAGAAGAAACAACAATCTTCTGTCAAGTACTGTCGCAGAAACAATGCGCAAGCGCTTGGGACAAGTACTGGTAGGGCAACATTGGCCTTGTTGAGGTCTTATTTCTCTTCCCTGGTCCTGACGACCACCTATATTATTTATTTCATCTCTCTCACCCCTCAAGCTTCTTTCGTCAAGGGTCTCTTTTTGTTTCAATGGAGGTTGGCGTTGGCCAGGAGAATCTCAGCTCATTCATCCTGTTTGTTTTGTGTACCCTCTACTGTTCTCCAGGGGGAAAGTCTTGTAGTCACATGCTTCGATTTGTGCCATACAATTGGGGCAGGGCATAATGGCGCAGACGTTGTTGGGAAAGGAAAGGTAACTGGGCCATGATCGGGGTTTGTAGCACTAGCTTCAGAATACGTACTTTAGCTTTATCCATCTTGTCTGTCTACGTACTCAGGCGTGCGCTGCATGAACTGATGTGAGCTAAGATTTCTAATTTGAAGTTGAATACGGTGTTTGCTGTCTGGCGCATATAAGTGTTTTTCGACCGCGACATTCCAGCCCCGATGACAGCTACTTCTACACGCAGTTTCAATCTGAAGCTAGCCTTGGCTGCTCCAAATCTTCAGCGACGGACATTTACTGAAGATGCGCACAGTTCACATTCCGAAAATCATCTACTAATGGCCGACTTCAGCCGTTCAAACTGTTTTGTCAACAGTTTCTATGGTTGTATAAATGCGCCGACGTCCAAAACACGACTTCCAGACCTCCGCGACCACAGCAGGCTACATCAAACACAAATGCGACAACCCGGCTCTACCCGTCGCTGTCGTCGTGGCAGCTGGCAGCAAGCAGCCCCGCGCGCCAGCGCACAGTGCCGCGGCTCCGGCGCTTGGGTTAGTCGCTGTTGCAAATGGGGAGCAATGATGCGCACAGATGTCGCACAGTTAATACAAAATGGGAAATTTTGCTCTTAGGGTTAGGAGAAATGAAATCGGACTCGAAATTTAAAAAATTGTTAAAAAAAAAATCAACAATGGAATGGAAGTTCGATTGGAAGCAGCTTCGACTGACGTGGAAGGTCAAGAAGTGTTTGAACAAACTTTGGCGCTAGACCAAATCTGGGTTAGTGCGGCGTGTTGAGGAGAAAAGACAACAGCGGGGTCCTTTTTCTGCCCACTTTTTTGAAGTTGGTTCTATTGAAGATCTCACCCTTGACAAGGTCATTGTCTACAGATAATGGGATGCGCAACCGACTGCGTCGACGCTACGGCTTTGCATTTACTCAGTGCTAGCTGCTGTGTGTCAACAACTCCATTGATCACCGATTCGCAACCCCCTTCGTTGCGATTCGTGCGGGGCTTTCCCGGTGTGCAGGGAGTGAAACGGTTTGGGCCCGTTTTTGGGCCTTGGGCTTGGTTGCCAAGGCCATAAGGCGTTGGGGCGTTGGCTGGAAGCGCCAACAGCGCAAGCCCAAGCCTTAACCCTCGTTCGTGAACCGTTCCAATCAATTCATGGTTCGTGTGCGATGCGATTGTGTGGGGAAGAAGCCCGCCCACCAGAAATCTGGAAAACAAAAAAAAAGGGAAGCGATCGATGGATGGGTAGATGAGTGACGGAATAGAAAAAAAAAACTGATCCCTTGTTCTAGTGCGGGAGTGGCCGTTTCGTTCTTTCGTTTTCCTCGTTTCGTTCCCCTTTTATAATCATTCCCACAACCCAGACCAGGAGTTGTGCTCTTTTTCGCAAAATCCTTGTTCCTGCTGCCGAGCGTTCTCCCCTCCTCCTTGGCTGCCGCCGGTTGGCGACGTGTCAGTGTGGGGCAGGGGCCGCCTTCCCTTTTTGATCAAATGTTTCGTGACAGGGAGCGCTGATTGGTCAGATGTCTCAGATGCCCTGGTTTGCGCCCGCTTGCTGGGGCAGCTTGGCAGTTCCACTGTCCCAAGCTGGCAGTTGGTTTCAGCTGCTGGGCTGCCTGGAGAGTGGGACGCTTGATGATTTTCGGCCAAGCGAAAAAGAATTGGCGGTCTGGGAGGAGAGTTGAGGGAGTCACGAGCTTTGAGGGGATCAGGATTGATGGTTTTGGGAATTTAAGGACAATTCTTTATTCAATTCTGCTAGCATCGCGCGGTCAATTACTCGGTATATTTGTCTCAATTGGTGTTGAAGCCAATTGTTGAGTCGGATAGTCAACTTACACCGCTGATTGCTCAATTCAATAGCAGCAGATTTGCTGCCTGTCGACCCTTGTCAGCTGAGTCGAGACCGGTCCGATAATAATTTCTATGTCGGTCTCGAAGCGAAGCTTCGGGCCATCATCGACCGACTTGAAGCTAACTTCAAACAGAGTGCAATGTTATTGAATTCTCGGGTCTATATTCTGCCACGGAAGACATCATTGAGTGTCGCACAGAAGCAGCAGATTAGATCCTTCGACCACCATCACACCTGCTGTTAGAGAAATTGCGAAACTGCATCGAAGCTTTGAACTTTGTGCGTCTGCGAAATCTGAGTGCTCGACATCCACCGTTCGTCTGCGCGACATTGATGATCAGCCACGAGGAGAGTAGTGCTACGGTGCCGCCTCTAGCCGTGGCGGCTAGTTATCTTTGCGCTAACACCAAAATCTGCACATGATATGCGGTGGAGTTGTGGAAAAGTTGGAAAGCGGAACAATTCCCGAACTTTTGGATGTTGGTACCGGCCGCGTGTCCAACGCCATCCCGGCCGTTGGGTTCACTGCCGCCGCTGCAATGCAATGCTGGGCTGGGTTCACGCGTTGACACGGGACGAGATGAACAATGACTTGGTTTTGATGTCAGCGGCAAGGTCGAGAAAGATGCTCATCGATGGGCTTGGAATGGAACAGATAGGGGGATCTGCCTGACACCCGGTCTCCCGATAGCCGGGTGTGCGACACCGGCCCGCGTGCGATTCGTGGAATCATCGGGAAGGTCATGGCTCATGACCTGCGAGTCCTGCTCAGCGGTCTGTCATCAGCTCCACCAGAAAGGCGCGTTTGACATCGACAAGCCCACATTCCACAGCCGAAGCAACCAGGTCGACGGCGGGAGCAGCTCCCGGGTTCATGGCCCCGGCACTGCTCCTACGTCAATCATCGGCCCCTTCCGTGATGGATCCCGCTAGTGATAGAAGTTTTTTCCCCCCTTTCCCAGCCCGCCTTAATTACAGCATTCATAATGACATAGGCTCCCATTGATCTGGCGATGTGGTTGCAACCAACTGCACGCTTCCGTCGCCGATGACATCGCCCAGCATGGTCGCGGACTCCGACATTGAGAAAGGCGGCCATTTGTCGCACCCCGATGACGTCTCGACTTCCGGACCTGAGGATGCTGCGCATCAAACAGACAGCGAGCAGCTCGAGAAACTCGACTCAGAACCGCCCAATGGGGGGTTACTTGCATGGTCTCAGGTGCTGGGCGGTATCTTGCTCAACATGCTTGCCTGGGGCTATCCCACCTCGTTCGGCGTCTACCAGCTCTACTACCGCGACACCTTGAAACTCCCCGAATCCCAGATCTCATGGATCGGCTCGCTGCAGGTCTTCCTCGCGTGCGCCATGTGCACCTTCTCGGGCCGACTGGCGGATGCGGGCTACATCAAGTCGACTATCATCGCCGGCTCATTCCTTATCGTCTTCGGCACCTTCATGACTAGTCTGGCCAAGGAGTACTGGCAGTTCTTTTTGGCGCAGGGCATCTGCGTCGGCCTCGGACTCGGCATCATCTTCATGCCCCCCGTGTCAGTCATCAACTCGTATTTTACAACGAAGCGGTCGTTCGTGCTGTCCGTTGCTGCTACCGGGACGGGGTTTGGTGCCGTCGTGTTTTCAGCTACTGTCCAGTATCTTATCCCTAAAGTCGGCTTCCCGTGGGCTGTCCGGTGCGCAGCCTTCGTCGCGCTAAGCATCGCTACGCTGGCAGTCCTCATCCTCAGGCCGCGGCTGCAGCCTAGGAAGTCTGGGCCGCTGTTTGAGTGGGAAGCGTTCAAGGAGGCTCCGTATGCATTCTATACCCTCGGAGCGTTTTTGTTCTTTTTGGCCCTATACTTTGGCTTCTTTTATGTAAGTGTTCCCCGTTGTTTTTTTTTGTCGACAGTAACGACTGCTCACACTAGCAGATAAACGCATACGCCCGTAATGTTATCGGCTTCTCAACTACAAACTCTGTCCAGCTTATCTTGATTACCAGCGGCATGAGCGTCCCGAGCAGGCCCATTGTGGGCTTCCTAGCAGACCGCTACTTCGGCCCCATCAATCTCTACATCCTCCACACGCTGATCCTCGGCGGCCTGGTCTTTGCCTGGATCGGCGTGCACGACCGTGCTGGCATGTACGTCTTTGCGTTCTTCTTCGGCCTGGCCAACGGTGCTGCCCAGGGCTTGTACTCGGCCGCCCTGGCCAGCCTGACCACCGACCCGAGGAAGATGGGCACCCGCTTCGGCATGGTGTGCACCATCATGGCGTTTGCCACGCTTGCGGGTCCGCCGATTGCTGGAGCCATCATCGACGCTACCGATGGGCGGTATCTCTATGCGCAGATGTGGGCTGGCTTGCTTCTCATCCTGGCTGCGTGTGTCATCGGGTGCTCGAGAGTCGCGGTCACCGGATGGAAGTTCTGGGTGAAAATTTGACGTTGTGTGTCGCGAGAGACACTGGGGCTGCTCCCGACTGACATCTATCTTTCCATAATAACATCCGAGACATGCATAGACCCGCAGTTGGCGACATAAGGGATCTCGGGGAGGGATAACATAATGTGTTTTGTTGCACGTTTCACGATAGGTACGCTTGGATACACAAAAGTAATGTTTTGGTATAGATCTACTGTTCGTCAATACCATCAATATGGGTTTTCCTGGTACGCCTTCTCGGCCTCAGCATATGCATCGTACCCGTATAGGACTGGCTGCACAACGGGACACGTCCAGCGACTGGGGAACGGCCCTTCCAGCTCCTTGCCTAGCTGGCTGATCATCAAGGCATCGCGCTTCTCCTGCTCTGGCCCGTCCTCCATATGCGAGTCATCTCTTTGCTTAAACGTCTCAAGCTGAATCCACCTGCCTCTCTCCATCCTCAACTTCTGATACAGCTTCGACACCACGGGCAACTGTCTCTTCATCTCACTCCTCCTAACTTTCCCCAACAACGACCCAAGTACTGCCGCATCCTCCAAACTCGAGTTCGCTCCCTGCGCAAGGTAAGGCAGCATCGGATGGCAACAGTCCCCGGCCATGAAGAACGTGCCCTGCTTATTCGCCCACTCCGGCAGCGCATCCAACCAGCACAAGCGCCACTTATGCACCGTGCTCTTCACCTGCCGAAGGAACTTGCCCAGCAGGGGGTCCCAGTCCTTGAACTTCTCCCTCATCTCATCCATGTCACCCTCGATCTTGACCACATCAGCCGGTAGATCATCCGGGCAGAGGAACACCAGGTTCAGTACCTTCCCTGCGCACACAGAGTACCCCACGCAGTGAGCTCTCGGTCCAAGCCAGAAATTTACTGTCGGGTTGGCGATGAACTTCCTCAACTCTTCTGCATCCTCCCCCTCTAGCTCATCCGCCCGAATGGTAATCCTGTACGCAAGATCCCCTGTGAGTATGGCTGGGCTAGGCCGCCCAAGAAACTGCGGCCTAATCTGACTCCACAACCCATCCGCAAGCAGCACCACATCCCCCTCTGCCGCTTCCACATTCTCCCTATCCAGCTCCCCCGTCACGGGGTCCCTCCTCTGCACATACACCCTCGCCTCTTCGAAATCCACCTTCGTCGCGCGACACCCCAGCCGGATTTCCACGCCAAGCTCTTTACACCGCGCTACCATCGCCTGCTGCAGGTCGACGCGGTGCAGGTCCCAGAAGGGGTTGCCGTTGTAGCGGGCGAGGATCTGGGTTTGGAAGTTGGGCTCGTGCGCGAGGAGTTTCGTGCCATCGTAGCGGTGGACGGAGAGGGAGGAGGGGATGGCAGCGAGGGGGTGGAGGGAAGAGTAAAGGCCCCAAGCGCGGAGGAGACGCGTGCCATTGGGTGTTATTTGAAGGCCGGCCTTAAAAGGATATGCGGTTAGAGGGACTGGATTGAAAAAAAAAAAAAGGGGGGGGGGGAAAGGTTTTTGGGCAGGCGGGAGGGGGAGGATGAAAGGGGGACGTACGCCGACTTCTTGGAGTTCCTTGACGGTTTCGAGGACGGTGACTTTGTGGGAGGGGTTGGCTAGCTTGGTCGAGAGGGCTGCGCCTAGGCCGGCGAGGCCGGCGCCGATTATGAGGAGGTGGATGCCTTCATCGGCGCCGTTTTCTTGATCAGTCGTCATTATGAGAGTGGAAGATAGGCGGGAAGGAAGAGATGCAGCTGTTAGACAAAGTAGTAGTATAATTTACCCCTTCGGTAGTCCGATGAGGAGGTGGGTGATATGGTAGTGAGACTTAAGCAGCCACTTTGTCTATCTCCCAATCATCGAGAAGCTGGATATAACATAACGTCCAAACAACAATGGATATACGTCCTCGTTACCACTATCAAAACCGCGGGCCATCGGTATACACCCTTCAATGACTACCCCCTCCTGCATACGTGCTCCTCCACCAGGCGAGGTACCTTTTCAGGAGAACGAATCCCTAGCCTTTCCCCCTAAATCCATCTTAACCCCTCGAAATCGCATCCCTCCAGCCGCGATCCCGCCAGGATGAATATAGTTGGCCGTTACCGGCTATGAAATAAGTTAGTCTGGTGTAGCGATTCCTCACACCACTGCTTCCCCCGCGATTCCCCAGGCACTAGTGTGTGGGGGAGGGCGGGGCGGCGGGTACCGAGGGCCTGGGTTCGGGAGACGGAGCCGAGGCGGCAGAGGTGATCGGCTAGGCTTTGGGGTTGGCTGGGAGCTTGGCCCTCGGGTTAAATGACATCTCGTGTCAACATTCGTCTAGTGACAAAGAGGTTGAGAAAAAGAGATATTCATGGATGAATGTCATTAGGAAAGAAGATGAGACGTGGGGAATTAGTGGTGTAGGGGTATCTAATCCATTTTTTTACCACCCTCTATCATTTTTTTCTTTCTCTCTCTCTCTCTCTCTTTACTTTTTTTTTTTTTAAAAAAAATTCTGCGTGAAATACCTGCTTTATGTGCCAGAAGTAAACATCGTAATAAGAACCACAACCATACCCAGTCCACACATGATACAGTTTGCTTGCTCCTGTATCTTACTTCATATAGCAAGGCTGCCTTTTCATATCCTCATAATATTACCCCCTCTCGGAATACCCATTCAGCCCTAGGCAGGATTAAACCCCATACCCCTCCAACTCTTCCTCCGTCACAATCCACTCCTCCTCCTCTCCCCACGCAGGCGCAAGCGCGAAGCTGCCCTGAATCTTGCCCATTCCATAAGCAACACCACCCATCTGGCCCGACTGTGTCGGCGCCTGTGCTTGACCCTCGCCATCGGGCTTGATATCCGCCTCCTCGATGAGCACAACAGTAGACAAAAAGCTGGCCTGTGTGCCTGGCATCATCTCCAGCTTCATGCCGCCCCAGGAGAGCTCCACGCGGCCGGACTTGCGCACAATCAAGTCGCCTAGGTAGCCTCCCTGGTGGAGCTCGTCGCCTTCGGAGTCGTCTTCCTCCGCATTTTCAACGTCGTCGGGATTCTCTTTCTTGACTTTGGTCTTGTCGCTGGGGTTTTCTTGGGTGAGATCGATGTGCGCGGGTGTTTGGTTCAGCATCACAACATCGTCATCATTCGGCTCGGACTTGACCTTCCCTGCGCGGGAGACCGCCTTGAGAGGGGGTAGCACACGCGGGAACTGGAATAGGAACATGTGTCCTTCCAGCGAAGGGTTAATTGCACCGCCCTCTTCGGTAGCAGCGACATCATCGCCTGAGATGGTAAACAGATCGAGGTTGCGCTGCAGATCCTCAGCCAGAGCTTCGGCTTCGGGATCCCTCAGCCCGGCGGCAGACTTCTTCTTAGGTTTCTGCTCGCCGACAAGCGCCTTCTTCTTAAGCTCGGGCGAGTCGGGGGCCTTGATGCCCTCGGGGATGGCGTCCATGTCCATTGCATCAGCGTCGCCGGGTTCTTTTTTGATTTTGATGTCGTCGCCACCACTACCACCACCACCACCACCACTACCACTACCACTAATCAGTTCTTCACCGGAGGGACCGCCCACGAAAAGGCCTTCTTCATCGGAGGATTCGGAGACTTCTCCGCCGGCGTTGTCTTGCGCTTCGATCTCGGCGGCTGTGGTCAAAGTGACTTGCTCTTCTTTGTGTTCGATGCGGCGCACGCCCATGGGCAAGATGGGCTTCTTCTTCTTTTTGGTCGATGTGACCGAGGCGTTGTCCTCGTCCTCGGAGATCTCCACGTAGTTGTACAGCCGGTCGGCGTTGATCCTGTTGCCTTCGATGAGGCTGGACGTGCCGTATCCATCCTTTGAGTCACCCTCGCGCTTGATGTAGCCCCCGCCAGAGCCCGACCCAGACGCGAAGGCATACCCGCCTGTGCTGGATGAGCCACCACCTCCTCCAACTGCTCGTCGTTAGCTTGACGCATACTTCAACGAATCCCAAACAGGTAAGCAAAAGGGAAACATACAACTCATCCCCGCCGCGAGCGGCCCTGCAGCAGCGGTACTTCTCAACCCTCCTCTCAACCCACCCCGTCCCCGTCCACGACCGCGTCCCCGACCCCGCGCAAGGCGGGCCAGTCGTCTCGCCTCTTCGGCATTGCGCTGCTCCTGAATGCGCGCCTGTTCTTCGGCGAGCCTGGCACGCTCCGTCTCGCTACGGCGCACGGCCTTGGGCTTGAATTTGCTGCTGGAGGTACCGCGGCCGGTCGAGGAGGAAGAAGAAGAAGCCATGGCAGCGGTTGTGCTGGTAATGGTGGTGGGGGGTCGGGTGGCGGAGGAGGATGCGACTACGGTTGTTGCTGTGGTCGTCGTCGGGGCCGAGGTAGAGGGGGCTGGTTCGGATGCAGTAGCATGGGTTTCAAAAGAGGCAGCGTCGGTTGATTCTGAGGAGGTCGTCGTCGTCGTCGTCGCCGCCGCCGCCGTCGTTGTAACTGGGACGGTGGCGCCGCCGCGGTCGCGGCCCCGCCCTCGGGTCGTTGGTTTCGGCGGCATTTAGATAGAGGGGAAGGAATGATTAGAATAGATTGGTTGGGCGGGCAAACATGTGGTTGAGGTTGATGTGGCGGTTGGGAGGAGGAAGAGGAGGAAGAAGGTGTCAAAAAGTGTCATCGCGCTCTCGAGTCGCTTGAACTTTTGGCTGCATTTCTTGACGTGCCCCACTGCAAGCGCATTGGCAGGGGTGCACGGCTGGGGTGGTTGAAGCCGCCCAGGGAGGGGCAGCAATTGATAATAATCGATAAGGGTTGTGTGTGTGAGGGGCTGCCCCGCAGTTAACCCTGAACGTGGTTGCGCGGGGGAAGTGCTTCCAGAACAGACCAGTGAGAACGAGGAAGCAGGAAATGGCCGATTCAGCGCTGGAGGACTCCTTTCCGGATGTTCCAGAGAGCTTATATGCAGTTTTGTGTCGCTACACCTCACTACGATGTCTTACCTTGAGTAAAGCGTTAGGTAAAACACTATGGTGATGCATGCCCCTAATGGTGGGGTTGTACCTCTACCTCAGCGATAAGAACCCCGACTTCGCATATTCAACTCCCTCGCTCCCATCGTCTCCTCCTCTTCAACCCCTCTACAAACCAAACTCACCAACATCATGAGGTGACCATGAATTCACCCTTCCCAAAATCCTCCTCCTCCCCCGGGAAGGGGCGCATTGTGGTGCGCCTAGGGCCGGACGGCTCTACGTCCCGCCTCGAGACATGCACGTACCAGTACCCACTCAAGCTCATTACGCCGATGCGCCCGTCCCAGACCAAGAGCGCTCTGGTTTTTTTACTTTCTTACGGAGGCGGTCTAGTTGCGGGCGACACGGTTAATCTGTCTATTGACATCCAGCCGGGCGCGCGGCTCAGCGTCGTCACCCAGGGCCACACCAAGATCTTCAAATCTCCTACTCCTGACGTCGTCACGCGGCAGACGTTGACAGCCGAGATTGCGTCCAGCGCGGCACTATGCTTGTTACCTGACCCCGTTCAGCCTTTCGAGGGGAGTGTCTATGAGCAGCTGCAAGTGTTCAAGGTTGCCCGTGGGGGGTCGCTGTGCTTGTTGGACTGGGTTACCCAGGGGCGAGCGGCAAGGGGGGAGCATTGGAGTTTTGTGAGATGGACGGGGAAGAATGAAGTATGGATGGTTGATGGGGATGGGTCAGATGGAGAGAGATTGCTGGTCAGGGACTCCGTTATCCTCGACTGCAAGCAGGTACATTCTCAGATACCAGCGCTACGGGATGCGATGCATGGCATGGGCGTCGTCGGGACTCTGATACTACGGGGCCCACTGATGAAGCCGTTGGGGGAGTTCTTCCTGGCTGAGTTTGCTGCACTTCCGAGGTTAGGAGCGCGCGATTGGAGGAGTGAGGAGGCGAAGAAGGCAGAGGAAGAGAAAATGTCACCGCATGAGAGATGGAGGGCGGAAAGGATCCAATGTGAGAAGGAGAACAAGCTGCTGTGGTCGGCTGCTAGTGTTAGAGGCTGCGTGGTGGTCAAGTTCGGGTCGCCCGAGGTCGAGGCCAGCCAGCGCTGGCTTGGGTCAATGTTAGCGAAGGAGGGAAGTATTGCAAGGCATTTTGATGAGCAGGCCATGATGTGCCTGAGGTGTCACTGAGGGGGTGGTGATGTCTGATGTTGTTTATGCAAGTATCGGGGCAAGCTGGGCAGCATGGCGCTGGGGTGGATTAGAGGGATTCTGTTGAGTCTCCTTGTTTCTGGTTATGATGAAGGGGATATTAATGGACATACTCGCGCTATTATTTCTCAATTGTTTGAATGCAATCACATTTTATAGAAGATTGTGGGAGCAGTCCTGAGTGTCTTAAACTTAACCGGGGCCTGTAATTTGAAGTTCAATAAGTGCATACCCAATAAGCCGATCTGCAGGCAGCGCGGGTCGGTGGGACCATGCACAGCGGGGGGGAGCGCCAATCCACCCAAAATAACCTGGCGATGGAACTCGCTTTTGACGCGTCAATTGCCAGAGCCACAACGCCATTGCTCGTAGCCCGCAGCCCCAACGACCCTTCGCATCCCCTTTCCCGCTCCTGCTCGTCTGGCCACGAGCTGCCCGGCTGCAATACAAGGTTCCCAAAAGTCAAATGTAATGCCATCCACGCGACAACCACTCATGGAGACCTCCGACAACACCGCGACGAGCTCGCCCGCGCCCTCGTCATCCGCTGCGACCACCGCGCGTAGGTCCGGACGCGTCACCAAGCCGCCCGCCAAGTATGTGCCCGAAGTTCCTGTTGCCACGAAGCGCAAACGCGCTGCCGATGCCGATAATGACGACGACGTCGAGAACGAATCGCCCGACGACGCCGACGGCCTGAGCGAACTTGACGCCGACGACGACGATGCCAACGACCCCGACCACGATGATCCCGAGGCCTCGTCGCGCCGCTCTTCCAAGAAGAAGAGGAAGCCCTCCGCGTCGCAGTCGTCTAAGCCGAGGAAACCCGCGTTGAAGAAGCCCAAGGTTAATGGCGATGCCCCGGCGGCGACGCCAGCTATTACTACCACCAGGCTTGTTAGCAGGCCGAAGAAGACGGTTCGCATCGCTGCCATTGCTCGCGGCGATGCAGAGGGGCTCTATGGTCCGTGTTATTCGATGATTGCCGCGCGATAAGTGCACCTTGCTGATGTCTGAATTATTTTTTTCTTGTTTACAGCCAACATCTTTACCTCGGGCGACTCGTCCGACAAGGTCGCGACGGATTGGTTTCACCAGTATAGGGCCAACGATACCGCTGCTGTGGCCGACCTTGTCAACTGCATCCTGCTGGCGGCTGGATGCGACCAAAAGGTCACTGAAGACGACATTCGCGACCCCGAGAACTGCTCCAATAGGCTAGCCGAGCTCCAAAATGTCTACACTGAGGTATGTCGGTTTCGCCAAAATGCCCGCGTACAATGCTAATTCTTCACAGGAGGGAATCACCGACTACCCCCTCATCTCCAAAGAAAAGTCCAGCAAGTCCTTCCGCGAGCTGCTGGTCGGCTTCTTCCGGTCGCTCGTCACCATCCTGCACGAGACCGACGTGCTGTACACGGACAGCGCCCTGATGGAAAACATCGCGCGCTGGGTCGCGTCCATGTCGTCATCAACCCTGCGGCCCTTCCGGCACACTGCCACCACCGTCGCGCTCTCCATGGAGGCTGCCCTCGTGGAAGTCGCTAAGACGCTGGACGCCCGCATCAGCAAGATCGCCGCTCAGGTCGACGCTGAGAAGAACCGCAAGGGCAAGAACAAGGAGAGGTTGGCTGAATTCCAGAAGAGCTTGACCCAGGCTGAGCAGTACCGTCAGATCTGCCAGGACCAAATTACGGATTTCTTCGAGACTGTTTTTGTCCATCGTTATCGCGATATTGACGCGAAGATCCGGACAGAGTGTGTCGAGGCCCTCGGGACATGGATTTGGACGCTGCCCGATTTCTTCATGGAGCCGGAGTACCTGCGCTACCTGGGCTGGATGTTGTCGGATATTGTCCCGCAGACACGACTCGAAGTTCTGAAGCAGCTGGCTCGCATTCTGAAGCGCGACGCCTCGAAACTGGGACACTTCATTGATCGGTTTCGTCCACGCCTCGTCGAGATGGCCACGAAAGACGCCGACGTCAACGTCCGTGTTGCTGCTGTTTCGGTCATGCAAATCCTGAAGGGCAGCGGCATGCTGGAACCTGATGAGATCGATTCCGTCGGCCGGCTGATTTTTGATTCGGAGCTGCGTATCCGGAAGGCTACTGTCGAGTTCTTTGCTGGTTGTGTCAACGACTTGATCGAGTCCAAGGTCGAGGATCTTGGCGGTGATGATGCTATTGATGAGATGCTGGGCGAGGATCCTGGGGACGACTACCTGTCTCCTCGCAGGGAATGGATCATGGTCAAGTGTTTGGCCGAGCTGCTGGCTGCGTATGATGCGCAGCTCGAGGAGGAGAACAAGACGCAATCACCCCGCGGTCTGGATATTGCCGTTGAAATGGTTCAGGCCGCGCCGCCTGAGACGCGCATCTCGATGGCCTCGCAAGTCTTGTTTGAGTATGTTGAGGAGGTCAAGAAGTGGGAGCTGCTTGCCGGCTATCTGCTCTATGACCACACCACGAGCACAAAGTCCAAGTCATCCTCGTCCAAGAAGGTATCAAGCGAAGAGGCTCTGAAGAATGCCATGGCCCCCGAGGGCAAGGAGGAGACCGTCCTCCTCGAGGTTTTGGTGACTTCCGTCAGGTTAAGCCTAGCATCAGGCAAGCAACGGGGCGATGGCGGCGATGACGACACCGTCGTCCATCTCGCCAACATCATGCCCCGCTTACTCAGCAAATATGGCGCGGAAGCCAGCACCGCGGTGCTCGTTCTGCGGCTGAGCCACTCCCTGCCTCTTGATGTGTTCCAGCAGCTGCGCCAGGACGCGACCACGTTCAAACGGCTGCTGGGCGACATCTCGAGCCAGTTCGTCCGGCATGTCGATAGAGGCGTCATTGCCGAGGCGACCGCGGCGCTGCTGCACGCCCGCAAGTACGACGAGCTACGCGAGACGACCGACGAGGAGATTGCCAACCTTTGGGAGAATTTCGTCAACGCCCTGAGGAACATCGACAAGCAGCGCGACCTCGGCGTCCGCGCCAACATGACGCTCTCCGGCATCACGCAGTTCGGCAATGTCCTCCTCAAGCTCAGCAAGCTCGCATCCATCGCCGATTGCGTTGACATCCTCGAAGCAGAAAGCACAAACGACGACTCCCAACGCCCACTCATCGAGCTCCTTATCAAAGCCGTCCACCGCGGTAAACTCGACCAAGTCGACGAGGAACTCGACGACCTCGAAGACGAAGCCGTCTCCTACGCCGTCCAAGCCAGCCACTTCTACTTCATGTGGAAGGTCCGTTCCCTCATCTCCTCCATCAACACCCGTGCGGAAATTACCGCCCTGACTATCGAGCAACTCGCCATCCTCCGCAAATCCTTCGCCAACAACCTCATCTGGACGCTCTCCTCGCGCGGCACGAACGACGAACTCCGCCTCTTTGCCACAGGCGCCCTCTGCGACCTCCACGTCCTCTTCGCAACCCTTCGCGAAGCCGCCCAGCCCAAGAACCAATCTTCTACCAACCCCTCCCTGCCCCCCAGGGAATACCCCACCCTAGCCCAACTCTTCGACCCCATCCCGCAAGCCCTCATTCCCGAGCTAATAGAGATATACTCCGCCGCCGAGCGCGCCTACGCCCGCGCCATCGGGCGCGACCTGAACAAACCTTCCCCAGACGAACTCGCCCCCTCGGACCCCAACGCCCTGCCCTTAGGCGACGACGGCGCAGAGGTGGAAGTCAACCTCGAAGGCGAGGACGCTGATCTCTCTGACGTGGACGATCTTAATCAGCTCACCCCGACAGAAAGGAAGGCAAGGGAGCTGAAGCTGGAACGGGCGCTGTGCGAGTTGGCGGGGAAGTATGTGCTAGCTATATTGGCCGGGGTGTTGGATAATAAAGGGGGTAGGTTGAGGAGGAGGATGCTGAGGAATCGGAATAAGCTGGGGGCGAATTTGCGGGAGACGGTGGCATTTTTGGAGATGGATGAGGGACGGTTGAGGGAGAGGGTTCTGGCGGGGGAGGGGAAGGGTAAGAAGGGGACGTCGGGGAAGAAGAGCGCGGGTAAGACCGCTGCGGGGAGCAGTAAACCTGCTGCTAGCGGGTCAAAGAAGGGCAAGGGCCCTCTTAGTGAAGAGATCATTATCGAGGGTGACTCTAACTCTGAGCTGTCCGAGCTCTCTGAACCAGAGGACATCGTCGAGGATATGGATGACCCCCAGGAAGAAAGCTCAAGAAGGAGACAAGGCGACCTTGTTGACGACCCAATCGATGAAGATGAAGAACAAGACGGAGGCGGAAGCAGCAAGAAGGATAAGGGAAAGGGGAAAGAAAAGATCGTGGACGCGGATCGGATGGATGAGGATAGCGTGTTGGGGGACTAACCTGGTAAGGAGGGTTGTGTGTGATACCGGATTTGTATGCCTGCCTGCGTGTTGGGTCTTCAAAGGCAAGGGTTAGGAATGCTGTGGTAATGCTGGATTGACGGATTGATCGTGATGCTCTTGCTAAGAGATCGAAGGATGAATGGCTGGTTTGGCTGAATGAACGGAATGGGTATAACGACGGCCATTGATTGCGCGGTCTCCTTAGTTCTTGCTCCGTCTGGCAGTTTTATTATCTGGATTGCTTTTCATTTCTTCTGTGTCTGTTCGCTGATAGGATTGCGTACCCGAATTGTAGTGGTGCAATGGAGGCTTTAGTCTTTGGCCTGACATCTCTACTCGGTTGCTGAGTTGTTGATGTCCCTTTACCATATCCTCGCGCGAGGGACTTCGGTGAGATGTCAATGACTTACTTGATTTTGGCCTTACCTTGTTTGAGTGGCTTGATGTACAGATGTATGGCCGAATGCCCAAGGTACTGCACAAAATACTCATTGACTATCCCAGAAGTGCCTAACAATATCATACAAATCGTAGTCCAGCATATAAGGCAAATTACCTTTTCGGAGTATATCCATAAGCATCATCCAACCCACCAACCCCCCCCCCCCCACCCAAATCTTGACGGCTCCGGTTCCTTCTAGCCCCCAGCATTACAATAATGTAGACCCTTCAACAACAAATCTTAGTCCCAAACAACCCAAAACACCTCAGCCACCTCTTCCCCTCCGGCCTGCCCTCCACACAAACCCCATACTGCTTTATACAACACGCAAACGGCCGATTCGACACCCTCGCCCTCCATTCATCAGCATCTTTACTCCCATATTCCCTCTCATCATCCGAGCTATCCAGCGGCGGCCGTTCCAGGTTCAGCGCCTTATCCGCCGCCCCAGGGGGCTGGTGTCGTGGCCGAGCAGCCGCAGCTTTTTGCTTTGCTGCTTGTTCCTTTCCCTGCTGCACTTGTGTTTTGACTTCCTCGAGGTTCCCCCACAAGGTGAACATGCGCTCGCGCAGGGTCGCTAGCGCGCGGGTGTCCTTACGGAGATCGCAGGCGTCGAGGCCGGTGAGGCATTGCGCTTCGGCGTTGTCGACGAGTGCCCAGAGACGGGGACGCGGTTTGTTGGTGGAATTCTCGCTGTTGCTGGTGTCGGAAGCAGGGGTTGGGTCCTCAAGTTGGAGGAAGAAGCGCCATTCCCAGATGCGTCTGCTCTCTGATTCAGCAGCTTCGTCTTCTTCAGATTTAGAACAGGACGCTGACGAGTCCATGTCGGAGCCGTCGTAGTCCGAGATCATGTCGAACTCGCTGACCTTGCGGCTGCAGGCGAAGTCTTCGAGGTTCGGCGGCCAGAAGTCGACGACACGTACAAAGGCCTGGTACTTGGCGCAAACGAAGGGCAGGAGGAGCCCAACAGGCTGCTGGTCGACTGTGGGGTTGTAAATGGTTGGCTCGAGGATGGACTCGATGGTCGAGTCGGGCACGTCGTCGTGCTTCTCGCAGGTGACAGCTTGGTTGAGATTGAGCTGCTGTTCCCGGTTTTGCTTCCCCCCTTTTTCCTTCTGCTCCCGGATCCGGCGTTTCAGCTGCCGACGCAGCTTGGAGTTGAGTTCCTGCTTCTCGCCTACGCTGGCTTCGGAGGCCTTTCGCTTTAGGCCGGCTTCTTGAGCAGCCTTGATTTGCCTGAGATCTTCTTTCACTTTCTTTCCATACTCAAGCTTTCGGCGGATAGCATCCTTTAAGCGGGGGTCTACGGTGTCACGGTTCGTTGTATCCATGAGCTGTACATTGACTCGAGAGGCGGAAATGTTTCGTTCTTCGCGCATAAACCCCTCCAGATACTTCCCGTCGCGGCCATACTTGATCTGGACGTTCCGTAGATACACCCACTGCTTGGCTGAGACGTGGTTTGTAATGAAGCTGGCGTGGGGTTCGTAGCAGGTAATTTGAAGCGACATTTTCCCATGAGGCCCATACCACTCCTTCTTGGAGGCCTGACTGCTGGCCGGAAGGTAGCCGTAGGGGTCGCCGGCGAGATTGGGGACCATATCCCAGGCCTGGGGGTGAAATGCCGAGTTTTCTGTGTAGTCAGAGACGTAAAGTGTCACCATGTCGAGGAAAGCATGCGGCTCTCTGACGACTTCCACGATCAAATCGCAGAATTGGCCCTCATGGACATCCTTGAGCAAGGTGAACTTTTCTTTGACGTTCAACGACTGGGCAGCGCGCTGCTGAAACTCCTCTTCGGTGGGAAGCAAACACTTGTCGATCTTGTGGTACATCCATGACACATACAAATGCTCCTCAGCAGTGAGCGAATGCTTGTCTCTTCTCGTGGGGGGCTCCAGGGCTGGCTCGGCAGGGTGCGGCCACTCGGGGATTCTGCATGCCTTGTAGACTTGGATGATAGTGGCCTGGTTGGTGATCAAGGAGGTTCTACCATTGTAGTGTTGAAGCTTAGCATCGATGATGAAGACAATATCTCCCACATTGCACATCGGCATGTCAGCCTGGGGGCGAAAGATGCTAAAAACGATGCCGTCATTTTCGTACTCGATGGAGAGGTCGTATAAAGTTAACTCAGACTTCCAATCTGTGATATATGTCAGAGCAAAGGTCAAGAGAGTAGATGGAGAGGAAGAGTGCTCACCCGCCCCCTTGGTTTGCTTGGGCAATCGTTGATCCTTCACCAGACCAACAACGCATACAAGGCTACCAAAAGGCCTCTTTCCGTCGAGTAAATCTCTAATTGTATCGACCCGTTGGGGTAAAGGTGGTTCGGCTGGATACTGGGGGGCATGTGCCCTCTGCAGCCCAGTTGTGTTGGGCATTCGAGTGAAGTCCGTCACGAAAGCTGGTATTATAGCAGATATTGTGATGCAAACTGGAAGTGACCTCAAAAGAAGTGCCAATGGCAGAGTTGGTACGGATCAGTTTGGTTCGAATGATGCTGGCCAATGGATGACGGCACGGAGAGAGACCAGAAAATGAAACGATACAGCACTGACGAGGAACGGGGGCAGCAACTCAGTATGAAAGGAAACTAAACGGCCTACATCATTATAATTATGACGGCACCAAGATGAGCGTGGATGACCTGTCCAAACCGTTCATTGTCACTGGTCAGCTCCTTGTTTCCCACATCTTTGCCTGGACTCATCAACAACGGCCATAGATGGGGACGACGCGCTTCCCTTGCGCGATCCGCATTCGTGGGTACGGAAGTCGCCAATCCCACACGCGTGCATGTGCTCTGCGCCCAGCTTTTACCTATTGGTGGTCCGTGCTCCAGCCCAGTGACACCTGGGGTGCTGTCTCTGAGAGGGGCAACAGACCCTTGCTTCCGCGGGCAGGCTGGATGCCTCAGGCATGACACAGGGCGAACCCCGCAGTTCCGTCCGCGCAAAATCACTGGCTGCCGACTCGACCAGGTGGGGCAACGGGCAGCACAGCTGGGCAAGTGTGGGCAATCCATGCTTGTCGGACAGTCGAAAAGCAAGAAGTGGGAGTGACGGGAGTGGAGGGCCGGTGACTCCAGCGGAGAGAAAGCCAGAGGGAGGACCAACGGGCACCTGGGCACAGTGGGCAGTAAGTGGGCAGAAGCCGGGAGGGGCCAGAGGCGGGATTTCAGTTTTCTGCTGCAGCCCTGGGCCCGGCATCCCCAAATTCTTTTTCATTGTCTCAAAACAATCAAAACTCTGCGCGGCAACCGAGAACCCCTCCATCTGCCCGCACCTGAACTCCCACCTTAATCATTTTCATTCCCATCATCCCCATTATCGCTCAGCCTGCCACTAGCTGCGGCTGTCTGCCATTCTACGCAACGCACACAACACGCTGCGACGTCTAAGTTCTCTGCAGACCGTCTTCTCGTTGTTGTTTTGACCGTCGTCCACCTGCGCTTCAGGTCTCCCCCCACCCGGACACGACTTTCTCCCAACACATTCCTACCTTAGCTTCCAGGTTCACAGCAACCCACTCAGCACAACCACCACAAACCGTAACCATGGCCGACCGCTACATTCCCGAGCATCGCCGCACCCAGTTCAAGGCGAAGAGCACCTTCAAGCCCGAGGAGCTACGCCGTCGCCGCGAGGAGCAGCAGGTCGAGATCCGCAAGGCGAAGCGCGAAGAGAACCTGGCTAAGCGGCGCGGTATTGGCATCGGTGACAATAGGCCCGGCGCGTCCCTCGGTGCTGCCCCCGACAGCGACGATGAGAGCACCCCGACTGAGAACCAGGTACGTTTGCCAAGGAATTTTTTTTGTCAACTAGAGCTCGCATTTTCAATCGTTTCTCTGCATGTTTCATCTCGTCAAACTCATCCCAGTTTGCCCTCCCTCTCTTGTGTCTTCCTGGAGCTGCTACATCATGCTTCTTGCTTCCACCCCACCTGGCTACCCCGCCGTGCGCTGCGGTCATGGCCCATCGCAAACCGTCTTTGGCTTGACATGACCTCGGCCTGGCCGCATGCTTCGCAATTCTACGATCAGCACAACGGCTCAACCAACTTCACTGCTGTCCTGTGGCTTTTACTATGCAAACTTCGCAGTGCCAAACACAAACTTTTGGCTTTCCCTGTTTCTCTCATTTGTGGCAGTTCCATGACGTCTGATCACGTGCTAACAAGATGCGCAGCTTAGCGAGGAGCTCCCCCAGATGGTTGCTGGCGTCTTCTCCGACTCGATTGAGCTCCAGATCCAGGCGACGACCAAGTTCCGGAAGTTGCTCAGCAAGGAGCGCAACCCGCCCATCGAAGAGGTTATTCGCACCGGTGTCGTGAGCCGCTTCGTCGAGTTCCTGCGCTCTCCCCATACCCTCGTCCAGTTTGAGGCCGCTTGGGCCCTCACCAACATCGCCTCTGGTTCTGCTTCGCAGACCCAGGCCGTCATCGAGGCTGGTGCCGTCCCAATCTTCGTCGAGCTGCTCAACAGCCCTGAGCCCGATGTCCGTGAGCAGGCCGTCTGGGCCCTTGGCAACATTGCCGGTGACAGCCCTCAGTGCAGAGACTATGTCCTGAGCTGCGGTGCTCTGCCCCCTCTGCTGAACCTTCTGGGCGACAGCCGCAAGCTTAGCATGCTCAGGAATGCCACCTGGACTCTTAGCAACTTCTGCCGTGGCAAGAACCCGCAGCCTGACTGGGCAACCGTAAGTCTCCGGCTCTAGTTTTTTTTTTTGTGATTTTGTTGAATGATGGCTAACCATATGCTAGATTTCCCCTGCCCTTCCTGTCCTTGCCAAGCTCATCTATTCTCTGGACGATGAGGTGCTAATTGATGCCTGCTGGGCCATCTCCTATCTGTCGGACGGTTCCAATGATAAGATCCAGGCTGTCATTGAGGCTGGCATTCCCCGCCGTCTGGTTGAGCTGCTCATGCACGCTTCAACCTCTGTTCAGACCCCTGCGCTGCGCTCCGTTGGCAACATCGTCACTGGCGATGACGTCCAGACGCAGGTCATCATTAACGCCGGTGCCCTGCCTTGCCTGCTGCACCTTTTGAGCTCCAACAAGGACGGTATCCGCAAGGAGGCCTGCTGGACCATCTCTAACATCACCGCCGGCAACTCTGCCCAGATCCAAGCCGTCATTGACGCCAACATCATCCCGCCCCTCATCCATCTCCTCCAGCACGGCGATCTCAAAACCCGCAAGGAGGCTTGCTGGGCTATTAGCAACGCCACCTCTGGTGGTCTTCAGAAGCCTGACCAGATTCGCTATCTGGTCTCTCAGGGCTGCATTAAGCCACTCTGCGATCTTCTTGCTTGCCCCGATAACAAGATTATCCAGGTTGCTCTGGACGGTCTGGAGAACATCCTTAAGGTCGGTGAGCTCGACAAGCAGGCTGCTGGCGAGGGCGCTATCAACCGCTACGCCCTGTTCATTGAGGAGTGCGGTGGCATGGAGAAGATCCACGACTGCCAGACCAACGCCAACGAGGAGATCTACATGAAGGCGTACAACATCATCGAGAAGTACTTCTCGGATGAGGAGGAGAATGCCGACGAGGCCATGGGCCAGCCTCAGCAGTTTGGCTTTAACGCCAATGGTGTCCAGCAGGGCAATTTCAACTTCGGCGCTAATGGCACCGAGTCGATGGACATGTAAATGAGCCTCCGATATTGACAGGACACCAGGGTCGAGGGAGTGATTGGCGGGAACAAACACGTTGCCGCGCGCCGGGTTCTCCGAACGTGTGACGCCAAAACAGCTCCGCCCGTCGATTCCTCCCTGGTCATCGGCCGCTCCCCTGCATGGTTGGACTCCGCGCATCCGTCCGGCATGCAGTCCCTACCACGCGCGCCGTTCTTCCCCGCTTCCCCCCATCAGACAAGCGAGACAACACGGCATGCCTATTTATGCCTTAAAAGGCTGACCATCACACCCCCCCCTTTACCCATCACCCCCAACACCCTAATCCCCCTAGTTCCCCCAACCCTCCTAAACTTTTGTCCCCCACATATTCCCCAGCCCGACAACACGTGACCCCTTTTATCTAATTTTGTTTGCTTTTGAAGACACTCACGCAACCCCAAGGGAGAGATGTTCAGCATAGAGAGAGAGAGAGAGAGAGAGAGGGAGGAGGAGGTTCAGGTCATATGGTAGCTTGATAGCTCCAGCCTGATGGATGGAAATATACCGGATGAATGCATGCATGCATGTTACGAAACTGCGTGGGGAGGAGGAATTCATTGGTGCAGTTAAGTTAGAGCAAAAAGAAAAGGGTCTGAATGGTAGCTTGATAGCTCCAACCCTGGGAAATGCTTAAGAGAAGTGAGATAAGTGAAATGAAAAGAAGGTCAAAGAACCATGACGTCCACACCGCGCCGAGGTGAGGAGGAGGAGAGCAACAGGGTGACAGTAGGGTCAGACAGTGATGTGCTGGCCTAGCTTCGACGCGTCTGCACCGCACTTGCTGGTCGACCTTTGCTAGTGGCTTGGTCAGAGGCTGGTGAGAACGTGGTTGCAAAGTTGTGGACAAACCAGGGTCTTTCGACCGCAGTCAGATCACCAAGTGGTTGATCTGACACTGTCAGAGATTTTGTTACTACCCCACGCTAGAAATGAACCATGGTACTTTTTGTTTGGAGGAGAAGGGGGATGGATGTTGTATGTGTGCGTGGGTTTAAGGGCTGACTGGCTTGATGGATGGAAGCTCGGGAAGTTTGGTCGATTCGTGTTGTTGATTTGCGCAAATAAGACAGATACTTTTAGGGAGATACGATAGGTAAAATGGAGCTGTGTTTATGTTAGGTGTGTGTGAGTGTGTGTGGTTCAAAAAGTGGCTGTGATGATTTATACGGAATCTTCACAAAACATTATGTCTTTTCTTCTCCCTCCCTTCCCCCCCCCCCCCCCCCCGGGGTGGATCTACACTTCTTGGGCACACAACTCTTGTCCATAATCAAATTCGAATCAGAACCCCCTGAGTTCCATTACCAGAATTTGTTGCCTGGTATTGTCCTTGGGAAAGTCAAGTGCTGATTTGTCTGAGTCATGCATAGCCAAAGTAAAGTGGCTGTTGTATGCTGCGAAAGGCTTTAAAGTGAGAAGTGTCGAAAGCAAAGTTGAGAATGAGGTGAACTATTAGTGTCACGAGACAGAAGGAGCCTATCGGTGGGACATGAAAAGGCAGCATTGCAGGCAGCAATTCACCCCCCCCCCCAAGGCAATAAGAAGGAGCATATCGGTCTGGGATAAGGGAGCTAATAGAGGTAAGATGTTACTTGTACAGAGCACGGGTGGGTTGAGATTTTGTTAGACTGAGAATAGAGATGAATGATGCCAGTATGTTTGATATCTGGGTGTTTCCGTAGTAGCAGGTCCTTGATCTAGTGACTACGAGTATGAACGGGATCCTTTTTTTAAGATGCTGCTTGATTCAAGCGACATTGGAGCAATTGTTGGTCAAGAGTCATATTGAATGGCCGAGCTATGGGTCTGACTTTCAGAAGCATAAGACCATAATTTCTTTCGCCACTGAGAGCTCTAACCGCAAGACCACGACCAAGGATTGCAACGATGTTTATCGGTTCAGCATGAATCAGGAGACTGCAATTGTAATGCCTGATCTTTGGGCCTACATGCAGTGACACGCAGTGGTGTGATGAGCGGTGTAGTGATCCGAGGAACTTCGGCTTGTTGGTGAGCTGTTCGTTGAAGAGGAGCCATCACGAAACGGCGATGTTCGATGGGAACAATAGGCAGATACTGAGCAAGGCCAGTCGAGCTTTCAGAGCCAGGAATGAATAATGCTTGTCAAGGCTTCAGCAACTGTTTCGTTTCCCGAAGCAGGAAGCCAGTGTGGACGGTTCCTGTCACATGCCGCTGACACATGCCAAGACAACGACTCCTCTATGCAGGAAATGGGGCTGATTTTGTCAACTGCTCGGTCCGTTAAGAGCATGCGCTATGCAACTATCTAGAGCTTTTCTGCGTCACAACATCCTGACATGTCGTTATCGCGTTGTGGGCATCCCTGTCGAGCTGATGGATGCAAACCGCGGCCAGGTCCCGTCCGGCATATGCAACGCGGTGGAAACCATGAGCTGGACCAGGAGCTTGGACAGAGCTCTCGATGTCTTGGGATATTTGGAGAAACATCGCCAGTAACGCTGCGAGCAGGATCGATCAGAGAGTTAGAAAACTCTGCATGCACTAAACAGAATCAAAACTGCTCGATGCAACGCTAGCTGCGCTAGCAAAAATTCCCTGTAGGCTGTTCCGAAAATCCCCCCCCCCTGTCAAGCAGAAAAAGGCTGCAGCTGCAGGGCATCGTTTCTGGACATCTGGGCATGCTGGGCTGGCTTTGTTGCCACGTGAAGATAACATCGGACACACGCCCACCTAAAATTTGGCAGGCAAGAAAGGTCAGGGTTGCCCTCTGCCCATTGGCAGATTGCACTGAACTCCTGCTCGCATTCTACAACACCACTCTGGACACAGCGAGCGGACTTAGAAAAGTGGATAAGTGACAATAAAGGGCGGAGCCTGCAAGAAAGGAGAACCGAGTAAAAAGCTTCCAGGTGAGCCTGAGCCCAACCGAAGGCATCTGATCCATCTTGAGCTTTGTCCCGGCATTCTGACCAGCTGCCTGCTGCTTCCTCCTCAACAGACCAAACCGCTGCGGCTGGCATACAGACAATAACCGTTTTGCTCTCCCACGTCATCTGTTGTGTGTGTGCGGCCGCGGCACTGGAAGCGACCGACCGGCCGACTTGCACTGGACTGGACTGGACTAGGCTTCAGATGGATCACCACCGAATCGTTGACCCCATCCCCTCGTCCCCTCTTGGAAGAAGCCATTGACGAATACGATCCCCGCGACCTTTATCTCCCCTCCCCCCCCCCAAAAAAAAAACACACAGCCCTCTAGATCTTGTGTTGCAACGACCTGCAACCGCCTCTACAACGAAGTCGCAACGCAGCTCGCCGCCAACCGTCGACGAGCATCTGCAAGCTTTCATTTTTATCCCGCCTTCACAGCTGATCTCGGTTTCCCGGGTTCGAGTTCCCATTCCTTATCCTACCCCGCGTCGCCTCTCTGAGCTTCGAACTCGACTTGACCCGTGGTTGGTTGGACGCGCGCGCAGTACACAATTATTCGTGTGCCGCTTGCCACTCGATACTTTTCTCTCCCCTTACCACAAACAAAACCTACGTCAGTCGCCGAGTCAACGTGCGATTCACAGACATCGATCAGAGCCGCAAAGACCTAGTTTCGCTGCGCCCGACAGAGGGCGGGCAAATTTCCTAACTCCTGTCAAGTCCCCATACTCAAACTGCCGCCGCAACCATGTGGTGGCTTATCAGCGCCTGTTCCAGCGCCATCTTCCTGCTGAGCATCGTCCTCTCGATCCCCATCTCCTTTGATGTCGGGGGCCGCGATGCCGGCTTGGCCTACTCGCTCTCGCTGTTCCTCTTTTACCTCTTCTACAGCACCAGCAAGCTCCTGACCCCGGAGAAGTCGCGCGTGCGCTGGCTGATTACCCATCTCATTGGGCTGTCGCAATGGGTCGTTATCCCAGCTCTGCTCATCTGGTCTCTCGATCGCTTCTCGGTCGATGCGGGCAGCGCCAACTGGGTGACGCGCACGTTTTCGCATCTTACCGGCAGGCATAAGACATGGAAGGAGTGGTTCTTTGGCCAGGAGGGGTTCTTGGAGACTGTCGCGCTTGGCGCCTGGGATAGCACGCTCAGCTACTCGAGTCCGGTGTTCCAGCTGCTCGAGGGCTTCTGTAGCTTGCTCGTCATCCAGGCTGCTGGGCAGATTACCAGGTGGCTTGTTAACCGTGGGAGGAGTGACACTTGGGTTGTAGGTACAATTTGTCCCTGACTGTCTATCCACGTTGCTGACAAGTCAGATGCTGCTCCTCGTCTTCTCAGGCTCCGTCATCTCCAGCGCCCTCTACTTCCTATGGCGCGTAATCTCGTTCCCACAAATCAACAAGTTTGACGCCACTCTGATCGGCATTGCGATGACTACTGCGCTCTTTCTATGCGCCTACGGCATCGCCAGCGGCCGCGGGAACCCTGTCGAGTCCTCACTTCTCTTCGCCTACACCGTCCTCTGCGTCTACCAGATTTTCACCGATTACCAGCCCTCCCCTGAGGCCGCGGCTGCCGCGGAACAGGCCGCTGCTGCCCAACCCGACTTCCCCCCTCTCCCGCCGATCATCATGGCGTCCTACTCGACTCTCATGCACATCCTGGGCAGCCTTCCAACTGCGGTCAACTCCGCCTTCCAGTTCCTCTACGCCGCCTTTCAGACCATCACACCCTCCGTTATCATCTCCCTGACCTACCGCACCATCGTCTTCTACTGCGCCACGCGCATCATCCCTGCCGTGCGCGAGCTGGGCGCACGTGCGATCCTGGAGGATCCGTCGTTGGAGGATTCGGAGGACTCCGATGCTGCCAACAGGTTGTTGGGTTTCTTAAGTTGGTTCTCGCCCTCCATGCTCATCGCGCTGTATACCTCCCTGCTGCTTCAGCACTTTAGTGTGTCGGCTGATGATGCTGGGTGGACGCTGCGCGCGGGGGATGTCGGTGGGAGTACCTGGCGGTGGGTGAATATCGCTGCGACGATGGGGTTGTATGCTGTGGAGTTGTATCTCGGTGGGGATGGCGATGGGGGTGCGCATTGGAAGACGGATTGAGTGGCTCAGCAACGCTTTTGTTGGGCACAATTACCTAGGTACTTACGCCGAAGGGCTGGTTCGTCGGTTAAGGGGTAGAGCAAGGTGACTACTGCTCGAGCGGATATGATATCTACCTAGAAGGTTGAACCTACTAGAAGAAAGGAAGGGCTTGAAACTACGATACCCAAGGCTAGGCCTGCAGCGCCAGCCTGTTCTAGAAGGATCATGGAAGGACGGACGAATAGCTACTTGCTACTTAAGGAAGAAGAACTGCTACCTAAGGAAGGAAAGGTTGATCGGTTTGGACGAAGGAATTGTGCAAGGAAAAACAAAATATGGAACTGAATTAGGGGATATCGGACTGGTTTTCATGGAACCCGAGTAGTCAATCCCCTGAGCGAGATAGAACGGATGGGCTTTTTTTTTTTTTATTTTACCTGATTTTTTCTCCTTTGTTTCCCCCCGCTGGACTCATTCTAAGACAAACAACAAGTCCTTTTATCTACACACACACACACACACACACACACACACACACACACACACACCCCTCTTCCCTAAGAAATAATGTTGATGTCGCTAAAAAATTTATCCTATCTTATCCATACTGCATCTCTTCCTGGGGACTATTCCTGTCCATGGCGCATAAAAGACTTTTCCACCGAAGAACGAGGATGGACTTCCCTTTCCTTTTGTCTGCTTGTGTGTACTCGGAGGTAATGTACTAAAAAGGAAAGAAGGAATGTGAAAGAAGAGAATGAATGGTTTTTAGGAGGGGTTGATTTGGGAGAGAGAAAGGTCAGTCGGTTGGTTGGGATGGTAATAACTCGGTACCTTGGTTCTCAAATGGTTGGAGTTGTATCCTCAACTTTCTGCTTGTTCACACAGCGAATGGCGTTTGTTGGGTATATGGTGAGGGTAAGGAGCTTGGGCGATTGGTTATGAAGATATCTCTTGTGTCTCGACTCGATCGGTCGGTGTCTCTGGCTTGTGTCTCTACCTGCTAATGTCTTAATAACTCGTCATATGCCATTATCTTATCTGTCCCCGGTTTTCATCCCTCGAAAGTCTGGTCCTCTGAGCTGAGCTGTGCTGAGTTATTCTCTCCTTTATATTGTTGCGGAGAAAGTGATGTCGCTGGTTTGGATTGGGGACATGCCTCGCAGATAATGGAATGAGTGCGTCAGGGATTACCTATTTAAATCGTTGAAGGTGATAAGAAATAGCGATGGGCTTAATGATCATCTCATTTTTTGGCCTACAATTCTTGAACACACAGGTACCAGAGACACGAGAAATTTTGTGACATAAAACATCAAGAAAACTTAACGTTTTTTTTTTTTTTTTGCGCCCCTCAAGTAATCTTCGTCAAACTTGCTAAACAACCCCTCATAGATCCTCCAACCTTATCTCCCCCCCCACCCTCTCTTCCTTTCCCCAAACCCTCAATAGTTTATACCTCTCCAAATGCTGATAGCATAAGCCTAGTGAGGCATGCCTGATTGTCTGTTAGGTTTTTCATTGAAGACAATAGACAAAGCAGAGGGAGATCGGCTAGGAGTTTTTTTTTGGGTGGGGGGGGGGCGCGCGGGTAATCTTGACATCTTCCTGCCCATGAAGGTCAATCGCCCAAGAACCAACGGACTGCGGGTGCGGCCCGCTTGTTCCTTGGAAGCCTGTCGTCATTGTCTTCTTGTTCGCTTGGCCCGGCGCTACAAAAGAGCAGCCGCGCCGCGGGAATGCGACAAGGCCTTACGCCAAGGGCCGGATCAGCTAGGTAAATAAAGTAGGTGGTACCTATCTCTCTGGCTTGGGACTCCGCAGAGGGCAAACTCTCCCGGCAAGAAAGAAGAGGGTTGGCAATGGGGCTGGTTGCTACCGCAGCTGGGTCTGCGCCGGGCCTTGGGCCGTCATGAGCAAATGCGCATCGACTGGAAAGCCTGCCTCGGCTTGGGGAAGAGTCGGAAGGCGGGTTGCTGGTAAAGACGGCCTCCCCGCGGGCTGTGTCCGCCGAGACTCGGTGCTTCCCCTCGTGGATATACCGGTGCCGGCATGGGAGGTTGGCCAGTCTGATCATTGGCGGAGTCAGCGCTGCGTAGTCATGTACCCAGACAGCACGAATTGCCAAAAGGTCGAACTCCTGCCATTAAGGAAATATGTAGAAGTACTCAAATGCTATCATATCATCATCCGATGGCGTGCTCAGTTCTATACTGAAGTGCTGCTGATGATCCTTGTACTTGAGGAGCATGGTTTAGGCGCCCGGGGCGTCTCTCCGGCGGGACTAGTTGGGCATCTTCCATCCTGAGGAGTCGGAACTGACGGGGGAGGGATGGACATGCGGACGAAGCTGGATTGGATTGCGAAGCTCATTGTTGGGGATGATGGGTTCATGACGGATTGTGCTGATTGAGTGGATGACGATTTGGGGATGAAAATCAGTTGTTGGGATGGTTAGCCGTGTTTCAACACAAAGACTGTAAAAGACGAAGACAAACAGATGACATGTGGACTTCCCACGTGCACTAGAGTCTGCGTTAACGTGTCACCATCATGTCCTTATATCACTGGATGGAAGGTACTAGCATAGCGACAAAGGGTGTTTCAGTGCGATGTCACAGCAAGTGTAGGAGGGGGAGAAGAACATAGGCAAGACAAGCTGATAGGCTTGTCAAGGAAGAGGGGAAGGAGAGAAACTGGAAAAGAGCTGGAAGGAAAACAGGTGATAGCCAAGAGAAAAATGATAATGGCCGCAGGATGACCAAAGAATCACTCAGACTCGAAACCAGGGTACGCTCAAGACGGGCCAGCTCAGCAATCTAATCTGATGGAGGCAGAAACTTCAAGGCGGAGTGAAAATCAGGATCGGAGTCTTCTGTCCAGTGAAAGCCTCATAAGCAGTAAGTTGAGACAGCTGGAGGACTTTTGCCCATCTTTCTCAAGTTGGGAAAAGGACCAGTCGGAACAGTGTCTGCTGTGTTGATAGTGGAAGAACGCTCGGTGGAAAGTATAGGATATTGGCTGTTCTCACCTCAGGTCCCCTATTCTTGCACACATTGTTCACTTCAGGACATACAATAGCGGTGGGGTGATGTTTGAATATTGTTAGGACTTTCCACTAGGTCAGACTAAATAATGTTACAGATGGGTATATGCTCTCTATGGTGTTTAACCAACCAAGCCGCTCCATGCTATTAAATCCTCCATTGTGCCACCCGCAGCCAGCCTGCCCTCAAAATCATGAACAATGCAAGTAGTAACATTAATGAGAGTAAGAAACCAAGACGCCTTTCCCTATGCTCATGAACACACGCCAACCCATTACCCCCAACTCCTCAATCCAATGCCGTCATTCATGATGATGATAATGTGGGAAAGAAGATCTCATTGAGGTCCTTCACAGGCGAAAGAATGAGCTCAGGTTCTGGATCTGACTCAACATCGTCTTTCTTTTCCCTCTTGGGCAGCGCACTGAGCGACCAAGGCAATTGTTGAGCCGCCAGCGCATGTGGACAGGTGCCCTCGCCGACAGTGGCACGATGGCTATGGAATGTACACTGCCGAAATCCAAAGAAGCGCTCACCGCTGTGTAACTTGTTGACAGGTAACCGCAGCTGGGGATTCTTGATGCGAACATCCGCCCTGCTCTTGGCCATCTTGTCGAGGTGCATATAATAGTCGGCTTTGAGGGCCGGGTAAGCCGCAAACAGCTTCTCGACCTGGTTGGCCATGGTGACAGCCTTGTCGCCCGCATGCAATGTCCAAGCAAACATGGCCACAGCCCATTTGCGCAGACGCACGGCGTGCTGCGCGTCACACTCGCCATACAGGAAGGCCAGAAAGCGTGGTGACATGTCCCAGTCGAAGCGTAGGTACATGTCCTGGAGCGCATCCATAGCAGCGTCCTGCAGCACAGGAAGATCAATGACAGCAGCAAAGAGGTGCAGGCGCACGAGGTTGGTGCGCACAGCGCGGCACTCGTCTGGCGTCAGGCCGCGCAGCGAGTTATCGAGGAACCAAGCGAAGCGGCGCCGCTGGTAGAGCCAGAGGACAAACAGCTCAAACATGTCGGGCGACTCGTTCGGCAGCCATAGGACCTCCTCATCGTCGTCGGTCTCCGTTGGGCTCGATGGCGATGGGATGCCCTCGACATTTGTGCGGAAGAACTCGCTGGTGTCGCAGAGCAGCTGGCGGTGGAGCACGAACTCTCGCTGCTCCTCGCCCACCAGCACCTTTACGATCTCGCATCCCTCGAAGCTGGGAGGTATGGGTCAGCAATGACTGTTCGCTCTTCAGAGGAGAGTCTGAAGGGACTTACGATCCGACTACCGCCTTGTTGGTGCTCCACCTCATCCTGCCGTTGGGGCGCAGTGTCGAAATGTCGATCTTTGCCGCTCAGCAGCAACCCAGAATTCGACGACAAGACGCTCACCCGGGTAAAATGAGGAGACGAGAACCTGGGCACGGATGGGATATTGCCGCAAGATGTATTTCTCCTGGTGCGGGTACCGGCAAAGCTCTGCTATCTACCCAGACGGGACGCATGCCGCGCAGCGTGACAGAAGGGGACTGTGATGGAAACAGTGCCCAGCAAGTCCAGTGCAACAGGCCGATGACCGGGCGTTCCATCGCTTGCGTGCGCGGGGATGCCCGCAAGGCATCAGAAACAAATGTGAGTGGGAGAAAAAAGAAAGCCAAGCAAAGGTTTGGCCTTTCTGGAAGCGAGGAGTGGTTTCGGGATCGCTCCCCCGTGTTTCGTTTCGGCCGTGCTGGGGCTTTTCACAAGGGGGTTCCCGTTGTTAGGAGCAGGGGCCTCTTGTCCATGTCAGACCTTCAACCCCTCGATCTTGGCACGGGGCACCAACAACGATGGCTCCTCCTTTTTGGTTTCGCGGAGATCTGGGCCAGCCTGATGATTAAGGTTATTTTGTAGCGCCCGAGTCCAGCTCGACAATGACATCGAAATGACCTGATTTCCCATCACTTATTCGCTCACGATCGGTATTTGGCGATCTGTCGATCCCGTCAGCATTTTTGGGCTTCCAAAGTGCCTTTGCAGAGCCAACGATATTACCCTGAGAAGATCGTCGGGACACCTCCCTCGTGGCCAGGGGCGGCATGATGGCGATCACGGAAATCCCCCGCAGCGGGCTCTCGCACTCGAGACAGCTGCGGCGCCCAGCCTCCTCAGCAAGTTGCAACGATTTTGGCCATGGCGTTTTGAAATCTCTGCTGTCGCATTGCCACGGGATACGAGACCAAGTCGAGTGCCAGCGGCATTCCCAGGCCATCCACTAAACGATAAGCTCCGAAAAAAAAAAAAAAATCTCTGGCTCCCACAGATTGATAGGTGCTTAACGTTGACATTGTGCAGAAATGGTTGCACAAGCTTTCAGATTGCTGTGAAGACATGGCCACGTGACAAAGGCATGGTTTAATTGTGATGGAAAGCTGTGGTCACTAGGAATATGTCTTCCCTGCTGTTAAGCAGGGGGCCAGATTGGGTTTTTTTTTTGGTATGAACAGCACTACCAAGGTGACTGCACACAGTAAAGTTGCAGATTGCTGTGATGTGGTCAAATGCAACAGTTAGATCCAATAGCTTCTCAAGGTAGCCAAAGGGCAAGGCCTTATGGTGTGCTGCGAGAATGACTCCTTAGCAGAAGCCATTCTTAATGAGAAAGAGGGATTCAAGCCTGGTGGCTGCTTGACCGAAAGTTAGTTAGTTCCAGAACTTAACCATGGTGAAAGCAACCGCTCTTTGCATGGTTCAACTTTATCATATAACACAAGGATGGTAATTTTTCTGGGACTCTATTGTTTATGTTCCGCCATCTGCTAGGCTGGCTTGCGTATTTTCATGTGGAGTTGGGAATATAATGCTAATTGTCTGTTATTTTCGGGAGGAAATGACCGAGTACCTTAAAGTTTATTTGTTTGGATTCTCAATTTTCCCATTGTCTGTTTTGTACCTTTACGTTAATGAGATTGGTATGCTGTTGGTTCTCTGAGGGAGGTTGATACGACTGAGATTTAATAGTTGTTGATGATCGATTAGGGCCCTTGGGTAAGGAAAACTTCATTTGTTGGCTAGAGCACTTCGCGACAGTTATTCCGGCCCATATCCTTCTTATCAAATTGATCCTAATCAGGACTTTTTCTATATTCCTCCTCGAAACCAACGATATGTGGGATCAAAGCCATTTAATCTCTCAGACAAGGCCAGCTGCCCATGACCTTTGGCGCGGGCTTTAGAACCGTGTGTATCCCCCCCATTGCAGGTTGAAGCTTATGAACCATCTCTCTCCCCGGGGAAACCCCGGGGGCCTGCCCAACGTCAACAACGCGATGCACCCAGGGGAGACCCCCGGGACTCCCCTCAAGACATTAACTTCAATCATAAATGAGGAACAATTTTCATTGTTGGTAGAAAGAGATCCGCGAAAGTCGTTATCCTCTAATGATTGCTGCCGACTCAGTAGCAATTCACCCGGTTGATGCAACATTCCGTTTCAAGTTTAGCACGATCAGGTCAGAGCTCTTCAAGTCCTCTTTCATCACTCCCGTCTATATTAGCTTAGTAATAGAAGTCTTTAGTAATAGAAGTATTTAGGGTTAGGGTTTTCCCTTTATCCCTCCTCTCTGGACAATGCTGTGTTGCAGTCCACGGCATGACACCATCCAAGTCCGGAATTGCTAAGCTCGAAGATGCATCGATAATACGACCTTTTTTTTAATAGAAGAAGCTACGGGAAACGTTAACCCGTTCCTCAGCATGATCTGTTGCCCCACTGTAATTATTAATCCACTGAGACATGTCATCGCAACTCGTCCCCTCTCCAATTCTAACCATCTCGGGCTGTGGATATAAGCCACTGTGACGGCTGGAGGTGCTCTCTAGACAATACTTCCTCGGCATCCAGATTTCAAGATCTTTTATTCCCTTCACCGGAATCATTGTCGACGACGAACACCAAAACACAGCAACTTTACAAACACAACGTATATAAAGACCATCACATCCTCACAACGTCCACTTTCACCACCACAAAGCAATACCCTCTACTCCACAACCGCCTCATCAAACCTGCTTCCCGCCAACCACCAACCCGCCATGTCATTCCCAAAACACACCCTCACCCAAACAGCCCCCGGCACCCCTTTCTTTACGCCAGCCCAACAACCCCCCGCCGGGACCCCCCTTTCCTCGCCCACTTCCTCCACAGCCCCGACTCTCTTCACCCCGCTCACCCTACGCTCTCTCACCCTCCAAAATCGCTTCGCAGTCTCCCCGATGTGCACCTACTCTGCCGACGGCGCGGGCCGCCTAACCCCTTGGCACGTCGTCCATCTCGGTGCCTTCGCCCTGCGCGGCGTGCCGCTGACCATCGTCGAGGCAACCGCCGTCCTGCCCAACGGACGTATCAGCCCTGAGGATAGTGGGCTCTGGGAGGATAGCCAGATTGAGCCTTTGAAGAGGGTGGTCGAGTTTGTGCACAGCCAGGGGCAGAAAGTCGGCGTGCAGTTGGCCCATGCGGGGAGGAAGGGGAGTACGCTTGCGCCGTGGCATGTCCAGGCTGGGAAGGGAGAGGTTGCGGGGAAGGAAGTGGGGGGCTGGCCTGAGGATTTGTGGGCGCCAAGTGCGTTGAAGTGGGATGAAGGCTTTCCGGTGCCGAAGGAGATGGATAAGGAGGAGATTGGGAAGTTGGTGGAGGCTTTCAAGGAAGCTGCGAAGAGGGCGGTTAAGGCAGGGGTTGATGTCATTGAGATACATTCGGCGCATGGATATCTGCTCAGTGAGTTTCTCTCGCCGATTACGAATCAGAGGACGGATGAGTATGGCGGTCCGAAGTTTGAGAATCGGGTGAGGACGTTGTTGGAGGTTGTGAGAGCTGTGAGGGGGGTTATTCCGGAGGGGATGCCGCTTTTTGTGAGGATCAGCGCGACGGAGTGGATGGAGTGGACGGGTCAGCCGTCTTGGGATCTTGAGCAGAGCAAAAAGCTTGCACTGCTGCTTGCTGATGAGGGAGTAGATCTGCTGGATGTCAGCTCTGGCGGGAATAACCCCAAGCAGCAGATCACGTTTCACCCGTACTATCAGGCCGATCTGGCGGCTGCGATCAAGCAGGAGCTGATAAAACATGGGAAGGCGGATAAGATGAAGATTGGTGCTGTTGGAGGAGTGACGACGGCTGAGTTGGCTAAAGAGTTTGTGCAAGAGGGAGGGAGAGTCGGGGCTGATCTGGTGCTGGTGGCCAGACAGTTTCTCAGGGAGCCGGAGTTCGTGCTTAAGACTGCGGCTGATCTGGGTGTAAAGGTTCAGGGACCAATTCAGTACCATCGGGCCCCAATTGTCAAGACGGAGAAGCTTTGAAAGTAGATAGATCTTTAGGGGCCGTTTTCATAGGGGCGTTAGGAGTTCTGAAGGGGCCATAGATAGCGACATATGCTCATGACTGAAGGCAGATCTGCGAGATCTCATTTGTTGCGGGACTTCCTCGAATGTGGATTTACTTAGACTATCTTTATATACCCTGAAAATTGTGGTTGGTTTCTGCAATACACTGTTCTTGTCGCCACCTTTTTTGAGCTTTGGTGTTGTGGTGTTGAGTTCTCTGCTCTTGATAAGGAAAGGTACCTCATAAACCCAAGGTAGGACTTATGTCCTCCATCAACATTCAAGCGGGTTTAGCTCAGTTGGGAGAGCGTCAGACTGAAGAATTGGGTCCTCAAGACCCATAAACTTCGGGAACACAATCCACATTGTGGGATATCTGAAGGTCGTGTGTTCGATCCACACAAACCGCATTGCAGACTATTTTTTAGCATTTTCGGTGACAATCCCACAACCCCCTGAGATGGGTTTGAAGGTAATGGCCAGGTTGAAGAACCTGAGGGATTGGGGTCCTCACACAGCAGAGCATGGAATTTACCGCGATCACCAGTTGTTGGTTGACGACTGTTTCTATTGCCGACTTGAGAGACCTCGTCATGGCTCTGAGGATGGGTAATTCTACATACATATTTATATTTAAAGCCTTCAGTCTGCCTGTCCTTCTGCCATTACCTCTTTTGGTATTGTTGAGGAGTTTCCTGCAGTGTGTCGCAGTGCGAGAACTACGATAAATGCGCTTCTCCATCTGATTGGTCCGCCAGCTTACCCCACTAGAAATCTCCCATTGGTCGCCCTCCTACACCGTCTGTAGGGCAGCCGCCGAGCCCTTCACCAGCCGTAACAATGCTGGCTGTTCAAGAAAAACAAAGCTCATCATGTGTGGTGGTATGTGTGGTGGTGTTCGACCTTCTCTCTTTTGCGTGGCCCAAGACCTTGATCATCCACACCATCCCTTGAGCAGTTTACACGAAGTTAGAGCTTGACATAATGTTAAACAAAACGAAATAGGCTTAATACTCGAAGTAGGCAAGCTTGCGTATAATAACCTCTTACTAAGGAGTTCTGCTTCAAGAGTTGCGATGGTCGACGCCAGTTCGTCGGTTTTGTCCCGTCTCCACAAATTTGAGCTGACCAAATCCACAAGTCTCTGCCTGATCGATGGTCCGTGTTTTGGTCAAGCCAACTAAATCCCTGCTCAGCCCCAGCTGGGGCCGACAACCCAAAGCCCTATTCCAGGGTTAGGGTCCTGCAAATTTGGACCACAATTTTCAATTTCGGGGTTGGAATTTCACCCCGCTGCAAGATTTGTCGGGCCCATTTCTTCCTCTTAAATTTTACCACCACACCTCCCGTCTTAGAGGCGCAGGATACTCACCTCTTTGCGTCCATTCCGAACCAACCGTCGTTTTCTCCCACATCCCCGACAGCAACAATGGCTCCCGTCGCAGTATGTATCCCGACCTGATGGCTTTGCTGTTGGCCCGGTCCCGTAGACGCCGGCAATTATGGGGTTTTCAGGGCCTCACCGGCGTTGTGCGCGGACGATGGCGTGAAGCAGTAGGCTAATGGTCGGACTCAACAGAAGAAGTCTGGCGCCAAGGGCAAGGGCCCTAAGGTGACCAAGAAGTTCATCATCAACGCCAGCCAGCCGGCGAGCGACAAGATTTTCGACGTGTCGGCCTTTGAGAAGTTCCTGAACGAACGCATCAAGGTCGACGGCCGCGTCGGCAACCTGGGCGATGTCATCAAGATTTCCCAGATCGGCGACGGCAAGGTCGAGATCATTGCCCACAATGACCTGTCGGGCCGCTACCTCAAGTACCTGTGCGTTCTTTCTTCTCGTCCTTGGACCTGATAAGAAGCTAACGGCTGGCAGCACCAAGAAGTTCCTCAAGAAGATGCAGCTCCGCGATTGGCTCCGTGTTGTCGCCACCTCTAAGGGCGTCTATGAGCTCAAGTTCTACAACATCGTCAACGACGAGGCTGAAGAGGAGGAGGACTAAGGTAGCGAGGCCATTTTGGTCAGTTACCCTGTGCTCTTGGCTTATGCTGGGGGACCAATAAGGGGATACTGGACGGTTGTGCATAGCGGGATTCGGATCTGAAATAGAGATACCAGCCGCTGTGCGGCCATGGCTATGTGGCTGACTTATTCTAATGTTCCCTCTATTGCGTGTGGAATGTGTGGGTATTATATGGATATTTTGAAGACATCGATGTCGTAGACAACCACTCGGCCTATGTCCTTCCAGTCCTTTTCAACGTCCATCTATTCCAGCTACTCAGGCAACGTCCTCATAACCGCCTCAAACGCCACCAGCGCCATGGCATTCGCCGGGAACGCCCTCAAAAAGCACGGCACAAACCCCCTCCAGTACCCAATGGCGCCGCTCTCCCTGTAAACCGCCCTCGCAGCATCAATCCACCTCGGGAATTTCCTCGCCCCATCATTCAGCCCGCCTCCCAACGGATCGGTCATGATCCTCTGCTTCACCACATCACTGGGATAGCTCATAACCCAAAACACCTGCGCGCTCAGTCCGCCCGCCCAGAAGTTAATCGCCGGCGCGCTTAGGTTCGTATGCTTCCGCATCCACCTTGAAAAAATATCATAGCTCCCCCACCAAAAGAAGAAGAAACTCCGAAACAGCAGCGTCGCCGAAAGTCCCCGGTAAATCCCTCTCACCCCATGATGTTTGTACACCTTTCGTATGCAATCAATCGGCCCGCTGTACAGTCTATCTGCCTTCTTTGCAGCGTATTGCACCTGCAACCTTGCCTTGATATGCTCCACGGGCGCAGCGACGAAACTCACCGTCGCGCCGGCCATGATGCCAGCTATCCCGTGGCCGTACCACGGTAGGGGGACTGACGTGTGCGGGTTGGCTTGTCCCGGCTTGGGAGGGTCCGGGTCGCGGTAGTGGGGGAAGAGGCGTTCGCTGACGATGCGGCGGTACATGGAAAGCGAGCCGAGCATCACGCTGTCCATGAACATCCAGCCGACTAGGGGGGGTGTCGCGCCTTTGTAGAGGCCGGTTATGCCTTCATTGCGGAGGGTGGTTGTTAGACAGTGCAGGGGGCCGCGGAAGCGGGTTGTGTCGGTTGTTTGGAGGCGGACTTTGAGCGTGTCGAAGGGGTGGCCGACTGGGACAGGAAGTTGTTAGTATGTTGGGTTATGGAGGAGAGGGAGAGAGATTCAAGTACCTTGACACTTGGCAATGCCTGAGAACACGCCGGCGACGAAGCCGCGATAATTCTTGTGCTTCTTTTTCTTTTCTTCGGGCTGCGCGACCGCCTGGGGCGGCGCCGGCGCCGGTGCAGCGGCGGGCGCTGTTGCGGTTGCCATTGGGCTTTACTGTAGATTTCCCCTTTCTTTTTTGTCTTTTCAAAGTTTTGATGGCGCCGTCCCGAAGCCGTCGCAGATAAGAGAGAAATACGTAAAGAAAAGAGGGGGAAGAGATGTGTGTGACTGCTCAAGTCATGGCGAGGAAGTTGTCGCAGAAGAGAGTCATTAGTGTGGTCGTCGGAAAGGAATGCCGAGCTGCTGGCGCTCCATTCGCCGCAGCTGGCTGCGGTATCGGAACAGGGGCTCGGCGTGGAGGTGGGGCCGGGCCGGGCGGAACGACCGGGTCAAAGTCTGGTCCCCCGGGCCATTGTTGGACGGGAGACAACAGAACAAAGCGGATGAGGTTGTAGGGAAGTTGTGGAGATGACAGTATCAATTACATAATTACGTCTATCGTGTAACTTTTACATGGTGTAGCTTTCCATCCTCCCAATACAACCTCAAGCAGAGGCAAAATATTTGGTCTTTCTCGCTCAGGGGTATCAAAACCATTCCTCCTCTCGCCCTCCATCCGTGATACGCCCGCCCAACCTGACTATCCGTCCATAATTACCCTCCTCAACGCGTGAACCAACTCTCTTCCCTTAACATCATTCCATTCGCCTTCAAAACCCCGCCCCTCTCATCCGGTACAGCCTTTTCTCTTAGTAAAACCTCTTCCCCCAAGCTACAGTCCCCCCAACAAACCTCCCCAGTACATAACCCCCCCAAACCCCCGTCACCACAGTTACGGGCCACTTCTGCCACTCACGATCCCAATCCAGCGGAATTGGGACCGCACCAAGCCAGCCTCCGACAAGGGTACCAACCAGCCCGCCAAACGTCTCATCCAGGGGCGCCGCAAACGAGGCCAGTGCGCGCCACGAGGGACCATCGACGCCGCGGACGTAGAACAGAGGGAAGAGTGCGAGCACGGCGAGGACAGAGGCGCAGAGAGCAGTGTGCGAGGTGTGCGTGAGGAAAGGCGCGCCGAAGAGGATCAGACTTAGGTGGAGGAGGGGGGTTACTAGAGTTGTGAGGAGTAGAGAAAGCAAAGCAGTCTATACGGGAGATTTGTTAGCATTTACGCGTCAAGATATCGGATAGAGAAGAAGAAAATGAACAAAATGACTTACCAACACCCGTCCCTTCCACTCCCCCCCACTCAGGTCTTTCTTCCCTCCTCTCCTAACAACCAACTTCCCCCCTTAACATTCACCCCCTCCTTCTCCTTCTCCTTCTCCCCTTTCTCCTTCTCCTGTTGTTTCCCCTGCGACCCCGCAACAGGCACCCCGACTACAACCCACGCAGTCTGCAGCACCACTGCGGCAGGCAACAACTCTCCAGCCAACGTCGCGACAGGATCACGCACTAGCGCATGCCATCGCGCTGCGAAGAGTGCTGCGAGTGCTAATGGCTGGACGTGCCGCGCTGCGCGCGCGAGGGGTGTGCTAAGGGGGCTGATAGGGACAAGGGGTTTGGCTTCTTCGAGGGGGGACCAGTCTTGTGTTGATGCGACGGTGCTGGGGTCGACGGGTTGTTGGGAGGGGGGAAGGTTTTTGGTTTTGGTGAGTGTGCCTTTCGAGGCAGGTGTTGAGGATGATGAGGGCATCTTGCGTGATGAGATTGAGAGGTTTTCCTTGAACGCGTTAAAGTCAGTTGTGGCAATGAGATTGAGGTGGTGGTGTGGTTGGTGTTGCAGAAGGATGGAGGGAAGGATTGGAACTGAGCTGGCAATCTTTCGCGGTTCGATCGATGCGCGCGAATTGAAGGCTCGCTCGGTAGGGGCCGGAGATTGGAACCCTAACCCTGAAATTGCGGTTTATTCCCCTTATCATCAAGGCTCACCCCACCTGCCCCCTAAGCATGATCGTGATGAGGATGAGGATGAGAAAGTTAAGAATCACTAAAGATATGGAGCAGAAGAAAATTTTACTTTTACTTCAGACTTCCTGCAGTCTACTGCCCTTCCCCCTGCGGAAGCAAATTCCGCAACGACAAATCATACACCACATCCTCGACCTTCTTCACTGCATACTTGATCGAGTCGACCCTCTTCCTCAGGATATCATTCTTCAGATTCAGCACCTGGAATCCCGCATGCAGGTCCTTGATAAAACTGCTGATTTGCACGGCCAACGCATTGTCCCCCAGTGTGACCGAGTTGACCGCCAGCCGCGCTAGGTCGTCCACCACGGAGATCAGCCCCAGGAGGTACTCCTCGATGGTGATGTGGAAGGCGTCGCGGTCCTTGAGATTAACAGGGACCGAGAAGATAGCGCCGACGTCTTCGAGGGTTAGGAGACGGCCGACGTCGCCGGGTTTGGTAGATTCAGAAAGGCCACCGAGCCAGGCACAAAGGAGAGCAGTTGAGATAGCGTCTTGGAGGGTGCGAGTCCACTTATGGTTGTACCTGTGGGATGTTAGATGATGATCCAAAGGTAAGAAATAGTCAGGTGCGCTCACTTGTAGTAAGGATACTGTGACGCAAAGGACGCCAGCTTGCCGACTGTTTCGACCTCCTTCTTGATGCCGTCCTCAACCTGTGCGAGCCAAGGGGCATCTGTTCCATAATGTCAGCCCAAGTTCTCCTCAGTTGTGTCTAGTGAGATGAAATAAGCCTACACTTCGAGCGTGGCGTAGAGTGCACCCTCGACAAGATGCCCTGGGTAAAAGAGACGTGCTGGTTGAGCTCGTCGATGATCTGGTCCAGCTCCTTGCGTACACTGGCGTCCTCCTCAATCTTAGACTTGAGCTGCTCGAAGAGCGCAGGGTCGATCATGGGCGCCATTATGTTGAATTGAAAAAGCTTGTTGATGAGGGGTGATGATGGTGATGAGCTAGGGTGGAGGTGGAGAGATTTTCAACTCAGATTGAGGCTGGTTGTCCAATTGGTGCCTTTGATACAAATGGCACCGGATTTCAATACATACAAGAATCAATTGTCGAATGGAATGGATGTATATTTTGCTTTCTTGTCAAGGTTCAGCAACGTTGATAGGAAGACGCCTTACCATCAGGCAGCCTAGCAGAAGGGTTTGACAGCAACCCTAAGTAACCCTAACCCTAGCCTACCGACATCTGACATCCCTGAGCATACGAGGAGCCGCTTCCTCAAGCTCGATTGACATCAATCATACAAACATCAACTTCACCAAGCGAATGGAAAATCAACTGACTTTTGAGAAAAAAGTCTTTCCATTATTGATCAACGCCCATGGCATAAGTCATTCTCAGAACTATTCTCAGAACTACAAACAAGCGAACAAACAAGTCAAACAATTTATCGCCCATACATCATCAGTCAATCTCAAGCCCTGATGTCGATCTCGTTCCGATATACAATCTCCCCAAACTTGTATCAGTACTCCTCTTGTCAATCGTGCCCAGTTCGTAAGAAGTCGATCATATAATCTTCAGTTCCAAGTCAAGCCCAATCTGATCTTCAATACCTAATCCCAGTATGTCATCATCATCATAAACCCTCCCTCCCTCCCTTCATTTTATTATTCTTTCGCCAATTGTCCCTTCGAAGAAACATCTTAACCCGTAAAGAACTTCTTAATCGCGGCCCTCAGACCACCGCTCTTCTTCCCCTCTTCCTTCTCCTTCTGCCTCTTTTCCTGCCTCTTGGCCCGATGCGTCTGCTGCTCACCGCCCGGCGCACTGCTCGACGCCTCGCCAGTCTGTTGGCGACCCTCTTCGCCCGAGTGTTGTCCTACACTACTGCCGCTGCTCACCGACGTTACAGATTCCTTGACCGGCTCCTTGATCTTGGTGGAGGAGGACCGGGAGTGGTGAGAGTGGGAATGGGAGTGTTGACGGGAGTGTTGGGATGTCTCTCGTGCCGCTTGTTCGAATGCTACCGCCGTTGTTGTTGTTGTCGTTGTGGGCATGTCCCTGTCCTCGGCATGACGGCTCCTCGACCGATGCTCGCCGCCCTCGGAGCGCGAAGTCCGCCGGCTGCGGGAGAGATGTTGCACGTGTGGTGACGAGGAAGCAGCGTTGCCGTGCGAGGAGGCCGGCGGGGTTGACGTTGTGGCAGCGGAAGGACCAGCGACAGCACCCGTGGACCGGCTCATGTTGTTCTCGATCACGCTGGAGCCGTTCTTGACGTCGAAGAAAGACTTCTTGCCGGCCGTGGAGGGGATGTCGCCTGTTGTCTTGGCCGGGTGCTGCGGGTACTGGTCCACGCTGCTGCGTGAGAGTCGTCGCGAGCTGCTGTGGCTGCTGTGTTGACGGTGCTCGCCACGCTCGCGTTCGGTGCTGCAGTGCTCACGGGAACGGTCGCGACGCTCGCGAGACTCCCGTGTGCGAGATGACGATTCTCTTTCCCTCACTAGTTGTTGCTCTCGCTCCAGCTCGCGCTGGCGCCGACGCTCCTCTCTGCGTCGTTCGTGCGCGGCCTGCTCCTCGGGAGTGCGGTATGAGTACCGGCTGGGGTCCTCGCGGGACCGGATACTATCAGACCGGCTGCGGTGAGACCTGCGCGCGGCACTGCTGTCACGGTTCTCCTCGGCTCCAGGGACGGTGGCGGCGGAAGTAGTTGCGTAGTGATCGCGGGAGGAGCGGTGATGGCTGTGGTCACGGTAGTAGTGTAGATGATGCTCAAGGCTGTGTTCGCGCGAAGAGGTCGATCGATGGCGAGAAGACGAGTGCGAGTGCGAAGAGTGGCGACTGCTATGGCGTCTCGAGCTGCTGAGGTGCTGGTGAGAAGGCTTAGCATCGTCGGCAGCTGCAGCAGTGGCAGCGGCTGTCGTTGATGTCGCTATCGTCCTGTTCTTGTCGTCTGAATAAAGGTCAGCAACGGCTCCTGCAAGATCCCGCGTCCTGGTCCTAGTCCGGCCCCTGCGCATCATTTCATCATCCTCGTCTTCACTGCTCAACCCCTCGAGCACCAACTCTCTCTCCTTCCCCTTGCTCCCGGACATCACCACATCCTCAACAGAATGCATCTCGATCGGACCAAGGACATCGGCTCCGGAACTCCTCGGACTGGCACTGGTAGCAGTAGGAACGTACCCCAGACGCGACGGGCTCCCCGGCGGGCTGAGAGCCTCAGCTGTCGCGTAGATCACCACCGCGGCCGCTACCATTTCTTCGGCCTGTTTGAGCGTGCTGCGCCGCCTGCGTTTCTGCTCGCGGATACGAGCCAGCTCTCGGGCTACCGGATCATCCGGGTCGGGGAGCTGCACCGCCGGTGTCGCCGCCCGGAAGTCGCCGAGGGCTTCCGGCTCCAGGATCGTTACGTGACCCGTGGCCGGTGCTGCTGGGGTCGGCGCCTTGAGGGACTCGGCGGCAGACCGCGACGGCTCAGGCTGCTGCGCCTGCAGAACAGACCGAGAAGTAGCAGCGGTAGCCGCTTCCTTGCGTTTGTCGTTGTTGTTGTCTTTGTCGGCGTCATCATCGCTCTCCTTGCTGCTCGCTGCAATAGCGGCAGCGCCGGCCGCCACCGCAGCAACGCCAGCAACGCCAGCAGCCACAGCAGCAGCCGTAGATACACTCTTGGACGACTCTTCTTCGCTGCTCTCAGCAACGGGAGCGGCATCGACGACGAAGGCGGGTTCAGCAGGCCGCGCATCCGTCTTCTCCACAACGTGAAACGACTCTTCAAGAGAAGTCGAAGGAACTTCTCTCTCCACAACCACTTCAGGAACCTCTACCGACTTGGTGACAGTCGGATCGGCTTCCTCCTGCTCCTCCTTCGACGCCGGCAGGTTGAATTGCTCGGCGAGGGCTTCCAGTTTCTCCACTACACTGGGCCGCGCGGGCTCAGGCTCATCCACGACCGCGGTGGCAATACCCACGGCACCAACGCCAGCAGCAACGGCAACAGCTGCGGCGCCAGCAGCCAAGACGGCATCCTTTGTCGAATCGTCGGTCGCGGCAGTGGCGTCGACGGTCTTGGTCTCTTCCTCACCAATAGTCGGAAGGGTGAGCGAGGTGTCTCTTGGCTGCGGCTCGGTCGATGTCGTAACCGTGGTCTCGGCCGCGCTTGTCTCGGTTGCAATGGTCAGGGTTGTAGAGCGCGGGTCGGGGCTTTCAGAAACGGCTGGCTCGACAGGATTCTTTTCGGCGACAGGAGTGGGGGCAACTTCGGCCTTGTTTTCAGGGGTAGGCGTAGGGGCAGGTTCAGCCTCGACGACGACCTCCTTGGCGACAGCAACCTCCGGCTCGAGCTTGACAGCCGGCATGACAGGCGGGGCCTCCGTGACAGCATGGAAGGCACCGAACTGGGCAACCTCTGGCAGAACAGGGACAGCAGCAGCGGCACCAACCAGACCACCAGTAGCCAAAACAGCAGGGATGCTGCGCTCACCAGGCTCATCCTTGCTTTCAGTCACGACCGGAGCGGGGGCAGGTTCCTCTTGTTGTTCAGTGATAGCGGCAACAACAGGGACCTGCTTGAGAGCCGGAGCCTGCGACGACTCACCCTCTTCGCTGGGCGGGGTGAGCGGCGAAGTGGCATCGACGATGACCGGCTCATCAGGTAGCTGCGAGCAGCTCTCAGGGGTCATGGCCTCGTCGACGACAATGAGCGAGTCGTCAGCGGCGGCGACGGTCTCGGGCGAGGAAGCAACATCCTTGGCGTGTTCGTGCTCCTTTAGTTCGGCAGCGGCGGGCTCAGGCGACTTAGGCGCTGGCTCGCCAGGAAGCTCCTGGGACTCACCCACGGCCCGCTCGACGAGGACACCCGAGTTCTCAACGGCAGCCTGAGCAGCAGCAGGGGCCTCGGGCTCTTCGGCCTTCTCCACCGAGGCAGGTGTCTTCTCAGGCTCGGGCTCGGGCTGGACGATGACAGTGGATTCTTCGACAGCAGCCTTGGCATTCGGCTTCTCTTCAACAGTGGCAGCCGGCTTCTCGGATTCGGGCTCAGCCTGGACGAGCACAGTCGACTCTTCAACCTCAGCTGTCACCGGCTCCTCGAGCTTGGCAGGTTCAGGAGCGGGCGCCGGGACTTCCCGCGGCACAGAAGCAGCATCGACAAGAACGAAGCCTTCCTCCTCCTTAGGGGACTCGGGCTCCGCCGGCTTGGTCTCAGGCTCGACTGGTTTGGCGGTCTCGGGCTGAGGCTCAGGCTTCGTCACTGCAGCAGCAAGCTCCTCGAGCTTGGTCGTCTCCGTGGTTGTCTCAATGGTGACGGCTTCAGCGACTGGCTCGGAAGCAGGAGCAAGAGCGGTTTCGACGGTCTCTTCCTTGACAGGCGCAGACTCAGCGACGACAGCCTTCTCGACGATAGGCTCGTCGGTCTTTTCAACCGGCATAAGTGTCTCGGAAGGAGTGGGCTCGGCCTTCAGGGCTTCCCCAACTTCGACCTTCTCGACAACTGTCTCGGTCTGGGCAGAAGCCTCAGTCTTAACAGGCTCTTCCGCGACGACTTCCTTTTCGACGACCGCGGGCTCCTCAGGCTTGGTCGGCGCGGGGGCAGTCTCGGTGACGATAGGTTCGGGCTCGGGCGTGGCAACCTTCACCGATTCAGTTATGGTCTCAGTGACAGGCTCCTCAGCCTTGACGGACTCAGTGGCCACAGGCTGCTCGACGGCTGCAGGTTGTTCAATCTCTTCGACAGGATCAGGGGTCTTCATAGCCGGCTCGGGAGCAGCCTGGACGGCAGGTTCAGCGTTAGGGGGCTCCACAGGCTCGGGGGCAGTGGTCTCGGCGACTGCAACCTCCAGCTGTGCGGGCTCCTCAATCTTGATGGCAGGCTCCTCCGTCACGGCGGGCTGCTCGGCGACGACAACCGGTTCGGCGGCCTTCACCTCGCGCAGGTCAGCGATAGAGTGTTCAGGCGACTCCTCGAATGGGGGAGGTACCTCTTCTTCGCTGACCCCAGGAGCGGCCTGGGCTTCGGCGGGTCCCTCAGCCTTGGCCGACTCCTCGACGACGGCATTCTCGCTCTCGACGGCAGGTGCTTCGGCTACAGCAGGTTCTTGAGTGACAGCAGCCTCAGCAGCGGCCTGCTCGGGTTCAGGGGCGGGAGCAGAGGCCTCAACCTTCTTCTCGATTGTCTCGGGCTCAGCAGCTGGAGCGGGTGCAGGGGCGGGCTCGTCGTCAGTCTTGGCTACCTCAGAGGTGACGGGCGCCTCAGGTGCCGGGGCCGAGGTCTCGCTGGCGGGTTCCGCGGTAGCCACAGGTTCGGATTTGACGTGCTCCTCAATGACGGTTGGCGCTTCGACAGGAGCGGACTCCTCAGCCTTTACGGGCTCCTCGACCTTGGCGGACACCTCGGTGACAGCAGCAGGCTCTTCAACCTTGGCGGGCTCAACAGGAACAGGTTGGGCGGGTTCTTCAGCGGCAGGGGCGGGGGCAGCAGGCTCCTCACACACAGGGGCAGACCCCTCAACAGCCGCTTCAGCGACCGGCTCCTGAACCTCGACGACGGCCTTCTCGACAACGGCAGGCTCATCAGTCTTGACGGCTTCCGGCTCAGGGACAGGGGTCTCCTCTACAGCGGGTGCGGGAGCAGGAGCAGGTTCGTCGATCTTGACGGGTTTGGGGCTAACTTCCTCAGCCTTGGCAACCTCCGGTTCCGTCTCAACTTCAGGCTCCTGAGCAACGGCTTCAGCTGAGACGGTGTCCTTTGCCTCTGGAGCCGGCTCCCGAGCAGCGACGGCCTCTTCTTTGACAGGGGCAGACTCGTCAGCCTTGACTGTGGGCTCAGCACCCTCCGCAGCAGCAGCGGGCTCCTCAACTTTAGCCGGCTCAGGGGCCTCGACTACAGCGGGCTCTTCGACCTTGGCGGGCTCCTCAGTCTTGACAGGGTCCTCGGTGGCGGCTGGCTCAGCCTTGACCTTCTCCTCGACCTTAGGAGCGGGCTCCGGAGCCTCAACGGTCTTAGCAGGAGCAGACTCGTCTGGCTTAGCTGGCTCAGGGGCCTCAATGGTGGCAGGCTCCTCAACGGCAGCGGGCTCAGCTGGAGCAGGGGCCAACTCCTGAACCTCAACGGCCTTCTCAACAGCGATAAGCTCGTCGGTCTTGACTTCGGGTTCGGGTTCAGGGGCAGGGGCTTCCGCTGGAGCAGGCTCCTCGACCTTGACGGGCTCCTCAGTCTTAGCAGGCTCATCAACAGCCACAGAGGCCGGAGCAGCCTCTTCGACCTTGACGGCCTCAGGCTCGGGGGCGGCAGGAGCTTCCTCAGCCGCCTGTTCGGTCTTGGCAGGCTTGGAGGTCTCAACCGCAGCAGGCTCGTCAGCCTTAGTGGCCGGCTCCTGAGCTACAACGGGTTCTTCCTCCTTGGCGGGGGCAGGCTCATCGGCTCGGACAGGCTCCAGGGTTTTCTCTTCGGCGGCAGGCTCCTCAGTAGTAGGTTTGGGAGTCTTCTCGGTCACAGGCTCCTCAACCCTGGCTGGCTCCTCCGTCTTGACAGGCTCCTCGGCGGGAGCAGCGACAGCAGGCTCGATTTTTTCCTCGGCCTTGGCAACCGGCTCAGGCTCCAGAGCAGCAGGGGCAACGGCCCTTTCCGTGACGGGAGCGGGCTCGTCGGCCTTGACAGGCTCCTCAACCTTGGCCGGCTCCGCAGGGGCTTCAGCCGCAGGCTGCTCGACAGTAGTGGTGGAGACAGGCTCAGAAGGCTTTTCTTGCTCTTGCTTCTTCTCAACGTCAACGGCGGCGACAGGGGCTTGGACTTCTTCGGTAGTGGTGACGAGAGCGGGAGCGGAAGCATCGGTCGTGGCGAGAACAGGGGAGGATTCTTCGACAGCGGCGGGGATGGCTACTTCAGGGACGGCAGGCTCCTCCTTGGCGGCCGGGGCAGGCTCAGCTGTTTCGGCAACGGCAAGAGGTTCGGCAGGCTGAGATTCAGCGACCAGGATGGGTTCAGACTCGGAGATGGGTTCTTGGGCAGGCTCCTCGGTCTCGGTGGTATCAGTAGCGGCAAGCTGAGGGGCGGACTCTTTATCCTTGGCCTCGACAACCGGTTCCTCAACCTTGGCTTCAACAGGCTTCTCGGCCTCCTCAATCTTAACTTCGGGCTCCTCGATCTTGACGTCGGCAGCCTCTTCGGTCGTGATTTCAGAAGGCTGAGCGGGGAGCTCCTCGGCCTTGGTTTCAGTAGGCTGGGCCACCTCTTCGACCTTGGTTTCGGTAGGTTGCTCGACCTTAGCCTCGGGCTCGTCAGGCTTGCATTCAGGCTGAGTAGGTTGCTCTTCGTTCCTGGTGTCGGCAGGCTGAGAGATGACCTGGTCTTCGGCCTTGGCCTCGACAGAAGCAACAGCCTCTTCGACCTTAACCTCAGATTCCTTGGCTGCGGGTTCGGTGGGCTGAGCGATCGACTCTTCAGCCTTGGTCTCTGGAGCAGGGGTCTGCTCCTCGGCCTTAGCCTCGACAGGCTGCTCAGCTACCTCTACATTGAGCTGGGGCTCTTCAGTCTTGGTCTCAACAGGCTGAGCGAGCTGTTCGTCGACCTTAGCTTCGACAGGCGCGGGAGCCTCGTCAACTTTGACCTCAGGTTCCTCGGTCTTGGCTTCGGCGGGCTGAGCAGGCTCTTCAGTCTTAGCAGCCTCAACAGTCTGAGCAACCTCTTCCTCGACCTTGGCCTCAAGAGCAGGGGTCCGCTCCTCAGCCTTGGCCTCGGTAGGTGCCACAGGCTCTTCAGCCTTGACTTCGGGCTGCTCAGCAGGTTCTTCAACCTTAGCCTCGACAATGAGCTCCTCGGTCTTGGTTGTCTCGGTCGGTTGAGGAGCGGCCTCTTCGGTCGCGGCAGGCTCAGAAGGCTGGGCAACCTGTTCCTCGACCTTGGCCTTGGGTTCAGGAGCCTTCTCCTCAGCCTCAGCGACCACAGGGGCCTCCTCAACCTCGGCCTCGGGCTCAGCAACCGTTTCCCCAGCCTTGGCCTTGGCAGGTGCTGTAGGCTCTTCAGTCTTGACTTCAGGCTGCCCGACCTTGGTCTCAGCGGGTTCTTCCGGCTTAGCTTCGGCAGGCTGGGGTTCATCCTTGACCTTGGCCTCGACAGGCGCCGCGACCTCCTCAGGCTTAACCTCGGGCTCAACCTTGGCCTCAGCCTCAACTGGCGCGAGAGCCTCCTGGATCTTGACCTCAGGCTCCTCAGGCTTGGCCTTGTGTTCGGTCACCTGCTCCTCGTTCTTGGTCTCGGTGGACGGGACAGCAACCTCTTCGGCCTTGGCCTCAGTAAGCTGCTCAGGCTGAGCCTCGACTGTCTTGGGAACCTCCTCAACCTTGGCTTTGGGCTCAGAAGCCTCCTCGACAGCGTTAGTCTCAGCGGGTTGAACAGTTTCTTCGACCTTGGTCTCGGCGGGCTCATTGGCCTGGACCTCGACTGGCAGAGGGGCCTCTTCAACCTTGGTTTCGGGCTGAACCTCAACCTTGGTCTCAGGAACTTCCTCAGCAGCCTTGGTCTCAACCAGCTGAGCGACCTCCTCGACCTGAGTCTCAGTAGGCTGTGCCACCGTCGTCTCCTCAACCTTGACCTCGGGCTCCTCAACCTTAGTCTCGGCAGGCTCCTCAGCCTTAGCCTCGACCGGCGCAGAGACCTCCTCGACCTTGGCTTCAGCGACAGGGGCCTGCTCCTCTACCTCGGTTTCAGTGACCTCAACCTTCGTCTCGGCGGTAGGCTCAGGAGTGGCCTCTTTGACCTTGACAGTCTCAGAGGACTCCTCAACCTTGGCTTTGACAGGTTCAGAGGCCGCTTCCACCTTGGCTTCAGATTCAGCTGTCTGCTCCTCCACCTTAGTCTCGGCGGGCTCGGCAACCTTGGTCTCGACGACCGGCTCGGGAACTTCCTTGACATTAGTCTCGGGCGCAACAGGTGCCGTCTCCTTAACCTTGGCCTCAACAGGTTCCTCAGGCTTATCCTGCTCGATCGGTTCAGGCGCCGTCTCGACCTTGGCTTCGGCCGGAGCCTCTACCTTGATCTCCACAGGCTCCCCAGGCTCGGTCTCAGCGGGCGGGACAGGAGCCTCCTCAACCTTGTCCTCCACAGTCGACTCGGGGACAGCTTCAACCTTAGCTTCGGACTCGGAAGCTTTGTCCTCAGCCTTGGTCTCGACGGGTTGAGTGACCTGTTCGACCCTGGACTCGGGGGCAGGAACCTCGACCGTCTCGGCCTTGACCATAACAGTCTCGACAGCCTGTTCCTCGACCTTGGTTTCGGGCGCGGGAGCTTCCTCCGTCTTGGCTTCAGCCTCGACGGACTCCGCAACCTTTTCCTCAACCTTGGCCTCCGAAGCAGGAGCCTCGACAGTCTCGACCTTGGCCTCGACAGGCTCGGCAGTCTTCTCTTCGACCTTAGTCTCCGGGGCAGGAACCTGTTCTTCAACCTGGGTTTCAACGGGCTGAGCGACCTCTTCACCCTTAGCCTCGGAAGCAGGGGCTTCCTCTGTTTCAGCCTTGGCTTCAACAGGCTCAGTGACCTCCTCAACCTGGGCCTCTGGAGAGTGGGCAACCTCCTCGACCTTAGAGTCTGGAGCCGGTGCCTCTTCCGTCTTGGCCGGGGCCTCGACAGGCTCGGCAGCCTTTTCCTCGACTGCGGTCTCGGGCGCAGGTGTCTCTTTCTCAGCCTGCGTCTCAGAAGCAGGAGCGGGAGCTGCCTTAACCTCAGCCTCGGCTTCGGCAGCCACAGGGGGCCTCCTTAACCTTAGCTTCGGGATCGACAGCAGCCTTCTCAACCTGTATCTCAGCAGCCTGGACAACCTCCTCAACCTTAGTCTCAGGGACTGGCGCAGCCTCAGCCTCGACCTTGGTCTCGACAACCCCAGCTTCCTTGGCCTCAACCGCCTCGGTTACCGCCTCGACCTTGGCTTTGGGCTCGGTCTCAGAAGCCTTGTCCTCCACCTTAGTCTCAGCAGGTTCCTCAGCAGCCATGACCTCGGGAACGGGAGTGGTCTCAACCTCGGGCTTGTCCTCGGCAGGCTCAGCAGCCTTTTCTTCGACCTCAGCAAGACCAGCGGGCGCCGCCTGCTCAACCTTGACCTCAGCCGTCTCGGGTATCACCTCATCGGCGGCAGGGGGGGCGGGAGCAACCTCAGGGGCGGCAGCCTCGACCTCAGCCTCGGGCGTCTCCTCAACCTTAGCTTCAGACGCAGGGGTGACATGCTCCTCAGCCTTGGCCTCGGCGGGCTCCTCGACCTTAGTCTCAGCTGCCGGAGCCTCTTCAGCTTTCGGAGCCTCCTCAGTCTTTGCTTCAGTAGCAGAGGCCTCTTCGACCTTAGCCTCGACTGCGGGCGCCACGTTGACCTTGGCCTCGGGGGCAGGTGTGGCCTGCTCCTCAACCTTGGTCTCAGCAGATTCTTCAGCCTTAGCTTCAGCCGCCGGGGTCTCCTGGACCTTTGCTTCGACTTCCGGAGCTTCCTCAATCTTGGTTTCAGCCTCAGCCTTGGGAGCCTCGGTCTCGGTGGGCTCCTCACTCTTCACTTCAGCGGCAGCGACCTCAGGTACAGCCTTGTCCTCGACCTCGGGAGCTGCTTCGGCTTGAGCATCAGGGACAGGGGTGACCTGCTCCTCAGCCTTAGCCTCGACGACTTCCTCAGTCTTGGTCTCGGCAGCCGGAGTCTCTTCGACGATCTTGGTCTCTGCTTCAACCGTAGGGGTCTCCTCACCCTTGGTTTCAGCGGCAGGGGCAGCCTGCCCATCAGCCTTGGCCTCAGCGACCTCCTCAGTCTTGGCTTCGACTGGAGCCTCCTTAACCTTGGTTTCAGCCTCGACCTGAGCTTCCTCAACCTGAGCTTCCTCAACCGCAGCCTTGGTAGCGGGGGTCTGCTCCTCAACTTTAGCCTGGGAAGGCTCCTCAGTCTTGAGCTCAGCTGGGGCCACCTCTTCAGCCTTCGCCTCGACTTCAGGAGCAGCTTCGACCTTGGCCTCGGAAACAGGTTCCTTAGCCTTAGTCTCAGCGACTTCCTCAGCCTGGGCTTCAACCGCAGGGGCTTCCTCAGCTTTAGTCTCGACATCGGGCTCTTCCCCAACCTTAGTCTCGGCAACAGGAGCCTGTTCCTCAGCCTCGGCTTCGGCACGGACCTCCTCAGGTTTGGCCTCGACCGGCTCGGGACCGGGAGCAGCCCTAACTTGGGCTTCGGCCACAGGAGCTTCCTCAACCTTAGCCTCAGGCTTGGGTATCTTGTCCTCGACCTTGGTCTCTATGGTTTCCTCAGCCTTAGCCTCAACGGTAGGGGCCTCCTCAATCTTGTTTTCGATAGCAGGAGCCTGTTCCTCAGTCTTCGTTTCCGCAGGAGTCTCAGCCTTGGCCTCAACAGGTTCCTCTACCTTAGCCTCAGACACAGGGGTCTCCTCAGCCTTGACTTCGGCCGCAGGAGCTTCTTCAGCCTTGGCTTCGGGAGCAGGAGCCTGTTCCGCAGCGTTGACCTCAGCAGGCTCAGGAGCCGCCTCGGTCTTAGCCTCGGATTCAAGTATTGTCTCTTCGACCTTGGCTTCGGTCACTTCCTCGACCTCCGTCTTAGCCACTGGAGCCTCCTCAACCTTAGCTTCGGACTCGGAAGCCTTCTCTTCCGCCTTGGCTTCAATGGGCTCAGGAGTTGCTTCGACCTTGGTCTCCACAGGGGCTTCCTCGACCTTAGCCTCGGGCTCGGCAACCTTCTCCTCAGCCTTAGCCTCAACAGGCTCCTCAGCGTTGGCTTCGGTCACTGGGGCCTGCTCAACCTTGGCCTCAGGCTCGGCAGCAGCCTGGTCCTCAGCCGTGGTTTCAGCGCGCACCTCGACCTTAGCCTCAGCAGCGGGCACCTCTTCGGCTTTGGCCTCTGGTTCAGGAACCTGTTCCTCAGCCTTGACCTCGGCAACCACAGGGGCCTCCTCAACCTTAACCTGGGGCTCAAGAGTCTTCTCAGCCTTAACCTCAAGAGCAGGAGCAACCTCAGCTTCAACTTTGGCCTCGGCAGGCTCAGGAACCGCCCCGACCTTAACCTCCGGTTCGGCTGCCTTCTCCTCAGCCTTAATCTCAACAGGTTCCTCGGCTTTGACCTCAGCCTCGGGGGCTTCCTCAACCTTGACTTCAGACTCGGTGACTTTGTCCTCAGCCTTGGTCTCAGCAACCTCCTCAGCCTTAGCCCCAGCCACAGGGACCTCTTCAACCTTGGCCTCGGGCTCGGCAACATTCACCTCAGTGTTAGATTCAGCAGTCTCCTCAACCTTCATCTCCGCCTCAGCGGCAGCCGGGCCCTGTTCCTCAACCTTGACTTCGGATTCGGAAACCTTGTCGTCGGCCTTGGTTTCGGGGACAGGACCCTCCTCAACCTTCGCCTCAGGGGAGGAGACTTTCTCAGCCTTGGTCTCAGCGACCGGTTCCGGAGCAGCAGCCTTCTCGACCTCGGTCTCGGTAGGAGCCTCAACCTTAGTCTCGGCAGTTGGCTCAGCCTTGGCCTCCTCAGCAGGGGCGGGGGCAGCAACAGGAACAGGGGCCTCTTCTTCCTTGGCCGGGGCAGCCTCAGTCTCGGTCGCCGGAGCGGCTTCAACCTTAGTCTCGGTCACGGGCTCAGGAGCGGTTTCCGGCGTAGCCGGAGCTTCGGCAGGGGCGGATGCCTCGGCGGGAGGCAGGGCCGGGACAGAAGCCTGCACCTCGGTTTGAGCGGGTGCGTCCTCAGCAGGAGTCTTATCCTTAACAGTAGCGGGTGTTACTTGCTCGGCTGTCGTCGTTGTCTCCGCAACAAGAGCCTCGTGAGCGAGAGCGGGAGTCTGATGCTCGATAAGGTTAGTCTGTTTTACTAGACCATCAACACAAGGATCATCATCACTTACCTCTTCCTTGACCGCAGCCTCCTTCTCAAGAGCCTTAGGTTCAGGTTGAGCAGCCTTCTCGGCTGGAGCAGGAGTCTCTACAACGGAAGCAGCAGTCTCCGCAGGAAGAGCCGGGGTCTTGTCTTCCTCAGTGGCCGGTTCAGGAGCAGGAGCGGGAGCGGCCTCAGGCTCGGCCTTAGCCTCTTCAACCTTGAATTCCTCCGCGGGGGCCGGGGCCTCCTCAACCTTAGTCTCAGTCGCGATAGCGGCCTCAGACTCAGGCTTGACCTCAACCTGGGGTTCCTCAGTCTTGACCTCCTCAACCTTGGTTTTAGCAGGGACTTCAGCCGGAGCCTTGACCTCGGTTACGGGCTGTTGTTCAAGAGCAGCAGTGACCTCGGGCTCGGTCTTAGCTTCAGCCTCCTGGACCTGTGGTTCCGCAGGAGCGGGAGAGGGAGCCGGGGTTTCCTCGACCTTGACCCCCTCGACCGTAGTCTCGGAGGCGACCTCAGCAGGAGCCTCGATCTTGATTTCAGCCACAGGCTCAAGCTCAGGAGCAGCGGCTTGTTCGGGCTCGGGAGCCGCAGCCGGCTGGGCCTCCTCAACCTTCTCCTCCGAGACCTGCTCGGCAGGAGCGGCGGGAGCGGGAGCCTCCTTGAGGGACTCGTGCTCAGCAGGAGCCGACTGCTCAACGGGCTTCGGCTCCTCAGTAACAGGCTCAGTGGGAACAGCAATTTTCGGCTCAGTCGGGGCCGCCTTGACTTCTTCGGTCGTCTCCTCAGGGGCAGCCTCTTGAGCAAGCGCCGGAGCAGCCTCTTCGACTTTGACAGTGTCGTCGGCAGGGACTGTCTCAGGTTCTGGCTGGACCTTGTCCTCGGTGCTGCTGCTCTCCTGGGCAGGCTGCTCTTCCGTCTTATCGCCGGCAACCTCATCCTTCTTCTCCTCTCCAGCCGAAGTATCATTAACACTGGGAGCGGTGGTGATAGTGGTAGTGCTGTCCGGGATATCTTTCTGTGTGTCCTCCAGAGGGGCAGGGGTATCATGAGGGGTTTCGGGGGATGATGAATCAAATGCTGATGGGCGCTGTAAGTCCAAGTCCGTGTCCGTCTTGTCCGTTGGTCTCGCCGAGATGCATTCTGCAACTTTCTTCTCACTCTCCTTCTCCTCCTCTTCCTCCTTCTGTCCTGTCTCCTCGCCACTGCCATCACGGCCATCGCCGCCAACAACACCGGGGGTATCATCAGAAACAGAAACGGGGAAATTCTCACCTGTAACCGCCTTCTCGGCGCCTGTCTTCTGCTGCTCGCTGGGTATCGGCCCAATCTTGTCCTTGCTCTCCTCCTCTTCTTCCTTCGTCTTCTCCACTGGAGCGGGAGCCGGCTCTTCCTCCTTCTCAACCTTTAGTTCCTCCACGGGCGCAGGGGTTTCCCCGACCTTCACCTCCTCCTCAAGGACAGCCGTGTTAACCTCCTCCACGACAGGCTCAGAAGCGACCCCCTCCTTCACCGGTTCGGGAGTAGAGGCTGGTGCGGGTTCCGTCACGGGTCCCCCAGCATCCGGCTCGGGCTGAGCGTCTTTGGGGGCCTCCTCAGCGGGGACAGCCTTGGCTTCACCCTCCATTGGCTTGGCCTCCTCAACGACCTCAACCTTCTCTTCAGCCTTGGGATCCTCGGCCTTTTCAGGCTTAGGCTCCTCAGCGGGAGTAGCTTCAAGAGTGGGCTCGGCATTGGTCTCCTTAGACTCGACCTTGGCCTCCTCCGTAGGCTTGGCCTCAGCAGCCTCCTCAGCCTTGGGTAACTCGTCAGGGGTAACATCAGCCTCAGTCTTGGCTTCAGCAGGCTCGGCGGGAGCAGGAGCCTCAGTTTTGGGTTCCTCGACCGGCTCAGATTTGACTGGCTCGACCGGAGCGGGCTCCTCGGCAGCAGGCTGGGCAACAGAGACCTCTTCCTGCTGGGTCCTGGCCTTGGGCTCCTCAGACTGCTCGGTCTTGGGAGACTCGGTGACCTCTGGCTTGGGCTCCGAGGCAGGCTCAGCAGGGGCCTCGACTTTGACTTCCTCAGCAGGCTCGGGCTTGGCTTCTTCGACAGGGGCCGGCTCGAGAGCAGCCTTGGACTCCTCAGCAGGCTGAGCCTCCTGAGCCCTCTCAACAGGGGCGGATTCCCCCTTGATTACCTCGACAGCTTCAACCTTGGCTTCCTCTGCGGGCTCAACCTCGACTTTGATCTCGGTAACGGGCTCGGGAGCAGCCGGGGAAGTGGATTCAGCCTCTGGCTTGGATTCCTCAGCAGGATCGGCAAGAAGCTCGGGAGCCGCCTCAGCCTTGGTTTCCTCAATGGCCTCGACCTTAGGCTCCTCGGCAGGCTTTTTCTTAGTCGCAGGCTCAGCCTTTACCTCCTCAGCAAGTTCAGGCTTGGCCTCTTCGTCGGGAGCGGCGGCAGGTTCGGGAGCAGCCTCGACCTTGCGATCCTCAACTGTCTGGGTCTCGACCGGAGCCTCAACCTCGGCCTCTTCGACTGGCTCGGCCTTAGGTTGCTCAGCAGGCTCAACAGTGACTTCGGCCTCAGGCTTAACCTCTTGTGCAGGCTCAACATTTGCCTCCTCTGCCGCGGGTTCAACCTTGGTCTCAGCCGCTTCAGTCTTGGGTTCCTCAGCAGCCTCAACCTTGACCTCGGCCGGCTCGGGCTTGTCCTCAGCAGCGGGTTGGACCTCAGGTTCGGCGGTGGGTTCAACCGGAGCTGTAGTCTCTGCCTTGGTCTCTTCGACGGCCTCGGTCTTGGGCTCCTCGGCGGTCACCTCAGTCTTGGTCTCGTCAGCAAGGGCAGCCTCGGCCTTGGGTTCTTCGGCAGGCTGGGCGGTTTCGGCAGGAGCTTCCGGCTCGGCTTTGGGCTCTGCGGGAGCGTCGGTCTTGGTCACCTCGGAAGCAGGCTCAGGCTTGGTCTCTTCAGCGACCTCATCCTTAGGTTGCTCAGGGGCCGCCTCAATCCTAGGTTCCTCAACCGGCTCAGCAGGCTTCTCAACAGGAGCCTCAAGCTTTGTTTCCTCAGCTGGCTCAGCCTTGACCTCAGCAGGAGCTTCAGTCTTGGGCTCCTCAGGGGCCGACTCGACCTTGGTCTCCTCAACCGGCTCAGACTTGGGCTGCTCAACAGGCTCTTCGGCAGGCTTGGGTTCTTCAGCCGGGGCAGCCTTCTCAACGACCGGCTCAGTCTTGACCTCGACCTGCTGTTCGACCGGCGCCTCGGGCTTGGACTCCTCAACAGCCTCCACCTTAGGTTGCCCAAGAGCATTAGTATTAATCTCCTCGGCAACGAGTCCAGGATTGGGCTCCTCAGCAGGCTCAGCCTTGACTTCCGGCTCAGGCTCGGCAGTCTGCTCAGGGGCAACCTCAGCAGCAGGTTGTGGAGCAGTCTTCACCTCCTCGACAACCTCAGCCGCAGCTGGAGTCTCGGTTTTGGGCTCAACAGCTGGCTCAGCAGCAGAGGCAGGAGCGGGTTTAGCAACCGGTTCGGAGACAGGAGCAGGAGCAGCCTCTTCCTCGACTTGTTCAGCAGGCTCAGCCGGAGCCGGCGCCTCAATCTCGGCTTCGGGGGCGGGCTCGACGGCCTCGATCTTGAGTTCTCCAGCAGGTTCGGTCTTGGCCTCCGCGACGGGTTCCGCGGCCGGTTCAGGATCAGCCTCGGCCTTCGTCTCCGCAGAGGGTCCGGAAGCGGGTTCAGAGGCAGGCTCAGCCTTGGGCTCAGGAGCGGCCCCAACCTGGGTCTCCGGGACAAGCTCCTCCTTGGTCTCAGCAGCCGGTTCAGGAGCGGGCTCCTCAATCTCCTTAGTGGCAGGCTCAGGAGCAGCCTCGACCTTAGTCTCCTGGACGGGCTCTGCAGCGGGAGCAGGCTCAGGGGCAGCCTTAGTCTCCTCGACAGGTTCGGGCTTGGCCTCCTCCTTAGCCCCAGCCTTGTGTTCTTCGACCACCTCAGGCTTGGTCTCCGCAACAGGCTCGGTAGTCGGTTCAGGGGCAACCTCAACCTTCGTCTCGGGAGCGGGCTCCGCAGCGACGTCGGGGGCAGGCTCAGAGACAACCTCAATCTTGGACTCAGAAGCCACCTCAACTACCGGCTCCGGAGCAGGCTCAGGCTTGGCCTGAGTGATCTCTTCGGCCTTGGGTAGCTCGGCAGCCTCGACATTGGCCTTCTCGACGATAGGTTCGGGCTTGGTTTCCTCAGCAGGCTGGGGAGCAGCAGGCTCGTGCTTAGTGTCAGCCATCTCCTCGGTTTTGGGCTGCTGAGTGGCTTCGACCTTGACCTGCTCGACCGGCTCGAGCTTGGCCTCTCCAACAGTCTTGAGCTTAGCCTCCTCAGCCTTGGACTCTTCAACAGGAGCCGGGGTCTGCTCCTCAACAGTCCTGGGAGCCTGCTCAACAGGGACAGCAACCTCCTCGGGCTTCTCGGCCTCGACAGGGACCGGCGCCGCTTCCTCAGTGGCAGGGACAGGAGCAGCGGCTTCTTTCTCCTCGAACTTCTCCTCCTTCAGCTCCTCAGTCGGCTTGGTTTCGACCTCAGGAGCAGGAGGGCGAGCAGAAGCCTCCACAACCTTAGCCTCGGCAGCAGGAGCAGCCTCCTCCTGCGGGTTGACTTCAGGCTCTGGATCATTCTTGGTGACTTCAACGGGCTGCTGCTCTTCCTGAGGAGCGGGGGCAGCAACGGACTCAGGGGTGCTCTCAACCAGCTTGGCGGGTTCTTCAGTCTGGAGATCGGATTCAGAGGCAGCCTGGGATGTGTTAGCCAATGATTGTTCACAAGTCAGACGCAAATGGCATAGGAAAACTAACCACCTGGGCGGGCTCAGCAACCATCTCAGTCTCTTCAGTCTTCACAGGCTCGGCCGCAGCAGGGGCCTCAGGAACAATCTCAATCTTGGCCTCCTCAACAGTGGCTTCAGGCTCGGTTTTCTCGGCAGGCTTGACGACAGCGGGGGCTTCTTCCTGCTTGAGCTCCTCCGCGGGCTGAGTCTGAACCTCCTCAGCCTTCTTCACCCCGGCCGGTTCCTCAGTCAGAGCAGCCTTCTCGACAGAGGCTTCCTCGACCTTCTGAACCTCAGTGCCCTCGGCCTCAACCGGCTTGGCAGGCTCCTCAGAAGCAGGAGCAGCCGGGGCCTCCGTCTCAGGCTTGGCTTCGGGCTCAGTAGGGGAAGCGGGCTGCTCAGCGGCTGGGGCGGCGGGAACGGCTTCCTCCACAGGCTCGACCTCCTCAACGGGCATCTTAGAAGCAGGCTCGTCCTTTGGCGCGGGCTCCTCCGCAGGGGTCTCGTTGGTGGTGGCCGCGGGAGCTTCTTGAGGAGCGGGAACCTCCTCCGCAGAAGCAGGGGTCTCGGTCTCAGTCTTGGTAGGTTCCCTGGTGATGGTTAGCATCAAACCGCGAACGAAATTGCGAAAGGTAGGTCACTTACTCAACAGCCGGAGCCTCAGCCTTGGTCTCCTCGGCGGAGGCCTCCTCCTTCACCTCCTCAGCAATATTGATCTCTTTCTGCTTCGACTCGGCAACAGGGATCGGGTCAGGATCTGCCTCTTCAGCAACCGGAGCGGACTTGGTAGCCTCGGTATTAAGAGTCACCTCCTTGACCTCAGCGACCGGCGCCTCTTCCTTGGTTTCGGCAGCCGGGGCGGGCTCCTCCTTGGTCTCGGCAGTCTCGGGCGCAGGGGCAGGTTCCTCAGCAGGCTTGTCCTCATCGACAGGCAGGGCCGGGGCCGAGGCAGCCTTCTCCTCGGTCTTGGTAGGGGCAGAGGCAGGTTCCTCGGCGGACTTGGCCTTCTCGATATGGGGAGCAGGAGCAGGATCCTCAGCAGCCGGCGCAGGCTCTTCGTTGGCCTCAGTGATGGGGGCAGGCTCGGCAGGAGCAATAGGCTCAGCCTTCAGCTCCTCTACAGGCTTGACCTCCTCCTCCTTAGCCTCAGGGACCGGAGCCTCCTCCTTGACCTCGGCGACAGGAGTGGGCTCATTGGCCGCAGCGACCTCTTCCTGGGGAGCAGCCGGCTTCTCCTCCTCCCTAGCCGGTTCAGGAGCAGGAGTGGGGTTCAAGGTAGGCTTTTCGGGTTCGGACTCAGCGGGCTTGACCTCCTTAGCCGGAACGGGAGCAGGCGCCTCTTCCTTGACAGGCTCGGGCTCGGGCTCAGCGGGCTTGACCTCCTCAACCGGAGCGGGAGCAGGCGCCTCTTCCTTGACAGGCTCGGGCTCAGGCTCGGGCTCAGAGGGCTTGACCTCCTCAACCGGAGCGGGAGCAGGCACATCGTCCTTGACAGGTTCGGGCTCGGGCTCAGAGGACTTGACCTCCTCAGCTGGAGCGGGAGCAGGCGCCTCTTCCTTGGCAGGCTCGGGCTCGGGTTCAGCGGGCTTGACCTCCTCAACCGGAGCGGGAGCAGCCACATCGTCCTTGACAAGTTCGGGCTCGGGCTCAGAGGGCTTGACCTCCTCAACCGGAGCGGGAGCAGGCGCCTCTTCCTTGACAGGCTCGGGCTCGGGCTCGGGCTTGCTCTCCTCAACAGTCGGAGCAGCCACCTCGGCCGGCTTCTGCTCCTCAACGGGTTCCTCAGGCTCAGCAGGGGCCTTGGCCTCTCCAACAGCAGACGCAGGCTCTTCCTTGGCCTCGGGAGCAGGGGCGGGTGCAGCCTCTTCGGTCTTGGCGGGTTCCTCAGCAGGCTTAACCACCTCAGCGGCCGGAGCGGGCTCCTCGACCTCGGCGGGGGCTTCTTCAACGGGCTTGACCTCCTCAGCCGGCTTGGCCTGCTCGACAGCCTCAACCTCCTCAGCAGGCTTAGACTCTTCCACGGCCGGAGCAGAGGCAGCCTGCTCAGCAAGTTTTTCCTCAGCCTTCACCTCCTCAATAGGGGCTGGAGTCGGAGCCGCAGCCCCAGTCTCGGTGGTGGTCGGCTCAGGCTTGGCCTCAGGTGCCAGCGTCTCCTTTGGCTCAGGAGCAGGAGCAGGCTCTTCTTTGGTCTCGGGGGCGGGGGCGGGGGCCGGGGCAGGCTCCTCGGTCTTAACTGGTTCCTTGACTGGCTTGACTTCTTCAGCTGGCTTGATTTCTTCAGCGGCTGGGGCCGACGCAGGGGCGGGGGTCTCCTCGACAGGGGCAGGAGCAGGAGCGGCCTCCTCCTTGATGGGTTCGGACTCGGGCTCAGCGGCAGGCGCGGGGGCGTCATCGGTCTTGGTTTCGGCCTGCTCAACAGGTGCGGAAGCAGGGGCCTCTTTAACCTTGGGAGCTTCCTCAACAACCATCTCTTCAGCGGCAGGCACAGCCTCCACGGGAACGGGTTCGCTGGGCTTCTGTTCCTCCTCCTTCTGCTCAACCTGAAGCTTAGCCTCTTCAACAGCAGCCGGGGCAGGCTCCTCCGCCTTGGCCTCAGCAACAGGCTCAGGCTCAGCCTCAGCCTCAGGGGTCTCCTCGACGGCCATAGGCTCCTCAGCCGGCTTCTGCTCTTCAGCCTTGGGCTCCTCAACGACAGGAGCCGGAGCGGGGGCCTCGACGGGGGCGGGGACGGCCTCCTCCTGCCTAGGCGCCTCCTTAGCCGCCTTCTTCTCCTCAACAGGAGGTTCAGGAGCAGGGGTCTCATCCTTAACAGTCGCCGCAGGTTCGCTCGGCTTCTCCTCTTCCTCCTTCACCTCAGCAGCAATAGGAGCGGCAGCGGGCTCGGCGGGCTTCGGTTCCTCAACGGCCTTTTCCTCAACAGCAGCAGCCGGGGTAGTTTCGACAGGTTTCTCCTCCTCGACAGCAGCCGGGGCTTCCTTCTCGGCCGACTTCTCAGCCTCAGCCTCAGCTTTCTTGGGCTCCTCAACAGCCGGAACCGGAGCCGGGGCGGGGGTCTCCTCCGCCTTCATATTCTCAACAAGGGCAGCGGGGATGCTCTCCTCAGGCTTAGCCTCAACGGGCTTCTCCTCAGCCTCAGGCTCCTCAGCGGCCTTCTCTTCCGCAACAACATGAGCAGGAGCGGGAGTCTCATCAGCAGCAGGGGCCGGTTCGCTGCTGGGTTTCTCCTCCTGGGTAGTGGTGGTGGCAGATTTCTCCTCGACAACTGCCTTCTCCTCGGTCTTGGGTTCCACAACAGTCCTCTCGTCGGCAGCAACAGGGGCCGGAGCAACAGGAGCGAGAGTATCCTCAGCCTTTTCGGTAGCAGTGGTTGCGGTTTCCTCGGATTTGCTAGCGGACTCCTCAGGGGCGGCCTTCACTTCAAGCTTGGTCTCCTCGACCGCCTTCTCCTGAGCAGCGGTAGGCTGGGGCTCAGGCTCGCTGGGCTTCTCCTGTTGCTGGATAGCAACCTCAGCGGCGGCCATAGCCTCGGGTTCAACTGCGTTCTTCTCCACGACAGCAGCCGGAGCATTTTCAATCTCAACAGCAGCTGCAGCCGGGAAGTACGGCTGATCAGCTTTCCAAATGTCCATATGAGAGTAGTGATGATGATGATGGTCATGATGGTGTTTTTTGCTCTTTTTGTGATGCTTGTGGTGCTTACTCTTCTTTTCGCTGCTCGTGCTGGCAACGATGGGCTCCTCAGATATGGGCAGCTGGCGGGGCGTGGGCTCAAGATGGGAGATGATATCCGGGCTCTTGCCGACGACGACGTACGAAGCTGGGCAGGAGTCAGAAATTTTTCATGAATTTTTTTTCAAATCAAAAACAAGTGCCTTGCTGTTTACTCACCTGATCTGGGGCTAACAGGCGATTCTACCTCAGGCACATTGCCGGTGTCGTAGGTAACCTCCTCGTCCGAGGGCGAATGGAAATACTGCACGGCACCATATTGAGCAATCTGAACATTACCAAACTCCGCGAATTGGATGTTGTCATAAGAGGCCTGGGCCCAAGTAGGGTTCGTCCGGGCAGGATCGAACTCGACATGGTCTTCTTGGTGTGGTGGTTGAAAATCAGAATGTGAATATGGTGGGAAGCTCATACTTGTGGGGTGGCGACCTCAGAGGCCTGGAGGGAGGAATGCTCGACCGCAGCAGGGACCTGGGTGCTGATGCAGTTCTTATTATTCTCCATGCAGAAGCGAGAGGAAAAAAAAATCACACAAAAGCAGCGCTGACGGCTCTGATGGGCTGGCTGCGCGCGGCGCTAACGGGTGCTGTTCTGTCGCTTTTAGGGGCGGGGCAACGTCTGTTTTTCTGATTGATTGATGACGGAGTCTCGGGAAGCTGCAGGAGGAACGGGGTTCTAGGGCTTGTTCAGACTCGTTCTCTGGGCTCTGTGAGCGATGCCTAGGGCTTCCGAGACGGCAGAACGATGGTCGAAACGGCTCCTTCGATGCGTATGATGCGTCTGAGTGGAGTCGTTGGGCTGTGGCACGTAGCTAGCTGGCCAGTCGCTGAAGGAAAAAGGAATGGAGATGCAGGTGAAAGTAAACAGTACAATGTACAATGGATAAGGTAAGGTAGCAGATAGCAGGTAAGGTAGGTGAGGGGTGACGTGAGGGGCTTGGAATAGGTATTAGGTCAGGTGTCAATGGATGTGTTTTTTTATGTTTTTGTGTTCGACAGTGTGTAATTGGCGGTGATTGGGCGTTGAGTGATCGAAGATTGAGCGTGTAAGTGGGCGTTGATCGACGTAGGATACGTGAGTCCTGGAAAGAGAGAAGACACAACAGGATCATGGAGAGGCGGACGGCCCTGGGGTTTTGTTTTCTCTGTGGGGTGGTCTACGGATTGCGCTTCTACGGGACTTCCCCCGCTTCCATCCCTCGTATGGTTCACCCTGATCTCGACGTTCTGGCCTGTCTTGCCCGTTTTGCCCGTAACGTCAACAGACCTCAATTTTGCGAAGCCCGGGGGCCGAGATCCGGAGACCGAGAATCTGGGATGATGGCACATTGGGTGGACAGGTTGGATCGTCAGCCTCAGGTGAGCCGGCGCGAGGGGCAGTGGCTAGCCGTGAGACACGAAAAGACGCAGCGCGGCCTGGATCGGGACTTGGCGGCAGGCGCGAATCCCACCGCGGCAGTAAGGTGCAACGAGCTCTCCTATGGCTTCCAAATGGAGCCAATGGCACCAAATGGCCCAATTGCCCATGCAATCCGTCACATTAATCTGCCCCAATCTGCCCAGAGGCCCCAGACCATGCCCAGATTGACCCAGGCCTGTCCTGCGTCGTGCATGCAACTACCCCACGTACACAGCGCACCAGCACGCACTCTGCACCCTGCGCAGTCGCTGCTGGTCGACGCGCGGGGTCTGATGAGGCTTGAAATTGAGTGGGCTATGTGGATCGACCGGACAGCATTGGCCCACCCGGCCGCGGTGGCGCCATGTCGGCGACGAGGGGTTGGTCGGCGTAGAGTCTTAGAATGGGGTTGGGGAAGGGACGAGCTACCCCAGCATCGAAGCACGTTTATCACGAAGGGCATCACTGGATTGGATCAACAAATTCGTCACAGCAGCCTAGTTGGCAGGAAGAGAGTGAAGTCCAATTACCGGACAGCAGGGTGCGCACACATAGCGCGAGTGACCCCAGATGCATGTTGATGAACGAGTGGCAATGGATTGAACGGACGAAGGCACGAGGGCGATGTGCATACGAGCACAGCATGCAGCAGCTTGGAGTGTGTGTTGGAGTGGGAGCTCGGGATTCCCAACCGAGCAGCGACCTCACAAGCGGCCTGGTGACACCTGGATGGAGGGAAACAATGCCATCCCCCATCATCCCTTCAGCCAACTCAACCTGGCAACCTAGCGTGCCTGTAGCTGAGACCGAATCCCGTCGACGACGAGGCCAGCCGATGCTGCGCTGCGGCACATTGACAGCCCAATCTGAATCTCAAAAACTGCCTGACAGCGACATCTGCCTTCCCGCGTCAACTGATTGACGGCAAACGACCGTCGGACCTGCTGATGGATGAGCGAATATCTATCAGATATCCGGTAGTCGTCGTTACGCCCAATTATTGGCTCGGGCGGACAATTGGCGAATTGGCACGACATTGGGCTGCCATGAAGCCACCATTTTCGTTGTCATTTTGCCCTCGCTGCCGTCTCAAGTCCCACCGTTACTCCGTTGACACCCTGACAGCTCCCAGCGCTTCCATTCCCGTTCCAGGCTTCCAGGCACCTTCCTGCTTCATGATGGATGGTCCATCGTCAGCTTCCCATCCTGCCAGTTTGCTGTTCGGTCAACAATTTTGCGAAAGCCCATGGGCGCCGACCGTCATGACCGCGGAGGACACCCGTCTCACATCCGTCCTTGCTCGGGCCATCGGCGATGGCAGCTCTGATCGGTCCGTGTCTGCAACAAACATCAAGACTTGTCCATCCAGATACAGACAGGACAAAAGCCAGACGAACCAATTCTCTCTATAGATATATACTACTCGGAATCCTTCACCGCCATTGTATGCGCTCAACTACCGATGACAGCATCTACACAGTCGATTCTTGCTTTCGCCGGCGATGATGGTCCCGTCAAACTCCATCCAAGCCTGCCATCTCTTGCTGTAGCTGCAGCGCAGTGTGCATGGTGCTACGGTTGGTCGCGAAGGGTTTGCTACGTGGTTGGCCGCTGCTGGTCCGCCACTCAAGGTGCAACACGGCGGGACTAACCGCAACCAAGCTAGCGACGACGGGTCCATCCAATGTGGGGCACACCTGGGCAGACAAGGGTCTCATTTTCTATCCGAAGTCTGGGCACGCTCTCCGTGCTACACTACGGAAGTATAGATCGCAAAGCCAAAAAGTTTGGATGCCCAAACACCATGCTGAATAAATTTTGGCTCGAAGTGATTGTAACCGGCGGCTGCTGCAGATGAGGCATTATCACCAGCATGGAAAGATACGGCCGGTAGAGACAGCCGAGCAGCCAACATCTCCCTCAACAACCTGTTAGCACAGGGACTTTGGGCGCCGACCGTCCGCCACCCACGAATGGCGCTGGTCCATGGCCCACGCGAAGTTCCGCGCTAACGATCGACAAAAGAACGTTGGTCTTGGCCCTTGGCGTCAGCTTGGCTTGGGCTGGACGTTATTTTTTTTCAGCATACAGCACACCACTTCATCAGGTTAGGCTCCACGTTTTCAATCCCAGCGTTACCACCACGCCGGCTGCCCCCGTTGGCGTTGCGTTTTTGGCAGCTTTTCCCCACAGAGATCCACGAGCTTGCCATCCCACCTCTCGAAATCCTCAGATGACGCTGATGAGATGCAGCATTTCCCTCGAGCCATTCCCATCCGCCTCATCTGGCCCGAGATAGCCATGCTGCCCTAAGGGCCACTTAGCACGATCTGCTAATGCCACGACGCACAAAGTCATGCATTTTTCCAGAGCTTCTAGCATTTCCTATTATTCTCGATGCGCGACAGATGTGCAGAACACGCTGGCAGATGGGAATGCCGTGTAGACTGAAGATAGATCTCGGTCATCGGCGTCAGCCCGATCTCGACGTGATGTCCGTTGATACCGGTCGTTACGGTCCGTAACACGTAGCTCACAGCTCTGCCAAGCTTCCACACCCCGCACGGCGTGGGGTTTCCGTACGGTAATTTACAGATAATCGGTAATGGGGAGTAACGAAAATCTTGGCTATCGCGGATCTGGCGCCCATCGCCGAGAAAGCCGCCTGATCGCAGACCAGATACCTGATAACAGCATGATTGATGACATGTACTAATATTAAGAACGCTAAAAGTGACTCGATGGGAAATTATAGAAACGCCAATACCTCGGTGCTCCTTTTCCTCACCCCCGAACTAACCTTCCTTTTGCCCCTCAGAATCGCAACGGTTCTCCAATCAATTCCGATCACGAAAATAAAGCAGAAAACAAAACTTGGTAAATCAAGCTGCGAGGTTGGAGCCCGAGCGCGAGGATGAGGGGGAGGAAGCTGGGCTGGGTTCTCGGCACGCCAGCCTCTCCACCCTAGCGTTTCCCCCAACGTCGAAGCTTGTTTTTGCCGATCACGTCTTCTGCTGCACTGCGGCAGAACCAGGGGTCATCAACCATTTTTGGGCATGGAGACGCCAAAGCGCTTGATAGACGAATCCCCAAAACAACTTTGTCAACCCAATTACTACCTCAAGACAAAAAGCGGTGTGAATTGCCCCCCCCCCCTCACTTAGTCTTTGTGTTCTCTTCGGCAACGCAAGACTGTCACAGCGCACTATGCCCCGAGTAAAACCATTTCGGGACGTCGATGGCAAGGAGGGGCAGCAAGATTGACCACAACACATTCCCCCACCGTTTCGATGACGCAAATGTGGGGCCTACAACGAGGTGAGGCTGCGAGGCTGAAAACGGTGGCAGGTGGACGGCAGGTGAAAAGACGACTATCAAGAGAAGTAGTGTAAAAAGGCAACTTGATACTTTAGGTGCTGCATCACGTGTAAAAACAACAATTCATGCCTACCTACGCCCAAGTTTACCCATCGTCATGAAACCAAGCATCTGTAAGTGTTGTCCCGCATGAGCGAACTCTCCATTCATCCATCAACCGGGCGGCCAGCTCGTTCAATCCCCTCGCTTCCTGACGTGTGTAGTACCTAGGTAGTGTGTTGCGTTCGTGTGTGTGTGTGTGTGTGTGTATACATCGAAAAATCCTGACAACATGATAATGAAAATGAAAATCTCAGAACGCCAACCCCATCCATCCCCATCGCTTCAGTGAGGACAAATAACCACGAGAGCGAAAAGTCAGCAGAAATGTTAGGTTAGGTAGGTAGGTAGAGAAGGGAGTAGAAAACCGCATAGTGGAGCGATGGTGACGTGAGAGGCACCCCACCGGCACCTTCCCCTGGCCCGGCCGGCGCCTGTCATGCGAGCCGAGTTAAGCATCTGCGCCGGCTGACACCTGATTCTAATACAACATCACGGGCGAGAATCAGACACAGGCCCGCCGGATGGAAGCTAGCATAGAACGTTCTATCCCCGGCGCCGGCATATGCAAAAGACACCAGGTAAGTCCCGGTGGGCGCCGAACGGCCCGATGGGGACGGTCGAGAGACGAACTGCATGCAGGACAGGACAGGCTCCAGCTTTCCCCCTGCCAAGCCTGCACAGCCTCCGTCCATCCCCGGAGCTCACAACTCAAATCGCCATTTCGGCCTGCAGTTTCCTGAGCTCGGCTTCTTCGTCGTCTTCCTCGACGGCCGGAGCCTTGCCTTTGACTGTTGACATGAAACAGGTTTTGTCAGCAACCTCTGCCCCGAATATGATGATAGCCGTGATAAGCACTCACGTTCTCCGTTCGCCACTTCGGGCAGCTTCTGAGCCGGTACGGTGCCCGTCTTGAGCATCTTCTCCTCCAAATCCTGCTGCTGCAGGGCCTCGAGCTCCTCTTCTAGCTCTCCCTCGTCCACCTGCGGGCCAATGGCAATACTGCTCATCGCCTGCGAGATCTCCTCGTTGAAACGGTTGTGCTCTTGCAGTATGTCCCTGTTCCAAGGTCAGTCCAGGTCATCCCCCCAAACCAACAAGATATGGAAACACGTACATGGTCACTTCGACCTTTTCCGGCGTGAGCTTGCCGTGTATTGACTTCATGGCTTCGCTGGCGCGCTGCATGGCCAGGAAAGTCTCCTGGTTGATGTTGGCTGTCTCGATTGCATTCATCTGCTGCTCAATAGTCGCGATGTGGTTTAGCGTTTGCTCGAGGTTATGTTCATGGATCTTCTTTCGTCGAAGCGCGGCTTTCGCAGCTGTATCAACAAGATCGGGTCAGCATGTCCTCTCGTTGGCGGCCGTCAAAGGGGAGGAAGGGTGGATATCCATGCCGCCCGGGGAGCCAACAACCTACCGGCCTTGTTGGTGTTCACATTTTTCCTCGCGATCTGCTCCTGCTCCTCGATCTGACGCATAAGGTGCTGCTCGCGCTTCTGTAGCATGTCGAGTTGCGTCCGCAGATCGAGGATGACATTCTTCGGGGTGTCTTTCCGCTTCTGCGAACCACCACCGAACCAGCTCCAGATTCCTGACATGGCAGCGGGCTGTCTAGTCTAGATTCTAGGATAGATAGACGTGATAGTAAAAGAGGTTGTCGATGAGCGGAGACCTGAGTCGCCTCCGCGATGGCTGGCTAGCAGAAGGATCCTGCGGGCAGTAGTTGGCGGTGCAGGTGATGGTGAGTCTTTGCAGATGACGCGTCCTGATACCAACCGTTTGGCGGGGTTGACCTAACGTCAGGCAACTGGCAAGGTTGACGGAGGGGCCCAATGGTAGAGTGGCCAGACGCAAGCAGGAAACGGGACTGGCTGAGTGACAAAGTATTTGGACGTCGTTCTACAAGATCTCGCTGGCAAAAGGTGCCGATGAGACGTAGGAAAATCGAGCAAGGCAACCTATCGCGGAAGGTTGACAGATGCAAGGCGTTGTCAGCACCCAGACCGTCCTCGCAGCACAGGATGATCACCGGGCGACGGCGACTGCGAGCGGGTCTCGGTGCGGGGCCGTGCACGAGCCGTTCTCCACTTTAATCCCGAAGATAACCCGCCTTCGGTCTCATGTTATATCACGTGATGTCGCGATAAGGACGTGCTTCTGCCTGGAGATGACGTAGAGTTTCTGAAGAAAACCCTAAGCATTCAATCTTGCCCCAGTGTTTTGGGACGTTGTTGTAGCGAGGTCTTACCAGACTGAATCGTTGACGTTCTGATCTCTCACGGATAAAGTGCCGTCTCTCGTAACGGTCAGGTGGTCGCCTATGGCAACGACCAGTTGAAGATGGTGTGTTCAATTAAGACAATCGAAGTTGTACGTATTTCAAAGATTCTCCCAGTTTAAAAAGACATCATCCATTGACTTCCCAGTGTCATAAGAGTGAGCAGAATTTCAATTAGAAAACATGCATTCGGTTCAGAAAGTCAGTATTCAACCTGACCTTCGTGGTGCCCAACTTGTCCTCCTCCCCCATCTCCGAAAGCGATCAGTCGGCGAGAAAGTTCGCTTCCTAGGCTGGTAGGTCTGACAGTTCTGATTACTTATGAATCCAAATCTTGACTAACCTCTCCCCTACCCAGTGTCATGGGCTATGATCCAACCACCGCCACGCTTACCTTGGAGCATGACGTGCACCCGGTTACCTCCAAGGCAGGCAGCCCCATGAAGACGATCGCTCGAGTAGACGCCCACCTGGTCCTTGACTGCTTATATTGGGATAAAGTGCGCGTCGGCGAGTGGCTCAACGTGCTGGGCTACGTTGAAAAACACAAGATCGAAGGGGGCAAGTTTGGCCAAGAATATTTGCCCGTTAAGGAACAGCCCCAATATCAACCTGCTCTGTTCGTTGTCAACATCCAAGCCACGTACATCTGGTCCACGGGACCAATGGACATTGACCGGTACGTGCAGACGGTTCGGGTTCTGGAGGCTGAATTAAGCGGGTGAAGATGGGATGAGCTGTTTGGAAGTAAGGTCGGGGTGAGGTACCATATTAATACCTACCGACTGCTCTTCATCTCAGCAATTCCCAGCTGTTCTGTCAAGCTCGCTTGATCACCGAGCTCCACAAGGGGCAACCCATCTTCTTGACCCAAGGCCCGGCCCGTGTGCCATTGGCAGGCCACAGATCATGCAACTAGGTGGGCACTGATATCCACCTAGTTCAGCCGTGGCGGAGGACGACTGTTCGCCGATGCATCCTCAGTGGCAGTCGCCCTGTTCAGAACTCGGTCCACGGGACATTCACCAAGACAAGACGCTTTCATGTCTCCATAATCCAGGTGATTTAAGAAGCCAGCCGAGCCTGTGCCAGGTATATCAAAGCTGTTTCTGGACATCTTTACCAACAGCTATTTTGGGCCACATCAGTCAGACGCCCAAGAGCACTCAGGATAAGATCTTAGAGGGACAGAGGTTAAGTTTATCGTCTTCTCTGGCCTCAGAAATGTCACCAATGGGTAAACTATAGCCCCCTTTGCCGATTACACTCGTATACTGTTCATTAAACAAGCCATGACTGCGAAGCCAATGTTATGCCCAGGCGGCGTGCAACATGTCCATCTAATACAGCCTACTTCAACACCATCTCTCCCAAGGCTCTCTCCACTTAACCCCCAGTATCTCAAAGATCCTCTTCTCATCCCGTCCCTTGACCAATTCCCCCCCTGTAACTTTCACGCTTCCCTTTTTCCTCATAACCTCCTTATACAACCCCCTCTGGTTCAACCTCATCCCCTTCTTAGCCGCCAACAACCGCATGCTCCGATTAAACATTTCATTCCCTGTGAAGTAGATAAGCGCCGCGCCGTACTCCGTTTCTGGCACCAGCAGAAAATCAATCCGCCTCCAAACCAGCGGATCCCTGCCTCCAGCTTCCTTTGGCAAAACACAGCACCCGTGCCATTTACTCCCGGGCCCGTCTTTTCCCGGGCGATGGGTATGTAGCGCCGCGAGCGTCGCGACCAGGAAGCCCTTGCGCCCGAGCACCGTGATCAGGTCTTCAAGGAAGTGCACCAGCTCGCCATACGTGCGGGTGCCTTTCTTTGTGATAATGATGTCGATGTCCCCCGAGGAATCGGCGCCGCGGCGGTAGCTGCCGCCGACGAGCAACTCGATATTCGGATCAATAGCTCCAGCTTCGCGACGTACGTATGCGAACAGGGCCTCGACTTCTGCACGGGGAATTCGGCTGTTAAGGTCGTCATAGTGCTCAATGCCGATGCGTTGGTTAGGCGTGAGGTCAGCCTTCTGACGCAAGTCTTCCAACGTGCGGAAGCCCTGCGTGATCCACTTGTTTGCCTGAGCGTTGCCAACGCCGTAAATCTTGAGAAATGTGGAAAGGATTTGGCCAGTCGGCTCATCATTAGCGTAGTCCAGACGCCGAAGACGGTTTGTTGAGACAATCTCTTCGATCTTGGCCGCAAGCCGGCTGCCAATATTGGGCAGACGAGCAGCTTCCTCAGCGGTGCAGATCTCGACTGTTTGTCTTCGGAGGGTATTGATCGCTTTACGGTAGGCTATGCTCCGCCAGCGGTCGTTGATGCGTGTGTAATAGTCGCACATGGCCTGAAGGACTTCAATCGTCCGGGCATTGGGGTTCTGAGAGTCTGTTGACTTGTCTTTTGTCCCACCCCGACTGCAGGCGAAACGGTCGGCGAAGGATATCTCCTGTCCCCCGAGGCATGTTTTCACCGGTGCTCGTTTTTGTGCTCGCTCCCCATCAGATGGTTCTGAGAGTTCAAAATCCGGTACGGCTTCTGGGCTATCATTGATCGACTGAACATCATCTTCTTCGGGATCGAGAGGAAGATCTTTATACTGCTGTATAAGTTCAATATACTTGGAGAGTTCATCCTTGATCTCTGGCCCCGTTCTGGTTAGCTTTCTAGCGGCCGGCTCAGATGGACGAGATATCTCGGGTTTATATGTGGATGGTTGGTATAGTATGCTGTCAGGAGCTTGGTTCTGAACAGTAGCTTTTGTCTGTGCAAGCCTTGGTCGAATTGGGGATGACCAATCCGGGGATGTGATCTCTCCTTGAGGGGAAGACTCCCTCCTTCTCTTGGAGGACTTTGTCTCACGTACATCTAGTGAACGATCAGATGCCTGCGTAGAACATTGGTTGCGAGATAAAGACTCCTTCACAAGACGAGGAAACCCAGTGATTTTGTATCGCCTTTGGTCTGGGTTAAGTATTGTGCGGAACGAGATGCAGTCGAGGGGGTAGTCTTCATTGACTACAATCAATGACGCTGGGGGATGAGGCCCCAAAATACGTTCAATGTCCTTGTATTTCAATGCCTTGTCCACGATGACATGGCTTGCGGCGGTAAGTTGTCGGACCCATTGGGCACCATGTTCCTGGGCTCTTGTGATGCGTAGCTTGCGCGCAGGAGCTATGTCATTGTCCGGGATGTAATAGAAACATAACCCAGTAAAGATCTGAGGTGCTTGATGTACTGCCTTTTGAGCAGCAGCTTGTCGCTTGCGCTTTCTCCCAGCGGTGCTGGGCAGTGGCGACTGTTCGCTCAGCGAAGGGGCCGGTATCTCAGGCATCGTCATGCTCCGGCGAAGGCCTGCCCGCGTAGGTTGTGTAATGTCCGGAACTGAAGTCTCTTCTATGGTTTGAAATGAGCTTTCCAGAGTTGTCGGGATTCTGACTGCGAGAGGTTGATTCCCCGGGGCACCCTCAATGACTCGTGCTCCTGGTGTAGCTGTTTGCGCCGAGTGTTTGGCCGTTATGCTCTTTGATCGCGACAATTCTGGATCCTCTTGGTCTTTTCCCTTCTGCTTCTTCGGGAACGTAAGCTTCGCTTGAGACTTGAAAAAGGCTCGGCTCTGTTCGCGATACTTTAATTCCTTGGGACTGAGCTCATCATCACTATCACGAATCACATCAAGAGCCTGTAGCTGGGCAAAAAATGCCTCTTTTTCATCCAAGGTAGGAGATCTCATTGTTTCATATGAAAGTGCTTGTTGCAAGTCAAAATAAAACTGGATAACTGAATTCTTGTGCTTAATCCAAAGTCCAGTCGGAGTGCATCCGATGCTGCGGCAGCCGTAACAGTACCAGGAGCTCCTTCAGATTGACCCGACATCTTAAATAGGTTTGCGATCCCATATCAATCAAACTAACATCCACTCCTCTGGTCACTGGCTCGCCGATAGTGTGGCTGCCTAGTGTTGTGTCACCTCTCGGCAATAACGCGCCAGTGGTCGAGGGCCGTGTTGCGGACCGGAAAATCGACTTCCAGAGATTCGCAGAAGCGCGAGAAGAGGGGCAGTAAATGCCGCGAAACTGACACGATTGCACGTGACAAGTTTACCCTCCCCATCGATGGCACCATTTCGGTTTTCGTTTTGATTGGTTCGCTTCTAACGCCGTTTCAGCATCCGCAGGCAGGGGCTCAGGGGTCCACAGTCCCAGAGCCTTGCTGTCACTGTCTTGCTCCACTGTCCCTCTTGCCCCTTTCCCCTGTTTTCATCCTGTCCTGACACATCAACCCGCGCTCGACCTGAGTTCAAACTTGTTTCCCTACTCATCTATCGACAATTATACCATTCGCTACGGTATACATTTCCAAGAAGTATATAAGTCAGCCACTCTAATAATTATCGACTTTATAACGCTTGAAAACCGAGAGGGCTAGGCAAAGCTTCGCTCTCTGAGTAACCATGTCCAACCTCTTCTCCGGCATGTGAGTTACACCTGTGGCTCTTAAGAAATATGGCGCTACTACCTGAGATTGACTAGTCTTTGCTGTGATGGGCCATTTATCTATCCTCATTATCTCAGAGATAACTTGAATGTCATCCGTTCAGACACTGACATGTCATCAGCAACGCCCGGCTGCGGGGCGCCACAGCCAAGCATGCGGATAAGGACAAGGACTCGAAACCACCAGCCTCTCCCACAACGAAGGATGGGTTTCTTGCTTCTCCCATCTCAGTGAAGAAGAGCAAGTCGTCGAGCAATCTAGTTGTCTCCACAAAGCTGCCACCTCTGCCGACATCTCCCTCCCTTTCCCAGACCATCAGCCTTTCAGCCACTGGTGAGGAGATTTTAGCCTCATATCGCCTGCCCAAGCCATACCCGTTATGGCTCAACGCCAACTATGCAAAGCACATTGTGAAGGGCAACTTCATGACTCTTAGCGCACGGCCAAAAGTAGTTGAGCAGGGAGAATGGATCGCTCACCAAGGTGAGTTGTCAAAAAGTCCATAGATATCATATATAACATTGCTAACTGGCAGCAGTGGTTGAGCACTGGCGCAATCTCTGGAACTTCATTCAAGTTGTATATGCTAAAGAGCAGGATGGCAAGAGTATATGCAACATCAATACTTGTCCCAAGATGTCTGCTGGGCCGTATGTGTCCGCCTTCTCTCATCCATTGGAAGCTCACATCGTACTGACAAACACAGCAACCATTCATACACATGGCTGAACAGCCGCTACGAACCCATCGAATTGCCCGCCCATGAATACATGCAGCTCATGCAGCGCTGGATCTCGGGCAAGATCGACGACCAGAAGCTCTTTCCGACCGATCCGCAGACGGTTTCGTACGCCCCGAACCCAAGCATCGCCAACACCACCCTCCTGACTGGTGGAGATGAATGGATCGGCAAGCGCAGCGGCTTTCCCAAAGATTTTGCCAGCATCTGCCAAACTATATTCCTGCAGATGTTCCGTGTCTATGCTCATCTTTATTGGGCCCACTTCGTCGACCCCTTCTACCACCTAAACTTGGAGAAGCAGCTCAACAGTTGCTTCTGCCACTTCATCCTGACCGCGACCACTCTCGACATGCTCAAGCCATCGGCGCTGGAGCCCATGCAGCCTCTGATCGACCTATGGGCGGCCAATGGCACTTTCCCGCCAGATTCCAAAGCTTACGAGTATGCAAATCTGAAGGCGGGCAACCGTCTGTTGCAGCTGGCAGGCCTGGCTTGATAATGTGTTTTCAAGGACGTATTGGGATGGGTATATTGCAAGTTGATGTGACAGGTACATAGGGTAATGCGATTTACATCACCATGGAGTTTGGGTGTTTTATGGGAATGGGATGATATATGCTATCAGTGGTTTCTATGGCAGAATTGAGCAATGTACTCCCGGGTTGGTGCAAGATGATAGACATTAGCCATATCATGCTATATGTGCTCTGTGATGTGTTTGTACTGCCTGTATGGGAGCTTACTGGTAGACCTTCACAAGTTTACATGGCTATGTGCCAAACACGTACGCAATTTGCTGTCATTTCTTGAAGCAATTATCTTTCTAGTTTAAAGTCACTCAAACCTTTTGTTTCCATTTATTAAGTGCCATATGTAAAAGAAGTTCAACATATGTATTTGAAACAATGACCCTCCTTTAACAGGGTCACTGAACTTGTGATGGCGGGGCACTCTCCCCACATTCGCTTATCGGGGTTGTCTGGGAATTTTCGACCCAAATTCTTTGCGCCTGGAAGCCCAAAAGTCCAGACCAGCGCCGACACACCATTTCATTGACTTTTTCTTTCCTCCCTGACCCCCCCCGCAAGAGTCTCTTTCTCTCTACAATTCTCTTCCCTCCCACCATAAGTGTCTTTCTCCATTCGCGCACCCATCGCGATCAGTTCTGCTTGCCCCGCACTGCTTTTTACCCAACACCCAACAATGACCCAGGTGGTCGACGATTCGATGGACATCGAAGTCGCCGAGAGTAAGCTCAAGGCGCTTGACCATGCAGAGCAGCACTATTTCAACAGGTAAGAAACAACATGTGATGTGTATTCCTGCAATTGCATACCTTGCTAACATCCTACACTACAGCTACAATCACCATGGTGAGACAATGACCTTTGTTTCAGTGACAATGCCTTCGTTTGATCAGTCTGCTAACTTCCTCTTGCGCGTGCGCACAGGCATCCATGAGGAAATGTTGGTGTGTACATCTCGAAATACCCGCAAAGCTGGAAGAATTAGGTTGGCTGACTGGGTACGCCCATACAGAAAGATGAGGTCCGGACACGGTCGTACATGAACGCCATCCTGCAGAATAAGCATCTGTTCAAGGACAAGATTGTTCTCGATGTTGGCTGCGGCACTGGCATCCTGTCCATGTATGCTCTTCTACACTCTCTTGAGGGAGAACAGACCTCTGACAACTCTACGCACTTCTAGGTTCGCTGCGAAGGCTGGTGCCAAGCATGTCATTGGCGTTGACATGTCGACCATTATCTTCAAGGCCCGCGAGATCGTCAAGATCAATGGTCTAGCCGACAAGATTACCCTGATCCAGGGAAAGATGGAGGAGATTGAGATGCCGTTTGAGAAGGTCGACATCATCATTTCGGAGTGGATGGGCTATTTTCTCCTGTACGAGAGCATGCTCGACACTGTTCTCTATGCCCGTGACCGGTACCTGAAGAAGGATGGTCTCATCTTCCCCGATAAGGCCACCATCTTCATTGCTGGTATCGAGGATGGCGAGTACAAGGAGGAGAAGATCGGCTGTATGTCCCTTTCCCATTCTCGCTATGCAGCTCAGTTACTGACCCTACTCCCTAGTCTGGGATAACGTCTACGGCTTCGACTACACCCCCCTCAAGGAGACAGCCCTTGCTGAGCCCCTCGTCGACACCGTCGAGATGAAGGCGGTGGTTACCGATCCCGCCCAAGTCCTGACCCTGGATCTCTACACGGTCAAGCCGTCCGATCTCTCCTTCAGCTGCCCCTTCGACCTGGTTGCTAGGCGCAATGACTTCATCCACGCGCTGGTGGCATGGTTCGATATCGAGTTCTCGGCGTGCCACAAGCCGATCCGCTTCTCGACGGGCCCACACACCAAGTACACACACTGGAAGCAGACCGTCTTCTACCTGCGCGACGTCCTCACGGTCGAGCAGGGTGAGAGGATTGAGTGCTCGCTACACAACCGGCCCAATGACAAGAACAAGCGCGACCTCGATATCAAGATTGAGTACCGCCTTGATACCCAGGATCCCACCCGCCAGGCCGAGGGTGTCTGCACCTACAAGATGTGCTGAGTGGTTCTCATCCAACTGTTCTGCCCTCCTAGTTCCCTGCCTTGCTTGTTGTTGTCCCCTCTCCTGCGCGGGACTTGGTTAGTCTGGCGTCGGTCATATTACTCACCAACTGCTGCTAATATTGCCCGAACTCTGCACACATCACGACATGTCACCACCTGAGAGAGAAGCCATTTGGAAGTACAAAAGCATCATTTTGCTTCTGAGACCATGCTGGGAGGGTGGGTGGTAGGAAGGCGGGCAGGTACATATGACGTAATGGAATTCGTCTCAGCATCAACCAAGTGGAGGGATGGCTACTAGAAGGGTCAGGTTGAGTCACTTATCCTTACCACGTACCTAGCGAGCAAGCGAGGGTTGAGGGCTCGCTTTCGGACGGTCTTTGGGTCAGCCGTCGTCCTCAGCATCCTCCACCGTTTGTTTGCTGAAACAGGAAATTTTCAACGGCCCCATATACAAAGCAGAAAGGGTGGAAACCGAAAGATTTGGTTGCGGTTGTAGCGTAGCAGGGCGTGCTACAGCTCCCATATGCCATGATTTTTTTACATAGGGGAACCTACCTACTTCACTTGACTAGGTTCGAGAGAGGAGTGGCTAGCGTCGTCGTCTTCGTGTGATGGATACCCCAACAATCGAGACAGACAGAACTGTGTTTCTACCTAATCAACGCAGTTTGTTAACGCAGTGCTTAGTGGTTTATTTGTGCGGTGACTGTTTTGTTATATTTGGTGTGTTACGATGAAATGAAGACATAAATGGATCGTCTCACCAGGTCTTGTCTGAGCCTTATCTACAACCATTACTGCTTGGGCACGTTTCATTGGTAAGAGGTAACACAGTTAAAGACCTGAACTCAAAAGTGACACCGTCAGGGAGATTTTCATTTCAACGACGACGTAACGCCTCGCTCCCGTGCTATTTACACTCAGCACGCTGCCCTCGCTCCACAACACCCTTTATCCCTTCCAACTCTATTCCCATCATCCAACCCCTGAAACAAAAGGGAAATACTTTGCTCATCAGTCGTTCGTTATCGTCATGGTCATCTCATCATGATCCATTGTTTTGTTTCGCGTTTTTTTTTCGACACAAGTTGTCCCTTCGATGTTTTTGCCTTTTTTGATTATTCCCAACTTTTCCCTGCTCTTTCATGAGCAACTCCCATAGATCATTTCAATATATTTTTTTCCTATTCTTTTTTTGGCCTTTCCATATCCCAGATGCATTCGACTGATGAGTCGTAGAGAAAGGAGTGATATTCTCCGCGACGGTGTGACAGTACTCTGACAGAAACCTGACCGAATTAAAAGGCGAAATCGGTGGTAAGAAAGGACTGAAACCCAAACATCAAAGGATCTTGGGTGGAACACCCAAGATGCAGGCTCAATCGCACTCATCCCACTTACCCCACTTATATTCATCCCACTTATCCTCAGCCCACTCATCCCAGTCAACCTCACCGTTGGTGAGGTATTTCGGCTCCTTGTAGATCCTGTCCACGTTGATGCGTCGATAAGACGGGCTCAACCGCCGCTCCCGCTCCTCATCCTCTTCGATCAACCAAAACAAGTGGTCCCAGTCCTGCAACCAGGGGTCCGACGGTGACAACGGCGGAGGAGCGCTAAAGGCCGCTAAAGACACCCCGCCAGGGCAGTTGTAGTCACTGCGGCGGCTCCACTACTGCGCGCCATAGCGCTCGACAATACGAGCAACGCGTTCGGCCAGCTCGTTGGCCTCTGAGCGGGTAGCAGCTTCGGCGTAGACGCGGCAGGCATTCTCGGTGCCACTGGCGCGGGCGAAAGCGCGAGCATCCTTGTACTTCCTAACGACCTCGTCAATCTCGTCCTGGCAGCCTACAGGGGAGAGCAGGCGACGTTCAGCGTCAGTGGTGCGGAACAGGTCCTTGTTACCGACCTCGACGCGCACCAAACGATTAGGCAGGTCGGTGTACGTCATGGCCCAGTCACTCAGAGTCCAGTTCTTGTGGGCGAGGATCACCTCAACCAGGAGCATGTCGGAAATAGCATCACCGACTGTCTGGTTGATCAGGTCACCCAAAGCAGCAAGGGTATCGAGCGCATCCTTCTGAGCGGGAGACTGGGGCTCCTTGGTCTTGAAGGCACTAAGCGCATCAGAGGAGAAAAGCACCGTGCCGTGACCGTTGGCCTCGAAGTACACTCCAACGTCGAATCCCTGAGCCACGTGGTGGAGGTGCTTAACGCCAGTCGGTGTGCAGATCACGGGCAGCTTCAAGTGCTGAGTAATGTAGTTGGTGCTGGCACCGTTCGCGTAGGCGGTCTGGACAACGCCAATGCGGAGCTCGTCCTTCAAGCCAGCGCTCTCAACGAGGTCACCAATAAAAGAGGCAGCGAGAGAAGAAATGCGATCACCGTCGAGCATGACAAAGCCAGTCTCGGCATCCACATAGTAGTAGATGAGACGATCAGCATCGCCGTCCAGAGAGCAAGAGCGGACACCCGGCACAGGCTTCGGCGACGGGGGAGCACGCTGCTTGGTCTTGACGAAATCGGCACCGCACTGGGAACGTCAGCATGCTGGACACTCGTGGGATTAATGTCAAAACATACGTCAAGGTTGAGAACTTCGGGACGAAGAACATCATCGTTGACAATCTTGACGTGGAAGCCGGTCTTATCCTTGGGGATATACTTCAAAAGCTCAGCCAGCTTCGGACCACCGACGCCATTGGCGCAGTCAACAATGAGATTGCCCTGGACACGGCGGCCCCTCAAGGCACGAACAAAAGCCTCGGCCAGCTTCTCATAGTACCCAGCCTCGCTGACCTTACCATACGAGAGTGGGGTGCCCTCGGTATTGGTAGCACGAACCAAGTAGTGCAGCTGCGGGGTAGTCAGGAGCTTGTAGTCGACAAACTCGGTGTTGGTAGCCTGCAGAGCATCGGCAAGGGCAGCAACAAGCTTGTGGCCGGAAGGACGGGTGTCACGGCCATAGATAACCTTAGCAGGAGCGCTGAGATCGATCTTAAGGTCCACAGCGAGCTTGTTGTAAATGGCAGCGAGTTCATCATCGCTGCTGGCGTTAACCAGGGTGGTCGCATGGCGCTCCCAGTCCTGCTCGAGCATGTCCCCCATAGGGTCAACGATCTTGACACCATTATCAGCTGCCGGATTGTGACTGGCTGTGACCATGACACCGATAGTTTGACCGCCAAGCTTGCGACTGCGCAGCGAGGCCAGAAGACCGACCCGGAAGGTGACGGCCTCCAGCAGATCGGCTTTCATGCGAAAGCCAGCAGTGCCATAGGTGTACTGCTTGCCATCTCCGAGCGAGACCAGAGGATGCTTGGCCGAGGCGGCCTTGATGTTCTCGTCGATGGAAGCCATGTCTGCTAGTCGGCGACTAAATGTGGGCTGGAAAGAACCCGGTGGTCGATCAGCGATCGTGAGTCGGTCGGTCTAGGGTGCTGTGCTTGGCCCAATGTTGGGCTGAAGGTGCGGTGTAGGTATTGAAAGGTTCAAGAAAGGGGGAGGAGAAGAAGCGGTCGGAGAGAGCCCGGCAGCTGGTGAGATGAGCCTGGAGGGTGAAAGCAGTTTAAGCTTAAGGCTCCCGTGCCCAGATAAAGTTGGGGAGAAAGGACCCTAAATCCTGACCTAAATTGCCCAATCCCAAAATTGCGGGGCCCGCCGACTGATGATTGCGCAAATCACTCAACAGCACCAAAAATCAGAAAAACAAAACAAAAAGAAGGAAAGACACGAGCCTAAGACAGCAGCAGACCCGCTGGGGACAGGAACGGCAGGAACACTCGGTTGCCCCGCGCTGGTGAGGTGCTTCGAGCCAGGTTTGCGAGGGCAGGCTTGGGTGGGGAACTCCTTTCCGGCACGGGTAGCAGTTGAGCAGGGCGGGCAGCAAGGCTCGACAACATGTGGGGGATCCATGCAGCTAGCTCCAAAACAGCCTAGCGGAACCCCCCACGCGCGTGCTGCAGACACGCTCATTTGCCGAGACGCGTTTATTGAATCGTCGTCTCTCTGGGAACGACGGACGGTCGCTGCCTTGAAAGTCAACAGTCAACAACAGGCTGCCGGAGGGTCATGACGCTATCATGCATCGCGACATCCTCGCTTGACATCGGTTCAACTCTACATCGCCGTTTGCTCTGCTTTGCTGGCATCCCTATCGATATTCTCTCGGAGAGTTGGCCGACTTGGTCGACGACCATTGGCGGCTTGTTGAATGCCTTGTTTCCGCAAGGCCTGCTATTAGATTTTATTTTGTCTTTAACTTCTCTCATTTTTGAGTGTTCTATTCTGTAAAGTGCTCTAATCAACTTGTTATCCAACATGCCAACTCAGTCCGATGAGGACTGTGCCAACCCTTTGCTTCTAAAATGGGTAAAGGAGTGGTGGGACATGGCCCGAGAGCGCAATACCAAGGGCATCATAACATACAAGCATGCCTATGACTCGCTCAAGGCCTGTCCGATCGCTTTCGAGCACCCAGCATCGCTGGTGCAATTGAGGGGCTTTGGCCCAAAACTATGCGAGCGCCTGACTGAAAAGCTCAGGCAGTACTGCGAAGAAAATGGCTTGCCTATGCCCCCTCATCCGATGACAAAGCGGAAGCGAGATCAGCGGACAGTACCCCCCGATCTCCTGAACGATGGTATCGACCAAGATGACGGAGCTCCGCAGCCCAAAAAGCAAAGGAAACAAAGGGCATATGTTCCAGCCTACCGGTCCGGTGCATATGCCATCCTCATGGCCCTCTCCGGCATAGACCAGCATGCTGGGATGACCAAGTCTCAGTTGATTGAAGCAGCCCAGCCATACTGCGACGCATCCTTTACGACACCATCCGACCCGACGAAATTCTATACCGCATGGAATTCGATGAAAGTACTCCAGCAGAAAGAGCTTGTCTATGAGAAAGGCCGACCGCTGAAGAAGTATTGTTTGACGGATGAAGGCTGGGAGATTGCTATGAAAATTCGCGAGACGGATGTCCCGAAAGCTGGTAGTAACGGAACATCCGCCGGTGCGACATCTACTGCAACCTCCAGTGCTGCGGCAGCAAGCACATCAGCAAAGGCGACAGCGAGCTCATCGAAGAGCTTGTCAAACAGCGGGAGGACACCAGCAGTACTCTCAACACTACCGAAATATGAGCCTCCGACCCTTCCGCCCAAACCCGAGGTTATTGACCTCGATGGAGACGATGAAGACATAAGGTCGGTAAAAAAAGAAGGCATGAGCGAGTATTTCAACGTCGTCAAAAACGGCACAACCGTCCCTACAGACTCCGAACTACCCCGATTCACCCCCATCCGGCTGATGCCTGGTACGTTCACAGTCGAACTACTCCTCGACGTGCGCGAAATCAGGGCTGTCTCAGACAGGGATTACATGCAACAAGAGCTAGCAAAGTTGGGTGTAAAGACAACAGTCCGCTCTCTCGAATTGGGCGACGCCCTCTGGATAGCCCGCTGTAAACAGCCCGGGTGGCTCTCTAGGGAAGGCGCCGAGGGAGACGAGGTTGTATTGGACTGGATTGTTGAGCGTAAGCGTCTCGATGACTTGATTGAGTCTATCAAGGACGGGCGGTTCCACGAGCAAAAGTTTCGACTGCGCCGGTCTGGTATTCAGAACGTCATTTACATCGTGGAAGAGATTACCATGGATCCGACACACTTTCAGAAATATGAGGAAGCGGTCGAGTCGGCTATAGCGTCCATGCAGGTGGTTAACGGCTATTTTCTGAAGCGGACGCAAAAGATGGACGAAACGATTCGCTACTTGGCGGATATGACAAAGATGCTGAAGCAGCTCTATGAGAGCAAGCCCCTCCATGTAATACCGACTGCCGTTTTAACGACCAAGAACTACTTGCCACTGATGAAGCACCTGCGGCAGACACAACCATCCCTGAGTCACCACATCAGCTACCCAGCTTTTATGTCATTAGCATCGAAGTCTGAGAACATGATGCTTCGGGACCTGTTTCTGAAAATGCTCATGTGCACCAAGGGCTTGACAGGCGAAAAAGCGATTGAAATCCAAAAAGTCTGGAAGACGCCTTACAACTTCGTGAAGGCATTTGAGCGGTGTGGTCAAGGCGAGGATGGAAAGCAACGCAGAGAAGAAATGGTTATGACACGGTTGAGCCATCTTGTTGGGAGAAAGAAGATCTCCAAAGGTCTAAGCCAAATGATTTCGGCAACCTGGGGAGAGTAATTGGAAAGTATGATCATGTTAAAAGTACGCATGTATCTGCCGGCCTTAGAGCGACATACCCGAGAGTTCGAGAAGTATACACTTATACCCGATTCATCTAACTGCCCCCTCGCTGAGCATGGTAGGGGGCGTTACCTACCCGTGTGGAAAGTAAAAGAATCCTAAGGGCACAGGGCTCGTCTCGAGCAGGAGGCGGCTGCTCGCCCACCCTGGAGGGTTCTGGCCCATTCCTCTGGGCTAGGTAAAGGCGGTGGTTGTGTTTTATCTTCCTACAGATAATCTTCATTTGGGCCATATGCTCGAGCCTTTGCCCAGCACGGTGAGCTGGTTAGTGAGAATTTGTGTGCTCTTGGTAAACAGGGTATTTTTATCCCAAACAAAACCCATCCTTCACTTCCTCTCCGCCAACGCCTTCTCCACAGCTCTCTGAACCATTCTCTCCAACACCGTGCTGACGCCCCCCTCTCCATTTTCCTTCTCCAACCCCTCCAAATACCCCATCAATCCCTTCTCAACATACTTTGCTGTCATATCCACTTCCACATTGACCGTCTGCCCGACTTCCTTCGCCGCCGTGACCACCCTCTCCTGCGTGTACGCAATCAACATGACCTCCCACCAACCCTCCTCATCATTCACTTTGGTCACCGTTAAACTGGCCCCATCGATCGCCACAAACCCCTTGAACACAACATACCTCAGCACTTCCCTATTCTTCGGCTGGAACCTGAACGTAACTGCATTCCCATCCGGCCGCTTATCGATTATCTCCGCCGTCGTGTCAACATGCCCCTGCACAAAGTGCCCGCCCATACGCGTGTCCGCGCGCACAGCCCGCTCAAGATTGACCCGCGAGCCCTGGGTCAGGTCGCCCAGATTCGTCAGGCGCAGCGTCTCGGGAGCAATGCCGACCGTGAACTGCGGCGCGGGGGTCACGGTAAAAGAAGTGACGGTCAGGCAGACACCATTGACGGCGATCGAATCGCCGAGGTGGCAGTCAGAGAGTAGGGTGGATTCCCTGGGCAAGGCGACGGTCAGGGAAGTCCCGCCGGTGGAGTCATTGGGGTTGAGCTCGGCGATGACTGAGAGGGGGGTTAACTAGGCTGCTATTTACTGAATGATATGGTTAATGAAAATGGCGACATACCGCCGATTTCTTCAACAATTCCTGTGAACATGGTGAACGGGAGAAGTGAGAGAAGCTGAGAGTGAAAGGTTGGGATTCAGAAGGCGAGTTTGGCTTTTCTTCCCAATATTTTCAAACCAGTACAAAGTTGAGCGCGCGTCAGTATCAAAATCTGCCTTCAATTGCAGCCAGATTTATGTGTCAGTGTATACCAGTAGCTGTGAAATAGAAGTGAGCGTCGGCGAGAAAGCTGACGGCTCCCGGCTCACCCCGCTCCCACTTTCAAGAGGCCCACTTGCCGCGGGACAACTGGAGCTCTATTCACTGTGCGGATAACACATTGGCTAACACGATGGAGGTTCCACGCAAGTCGCTGAAGACTGACTGACATCGAGGAGCAAACAAACGATTCACCGTGAAGCTGTATGCATTTGGTACGAAACGTTACGAAATCAAGTTCAGATTCTATCCGCCGTAGTGAACACTAGTTTGGTTAATAGTCACAGTTCTCGGTACGTCATGTTGGATGACTCCCCCACCTAGGTCTCCTCAATGGAGGGAGTCTTGTAGCCCGAAACACAGCACATAGATATACACAGTCATATCTCTTGTTCCAGCAACATCAAATCCGTTTTCAAACCCACCCCATTCAAAGGATCCGAAGTGCAACAACGGCGGCGAAGAACATAACCATGTCAATGGCAAGCCTTGTCTGGGTTCCAGCACCAGGCACCTCTGAAGATATGGGAGAGTGAGACTGAGATGCCGTGGTATGAATCTGACTGTGCTGAGGAGGTGTGGAGCTGTTAACTCCAAGAGCTCCAGAAGTGGGGCTGCAAGCGGAACTGCAATCGGTGATAGTGATTGTGGGAGTAAAGATAACGCTGACAGTGGTGACGCTCTCGGTTTCATCGCTCCCAGGGTGTTCAGTGCAGCTGGCGCTGGGGTCGACTACAGTTGTGGCAGTCTCGATGACAGTGGTTTCTGCGTCGTCAGTTGTTGTTGTCTCAGATGAGGTCGTCGTCGTAGTCGAAGTCGTGGACGTGCTGATGGTAGTGGATGGTTTGTTGAGAACACAGTCGCAGACTAACAAGCAGTTAAAAGTAAGATCAACCAAAGGCTGGCAATCGATCTGGGGATGGTACGCTTACCCTTAGAAGAGCCATCAAGAACCTTCTGAACTTCGTCCGGCTGGCAGCTTGACTTAACGCAGCCGTCAACAACACTACGTAGCTTGTCTGCCTGACGGCACTGGCAAGCAATCATGTCGGAGCCAGTGCAGCCGAGGTTTGGGCCAGCTTCAATGAAGCATGGCTGCGCACAGAATGGGATGATTTTGAGTGCCAGAGCGGTGCAATTGGGCACATCACTATCGGTTGTGGCGCTGGGCGTGACCGCGGCAGAGGGAATTGGGTCTTGGGCCAGGACACCCGCGACCAGCAAAACTGTAGTTGCAACAAAAATATAGGTGGTTGGGACTTTCATGTTGATGGACTTTCAAGTTGTCTTGTTTTCTGAATTGAAGATCTCGTTCTGGCTGCACAGGTGAGAGATGGCTCGAAGAACTCCTCCAAGGCAGGGAGAGTCGGGTTTAAACGACAGCAAAGGTGATCAGGACTCCAGGCATCCACCACATGATTTGAATGACAATTCTCCTTTTTACGTTGCTCCTTCTGCTTTAGTAGGTTAACCCTTCTATCTTAAGACCCCGTATGCAGGTAAGCCTGCCATCCAGGAGAAACATGGAAGGAGAGACCAACAACGCGTCTCAGAGTTTGGCCATTCAAGGGCTTGAGCCTATCCAGCTCAGCCTCCTTGGGGACAAATCTCTCCTGAGTGATAAACCATTTTCTGGTCTCAAATCTCCTGTGGTACGAGCATGTTTCGCTTCTAACTCTGGAAAGCCTCAAATCTTGTTATCTCATAAGGCAGTAAGAGTAAGGTGCTGGACCTGCCAACGTTGTCACTCTTCTTGAATTATCGCAAGCAGAGTCCCAAAACCGACACGTATCCGATGGGGAAAAAGGTTTAAGATCCCAGCTAATTTGGAGTCCACCATTTGGGAGCGTCGGGTCAACATGGCCGTTTGACTATGTCCCTAGTTATCTGTGGTTAGTGATATTAGGAACCCACCCTGAAAAATAAAGATTACCCTACCAATACTACATGTGCGATATTCTCACCTAAGGTGTTGATATTCGCTAGTACGGGTGCTCCCATGCATCTCTCATGGGAAGAAAAACAGCATTCCCATGGAAAAGGTAGCGTGAGGCAACGCCGAGGTGCAAATACGAGTAATCTATCAGGAAGGTACCACGACGCCGAGTTCATGTGCTCGGCCGACAGATCTATAAGATCTGGAAGCTTGAATCAGGGGCCGAACGCCATGTTCCAGCCACATACATGGAAAGGTTTCCCGTGATCTTTACTCATGAGGAAATAAGCCTACCTTGGCTGTCTTCATACTAGACATAGACAGTTCTTCCCACCAGCATCATGATCCTTAAAGCCTAAAAGATGGATTGGACATTGGAATCAGATCGACACAGGGAGACAACATTAATCTCGAAATACCGATGTAGCCACTCCGGTTTCTTTGTGAGACCTCCAAATGATCCGATACTACTCCAACACCGACTTGCTGTCAAAGAGTAAGAAGCCCCCAAAACTCAACACCATTGACAACTGATTGAGATCGAGCTGGCTTCCTGGCAGATATGCACCACTGCAAATTATCAGAGGGGGAGCATACTCCAAGAATTAAGTTTATCTGATTTGGACCCTTGCCCGACGGCCCATTTGATAGGGGAAAGGGTTGCCAGCCATCCCCGCTTTCAGAATTGTACGCAACAGTGACCTCAGCTGATCGTTGGCCAATTGGATGGAGGACCAAACGTTGACAATTTCGATTCCCCTGAGTGCACCACACACGGCGGCTACATTCGGCCAACGCGGGGTCTAAAAGCACGTCTCCACGAGGCCACGGTATCACTAACCCTCGTGCGACCCCATCTTTCTTACGATCCTACACGCCTTGTTCTCCTGTGACGTACATCTTATTATTGTCAAATTTAACGGAGCACGACATACGAAGTATAACGTAGCCGATCATGGGCTCTGTTGCGGAAGACAAGTCTCACTCGGAGAAGCCAGTTACCGTGTTGGTCACAGGGTTTGGGGTACGTTCTTTGCCCAATGCCGTGATATCTTTTGAGTTGCCCCGTTTTTGGCGTCAAGGGCGTCGCGACAACCATCTCCTGACGGATTCAAAATCATTAAAATGAGACAAACTGACATGAAGAGGAATGACAACTGAGCCGCAACTAACTTTTCGAGTCACCAGCCCTTCAAGCAGGAGTACCCCGTCAACCCCTCATGGGAGATCACCCGCTCTCTTCCAGAGTGGCTTCCCCCTCTCCGCGCCAAGACCGCCAACGTCATAACCCCTTCCTCACACCACCCTGGCGCCAGCGCGGGACCCGGCTCCACTAGCACCACTCCGGCCCCGGCGCCGGTGGCCATTCCGCCAGTCCGCATCACCGTGCACCCAGAACCGATCCGTGTCAATTATACGGTCGTGCGGGACTTGGTGCCCAAGCTATGGAACAGTCAACAGACAGCTGATCCTCCAACAAGCCCAGAAGAGCCCGCTATCACACCTGGCGAAGGTGAAAAGCCCCAACCCACATCCACACCCGCCGAACCCTCGCAGCCTTCTCTACCGGCAGCCGGTCCGGGGCCGGACATCGTCCTGCACATCGGCATGGCCGGCCCACGCTTGACGTACGCGATTGAACGTCGTGGCCACCGCGACGGGTACCACATGCGCGACGTGGACGGCCAGCTGCTGCAGGACGACGAGCGACGAGCACGCGAGGGCAAGGATTGGGTGTGGGATGGTGTGCCGGCGGAGCTTCTGACGGCTTTTGATCCTGAAGATGTGCTGCGGAGGTGGAAGATGCATTGTCCTGTAAGTTCTTAAACTCCCCTTTTCATTTTCTTACCGAGGATTGACAATATGTGTAGAAACATCTGGAGTTGAGGGTCTCTGAGGATGCAGGACATTATCTCTGCGATTTTATCTATTTTTCTAGTCTGGCCCATCTGTACAAGACGGGCCGACGGCGGAATGTGATTTTCTTGCATGTGCCGTGTGATGCGTCGGAGCATATGGTAACTCTTGGGCGCGAGATAGTGTTGCAATTGATTCGCTCCATTGTTGAGAGCGAGTGGGCGAAACATGGAAAGATCATCAGAGAAGAGGAGAGCAAGCCGATGGAGGTATCAATTGAGATGTCATGACGATACGATACCTTGGATATGTCCTTTTTGATCAGATCAGATTATGGCAGTTCAGAGATCCAGTCATATTACAACCTATCATTCCCCCTCCTAACACCACTACCATTCCGTTGCTAATTTCCGGTATTAGTACACAAAGTAATCAAAACACGCAGTCTATGGGTATCATCTCCGATTCGATTTACCATCCATCATTATGTGCTTATCATTATCTTTCCTATCCCATCAAGTCTTTCTGCACTCTCACAGGCAGACTCTCCACCACATGTCCTGTCAACTGCAAGTGCCCGCAGAAGCTCGCAATCAACCGGTTTAATTCCTCCTTCGTCTTCTCCGGCGAGCTCATTCCCTGCATAACGAGTGGTGACGGCGGGGTGGGAATCGGAAGCTGGCTCAACGACTTCGGCGCAGGCATTTGCAACGGTATAATAAGCTCCTTGTCCTGTATGCCATGATTCATACTACTGCCCACACTCCCGGTGCGGATACCCCCCCGCTGCAATTTATACTCCGGCGACAGTTGGAGTTGGAGCTCTCGGTGCCGCATTCGCTGTTGTCTGGACTGGAGGATATGCTCTCTCTGTTGCTGTTGCATCATCCTGACGGCCCTCAGGGGAGAGCGCTCCGGCGTCGGAGGGGGTTCAGAGCTGATGCTGATACTATTTTCGGGTGAGAGGTGCTTTTCTTCACCGCCGTTCAAACTCTCACCCACGCCCACATCGGCGTCGATATAGATCGACGGTTCCCTCTCCCTTGTCGGCTGGCTCGGGTGCTCGTAGGAGTAGTCATTGTGTTGGTGAAGGGGGAGGTCAAAACCAAATGGAGTCTCGGCGCGGTCGGAGCTGATAGTCGAGGGGACCTCGGAGTGCGAAGTTGACGGGCGACTGTAGTTTGTATTCGCAGCAGAAAAGCGGTACGCAGAAGGATCGGGGTCGGGAGTGGCGTCGTCAAGGTCAATCAAACTCACGGCGGAGAAGCGGTTTTCGGCAGCCGGGGGGGACTGAGCAGTGCTGAAAGCCGGTTTAGGGAGAGGGGTAAAGACTTGGACGCTGTCGACAGGGCTGAATATGCCGTGGTGACTGTTGTCATTGTGATTTAAGGAGCTTTGGGGCTCGCTGGAGGGGGTTGCAGAGGGGAAGGTCCAGTCAAGGGTACGACCACGGTCGCCTTCAGCAGGGCCGGTGTCAATCGGAGGGGGATCAGGCCGTCGGATCGGCTTGATGGTGGTCATGTCGAATTCGGAGGAGAACTCGCAGGAGTCCATCCCTTCCAAGGAAGCGTCGAGATCGATGAGTGACTCCCGAACCGACTGCTGATCTGACTTGTCCCGTAGAGGCAAGTCGGTGGAAGAGGATTTCTCCTGGGGAGGAGGAGAGGAAGCCGGCTTCTGTAACTCTTGCTTGAGGCCCTTGCCATAAAAGGCGCGGGCAGCCTCGGTATAGCTGGTGATGGTGTTCGGATCAAAAACCTTCTCCAGCGGGACCTTGAGGGGCCTGATATTGGGCGGGGGGCGACGACGACGAGCGCGCCAGCGGTCTTGCTTGGGAGAGAGCGGCGCCTCCAGCGGAATGTCATGGTCGCGAATGCCTTCAGTGGGGCTGATGAGGTCTGTCTCTTCGTTGATAATGTCAAAGTTCCATCCATCATCAGATCCAGATGATGAACGATCAGTCAGGGGGGCTTGGGCACCGCCCGCAGTGAAAAGAGAGCGTCTACTTCCGCCCTGGAGCTCCCATGCCTTGTACCACTCAACCAGCTCGGCGAGGGAGGACGTAGGGTACGCGACCTCGGTGTTGTAAATGTAATGGTGGCGCTGGATTTGCTCGATCGGGGGACGTTGGCGAGGATCATCAACCAAACAAAAGGCAATAAGGTCCTTCAACCCTTCTGAGTACTGATCTCCAGTCAGACGAGGGCAATGTTGCTTCAGATATGCGCCAAACTCGGTTATATCGACGATAGGACGCGCATTGGGGGGAAGTCCAGTCGCCATCTCATAGGCCATGGAGCCAAACGCCCAGATGTCGACCTCGGAACCATACGACACAGTCGAGTCGAATAGTTCTGGGGCCATCCATTGCAACGAGCCGGTCACGGTGCTACGCTTGTCGAACTTGGTCTCGATGATGCCGGCGACGCCAAAGTCACAGAGCTGCACCTGGCCCGCCTCGCCTATCAGGACATTTGCGCACTTGATGTCACGGTGGATGACACCCTGTTTGTGAACCCAATAGATCGCCTCGGCAACCTCACGTAGAATGGGAATAATGTATTTCTCTTGCAGGCCATTAGTCGGCCGCATGAGGGTAGCGACGCTGCCGCCGGCGCAGTACTCGGTGACGATCCATATCGTGGGGCCAATTAGAAGGGAGTCGATGACTAAGTTGATGTTTTTTGCACCACCCTCGTTCAAACGCTTGAGGGTGTTAACCTCTTTGAGAATGTCGTTGAAGGTGTCTGCCTGGCCAGGCGCGTAGCTGTCTCCCTCATCAATGCTGATGATTTTGATGGCTACCAGTTTGCCAGTTTCGCGACTCTTCGCCTTGTAGACGCGACCGAAGCTGCCCTTGCCTATGAGCTCGGCGAGGTCGTAGGGCGGAGGGTCCCTGCCGGCGTCGGCGCACTCTTTCTCGACGAGGGCCTGGACGGTGCGTGCCTCCTGGATGGCTTTCTGCTTGGTGGTCAATTGCTGGTCGGACGCCATGTGATCGAGGCCGAATCCGAAGTGGAAGTGGTCGGATCGGAAACCGATTCTCTTGCCCAGTGTTGCGTGGCTCAGCCGGGAACCAGGGGATCAGGGAGATCGAGGTGAGCAGCGACCACAGGGTGCGCAGCAGGGTAACACTGAAGGCACGGTAGGATTCGGGTTGCAGGCATGGGACGAAAGGAATGCTGGAGGACGATTGTGGAAATATCGAAGAGGACATGCGAAGATGGAAGCACGAAGGAGCATCTGACGGGAATGTGGCATGCTACTAAGGCGATCCATGGCATTCCGGCACATCCCTGCTCGCGCGGCCCAGCGGTCCAGTCCGTTGGATCAGATCGGACCCACCGAACCGCCAGCTGGCCAGGGGTCGAGGGGCTGACGGCCTTGAAAGTTGAGGGTTAGGGTTCAAACTGGATGCCTTGGCAAAAGTAGGCTGCCTCGTTCGTGCACGTTGGCGCGCAATGCTGGCAACGGCCAACCAGCCGCCCAGCATCATTTGAGGGATGATGTCATCTGGGCGACCTCACGTTTGGGCGTTTGCTGACAAACTTCGAGACAGGTGATCAGTGTCAGGCTCACTGACACGCAGTCTCCGCACAAGATGCCTATGACATGCAAAAAAAAAAAAAAAAACTTACGGGCTCTGTATGTTGGGGTTCTGGGCGGGAGTTATGTTTAGGCAACTAGAGGTTGTTCGCACCATTTGATAATCTTTAATAAGCGCTGAGGATTGAAATCTTATCATCGACGCTTCGAGATGCTGTTGCCAAGCTCGGTGCGGGGATTCCAAGACTCAGTGGCCATTAAAGGATTTCAAAGTTCCTCAGTGTTTATTTGTGTATGTCAAATTCCAGTGCAACTCACATCCTCTAAAACCATCTACATGGCACAAAGTACGCAAGCTCGATCCAAGCCACGAAAGATCTTCCTCTCATCACCCCAACTCATAGCGTGGTCCCCGTGCCTCGTGATGGGCATGGTATCACACGTCATGCTGCCCGGTTTCCTGGTGGCTTCGGCAGCGATTGGGAGCTGCGCAGCTCCACCGTCCACGAAAACGCGCGTGCTCAGTGGCTTGGCCTGTCACAATATCACCCTGCACTGCTGTGCTGTTGCAGCAGCGAGCAGCGCAAGCGTGGCTGTGGAAGAGATGGAACCTGAGAACCTTTTTGGGCCATGGAGCTTCGGCGAGTTCTCGCGGTTTGCCCTGAAAGCTCCCGGATGGGATTACAGGTTTTGTATGACGCACCGGCCCTTTGGTCCATCCAAAAAGCAAGTCTTTGTCCACGAGCCCTGCCACCCAATGTACAGGCATACAACACACACATGATCTTTTTGGGTCCCAATAAGAACCTGCTTGAGGCTTCCCTACGTAGTGCAACCAGCATGTCGTAGAGCTCTGTCTTGTACAAACGAGGACCCGCTAACTCTGCCGTTGTGGTGCAAAGACCCTGCCCACTTGAGGTGCGCATTTATACACCTCGAGAGTCCCACCTTGCGGGGTCCTCCATTACAATCACCTCACCCACTGCTGGATTCCGCTTTTCCTCACCGTATCTTCGGCTTCATATTTTTAGCGGTTAGGACAAACAGCGACGCAAGGACAACGTCGACTGCAGTATCATCTACATCTAGAGGACTCTCAACATCAAATCCTATTACGAACCGACCTCTTAGCAATCCGTCACAATGGCTTTCACTGCTAGGTATGTTACCACCACTGCTCTTCTAGGGGAAACCCTTCCTTTTGGAGCCGTTACTGACCTTCATTCTCGAATCAGTGACATTTGCAAGATCATTCTTGCCATCATCCTCCCTCCTCTCGGTGTTTTCCTCGAGCGTGGTTGCGGCGTTGATTTGCTGATCAACATCCTCTTGACCTGCTTGGGTGTAAGCTTATCCCCTCTCACCAAGTCTTCCCACTCTCCTTGAAAAGGCTCAAATGATGCTGACCACTGCGGTTCACATACTAGTACCTCCCTGGCATTATCCACGCACTCTACATCATATTCAAATACTGAGCTGCTGCGCGATATAAGGGAGATATGGAAGTCCTGTCTGGCTAGACAAATCCGCCGGCCATATTCCTAGCCTCCGGTCTCGAAGAGCTTCGTGAAAGCGGTCAAAGGCGCCAATCCCAGGTCAAACACTCGAGGCCTTTATCGGACTCCCTCAACGTCTCGTGCGCATAGCAAACAGTTACGAAGGAACTCGCTCTCGACTACCCTGACAATGGGCTATCCCGGACCAGACTTGCAAAGCTATCTGCTCGCAGTCTTCTTTTACTCTTTTTTTTCTTTCACTCTTTTTGATACCCCCGTTTTGGATCTTCTGGGGCAGTTTCGGAGAACCGGTTGCTGGATCTTGCGATGCTCATTGTTTCAAAGAAGCAAGGGGGAAGAGTATGTTGTGGTGGTGGAGGGGCCATTAGGAACCTGAAAAGGAGGTTGTGTATATCTCCATGTATGAACGGGAATCGAATCAGCGCAACGATGACATATGTGGGCTATCACTGAGGATGTTTTCGTGAAACTAGGGTACATAAAGGGCTTCAATGAGGCTTCGTAATCGACAATGCAGCCCAAGATCGAGCGAATCATGGAAGATCCAAAATCTTCAGATTTCGTACTCGGAACTTGTTATAGCAGACTACGGCACTGGGTTGAAGTGACGAGGTGCAGATGGTTCTTTCAATTGAACAGGCACTGGGGAAATATACTAAAATCCAGCTTGGAAACTGTTTGGGCAAACAGCGGTGGCCTATATATGTAGTACCAAATGTTTATAAGGTTCGCAGAAGACATTATCCACACAGAGCAGTAAACAAGAAGCTCAAGCATGTTGTACAGGAACGGGTCTATCTACTCCCGCATAGCGGCATAAATGGCATAGACTGCTACTGAATAGTAAATCTTGACTGTCCCGGCTATGAGCCGTTCTGAGATCATCATCTAACAGGGTATATCAACAAGTTCATTTTGGTCATCCATGCAAGCATCTATTTCCCAAGCTTGAAAGACAAGATCTGTTTCTCACAGTTAGTACCCCGTAATGACAGACTCAGAGCCAGGGACACTTACATCGTTTTTCCCAGGCACAACAACCTGGTCCTCAGCCACCCGGATCCCGCCGGGTCCTTCCACATACGCGATTGGCGCATCGCCCATAACTTTACGAGCCACCTCGGCAACAGTCGTGCCCTTCTTGACCAGTACACAATCCCGGAAGACATACTTGTTCTCACCGACACCACCCGACCCGAACGTCGACGTATTCTTGACGGGGAAAACGGGCACCAGCCCGAGCAGCTCAGCCGCCTTGGACAGCACCTGCACGACGCCGGTTGATCCAAACCGATACAGCACCATGTCCTTCAGGTTCTCAATGCGATTACGGTTCTTCTCATCCAGCTCCTTGAGCCCTCCACCGTCAGGGTCGCCGTCCGCTATCAGGTCCTCGCGCGTCTCGACGATGTCGCTACCCTCTACGTAGCGAATGTAGCCTTGCTTGGCCATCTTGCGGAGAAAGATCTCGGAGATGGCGGAGCACAGGACAATTGTGTTGGGGTCCTGCTGTTTCGCGATCTTCGCGATGTTCTTGTCGGCGTCGGGGTGGTCGATTTTGTTGAGGGCGATGACGGTGGGGAATTTCTCGTCGATGAATGCATTGACAACCTTCTCAATTGTTTCCTCTGTCCAAGGGATTAGTTTGTCAGCGGAGCCCGGCTAGAGCCCGATGTGACATCCATAGTCGGGAAAAACGTACCAGTCCATTCCTCCAGCGGCTCCTTCAGCTGCAACTTGTCCAATGTCCTCTGTACAATTGCCATGGTACTGCCATAACCACTGAACTGTGCCTGAAGAGTCTCCGCCGCTGTCGCCTTGACTGCGACATGCCTCCTCTTGATGGACCCCCACTTCTCCATGAGATTGCCTTTGATCCACTGCATGATCTCGCTGCGCAACCAGGCGATATCAACGCTTGGATCGTAGCCTCTGGTGTTCTTGCCCTCAGCATCTGTCGTGCCTGAAACATCAACAACATGGATCAACGCGTCCGCATGCCGCAAATCGTCCAGGAACTTGTTACCAAGTCCTTTGCCCTGATGCGCGCCAGGAACTAAACCGGCCACGTCCAGCAGTTCGATCGGTACGCTGCGCCGTCCGTTGACACATGAACCATAATTCGGCTTACACTTCGATTGGAGACCGTAGCGCGCACATGCACAATCTATCTGAAGGTATCCGATAGCGCGTTGCGGGTCGATCGTTGTAAATCTGTTGGCGGTTTAGTATCAGGAATTATCGCGATCGCAGGTTCAGGGGTGACGTCGGTGAGCATACGGGAAGTTTCCTGCAGAACACTGTAATTAGCAACACGTTCGGTAACCAGCTGCACTCCTAAGCATTGTCTGTCACGCAGCGTGCAGTCATCTACCCACCAACTTTCGAGGAAGCATCTGTGAGCGAGTTAAGCGTGCTAGACTTGCCCGCACTGGGCTTGCCCACCAGGCCGATGAGTGGATCGCGACCCATGATGACAGGTTGCGCTTCCGGCTATGAAATCTATGTGTTCAAATGGAGGGATTGAGGATAAAATACGTCGTCTCGTGTCGTTATTAAGGCGTTCTCCCTCACTTCATCAAGTGGATACGAACACGGACGTGATGGATCGTTGGCGGTTTCGTGCTTCTGGAAAAACAGCTGCCCCGCTTTTGATAAGATAAGAGCGGGGTGATTGTGGGGCTGCTGTCCCGTGGGTGGACTCAGCACCCCGGCTTACAAGCAGACCACTGACACATGAAAGGCCCATGGTAGGAGTGAAGCTCAACTGCTGCAGATCGAGAGCTGTGCTGTGCTCGTGGAGCTCATCAAGGGCCGAGGCCTTCATGCTTGGATTTGGTGCTTCGAACTGAAAAGCAAACATTCAGACAACATACAAAAACACTATAGCCTTAAGGTCTCCAGGCCGTATGTCTGATACGCTCTCCACACTCCACTGTTCCCAAATTCCAGATATCCTCTTGACCGAGCCGACCACGAGGCAAAGTCCGGGGTTCGGTCAACGCATGCCCATCTGCAGCTAAGCTCCCGTCTGCCATGCGCTGCACGGATCTCGAGTGCCGAGCATTGACTTCACCTTGATTTGGCATATCAGGTTTAGCCCTTTAGAAGCCCTGATATCAACCTCCAACAGCGAGCCAACGAGTCACGAGCCCATCTCCAGCGTGTGATAGACGGAGGCATTTTCATGATGCCGTGGCAATCCCTCCCTATCGACGACCTGCCAGCTTGGGCACTCCTCAACAACGTCTCATTCACCAACGTCAAGGTCGCGCAGACCGAGGATAAGGGCTATGGCGTGGTGACCACCCGACATCTGGTCCAGGCTAATGCCGACGAAGCAACGCCAGACGGAGCAACAGCCCTACTCACAGTACCACACGATCTGGTACTCAACCAACAGGCGGTCCATGAATATGCCAAGGAGGACAAGAACTTTCGGCAGCTTCTAGAAGCTGTTGGCCACCGGGTAACTAGACTGGATCCCTTCTTGTCGCCATCACCTTGTTTGATCTGTCGATGCACCCCTCCCCCGCACATTATCTAGCACCACCTTATTTCCCCAGACCCATATTACCCCAGACCCCAGATTCTGCAACCCTCGACTTGGATCCAAGAAAAGCGCGTGGAAAAACTGACCACCTGGTTTTGACATGGTTGCACTATCATGTAGTCAGCACGCGCCGATGTGCTGCTGTTTCTCCTCGTCCAGTCGGCCCTGGCTTCCCGATCGAGCTACACACCCGTGGGCGTGTCGAATCCTTGGGCCCAATACTTGCGATTCTTGCCAGAGACCGTTCTGGTTCCTACCTTATGGAATGAGGACGAGAGGTTGCTGTTGCGCGGCACGAGCCTTGAGCCCGCCATCGACGCGAAGCTGTCGGCGCTCGATGCCGAGTTTGGGCTGGTTAGGGAAAAGTCGTGTGACTTGCCTTGTTGGAATGAGTTGCTGTGGCAGCAGGACGACGGTCAGTTGGCTGAAGGAGCAGAGATCGGCGCGTTTTCATCGCCTACGCCCTCCTTCACGGACTGGATTCGCCTTGATGCCCTTTACCGGTCCAGATGTCTGGAACTGCCCGGGTCTGGGGAAGCAATGGTTCCCTGTATCGATATGATCAATCATTCCTCCGTCAGCCCATCGGCCTACTACGAGGAGAATGCGCAAGACGAAGTGGTGCTGCTCCTCAGGCCAGGCGTCAGCCTGCCGGCAGGCGCGGAAGTGACCATCAGCTATGGCGACGTGAAGCCAGCCGCAGAGATGCTCTTCAACTACGGCTTCATCGACCCCCAGTCGGCATCTGAGCGCCTCGTGCTACCCCTGAGGCCCTTTTCAGACGATCCCTTGGCCAAGGCGAAGCTTGTCGCCTTTGGGCGGGCGCCCACCATCCACGTGGCACGGGAGCTTATTGACAACGATGGAAACAGCACTGTCCGATGGGACAGCGCTTTCGCCTATCTGATGTGCGTCAACGAGGAGGATGGACTGGAATTCCGCATCCTGCAACAGACAGATGGCACACAGAATCTGTGCGTCTTTTGGCAGGGAATCGACGTCACTGATCGTACCACCGACTTCCAGACCCTGATCCAGACCCATGCCCTCCACGCCGTGCTACGACTCCGCGTTGTCACCGTCGTCCACGACCGTCTGCAGGAACAGTTGGACCGCATGCGGTCCTGCGCCGTCCCTGATGCTCCCTTACCCTCACAGAGGAAAGAGTGTTACGAGGCCTCCATCCTCCTGCGCCGCATCGAGGGGCGTCTTCTAGAAGACGCCATCAAAACCCTGGAAGAAGAGGTATGTCACCCGACAGTTTGATTAACGTTCTGTTGGTTTCGATGATGTCGTTGGTCTTGGCGCGTCGCTGCTGCGTGTTAGGCGCGCTGCCTTGCCTGGCGGGCTGGTCCCAGCTGCTGCGACCACAGCTGGCGGTCGCTTACCGTTGTAACACGAACACACGGCATGGCGTGTCGTTGGTGGTTGTCGGCGTTCCTGGACACACCAAAACAGATCGGGTTTAGACTAGCTGACAGGGCTTGATGCAGAGAAACTCGCTTCTTCAGGACAAAAACGTGGTGGCTTATCTCGGACTGACGGAACCTGCCAAATCGGACCTAGTAGACCAGGAGGCGGCCAATGAGGAGGACGATTTCAGTTGATGATTGCCAGGAATTGCCGAAGAGTGCCATGTCAACATCTCTCGTCCATTTTGATTCTTTGCTCCTGGTGTCATCTTAGACATCAGACGTGGAGGGGTCCTTCACAATGACAAGATGGCATCATGGCTTGCACAGCCCAGTAATCCAGAATCCTTCCAGCAAAATCTTCTTGAAGCTTGCTGAGATAGCAGTTTTTGAATCCATGCCATTGCATGAGTTATCATCGTCAGGATTGTGAGGATTGAGGTGGTGGCGTTGGAGAGACGAGGCTGCCATTGGGGTATCCTGCGTAATGGTCTACGCCAGCTGCACAGCTGCACAGTCAGCAGGCTCCCAATAGCGCCCGCTATGCACACAGTCTCTCCGCTTCTCAAATGCCGTCCCCACCACTCGCAGAAAACACAAAGAACGACCAGGACAATCGTTGCCTGGTGGTTGGCTGGTGAGCAGACGGACTCTCAGCTGGAGTTGGAAACAACCTGCTGCCGTCGGACTGTAAAGGTGGTGAAACTTCCCGACAGTGTGGTGAAGTCGGATGTGAAGTTGCATTAATGGTGACTTGACGGAAACTTTCAGAATGAAGCTTGACCAAAACCATGTTTGGTACATTAAATGCCACAAGGCATTTGCAGCCGCTGTTTACTTTCCAACCAAAGGGATTGGACAATTATCCCGAAGGAGATGTGGGTGTGATTCCTGAAGTCCTTGTTGGCCAGCTCTTACTGGATAGTGCGATCTCATTTGCTTTCAAGATTTGATCAAGAAGCAGAGACACATAAACTACTAAAAGTACATACTCTGTTGTCGAAATGCATACGTACTTGCAGTGACGGACCACCAAACAGTCCGGAATGCGGGGGAAACATTGAAGACGAGAAAAAAAATTGGGGTATTCACGAAGATGGACCGGGGTTTCGATTTGATGAGTCGATCTCATCACTCAGCATCAGGCGAACCGAGGTTTCCCTACCCATTCGCCAGCAGCATGCATGCAGAAGCGAAAACGTTTATTTTCACCTTGAACGGAAAGGTTCCGTGGGATAGACATTGCCGTTTCTCAATGTATGTGAAAGGGGTAGTTGGCCCGTTAAGGGGCAGTAAAACTCTAAAAACTGTTGAACTGCAAGTATTGATAGCAAACTTGCTCACTTAGTGTCGTCGGCAGTGGACATCATATCCACTGACGGAATGGCTTCAGAAAACGCGGCCACTCAGGCCCCCCCCCCCCTTTAACCTAACCCTATCCTAACTGGAGACCGCTCTGCTGGGCCCAGCGCGGTCAACAAGCAACCAACGGTGAAAGATTTTGGTTCGGGAGGGCGGTGGTGCAGCAGTGCGCTATCCGTTGACCAGGGCCCGCTACTGCGATCCTTCGGTAAGTGGGGGGCAAGATTTCACTGGGGCCCAGTGACGACAACAAGGGCGTTTCTCTTTTCAACACAGATGGGTTGGGTTTTCTTGGACTTTAGGGAAAAAAAAGGACAATTGACAGGGTGCACTATTATGTCAAACCTCTTCCAGGGTCCTTGTGAAACAGTGACCGTTGCTGGTTTCAGGAGCCTGGTAAGCTTCGGGCCGTTATTGTCAAGACAACGGGTCATTTCAATGTCGTACGGATCTTGCTAGCACCTTGCCCAGCTCCAGCTGCTCCGCCTTATTCTTGCGTTTTTGCTGTCTCAAGATACGAAACGAAAAACGGGACAAATCAAAGGATAAGGCAAAGATGGGGCTTCTGTGGATACCACAGGGCTGGCCAAAGCACAGCAGTCAAGGAATATCCATTTGGATCGACAAAACAGTCTTCTGCTGTTTTTACGGTGAAGTCAATAGCTGTTAGCTGACAATAAACTCACACTATGATTGGAGAGCGTAGTGAGCCGCTGACGAGGTGTGTAGTCAGAGATGGCCTAGGTGTGTCGGCTGCTGGGGTCGGAAGAACTACGACACATTCGTTCTATTCTTGCTCAGTGGCTGCTCAGCTTCTGCACTCACTCTCCTCTTTTTGAAATTACATCGTGTAAGTGCGGCTCAGCAGGAGTAGCTTGCAGATCCCAAACGACTCCAAAATAGCCCAGGAGGCATCATAAGAAACTGACATAATCTGCAGGCCAAGCATCTCATTCCACCTCGTTCGCCGTGTACCTACCTTAGTGACGGACAGCCTAACCTGGCGGAGTGTATAGCTGCCTGCGCTGTGCGTGCCTACTAGCCCTCCAGAGTCTAGAGACGACGCACATAATGATTCATACCAACACCATATCGGAGATGGCGATATTGAAGGCATAGCGCGTCGTCAGCCACTTGGGATAGGGACCGTGCTCTCCCAGCCTGTCGTTGTTCTCCCAAAACGTGCTTAACATGGCTACCGGGCTCGTGACATGGAGCCTTACCCCGGATCTGGGGCGCTGGGCTGACGCTAAGCACACCACGAACTGACGAGGCCCACCGGACAGGCAAGCTTCATGATGCGATCCGAGTGCGATCTATCTCGAATCTGTCTGGACGTCCGTTGGCCTAGGCCGGTGATGGCGTCCCTGGTGGTGCCATTCTGTCGTTGTGGGGGGTGGGAAGGGGGAGCAAAACGCATGGCGTGCCAGGTGTGGATGGTGTTTCGATTCGCATTATGGCACCGTTACGGTATTCTAGATGGCGATCCATGGGGAAAATTCCTGGTTCTAGTAGCCGATATCCCAAAAGATCAACCGCGCGCAAAGATGTCGCAGTTAATGGGCATCCAGCCACTGGCGAGGCGAGCGATGCCATGCAGACCGACTGCCGTCCTTCATCCTCGGGCTCCTTGGCTTTCCCCTTTGCTAGGAAGACTTGACGCTAAGGTCAGGCGCACACCTCACGAACACCTGCGGCCTGGACCTGCGACTGGAGAGGCAAGTGATCTAGTGGAGTTAGGAGACAATGCAGAGCAGCAGCCAGCCAGCGCCGGGTCGGGCGGTCATTCTCTGCCCAGGTGTCTTCCGCTGGCTGAAAAGGTACCTCCGTACGTGGTGTGCGGAAGCGAAGGATCCCTGCTGACCCCAGATTTTGCCTCGTGCGCGCTGATTGGTTAGATGTCACTTTGAGTACCCGGGGTCCACCCACAGAGGAGAGGGCTTGGCTCTGACTGGGACCAACTGGGACCTGACGGGGAACCTAACTGGGAAGGCGCCCCGCCAATCGAAAGCGGCGTTTTTCCCAACAGTCGAGCATTGCTGTCCGTTAAGACCTTCAGGAAGTGCTGCTCTGACACTGTAGCTCCGGGACGTTCTGGCTTGGTCTGGCGAGCCCTGCGTTGCCCCCGGTTGCGTTGCAACTGCTGCCAATGTTATCAGAGCACGACCGTTTTGTGCCCGGCTCATGTTCTGGATTTTGGCCTTTGTGGCCTTGCCTGCCTTCCCCCACAATTTCCAAAGCACGACAGGCAGTCCCAATGCCCCTCCGGCCCACGCGGAGACCGGGGAGCCCGCAGAGACTTGTTGGAGCCCCGGCACTTTCCCTATTTCCCTCACTGACAATCCCTGTCAGCTGGTGGCCAAGTGCCCCCAGTGGTCCAGGGCCTAAGTGGAGATGCTCCATCATAAGCGTCCGCAGCCAGGGTCAGTGTGGAGTGCGGGTGCTCAGCGTCCTGGGTGTGAGAGGAAGCCTCCACACACTCCAGCATCCCAGGTGCCTGGCCATCATTCTTAAAATCCACAGGCCCCGCCCCGTTGCACTGCACAAAGTCCCGAGTCTCCCGTCGTCACTCTAGAACATCTGAACCATCGTATCTACAGCATCAGTGAACCTCTCACACACCTTGCGCTCTCCGAGTGAAACCTTCACCAAGTCCATAAGTCCATGGTTGACGCCTGTGCCGCCATTCACGAGGCTCGTCACAGAGGGGAGTGAGTGCCGTTGAGGCTGCTGTCGCGCCGATTTTGCACGACTGTTCCACCACTTCCACACATCCTCACACACACACACACACACACAACCACACACACACACACCACACACACACATCCCGTCCTACTCCTGCAACCGCGACACAATCCCATTGTCCAGACTACAATCAGAGTAACACCCGCCATCACGAATTCTGCATCACGCTAGCCTGTGCCTGTTTTGCTTGCGGATGAATCGGACTCAGTGAAGAGACGAGACGAAAGGCGAATCAGACACCACCGCCAAAATGCCAGGAATCCTGCCTATGAAGGTTATCAAGGTGGGCAACAGCTCACAGAGCCGTATTGCCCAGGCCTGCGACCGCTGCCGCAGCAAGAAGATCCGCTGCGATGGCATCCGGCCATGCTGCTCCCAATGTGCCAATGTCGGCTTCGAGTGCCGCACCAGCGACAAGTTGAGCCGCCGCGCCTTCCCCAGAGGCTACACTGAGTCCCTGGAGGAGCGTGTGCGTAGCTTGGAGGCCGAGGTGCGCGAGCTCAAGGATCTGCTGGACGAGAAAGATGAGAAGATCGACATGCTCTCCAAGATGCACAGCAATCGGCAAGGTCGCGAGGGCTCCAGCAGTCCTCCTGCCGACATCAAGAAGGAGTTGAATCCCCCGCCAAAAGAGGATACATTTCGAGTCCAGTCCTCGCCGTTACTGCTGGGCGTTGAGAACTCAGACTCCTACTACATGGGCGCTGCCAGCGGCCGTGCCTTCATTGGTTCGTTACGCCTTGTTTCTGTCAGGTTTCCCCTGGATGCTAACCTCCCTTACAGAGGCCTTTAAGCGGAAGCTGCAGGAAAGCGGCAAGTCCTGCGCCGACTTTAACCCCGAAGCCTTTCTTCACATTCAGGGCTGCTGGCCCTTGACTGCAAAGCCACCAACCCAGTCGATGAGGATACCACCACGGCTGTTCTCCGATCGCTGTGTCAATATTTACTTCCAGGAGTGGGCACCTCTCTTCCCTATTCTTCATAAGCCGACCTTCCTTCGCGTTTACGAGGAATTCGTTGCCGACCCAGAGAAAATCAAGAATAACCATAAGCTCTCGCAACTCTATCTTGTCTTTGCCATTGCTGCTCTGTCTAGCGAACAGCCAGATCTCCACCAGATCGCCGCCTGCGAGCAGCAATGGCAACGGTCTTTGGAGGCCATCATCATGGATAATACCATGCAGACACTTCAGTGCCTGCTGTTGGCTCTCCTCTACTGCTCCATTCGGGCCGATTTTAAGCGGCTCCAGCACTACAAGGGCATTGCCGTTGGCCTAGCCCACCGCCTAGGTCTGCACCAGAGCCAAAAGAGGTTCTCTTTTGGTGTCCTTACCATTGAGACCCGGAAGAAGGTCTTCTGGAGCCTTTATACTCTGGACTGGTATGGCATATGACCTCACCCTTCTTTCTGAATTTGTACTAACAACAGTGCAGCTTCTCTGCGGCCATGCTTGGTCTCCCTAAGCTCCTCAAGGAGGAGGACATCCACTGCGAGTACCCTTGTGATACCGATGACGAATACGTTACAGAGAAGGGCTTCCAGCCGAGTTTGCCGGGTGAAGCCACTCGGTTGTCTAATGCCCTTGCCTTGTTCAGATGTTCTCGCATCCTGAGCAAGATTCTGGAGAAGATCTACCCTTCTGCTCCCACTGCTGAGCTCTCCCTACAGCTCATGGACAGTCTTGAAGCCGAGTTGAACGAGTGGTATGAGAAGCTTCCTCCGCACCTCAAGCTTAACTTTAAGCAAGACAAGCCATCGACCGACGTTACCGGCAGCCGGTCACCCATCCTTGTAAGTTGCGGGTCACTTCTTGGGTCCCGGCTCCACTGTACTAACCTAGCATTTATCCAGGCTCTTGCTTACTACTACTGCCACACGCTCATCTTCCGCCCGGCGGTCACCTCGACCCTGGGCACTAAGGCTGCTCCTGCCCTGCTTAAAGTCAGCGAAGCAGCTAAACACATGATTCAAATCATGGAGCTCCTCGAGGAGAGGAACATGTCCTTTTCCTTCTGCCTAAACAAGGGCGATCTACTTATGCTTTGCGGCACTGTCTTGCTCTTCCAGACTATGGATCTCAAGCAGGACAGCAAGGTGCTCCGTGACAACGAGAAGTTGATTAATTCTGTTATCAAAGCCGCTGATAGGCAAAAGGCACCTGGTATCTACGATTTCAAGCGGGTTGCCGGCCTGATGGTTACGGTCGACGAGCCGCCGCCGCAGTCGCTGCCCACACCTCCCCGTCAGAGCCCGGATACTTGCCTGAGCGCACCACAACAGCGCGCGTCGCCAACTGCCGCTCACAAGGCGCACCCGACTCTCGGCCGGCATCTCAGCGCCAGCGTGAGCGAAACAGACCTGCTCATGCAGCAAGAAAAGCTGCGCAGGATGACGATGCCGCATCACCCTCAGGCTGCCGCGCACATCCCTCAAAGACCTCGGGGCTCCTTCGACAGCACAAGACCAACGATTCCGCTAACCCAACGCGATCATCGTCTGTCGCTCAGCCAGCCCCATGTCTCTCAGGCCGCTCCCATGCTCGGGCGTCTTCCCACCTCTCCCGGTGCTAACATCAAGCCTGATGTGGAGTACCACCTGCCAATTCATGGTAGCTCCCACTCACAACCGTCTTCCCCAGTCCAGACACGTGGACCTGCGCCGCATCCATCCATGACTCCTGCCCAGCAGGCTCACCTGTACGCTCAACTCCAGAAGGGCTCGAATGCTTCGGGTGCTGAGTGGGAGGCGCTTCTGGGCTCTCTCGATGGTGGTCAGCTCAATGTGTATGATGCTATCTATGGCGGACCTAGCCTAGCATTGGCGGAAACTCCTGTGTCGACAACGCCTACAAGCACAACAGCTACGACGGCGTCTACAGCAGCCTGGTCTCCTGAGTCTTGGGATCTTTCCAGCTTCAACCTGGGTGACTTTAATTCTGGGTCTGGGTCATCGCACAGCGTTGTCAGTATGAGCGAGGATGGGCTGAGCTCAAGCGAGGATCTGGTCAGTATGGGCAGTATGGATTTCCGAAACACCATTCTGCCTACGACGGCTGAATGTGCGGTAGCGGGCTCTGTTCCGGCGGTAGCGCCAGCTCCAGAGGGGTTCCATGTCCTGGACCCTATGCATAGCGGCTTTCCGCTATAAGAACCATGAACGGGAATGATGCATATAAAAATGGTATGGTATCAATGGCTGGGTCTAAATGGGTTATCATGGGCTGGGCTGGATTGGGCTTGATGCTGATGATGACTCTTTTTGGCTTGGGATATTTTTGTTTTGCTTTTTCCCTTTTATCTATACCTAACAGCTGGCGTCTACGGTTGCTTGTCCCGTTTTTAAACGCGCAGGGGTACGGCGCGAAGGGTTGGTCCCTGGATTTTGGAATACCTCAGTATGCTTTTGTTCTAAGGTTAAGGAAGTTTGAAAGGGACTTCAGGATTTTCATCATCATCATCATCATCATCATCATCATCATCATCAATTTTCGCTTCTTGGTTTTCTATTTTTTGGATATATTATTTTATATAGTACGACGTAGGTTACGACAGGGAACAGAAGAACCATTGTAAATAAACGGTGTGCTGAGCAAACCCAAAGTTCGTCTCTTCGGCAAAACATGACTGCCTGTTCACCGGTGCCGGTTCTTCGGATCCTCGATCATGAACTTGCTCTTCCAAACCCCGCGTTGCCCGCGATCTCTGGGGAACTGGATCCACCAGAATGTTCATGCGTGTGGATCATCTGACATCATGAGCCCACACAGCAGCGAGTCCGACAACGGGGGTCTTCGTCCTCAGCGCCAGCTGTCGCGTTCCAGGCAACAGTTTGTCAAGGTTTCTCTATATCCCGATTTCGCTGTCTCTATCTCCCTTCTCTCTTCTCCCCATGTCTCTCCGGTTCACGGGCCCATCCGTCGGTCTCCAGCTCTTCCACCCTCTCGCCTCTTCGCGTAAAAAATAAAAAGACGTGAAATGGCCAAGACACAGCACATCTCCACTTAGGTGAACCAAATTTGCCCCGCTTTATCGTAAACAGAGGCAGCGTTTGGACTAGGGACGAGCTCCGCTCTGGTGGTCCCCGCTGACTCTGACTCGGCCTGTCGTCTTCAGTGGCGAGGGCGAGGGCGAGATTCCCGCCAAGCCAATGGAGACCTTGGCGATGTGCGTAGTTTCGATGACAACGTTTTGTGTCACCTTCATCTCAACTATCAATCTACCTCTGCGAAAGATTTTCTCCAGTTAAGATGGAGATGAGGGGTTCGCAAAGTTTGAAAAGGTGTTTTTAACCGAGGTCTCCGTGTCCGTGCCCTTGAGTTTGGTCTAAAGAGATGTTTTAAGAAAGTCTAATGTAGGCGAGAGAAGGTTTTTATGGTTTGTGCGCAGAGGAAGAGATACCATGGAGTTGTTCCCTGCCGATAACGGCGCATTGTGCTTGTGTTTCAAATCATCGACGCAAGAGCATCTTGACCTTCCCCCGGTTGAACGGTGCCTCTTTTGATCAGCCTAAAGACAGGATGGTCCCTGACAACTGACATCTACGAGAAGTCCAAGATCTGTCATCCAAACTTAAGAGTTGTAAGTCCTGCTCATTCCCACAAAATGCCTATACGTCGCCTTGTGGATCTACGGTCTGACTATGGATGGGAACGTCCCCCTCGCCGTCCTCCAGACATCAACCCTTGGAGCTGACCGTCTCAATGCACGTGTTTGGCCAGACCTGACTCCGAGGGCTAGAGCTGGATCTGAGGGCAGGAGTCGCGGCAACGGCGATCCCGCCGATCTCTCTGGGGTTTGTCTGAGGGGGTGCTTAGGGTGCCAGTGATTTCCGCGGCGCTATTGATGGAGCATACGCAGGCTTGCAGGGCCTACCTGGGTAGGATCTCTGGACAACTGATCACCTAAGAGGTGTATCACTGTAGATTCTATTCGCTCGTTTGAGGAACTTCTAAGAGGTAAGGGTTGCTGGGCCATCTGCGAGGCTTAGCTTGGGGGATGAAGTTGTCAAGCACCTCTTGTCATATTTTTGTGAAGTTGTTTATGGGGATCGTCTTGATTTTCAGGGGCTCTCGAGCGCAGAACATTACATTGATATCGATATCCATTGTGCAGTACATACAGGTCTTAGATAGCTCGGGGAAAGCTTGGCTAACGCTCCGGATGGACAACATCAACAGTCACCTATCAACCTGTGTGCACACCCAAATCGCCGCCCCGCATTTCGATCCCGGGACGCACAGGTCTGTTCTTTGTAGAAGCGTGGCAGACATGTGTAATAAACCTACATGAACTGGTAACGCCTAAGCCCACACATAGGTACATACACAACCAAAACTTGTTTCCATAGCGCTGGTGACATATGCAGGACCGTTGTATTTTGGGGCATTCCGGTACCATTGGGAAAATTCACCCGGTGCTGCAGATAGTGGAAGATCTATTTGTACGTACCTGACCTTCTCGGTCAAGAAACACTTGCGACACCTTATCCAATATATATCTTCGGTCTGTGTTACGTGCAGGCGGGAAGGTTTTAGCCTAAATCTCGCCTAACCGCTGAAGCCAAAGCATAAGTTCCGTGAATCTGCGAGAGTAGCAGAACTTGTGTCCTGACCCGAGACAGAACAAGCAAAACTTTACCCGGCAAGATAGATGACGTGGTCGAAGCCAAACTGTCCTCTCCCTCCTCCATCAGTGTCTTTCTCCAATGGTAGCAGTCGTGATCAATGCCGATCAATATCCATCTGCACCATGCCTTTGATCACCGACAGCCACCAAGACGCCACCCGCCCTACCATGTGTGTGTGCGCCAAGAAAAACCCGCCAAGTGTCAATCTCCTGCCAGCCAGGGCAAACCGTCAAACGGCTGCCCCACATAGTGCGGTTATCCACTATTGTCCCCATTTTTCGCTTCTGAAAGGTCGCGGTCGCCGTTTCGACGGACCCACTTGCTTTCCGACAACGGGTGTGGCAGAGGCCAGCTGGGCCCCGGATATTCCGGCGATAAGTGGGGCAAGTTATCTCCGAGCTTGGTGGTAGTTTCGCAACCGCTTGGCTTTGCTTTTTTCGGTCAGGTCTGGGCGGGTCTTGCCGAGAGGTGGGGAGGGTCACTCGCGTTGCCATGCCATGTGAGCTGTGGCTGCTGTCGCTGCTGACCGCTTAAACATTTCGCTGTCAGTGGTTGCTGTTGCTGTATTTAGATGTGATGCCTTGTGATAAGCTTCAATGATATCAACTGGCAGAATGATATAGAGGACTCGAATGCTGTTAACCTTCTCCGCGGCGATGGCATTTGGCTCTTTTATGTGATTTCTGCCGTGGCTGTTTGAGTACAGATTGCCTCAAGCTGGTAGCATACTGTCCCCCGCATAATGACAGCCGACGAACACACGCCGCTCCTTGCAGACGGAATGCAGCCCTCCGCCGTCGCCGAGACGGATGTCGATGGTTGGTTACTCCACTTCATTCCGGCTCCTCTCTCGGACCCATTACTCTGTGGGATCCGGATTCCGGGAGAATGAGACCTACTGACACTTCTCAGTCTCGGTGGTTCCCAAGTCCAACACCAATGCCGGGTCCATACTCGTCACCCGACTCCGATCCCGACCCCGGGGCCAGCCCCCGCAAAACATTGGCCACCGCGGCTACAAGGCTGCCTTCCCCGAGAATACGATGGCCTCGTTCCGGGGTGCTCTAGCCGCTGGCGCCGATGCCATCGAGACGGACGTGCACCTCTCAAAGGATGGCGTCGTTGTGCTTTCTCATGTGAAGCCCTTCAACACCTTTTGCTTTATGTCATTTGAGTGCAATAGCTGGTGGGGATGTGTAACCTGAGACTAACATGTCCTTAACTTGGAAAAGGATCCCACGCTCAAGCGCTGCTTCGGTGTCGACCGGCGCATCGCCGACTGCTACTGGGAGTACCTGGCGACGCTGCGAACGCTGAGAGAACCACATGAGCCTATGCCACGGTTGGTTGAGTTGTTGGGATGGTTAGCAGAAGAGGGACGAGAAGGAGTGTGGCTGTTGCTGGATATCAAGGTTAGTTGGTGTGTTGGCATCGGTCCTTGTCGAAAACATGAAAGCTAACTGCGAACCAGCCCGACGATGACCCAACCGCCATCATCCCAGCTATTGCCGAGGCCATTGATTCCGTACCACCAGCAAAGGGCCATCCCTGGAGTGAAAGGGTTGTGCTCGGCGGCTGGAATGTAAGTTTGGTCCCAAGCAATGCTTGTCCCCTGACCTTCACTCACGCACCTTACAGGAGACATGGCTCCGCCTGCTAGCCGAACATCTTCCTGGCTATCCACTTGCATTCATCTCCTTCTCGCTCCTGCATGCCCAGCGCTTCCTGAAGCCCGACTTCCCCTACCCAGTGCACTTCAATCTCTTCCAGCCAGCACTGCTGGGGCCCGTCGGCTGTCGCTTCCGTAGGTCGGCGGTTCGTGCCGGGCGGCTCGTGTTTGCTTGGACGGTCAACGAGCCATTATGGATGGATTGGTGTGCATGCCAGCCTGAGAATGCTGCTATCAGTGGTGTGGTGACAGATGAAGTGACGAAATTGGGCGAGGTGTTGAAGGGGCCGAAGTGCGGTGCCGGGGGTGATGACGACGGGAATGAGTGCGATGATGAGGCGGAGCAAGTCGTGGTCAGGAAGATGAGAGAAGAGTATGGGCTTGGTCAAAAGATCAGGCTGTATGCAAAGGCTGTTTTGTTGCAGACGGCAGCGGCGGTGCTGAGCGTTGTGCTTTGGCGGTGGCTGAACAAGAGAGGGACGAGGAAGATGAAGGGTCAGAGGGGGGAGGTGAAGATCACATAGATTAGTTGCTCCTTGGTATGGTTTTACGTCTTCTTAGACTTGAATTGGTTCAACTTCTATTCTCAAAACCGTTCTCGATTGAGAGATTGCTCAACACCGCTTAGCATGGCCTGTTGGTTGTCGTCTTGAAGATTTGGTCCGTATAAGTTACTAGGAGGCCGGACTCCACATATCCATGCCCTGGTTGTCCAGGCTGATTTTCGTGTTTTTTGAAACAGAAAATTGTCAGATTGGAGAGAGAAAACACTTCATAGAGCTGCTCTCATTTCTATCATTGTTTATAAAGCGTCCTCATTGCAAACAGCTTGCGAAGGAGTGGAGTTAGAGATTAACCAAATGTACCCCTGCTATCCCCTCGTCTTGGCAATACGGATAGGGAACAGCCTTATCGCCGGCCCACTTCAGCCCGTTAACTCCGCCGACAGCTCAAGGAGGTGACGTGGGCTCGGCAAGCCAATTGAGGCGCAGCTCACTTTCAAACTTCCGTCCAGACATGCCAACGTGAGCTTGAGGGGCGCTAGACGTCCGCTGATTAAATCTCGGAAAGCGATCCAAGATATTCAATGAATTGTTGTCGGACTGAGCTCTGGTGTGTCGATCCATCAATCCCAAGCCCCCAAGCCAACATGGCTCCTTTAAACATGGAGGATTACATGGGAGGAGCACCGGGCGCCGAACACCTATGTGTGCTTGTTCACGGTGTAAGTCATCAACCACCTCAAAAGCTTGACTTTAGAAGCTAACACGACCTTCCGTGTAGCTCTGGGGAAACCCGAAACACATGGCATCGCTGGCACGAGCACTACGGGCGCAGTTTCCACCGGAACAGGTGCACATCCTCGTGGCCAAGCGCAACAGCGGCTCCTTCACCTACGACGGCATCGAGTTGGGCGGCGAACGTGTGTGTACCGAAATTGAAGAGAAGTTGGAGCTGATCCGCTCCCGCGGTGAGCGTATCACCAAGCTCAGTGTCGTCGGATACTCACTGGGCGGTCTAGTCGCGCGCTATGCCATCGGTCTTCTGCTCGCAAGGGGAGTCCTGGATGATCTGGAGTGCATGGTAAGTGTCTTACTGTCTCTCGTCTCGTTTTCGGTTGGCCGTTGGCTTGCTTGATTGCCTTGGGAGGAGCTGCCTAGAGAACATAGGGTGGCTCAAGCTTCCCATCCCAACCTTCCTCCCCCCCTTCCTCGCCCTCTCCCCGCGGCTACATATGGGACGGTTCCCCTCCGGTCAGGACCCCGGATGGTTCAGTATGACCGACGCCTGCCATCGCCAAAGAAAAACCCGAGGAAATCGCGGGTTTTCGTAGCCAGACACCCCACACCGAGTGAGCTGGTCGGAGAGCTTTTTGTAATTTTGTTATTTGTCTTCATTTTTTTTTGCAAGCCCGCATACTGTTGCAATACTCACTTCGAATCATCGGTGATGCTAACATCTCTCCCAGAATTTCACCGCTTTCGCCTCACCCTTCCTCGGTGTACGCACACCCCTTCGTGGCTGGGCCAACCATATGTGGAATGTGCTGGGCGCGCGCACGCTGTGCATGTCAGGTCGCCAGCTATTTGGCATCGACCGTTTCCGCGACACAGGGAAGCCACTTCTCGCAGTCCTGGCCGACCCTAACTCCATTTTCATGCGTGCCCTAGCCCGCTTCCGCCGCCGCACCCTTTATGCCAATATCGTCAATGACCGTAGCGCTGTCTATTACACCACTGCTATCTCTGCCACTGACCCGTACGCCACTCTGTTCGCTGCAGATTCGAACCACGTGGCCAACCGCGTGCGCTACTTGCCTGGCTATGAGCCCATCATACTCGACCCAGAAGAACCGATCCTCCCGCCACCAGAGCAACCTCCAGAAAATGAGGCTTCGCCGTTTACAATGCGCTTAAGTCGCTGGGCAAAACGAGTGCCGTTTGTGCTGGTATTGACGCTGTTAGTCCCTGTGGGCGTAGTGACTTTCTTGGTCAACTCGGCGATTCAAACGATCCGTTCTCACAGGAGGGTCAAGCTCCATGAGAGTGGGCGTGCGGGTATCAACGTCGAGGATTACAGGGTCAACCTATGGTTCAAGGAGATGCGCAGTGCTGTGGAGGGGGCATATGAGGAACTGAACAGCGCACAGGAGAATGAGTTCTTGGACGAAGGCGGGGGTACTGTCACTCCCTCGAAAGGAGACGAGAGTCTTCTCGATGCAGACAGGAAGCAACAGCGAGAGAACGATTCAGAAGTTAACCCCGAGACACGGCCTCTCTTGAGCAGGGAGTCAACAGCAGGCGGGGATAACCTCTATCAAACTCTGGCGCTCGCTCCGTATCAGTTTGACGCCATCCGGGCTCTAGACAAGCTTGGATGGCGCAAGTATCCTGTATGGATACACAAGCATCGGCATAGCCATGCTGCTATCATTGTGCGTATAGAGAAGCCTGCTTTTGATGAAGGCAAGGTGGTGCTGAAGCATTGGGTGACAGAAGAGTTTTTGACTTGATTCTTTCTATGCTCCCTCTCCTTCAATAGCTCGAGCTAGAAGGCGTGTAGAGTTATACCTGAAATCTGTCTTCTGATGTTAGAATCTAGGTAAGCAGATTAGAGAGCATTAGATTAGAGCATGGAGTTTAGGGTAATGAGGATTTGGTTAATTTCAGTGTTATCTAATTTAAAGGATTTGATCTTTGACCTTTGGTTCTCCTCAAGGCCTATTGAAATTAGTTTTTTTTTTTTTTTTTTTACTCATATTCATAATTGAGATACAAGCCCTCTTCTATGAACCCCTATCCCAACAAGTACGATTACCGCTCTATAACCAACTCATAAAGACGGCAAACAATCCTGAACCACCTCGAGATTCTTCATCGCGTCAAGCCTTGAGTGCTCCATCACGGAAGATAGCTGATAATGTCTAAGATGTCCTCCAAGAATGTTTTCTCAATACTTGAATGGGAGAATTGGAGTTAATTGATCTATTATGATCATGATGATTTTAGACACGTCATAGCCTTGCCTCATTGTTGAGCAGGCACCTCTTACATAGGCGCCTACTGGTATATAAGAGGCCGTTCCTGGTCGCAGGGGTGGGGATCGTCACTTTTGTGACACTTACGAGCCCGGGACTTAACTGATAAGCCTGTAGGGCTTATCTTCCTTGCCTACTAGGCTCTCTCCTCGCATACTTTGCTCACCTCAGCTTGCAGGCCTCGGTCACGCTGTGCTTGGGAAACGTGCCCCAGAACCTGTACACCGTTGTCGCTTCGTTCGACCGGCACACGAATTGCTCACTTCTCGTTGCCCTCCGCTCAACACGCATTGGCTTCAAACTTGTGACTACCCACGTAACCCCATGTGCCACAAAGTGACGATCGCCACTACTGAGACAAGGAATGGCCTCTTATATACCGGTTAACGCCTATGTAGGATTGCCCGCTCAACACCATGGCATTTCCTACTAGTTCGCCGCCCGAAGATGCTCGGGGTTGCGCAATTGGAAGTAACATCCCAAGCTTATCCTGTTCAAACTTAAGCCCAGGGGCTTTCTGGGGGATTGAGCTCCCAGGAGGAGCGGTTATAACTGTGCCAACGTATATTGGCTGCAGGGCAGGACGCTTAATCAACCCCTAGGTTGCTAGACAGCTTAAGCGTTAGATCTCGATCAGTACCTAAGGATAGTATTATACGGGCCACTGGTTGGAGCTCTGGTACAGATAATTCTATCCACATGTGCAACAGGTAGTTCTCCGGGTCAAGGAGGCTCACTTACCATCAGGAACCTCGGACATCTGTCTGCATATATTTAGTGATGGAGCATCGAACTCCTAACCGAAAAACCGCATGGATCGCATCGCATCGATACCGAGAAGTGCGTATAAGGACAATTATCACAAAGAGAAGACGGATGGAGAGATGGAGAGTGTACTCCTCGGGGTCCCCCGAGCGCCAAACTTGACCCCAAAGGTGCCCCGAGCAGTAGGCTATAGATGTGTAATCAATCGCGGTTTCAGCCCCGAGTACAGCTCACCGCGGGTTAGGGTTGAAGTCTTGTTATCTTATCTCCACGTGACACCGTTGTCCTGTCTTCTCCCAGCTCCACTTGTCGCGCCCGTTGCACGTCTCAGACAAGAGGTTAGGCCGGGGCGTCTCTCCTGTCGCCGCTCAAAGAGAGACGTCGCCGAGGCCAATTGAACACTCGTTCACAAAAGACCCGGTTGATGTTTAGCATCATGCGGACTCTACGCAGCGCCAGCCGGGAGACGGCGACGAAAACATCCCAGTTTTTCGACGCCACAAACGCGACAAATGCCCGTCGCGCCACACGCAGCAGTTTGGCGCGTTTTGCTTACAACCCCAGCAGCATCGCTGATGCCGACGACAGCAGTAGCAAGGCCGGTCTGGAGGACGTGACATTGGGCTCTGACATTGAAGATGCAGTGACTACGAAAGTGTCGCGCAAGCGCAAACGTACCGCGACGTCGTCCCAGTCGTCGTCGTCTGATCCCTCGCGGCAGGCCGAGGGCAGGAGGGCAACGACGAGAACTGCTCCGGCGATGGTGAAGACTGAGGAGGATGGAGAAGAGACACAGGCGCAGATAGAGACCGAGCCTACCTCCCCTGATGGCTCGCAAAACTTTGAACCTGCAAGCGCGACGAAACCCCGCGGCCGCGTCCGCAAGCCCGCCCGCAAAACCGTCGACCCAGCCACCGGCGCCGTCAAAGTTGAGCCCCCCACCAACTGGGAAGAGATGTACAACCTAGTAAAGGAGATGCGCATCTCCGGCCCGGCCGCCAACGCCGCCGTCGATACAATGGGCTGCGAACGACTGGCCCGAGCCGACGCCTCCCCGCGCGACCGACGCTTTCAGACGCTGGTCGCCCTCATGCTCTCCTCCCAAACCAAAGACACCGTCAACGCAGAAGCCATGGCCCGCCTACACAACGAACTACCCCCCCATAAGCCCGGCGCCCCGCCAGGACTAAACCTGGAAAACATGCTCGCTGTCGACCCCAAACTCCTCAACGAGCTGATAGGCAAAGTCGGCTTTCACAACCTGAAGACGAAGTACCTCAAACAGACAGCCGAAATCCTCCGCGACAAGTTTGGAGGAGATATCCCGCCCACAGTGGAAACCCTCTGCTCCCTGCCCGGCGTGGGTCCCAAAATGGCACATCTGTGCATGTCAGCCACCTACGGCTGGAACAAAGTTGAAGGGATTGGTGTGGACGTGCACGTGCATCGAATCACGAATCTCTGGGGATGGAATGAGACGAAGACTCCTGAGGATACACGCAAGGCGCTTGAGAGCTGGCTACCGAGGGATAAGTGGAAGGAGATTAATTGGTTGTTGGTTGGGTTTGGGCAGACGGTTTGTGGGCCAGTGAAGGGAAGTCGGAGGTGTGGGGAGTGTGAACTGGGGCTGAGGGGCTTGTGTAAGTCTGCGGAGAGAGGGAAGGTTAATGAGGGGAGGAAGAGGAGGGAGATGGAAGGGAAAGTGAAGGACGAAAAGGAGGTGAGGATGGAGGTTGATAAAAAGGAGGAAGATGTTGAGGTGAAAGAGGAGGTAACAGAAGAGGTTGTGAAGAAAAATGGGGCAAAGGGGAGGACAAGATCTCCCCGCAGGATCAAGACAGAGGGTGAATGAGCCCTCTGAGGTCATTGTCATTGTCAGCCCCTGACCCAAGTGAATGGGCCAGGGCTGACATGGACATAAGCGCCCTTTGTTGGCGGTTGAACTGTCTTGCTGTTGGCAGTTGAGACATTGCTGCGGCATGAAACCTGCAACATGACCATCAACACCAACAAGCACAACACAAAGACACAAAGGCTCACTCTTTGGCCTGCGGTGCCGTTGCGGCGGAGTTTTCGGCTCCGCTTTGCCGTCATCTATCGAAGCTCGGTTGCTGGTTGTGCAACGGGACCCGTGTACCGGGTGCCCACTGCCCCTGATTCTTAGTAATCCTTGGCGAAGATAAAGTCATGTTACAGTGGCTGATACGATATCGGAGCTGGCTGCTTTGCCATTATCACTTTGAGCATGATGTCGACACTGAGCTCAGACTCCCCGAGCGACTGTGCGCATCATTGTAATCCAATAGTACTTAATCGTCATGTCTAAACAGACAAAAGCGCATTTCAATTGCACGGAAACACAAAGTTAAATCGTTCATAGAATCTTCGTTTTCGGGCTGTAAACCTTTCGATTTCTCAGCCGTCTCTATCTCTCTGCATGTGATCAGCAAGGTTTAAGCGGTTGGTCAGCAGCAAGGGGAAGCTGAGCAGGATGGGGTGACAAGGCCGGCCTTCCAGCTCGTCATTGTCAACCTCCGTCACACAAGTCAAGCTCCCTCTCTGCGACTCCCCTTCTTCGATTATCTTCGTTATCAAACCGCTCCTTCCCTCCCTCCCCCCCCCCCCCCAATTCAAAAAAAAAAAATCAACGCAAAACCGCAATTCCCAATTCTACCGTCTTGACGCCAGGCTCCTCCAAACTACCTCTTATCAGAAAAAAGCAAATCTCAAATGCAATGGCCAATGGCTCGTAAAAAAAAAAAAAGCACGCGGTGCTCCGGATAATCCCGGGCAGGCATACGTCAACCGATCCCGCTTGCTCTTTTTCGCTTTCCTTGTCGCTCGGAATGTACGGAAAACGTCTCGAATTATTACGAAGTAAACAGTGCAGCCAGGGTCGGTTGACAAAATCGGTAGTCGTAGTAAGGTAAGGTTAGGCTAATAAGCCAGGATGTTCGTTCATATGATTATTGTCATCGAAGTCGTTGTCGCCGGTGGTCATATTTGAACCTCAGTCCCCGTGTTCCAACGAGGAATGCCAAGCCGCAGACAGCGCAGGCGTCCAAAAGCCGTATTACCGGTAGATACGTTCATATAAGGTAGGTTCCATTCGTAGGGAGGGACTTTTGAGTAAACCCGAGTTTCTCCCTCAACTCGGTATGTAGAATCTTGATACCCGGGGAGTTTCTTAAGCGGTCTTGATGACCTGGGTGCGCTCCTTGTTGAGCTGCATAGCATTCTGCTCGTGTGCCTCACGCTTGCACTACGTTGTTGCCCGGAGTAGGTCAGCCAGCTCGTCCTTCGACAAAACTTCCTCCAAGCCCACGAGCCACCAATGCGAGTCCGAGGCGTTTGGTGGCAGCAGGAGGGAGAAACTTACGTCTTCCAGGTTCCGGCAGTTGTGATCCTCCAAGAGCCGGTGCGTGCTGCAGAACTTGCCCTTGCAGAAAGCGCAGTCGCCGACGATCGGGCGGGCGGCAGCCTTGCACTCGGGGAACGAGCAACGGACCTTGGCCATGTTGGCGGTTGTGGGAGTGGTAGTAGCGGCGCGAGCGAGGTTGCGAGGTCGGCAGAGAAGTAGGTTGAGGTTAGTGGAGAGAGATGGGTGTGTGAGTCAGGAGAAGATTGGCGTTGTTGGCCTGAGCCGATCGATATTGGCGGGGATGTGAGTCACTTGGGGGAGAAAAGGAAGAAAGAGAGAGGGAAGATCAGTCAGGAGAGATAGGAAGGATTATAAAGACCTGAGACTGGTGGAGGTGCCCAGGCGCCTGAGACAAGGCAGGCATTCACGTGGTGGCTCTATCCCGGAAGAAGGTGGCAGGTCAGGTCCCAGCGGCCAGGTCAATGTCGTGTTGCCCTTCTTGCCAACCGAACCGGGGGGTCTACGGATATGGCCACGGCTGGGTGGTACACGTAAGTGCGAGCGCAATGAATGGACGAGCTTATACCCAATCGGTGGAAGCTGGAAGAAGGAAAAGCGTCTGTGGGTGGAAGGACAGGGAGCCAGGCCGACGGATCGAGAAGATGCAAGCAAGCAACAAGCGCAGCGCCTGGATAACTACCCAGATGCCCAGAGCTGAGTGGACGGGATGGGACCGCCGCACCGCGGCGAGGGCGCGAGGCGAGGCAAGGCGAGCGAGGCAAAGCACACTGCACACAACGCACACAGCGCACTCAACACAGGCCCAGAATTTGCGCTCGTCACTTCCAAATCCAGGCGTCCCAGTCGGCGGCAGCACAGCAAGTGCTTGCTTGCAAGATGCAACCTTGCGAGCTCGTCAATGCTTGGCCCGCCGGTGCCAGCGATCCAGCGCCAGCGGGCAGTGGTACTGCAGGTGGATGCGTGGCCTGTCGATGCCTGGCGCCGGGGGATGGACCGGGGGGGGAGGAGGGTGGATGGAGACACGCCGGGGAATCGCTAGTCGGGCTGTCAGAGCCCATCGTCCCGTCGTCCTCGTCATTCGGGAAATCAGAGCGTCACTGTCCCGCTTCTTTCCCAGTAGTGAATCCTAGTCGGCGGCCCCATAGAGAGATGCCCAACGGAGGAGCACATTCTGTCCCGAGCGCAAAGTCAAAGCGACCCAAAAAGAATCCCATGGATCGCAATCCCAATGCAGCAGTGCTTGGCTCGCTGCGCTGGCTGCGTGGCGGGCCGGCCGTTTGCGATCACAACTTCGCTTGCGACAGGGGTCCCCTTGCTGCGGCTCTCGGCCATGCCAGCCGTGGGTCTTGTCCCACCCCCAACCCCAACACTCTGGTGCTGCTTGTTCCATTCATCGTACTGTACCACGCGGTTGGAGGGGAATGGCACAATCAGCTGAGAGTTGTGAATGAAAAGCCAATCAGCAACCATCTTTCCTCAAAAGGAAATAACCCAAACGAGATTCCATTTGGCAAGCAACAAAAAGAGAGCTGCATCGTGACTTCCGCTTCCCGTTCTTTAAGCTCCTTGGTGCCCCCCAGGCGCAGGTACCATCGGGCATCGGCCTGATAAGGACCCGGCCTGGGACCCGGCCTGAGACCATCAAGGTATCGACCATCAGGGTGCTGCCACTTGCTGAGACTTGCATCCTGCTGCAACCGTGGGACAGCTCATCAGTTGGGATGGAATGCTTAAATCATGGCGCCATTTGCTTCCATGGTTCATGGATAAACCCTCAGTCCGGCTCTCTGAGCCCAGTCCTCCCACTCATCGACGTTGACAGTACAGCCCGCGCGGCATGTCACAGTTTACACCTACCAACTGATGAACACCGAAGCCATCACGCTCGGAAAAGCTCAGAAATGATAAACACTAAAATCTGGCCAAAAAAGAACAAAGAAAGAAAGCAACGAAGGAAGGAAGGAAGGAAGGAAGGAAGGAAAACGATGGTGACACACCGAACTTCATTCTCCCTCGGTTGAGGCGCTGGGTCAATAAAGTACCAGCACCCAAGACACCAAGCACGACAGGTGACGTACCTAGCGGCCCTCTCTAGCGACCTCTCACCCCCCATGCATGCCCGATGACGAAAAGAGACTGATACAATAGTTCGTTGAGTTGCCTATTGCAAGCAGCCACCCAAGCCAGCCAGCCGCGACACTATGGATTCTCAACAGACGGATCGGCACCGGATAGTCGGCCGATGTTGTCGCTGTCTACGGATTATCCAACCTACATATTGCGTACGAATGCAGAGTCTCGGAGTGGCCACGATATCGTCAACAACAGCCAACCATAACCAGATAATCCCGTCCTGCCGCCACGATGGCAAAGTTCAAGTCGCCCTGCAGATGCATGACGGCGATCTGTTGTGTGATTTCTCCATATGGTAGCGAAGTCCAGGCCATTTTTGTCCTCGACTCCCAGCAGTTGTCTCTTTGCAAATAACGTTTTCGTGCATCTCCTAGGATTTCATCAGACCGGTCTGGCCGAGGTTAAAACTTTCCCACAGCTGCACATCGCTCCAGTCCCGTGGCCTTGCTGACCGGCCGACCAAACAACCGGAGATTCGCCGGGACCCAGCCAACCACCGTTCTCTGTCCCTTGTTTTCGCCGGCAATCCTATCCTTATTGCCTGACCCCGACTAGCACCCACAGGTTTCGCAGACCAGAAGTGCGGGCGCCACTCAGAAGAAAGAGCCGTATCCGTGCCCGTATTCGGAAACGCCACACGTGAGACTTTCGCGGGCCGAGTCGATCTTTTGAGACAGTAGGACTTCTGGGTGTAATAAGAAACTTATTATTATAGGACAGGACATATCAAGTCCATCAAGTCGATCGCCCGATCTGTTTTGTTTGTTTCATATAGACAATCCAGAACCTGAAGATGGAGAGCATACAAGTGCCCATTGCCATCCGAACCGTTTATTTTGGGGATATCGGAAATACAGTCGAGCTCCGCTAGAGTCCTAACAGAAATACAAAACGCCCATTCATCATGAATGCCCACATCAACATACACATAAACCCTCCTTACTCCCTTTCCATCCCCCGATGACGATTAGTTATCCTGCATGGTGAGGACAGCACGGATGCACTCGCCCGACTTCATGACCTCGAAGGCGTCGTTGATCTTCTCGAGAGTCATGCGGTGAGTGATGAACTCATCGACCTTGAGCTTGCCATCAAGGTAATCCTGCACCAGGCCGGGCAGCTGAGTGCGGCCCTTGACGCCGCCGAACGCACTGCCCTTCCAGACACGACCGGTGACGAGCTGGAATGCTGTTCAGGAGTTAGTACCGGGCTGAATCATATGCATTGAGAGAAATAAGGGAACATACGCCTCGTTGAGATCTCCTGACCGGCAGCAGCGACACCGATAATGATGCTCTCGCCCCAGCCCTTATGGCACGATTCGAGCGCAGCACGCATGACATTGACGTTGCCAGTGCAGTCGAAAGTGTAGTCGCAACCACCGTCAGTCATCTCAATCAGCTGGTCGACAATGGTTTTGCCCTCAGGCAGCTGGTTCGGGTTAACGAAGTCGGTCGCACCAAACTTGCGAGCCCACTCCTCCTTCGCCGGGTTCACGTCGACCGCGATGATGCGGCCCGCCCCATTCTTCACGGCACCCTGGATCACGCTGAGACCGACGCACCCAACACCAAACACCGCAACATTGCTGCCCTTCTCAACCTTAGCCGTAATGGTAGCCGCACCATAACCCGTGGTAATACCGCAGCCCAGCAGGCAGGTCCGGTCCATGGGGGCATTCGGCTGCACCGCGACGACCGAGATATCGGCAACAACGGTATACTGGCTGAAAGTCGAGCAGCCCATGAAATGCAGGATATCCTGGCCACGGGCCCGGAAACGGGTCGTCCCATCGGGCATCAGTCCCTTCCCCTGGGTCGCGCGGATCTTGCCGCACAGGTTGGTCTTGCCGCTCTTGCAGAACTTGCACTCGCGGCACTCGGGTGTGTACAGCGCGATGACGTGATCGCCCGGCTTGACGTTGGTCACGCCCTCGCCGACCGACTCCACGATGCCCGCGCCCTCGTGGCCCAGAATCACGGGAAAGGCGCCCTCCGGGTCCTTGCCCGAGAGGGTGTAGGCGTCGGTGTGGCACACGCCGGTGTAGTAGATCTTGATGCGCACTTCGTGAGCCTTGGGAGGCGCGACCTCGACGTCTTCGTAGCTGAGGGGCTGGCCGGCACCCCAGGCGATGGCCGCCTTGCAGACGATGGTCTGGAGGGAGAGGGGTTAGCATCTGTTTGACTGTGATGCGATTGGGTTGAGAGTTGAGTCGGTGGCGGGGTAATTGGTAATTGTCGTGGTGCGTACCTTGCCTACCGTTGACTCGGACGACATTGTGATGTGTGCGTTGTCTGTGTGTGGGTGTTGAGGGGTAGGTAGGTTTCAGCGATGCGAGCAAGGAGATGACGACAGATAAAGCTGGGAGGATGGCGAGATAAAAATAAAAATTGAAGTCAAGCTAGGCAACAGGTCAAGCGACAGCAGCGTCCGCTTGTTTTTTATTTAAGTGGAAGTGGGAAGCTTCCATCCAAATCTGTCCCCTCCCGCCCCGTCCCCCCTTTCTCCCCTTTTCGCGTTTGACCCCGCCTTGCGCCCAAAGCAAGTGGGGTTGGGGTTCCCCGAGGGAGTCCGGGACATCTTTCACTGAACCATCGAGAGATGCCATGCCATGCCGGTGGCATTCAGACGGCATCGCATTCCAATGCATCCCTCTTGCAGGTATCCTAGCATAGCCGTTCATCACAGAGCAAAGCTCATTCATTGGAGAAAGGGAAGGAGCTGGCTCGGTGATTTCACGGCATCCCGCCCTGCCAAGTACGTTGGGTCTGTTGTCCCCGTGCTCCCCTGGCCGCCCCCGTTATCTCCCTATTACCGGCTCGGCAGTTCAAAAGTCCGGAATTTGGATTTGCATTGCTAATCCTAGATGTCAGAATGGGTATATCTAGGCGCTGACATGCCCATGGACATGCATCACTTGCTCAAATGGTGCCGTATTGGGGATTCTACGATGGGTTATGATGGCAACCTCTTTTACACACAGCTGTTAGCTAGCCGCTATCCAAGCTCATATCCAAAGCTTTATCAGTGGATCTCTGTCGCGTGCTTAGTAACCAAGCAAGCAGAAATGCCGAGTTGCCCTGAGCTCCCGGAGGCTCGGGCTCGGGCTCAGGCTCGGAATCTTATCAAAATCTTAGGTTGTCTTTCTGTTGACAACATAACGAGAATAATTAAAAATCGGGAAGCGAACGGCATTGCGTCATCGCCCTCGCTGTATGAGAGACATTTATCCTACTCCCCTGAAGGCGTGCCATCTTACCTCAACCATCCTTCCTACACCGGGCTGAACCGGGTTTGCGCCGGAGCTAGATAAGACGCCGAATGGAGAGAGAGACCTTGGGGTGCCCTTCGTCGATGAGGCGCTTATACTCAAAACGTTTTTTTGTGTGACACATACTTTTGAATTGTGAACCCCTTCCGCTAATGAAATTATGAGTTCCGTTAAACTGTGAATGATTTGGAGTTTTTTTTTTGTTTTTTTTTTGAAAACCTTGTCATCTCAAACAAAAGTTTTCGAGGTTCTCGAAGCACATTGTTACAATGCATGCAATAAGCGAGAATTGCGTCTACAGAAGATCCAGTTTACAATTTCACTCCATCTCTTGTGAAGTCGCGTCATGAATTGAGTTGGCTAGGAACACGACCTCATAGCAATCTCATCTTATATTTTGAACTCTAGCTCAGAAACTGCTAGTGACAGCCATAGCGGATCTTTTTTGAATAAACACAATGCTCGACACTCCCACCTACGTCTACAAAATCACCCACGAACCTCCCCCAACCCCTCTCCCCGACCTCTACCCCCTCTCCGAACTCGACGCCAAAGATGGTTTCATCCATCTAAGCACAGGCTGGCAGGTATGCCTGTCCTCCTCCTCCTCCTCCTCCTCCTCCTCCTCCTCCTCCTCCTCCTCCTCCTCGTTCCTAATCTTATCCCGATGCTTACATCGAAATGAGAAGGTCCCTGAAACAGCAGCCCTCTACTTTCAGTCATTCAGTACCATCTACATCCTGAAGCTGCGCTTGTCCAACTTTGACCCGGCCAGCGTGAAATGGAACGAGGGGACCACGAGGGGTTGCCCGCACTTGTATGGGCGGTTTGGGGCTAAGGATATTGAGAGCGTGAAGGAGTTTAGGCTGGAGGAGGGGGAGAGTTGGAGGAAGGTTTTGGAGGAGGAGAGGAAGGGATGGTTGGAATAGTTCATCATGATGAAAACCGCATGTGTTTGAGTTTTATCGAGACTCGTAGAGGGTTCGATGTGAGAATTTGAGGGTAAGATCAAGAAGGAGTAGTGTTTGATGGGCAAAGTAATAAGTGCAGGAAGGTGGTAATATAGCTGGGATGAAAATTGTGAGGATGAGCTTTGCGAACATCGTAATTCACCTTCGTGAAGACAGCTCAATCTCACCAAACCAAAATAACCAATTACATTTCGCCCAAACCCTCTGAGTGTATAAAAACCCTACAAATCAACCATTGAAATACGTAGTAGTGTACCTATGCTTTGTCTGTCTCAACTCCCATACTCCCATTTATGGCCCCTTCCCCTTCCCCCTCCCTCTCCAACCACCCCACCTCCGTTTTCCTTCCTTCCCTCTTACCAAACCAACGCATCCGCCTCAGCCAACCACAACCGCGCCAAATCCTTCGCCAGACCCAGCCTCAATCTCCTAATCACATCCTCCCCTTTCATCTTAGCCGGCATACCCTCTCTCCAATCCCATCCCCTCTTCACGGGCACCTTACCCAGCGCACTTCCACTTCCTCCCAATAATGACTTCTGCAGCTGGCTGGCAATCAACGAACTTCCAGCAAGCACCATCTGCTGCCCATCCTGCCCCTTCTTCAACAAATCCGCTGGCTTGCTCCCCTTCAGCGCGCCGCCAGGCGCCGAAGCCAATACCAACTGCAAAAACTCATCACACACATTATACACCCTCTCACTGACCGCAGTCAAATCCTCTACCGCCTTCAGCAGCACGTCAATCTGGTCCTGACTCAAAATCGGCACAGCCGCATGCCCATGATGTACAAAGGTATTATCCGGATTGGACACAAACACCAGCGCTTCGCCGAGCAGAGCGAGCAGGAAATCCTCACTAACGATTCCATCGCGCGTCTGGTCGACCAGACCGCCGCGGATGTTGTCGTCGGAGCTAGCGATGACACTGATCAGCGCGGCAGCGGCCTGCTGGCGGCGGGAGACCGGGGAGATGGAGGTTGCGTCGACGTTATCACGGATGTCGTAGAACTGGCGTAGAGCGGCGTAGCCGCTCAACATCTTGCCGAGGAGCTCGGCGGCTTCCATGTCTTGCTTGGCGTACTGCTCTAGAGTGTGCTTGCGGTCGGAGAGTAGGCGGTGAAGGTAGTCATCGAGGTCGGCGGCGGGAGGGAAGGCAGTCGATTGGATGAGGGAATAGGAGATGAGCAGGTTCATGACTTCGCGGACTTTGTTGGGGCGATGGGCCAGCGCGTAGTACCACATGGCCTCGCCGTAGCGGTGGGATTCGCGTGCGAGGATGTCGCCGAAGGTCTGGGGTAAGGTTAGCAAATGTTTTTTTTTTTGTTTTTTTTTTTTGGGTAGACAGCAACCAACAGGAACCTACCTCAGTCATCTCCTCCGCATAAGTTATCATGCTCAACTCATTTAGCATCGTCCACAGCCTGTCAACCGTCTCGGTTGAATCCACAGTCAAGCCTTGGACGAGATGCTCAACAATGTCGCGCACCATCTCTTCTGACCGTTCGGGTGAGTCCATCCTCCCGAGTACGCTAATCGCGAGCTCCCATCCTTCCCTATATACACCGGCCCGATCCCTAACCGTCTCCAACCCCTCATACTCCACCAGCGCCTGCGCATACTGCACAAGCGTACTATCCTTAACCCCATCAACCTCATCTGGTGCGCCAGGATCGACACCTAACACCTCAAGATCATCCATATCCAGATCCTCCAGCGCATACATGCCCTTCGGGCGATGTGGCGGCAACCAGCGACCAAGCGAAGCGACCTGGGCGACAGCAGCCGCAATGGGCAGCGACCACGAGCGCAGCAGGCCAATGACACCCTTGATGTTGTCCTCGAAAATGCACGCCATGCCGATCTCGACCGGGTTCTGCGAGTTGAAGTGAAAGTCAGATGCGACAGCGGCGTGGAAGGCGCGCGCCAGCCGGTCGAGGTAGCTCTCTGAGTCGTTGTTGATGTGGTGAGCCGGTGAGGAGTGCAGCACGAGTGCCTGCGTCCGGCCGGGCTTCTGATAGCCATTGTTGTTGTTGTTATTGTTATTGTTATTGTTATTGTTGTTGTTGCGCTCATCCCACCAGCCGAAGAGGCCGATCGTAGCCTCAAGCCAATCCTGTGCCGCCTCGAGGATGGAGGCCTGCTGGCCAAGGACGATGTCGAAAACGACGTTCAGACTCTCATACACATCCCAGGGCACCTGGCTCTCCGCGCGACGCGCCAGCCCAGCAAGCGTATGATCCCTGTAGCCGGTATACCCTCTATTCGACCCGGTCGAGCTGCCAAATAACGAGTCCCCAAAGCTGGTATCCTTGCCCTCAGCAAACCGCCTCAAATGCTCCAGAGCACCCTGAGCCCTAACACGAAACAGCGTCCACTCGCTGCTCCAGATCTCCCAGTTCCCATCATAACCGGGGCAGCTCTCGAGCACACTAACCGTCTCGTCAACGACGCGCAGCACATTCTCCAGAGCGCGATCGCTATAGGCATACTCGCCGCGTTGCTGGCCCCCGCGCCGGACATGCTCCCAGCCGGCCCTGCGCAGAAGCTGTGTCGCGTCCTTAACGCGGCCGCGCAGAAGCGACATAAACACAGCCTGCCAGAACAGCGAGTGGCAAGCGGGGCTGGGTCGATACCGCAGGATCTCCTCTACCTGGCCGGCGTACATGTCGTGCCGATCGTTCAGCCACTGGAACAGGGTCGCGGGGAGCGGCTCGACGCCGCCATCCAGCGCGCGAGTGTGGTGCAGCTGCAGGGCGAGCGTCGCAAGCCAGTAGGCCTTCTCAAACGGCGAGGCGCGCGGACCGGGTCCGATGTCAGCTACATGGCCGTCCTCTTCGGGCTGGGCGATGGCATCGACGTGGTCCTGCCAGAGGTTAATCAGCTGCACGGCGACAGCAGCGAGGGTCTCGTCCAGACGGGCATCGTCGTCATGCGTGCCGACACCCTCATCATACAGCTGCTCGAGCAGGGCTTCCGTGCTAAGAATCAGCTGCGGGGGCTCAACAAGCGGCGCGGTGCCCAGCTGGGTGTAGACGTCCTTGGCGAGGGAAGCGTAACGGTATTCATGGCGGCGGGTCGTCGCGCCGGCGCCCATGGCCGTCGCGCGGAAGATGTCTTCGGCCTCGCGGCGCACACGTTCTGTAGCAGCCGGCGTTGCCATCAGCAGCAGGTCAGACTCGTCGCCGATGGCAGGACGCTCCGGCGACCGCTCAAGCCACATGGAGTCGTCTAACTCGCCTTCAGCGTCCTGCCCGCCAGTGAGACCAGAATCCTCTTCCTCGGACTCACCAAACTCTTCGTACGTAAGCCCAAAACTTTTAGTCGGCCCGGTAGTCGTCGTCGTCGTCGCCGCCGCCGCCGCCTTTGACAGCGGCGGGGGCGCAAGCGATGTCCCAGTAAACAGACCCCTCACCGGCTCATCCTTCTTTTTCTCCTGTACCTTCCCCTTCGGCTTCAGCAGCTGCGGCTTCTTCTTCTTCTCCTCTTCCTCTTCCTCATCCTCCAAATCATCCACACCAATACTCTTCCTCAACCTTGACGGCTGTCTACTATCATGGCCCCTTCCGGACCTCCCCAACGGGACATTCCTCCTCCTCTCACCCGATACCGCAGCGAAGAGATTCTTCTTCGCCGCCTTCGCGGCCGCGGTGGCACCCGTACCGGCGCCCATTCCTACGCCCACGCCGCCGCCGATGCCGGTAAACAGGCCCACGGCTGGTTGATCGTCATCGACGGATGATGACGCATTCTTGTCAGAAGGGCGCATGATGGAACTGCCGAGGAACTTGACGGGCGGCGTGCCAGCCGGGGTCGTGGACGCGGCGCTGCTAGCGGTCGAGTCACGGAAGAGGTTACTGCTGCCGGCTCGGCGGGACTTGTCAGGCGTCGAGGGCGCCGGAGAGGAGGAAAGGATGGAGTCGTCGGGAACGCGGAACATGTTTATGGATTGGATAGATGGTTGATTGTGATTATCGGTACGTCGATCGATCGACGATGGATGATGGATAGCGCGATGATCGAATCGTTAATTGAAGATGACAATTGGCGTCCTCTGTTGATAGTGATGCGTTGAAGTGATCGCGTCGTCGATCAACAGATCAAAAAAAATCGATCGATCGATCAGGAGCCGTGTCGTCGTTTTTTTTTTTTTTTCTCACAAGTCGAGTTCGTGTTATTTTTTTTTTTCCCAGACTTCGTTGTCCACTCGATGAAACTTCTGCGCTCGCAATCTCCCTAATTCCCCCAGAATATATTTGTCGATTAATTTTCGTATGGTAATCCCCCCGCAACGCGTTTCGTCGTCGTCTCGTGTCGAAAGGCGAAGGCGGTTGTTGCGGGTTGGGGGGAAGGTTTTCGCTGGGCCGCTGGATTGGTGGATTGCAGGAGGGAAGCTCCCAAAATTGCAGGTTGCAGACAACCTGGAAGGGAGCTGCTGCGCTGCTGACGCGACGCACTTTTCGCCCAGTCGTTGCCCGCGCGACCCGGCGGCACGTTCCGCGACAGGGTCTGTAATTACGAACGTATCGTTTGTTACGCTTATCGATAAGTTTAAATTACAATCATCCTTCAAACACTTTAAACAGTGTAACCGCAGTCGTCAGGACGATGATTGTTGATTCAACTAATTTCTCGACTCTGAAATCTGGCTATGTTGGGTATTGAGCTGCTGTGGCTACAGTAACGCCAAAGAAAAACTTGAAGCAGTCAGTCATGTCATGGCTTTTCCAGCCTGAACCTTCTCTTGCCCCCATCCTTCCCCTTCATCTTCAACAGACTCATTCATTCCTGAAGCTGTTGACCCTTCGACGCCATCCCGCACCCATCTCCTCTCATTCTTAAAGGCTGGCTATACATACATGACACATTATCTATCGGGCTATGGCTACTGCTTATCAGTAGCGGTAGTGTGTTAGTAGCAGTTTTTGTAGCCGTAGGTAATCTTAATCCTAAGTCCAAGGAATCCGGACAACCACCCACCCACCCACCTACACACACATACACACACACACACACATGCACATACACACACACAAAAGAGGTATGTGTTGCTCCTCAAGTTGAACCAATCGTCTTCTGAAGAACCGAAGCACCAAACAAACTCTGGCGCAGCCAACATTTCCTTACTTTCCTTAAAAAAAAAAAAAAAACTTAGAAGAGAAGCAAATGGTGAGGGGGGTATTGGAAGAAGTTGATTTCAGCCATCAAAGATCCATCTGAAGGTGAAGAAGAGAAGCAGCAGAAAAGGAAGACTGATGACAGGCATGAAGCCATTGGAACGCAGCACTGCATTGCCTCGCAGTGTGAGTCCACTCCATGAAGATAAAACCATACAAAAAAAGGGAAAAAAAAAACTATGTGCGTCCGAATAAAAAAAAAAAACTCCCCAAACCCCCCACAACTCCTATCGCCTTCTCCTCCCCCTTTGTCACACATCCACCTCCAATAACCCCTGCATAGCAGCAGCCCCCTAAGCACTCTGCGGCAGCAACGACGACTCCTTCTCACCCAGCCCCCCGAAACCCCTACCACTCGCTCCGGATCCTGTCCCCGGCAGAGCACTCTGCGGTGCCCGCGGCATACCCAACCCGCTCTCATTACCCCCATCCTCACTATAATGAATCCCCAGCCCGTTCTTTCCCTCCCCTTTCTTATTATCCTCCCCCTTCTTGTCCCCCTCATCAAGCCCCATCAACGCCGGCGGGCGATGCCTCATCTGCCGAGCCTTGGCCAGCGAAATCGTCTTTTGCTGGTACGTCGATGTGACGGGTTGAGTATCATCACGATCAATGGTTGCCTTCATCAGCGCGGCCATCCACAGCCTGCCTTGCTTGACGTTCGGCACAGCAAAGTAGTGCACAGTTGGCTTAGTAAAGTTCACCGCGCGCGACAGGCCAGCGCGCGGCGGAACAAGCTTGAAGATGAACACCTGATCATCGCCATCATCCTCGCCCGGCCGAGAACTCTGCGCAGCCTCGGTCTCAGCACTCGTCTGGAGATGCTCGCTACCCGGCGGCGCGACAGATGAGCTCGCCGCACCGGTAAGCGTAGCATGCAACCCAGTCAAACGCTCATTATCTGCAGGCAGCACGCGATGGAATGAGATGTCAATCAGCCCGCGCTCCATCTCGTCGTCCTCCGAGTAGTAATATGCCAGGCGCCGGCCCTTGAGTACAAACAGCCGCGGCTTCCACGTCGCCATGAGATTGGCGCTGCGCTTCTTCATCCAGCCGCTAAAATCAGCATCCTTGATCGCCTCGCGCGGGCTGATGCGCTGTAGGCCGCGCGTGTAGGCACTCGTCTCCTGCTTGGTCTTCTTGCGCCCGCCGCGGCTAGTCGCGCCCGTCGTGGTCGCCGCCGACCCGCCAGTCATGACGCTCGGGCTTTTGCCGGCACTGGGGGTAGTCGTGTCGGGAGATTCAAACTCGAAGCTCGGTCCGGCCGAAGGCGTGCTCGAACCGGTCCTAGCCGGCGAGTACATGGGTGAATCCTTAGCCGGTGACTCGAGCTTGGCCTTCTCGCTGCCCGTGACCGCATCCGAAGCAGCCCGGAGCCCGCTGAAGCCGCTGCGCAGCATCATGCCGACATTGAAATCGGGGTGATTGACCTGGCTGAGCCTCTTGATAGCCGACTTGGGGGACGAACGCGACTGGTCCGAGGCGGTACTATCGAGCCGGGTGACCGTCGGTGTCGTCGTCTCCTTGGCTCCTGTCGACAGATGGCGCAGCGATTCCTGCGTGGTATTGGACGAGGTGCGCTTGTTGGTCACGCCGTAATACTTCTGGGCGGCCGGAGAAAGCGACTCGACACTACCGAGCCTCGAGTGCCTCGATAGCGCCGTGCCGCTGCGCACCCGCTGCTCTTCCGCATAACTGGTCTTGGGAGACTGAGCGCTGTCACGCTTCTTGGCCAACCCGCGGTGCCGGGAGTCGGTGTCGGGACCCGAGAAATAGCCGCGATCCAGCTCAACCGCCGAGTCTTGAAGCCTGCCCGCCGGGGGATCGTCCAGCTCGTCGTCAAGACCACCCGAAGAGGGCGGGCGATGGCCGGCACTGCCCAGGGTCCAGTTCCGGTCGAAAGAGGGCTGCTTCTTGTGCGAGCCGTCGTGCCGCATGGCCGCCGAAGCACCAGCAGGGCCTTTGGGGGCCGCGGACTGCGTACCAGCTGTGGTTCCTGGATAGCGGAAGTCAGTCGAAGAGTGGCGACGGGAGTGGTGCAAATCTCGGACAGATGCAGCCGAGGGGCGTTTGTCGTGGTACGTACGGGGTGCGCTCTCGACCAGCGGCGAGACGGGTGAGACGGGCTCGTAAGAGTCCAGTTTCGGTTGCGACAGGCGCTTGGTGTGGATGGCGAGAGGCTGCTCGCTTCTTCCGGAGGGGTAGCGCTGCTGTTGGCTCGAGCCTGTAACCGTATTGGTCCTACTGCGGTTCCTCCCTGCCTCAGACCCTGCTTCGCTACCATACCTCCCAGTCGTTCTATTCGAGCCACCGCCGACGCCATTGACCTCATCCTGGAGCTGCTTGATCTTCTGCCAAGTCTTCAGCCTGCGGCCCACAGACCCCAGATCCAGAGCCTTAATAAAGAGCGAAGTCTGGTCCATCCCCAGCAGGACTTCGCCCGTGATCTCCTGATCCCGGAAAACCTCGCAGTGGTGCTTCTCCACGCCTACAGTGAAGAGATACTCGGCGACCTGGTCGGGAGTCCATGCCTCGACCTCCTGGCGCGTGTACGTCGGTTCGCCCTCCTCCTCGTCCGTTTCCTCTCCCTGGATGTAGGAAACCCGGTTGTCGAAAGTAGCGCTGTACTCGCTGCCGGAGTCGTTACCATTGCGCAGGGAAGCGCTGCCCGGAGCCGTATTCAGGTCCGTGATGTGCTCGTTAATAACGTTGATCGTGTCGCTCAGGACCTGGCTGTCTTGGCTGGCGGTCGGCCGAGTCGCACCGAAGCTGGGGCTGCCAATGCCTGCCGGCTGGCTCGAAGGGGTGTTCAGAGGAAGCGTCGCGGGCGTGGCGGCGGCGGCATTCTGGCTGTTCTCGGCCTGGCCCGTAGTGGAATCCGTGGCAAGTTCGTTCGCAGGCTTGTAGGTTGGCTTTGGCGTCGTGTACTGGGGAAGCGTCGTCGTGTTTTTGGGAGCCGGGCGTGTATATACTGGAAGGTGGTATTAGTCACATAACCCAGTATTTTTATATCTTTCTTTTTTTTTTATTTTTTAATTTATTTAATATTTTTATTCTCAGATCAACCAGATTCACTCACCTTCTGGGAACAGGCCGGTGTTGCCATTGCCAGTGTGCCTGCCCAAGAACCAGCCATCACCAAACTCGTCGTCGCGTTCAAGAAGCTCGATGCGGTCGCCCTTTGACATTGTCAACTCATCGGAACTGCGAGCTTGGAAGTCGTCTGCGAGGTGTCAGCCGTGGACTACATCCCCTGTCGCTTCTGCATCATCACATGCTGCCCAGCGGGGGACATTATGCCGCGCTGCTGGTGGTAGAGTGCGACCTACGGATGACAATCAGGATGTCGCCCACTTCGGGGCGGTTTGCGTTTTGCGAAGCCATGATCGTCTGGGAGGGCAGTGAGCCCGGGGGTGCTCTGCAGATGCGTCTGGCGAAGGTGGTGTGTTATGGAGAGAGGAGAAGTATCGTCGGCGTCAGGTCGATGCGCGACCCTTACAGAGTCGGCAATGTGTTAAAAGAGAGAAGCGAGCGAAGAGATAAATGAAGGAAAGTATGCGTAGCTTAAAATGTATGCAAGCAGTCGGGATGAGCGCGACGTCGAGGGCGTCGGTCGTGGGGAAGAAAAGAAAAAGTAGGCCCAAGATGAGATCGGGTCGGGGGCTCGGGGTCCGGGTCGGCCGGGCCAAGGAAGGAGGAGCAGGCTTATAGACTATGGCCGATGGCGTATTAGGGTATAAATAGCTTCTAGCAAGATGGGATGGCAAACGACGGCCGTGCCGCAGAGTCCCTCCCGGGAGATATCCGCAGGCGACAGGAAAAAAAAAAATAAACGAGGAACAGAAGATGCACTCGAGCAGGTGTGCAGACGGACTGGATTAGGCGACGCAGGGCCAGTCGTATTAGAAGCAAGAAGGCTGTGGCAGTGGTAGTGGTCGTGGCCGTAGCGATTTATTGTTCTCACTCGTTCAGGTTTGGGTTTGGCTCGTCTCGCTGCCCTCGCTCCCCTCTTGATGGCATGGGAGGCCCGTGTATCCTGCAGGAGCGTTGAGACGCTGAGACGCTGAGGTTGCGTTCCGGTGAGTTGTCCAGCTAAGGATGTGGATTTGGCCGAGTCGGGTCTGATCTGGTTACGGTTCGAGATTTTGGCTATGGCTTCGATCCAGCTCCAGAGCGGGAGTCGACGTTGTCGTTGGGTGGCAGCCAGGAGCGAAAGAGAGGCATGGAATGGCGAAGAGGTCAGGCTGACCTGCGTGGGTGGTGTCGTTCTCTGCCTTGGTCTCCTGCCCTTGTCTGTTTTCTGTTGTCACCTCAGCTGTCGGTCGGGTCGGGGTCCAAAAAGGGACAGATGGCGGGCGGGCGGGCAGATTGCTGCGGTGCGCGCAGAAGAAAAAAAAAAAAGTAGCCAAAAGGGTCGCTTGTTAGTGAACGGCACGCTGGGCCCGCTCCAGCAGCAGCAGTGGTCCCAGCGTCCTTAGCCGTTAATGTTTGGCGGCGGCGACGCTCCGACTACCGTTTTCTGTGATTGGGGGAGCAATAAACCAACAGACGAGGGGTGCGTGGACCTGCTGTCCGTTTATTGGCGTTTTTCTGCTTGGGTGTTTCTTGGGGCTTTTGGAGCTCTGTCGGAGGGCGATCATATGGCGATGCGTGTGCTAAAAAGGCCAAGGCCAAGGCCAAAAACAGCTCCTCTTTTCAGTTTACCCACCTGTCGCTGGATGCCGCTGGTTGCCGCTGGATGGCACACAGGGGGGGCACGGCAGAGCTGTTACTTACGTAGCAGCAGCGCGTAAGAATCCTGCGTGTAGGGCTCACTCCGGCCCGGTTACACGAGCGGCCGTCCCTTCCAGGCAGGATAAGCAAGGGATGGGAATAGTTCAAGTTCGACACCACGTCCAGGAGATTTTTGCTCGATTTTTCCAGGTTGTCGACGGCTGAGCAGAAATTTTAATGGGAAATGAGCCATGGGCAATGGACCGTAGACGGGCAGCCGGCTTCTTGGGTTCCTGGTCTGCTTGTTCCCAGCACTGTGGGTAGAGTTCGGTTAGCCCCACTGATCCCACTGATCGCGCGCCCTGGCTGGCCTTACAGGGGTTGCTCATTGTTGGGTGTAAATATACAAAATTGTTAGCGCACGATGGTCTCGCCTCTTTTGCTTTTCCATTCATCTCAGCTCTCTCCCATGTCCATGGGGTCGACTTTCCCATCATTTGGAAACGGGGAATGACCAAAAGTCGATCAGCCTCGAGACGTGAGGACAAGCTGCACCGTCCGAAATTAATCAACGGCCCCGTTTGCGGTCTGCATGACTGATCGGCTTCCATGCACAAGCAGGCTTCAGCCGTCCATATGTGGCGGAACACTTGGCTTGCGGATCGACTCAGCAGCGCAAATCGTGTTTGGCGTTTTGTGTAAGCGGCTATATTTGCCGTTTCTATATACATACTCTAGTGGACGCTATATTTCTTGGTATTGGCCTATGTCGCCAATTGCAGGCTTCATGGAGTTGCGTGATAAGGATTACTGCAGATGACGACGACTTGTTCTCAACATTCTTGAGCTCTCGAGATGTTTTGATCTCAATTTTACTGATTAGCAATCACCAAAACTCTCCACAACCTTTTAACATAAGCTTCTTCTTCCTATCCCAACGTCCACAATAAACTTCGATGCCAATACGGTGTTTACTGGAAGGCCGGCCATCAAAGCCGCGACTTTCACATGCCATGACCCCCACCTTCGAAAACCGTCAGCTCAATCCGGCAAAAACATGACGTCCTCTCCTTGCTGAGCTTAACCACCCCGCCTCCCTCTTTTGCCCCAGCCGGTCTCAGGCTGCTGCAGTTGCCAGTGGGCGGTGGCTGCTCCAAAAGGGAAATAATAAAGGAAAAAAAAAAAACCTGTCAAAGCGCCAATGCTCCGGGCCGGCCCCATCAAGCTGTCTCCGGCCCGCACTGGGCCTCGGCAACTTGGATCTTGATGGGTCCCATTTGCCGGCAGAGCAACATCAAAAGGGTTTCGACGCCGATGAAGTTCACGTCTTGCCTGGAATCATGTAATCGAATTCCCTTTGGCTTTGCGATTCGCCATTCTTGCTGCATCCCAGGTTGATTCAACGCCCGACAGTGACATCCTTCGTCCTTGACCAACGCCAACAGCTACCATCCTCCACTTCCATTCACACCAACCACCGAACATCACCACAACCTTCATCATGGCCCAAGCCAAACCTCTCGCCGCTTACTCTTCCTACAAATACTTCAACGTTACCTCGCCGTCGCCCTATGTCGCGCACGTCGAGATCAACCGCCCGGAGAAGCTCAACGCCTTCCACGAGGCCATGTGGCTGGAGATGAAGCGTGTCTTCGACCAGCTGTCGGTTGACCCTGAGGTGCGTGCCATCGTGCTGTCGGGCGCCGGCGAGCGCGCCTTCAGCGCTGGTCTGGACGTCGTCGCTGCCAGCGAGGGCAGCATACTCAACAACAAGGACGGCCTGGACGGCGCCCGCACGGCGACCAAGCTGCGCCGGCATATCGCCGAGTTCCAGGACTCGATCTCGGCTATTGAGAAGTGCGAGAAGCGTGTGTCTATCCATGCTAGCAAGGTATCTACATACACCGAACACGGCTGACCTCTATAGCTGTCATTTGCGTGTTGCACGGCATCTCTATCGGCCTGTCGATCGACATCTCATGCTGCGCGGACGTGCGCATCTGCGCCAAGGACACCCGCTTCGCTGTCAAGGAGGTCGACATCGGCCTGGCCGCAGACATCGGCACGCTGGCGCGCCTGCCCAAGGTCGTCGGCAGCTTCTCGTGGGTGAAGGACGTCGCGCTGTCGGCCCGCGACTTTGGCGCTGCCGAGGCCCTGCAGGTTGGCTTCGTCAGCCAGGTCTGCGACAATAAAGCCGCCGCGCTGGCCGCGGCGTTTGAAAAGGCCGCTTTTATTGCGAGCAAGAGCCCCGTCGCTGTGCAGGGTACCAAGGAGCTGTTGAACCATAGCCGGGATCACTCCGTTGCGGAGAGTATGTCGTTCTTTTTTTTTTCGAACCTGCTGAGTGATAATGGCTAACACGTCGCAGACTTGCGGTACACTGGTGTCTGGAACTCGGCCATGCTCCAGACCCAAGATGTTGCGGCAGCTCTTCTATCTGGCATGCAGAAGCGCAAGCCAACGTTCGAGAAGCTCTAAACTTTGGGGGGTATAGGTAGTTTTTTTTTTTTTTTTTGTTGGATACATTAAAGCTTAACTCCAAGGCCGTTGGGGTTGGGGGAGGGAAGGGGGAAATGCCACACATATCAATACTAACCAACTGGGGGGGGGCGGGGGTTCAGGAAGGAGAGGCCATTACCACACCCTCAACTGTACATGTGCCAACGCATTATGACCAGCTTAATACAGAAGCTCATGATCCTCAAGCATGGTTCCATTTCCCTCCTAGTCACTGTCCGCAAGGGGCTCCTCCGGACGATATGTCTCCCGAAGACGCTGCATATCATAAGTAACCAGACAAAGCGAAAAGACAATATCGAGGGATGAATGACTCACATCTTCGAGCTTCTGCTTCAAAATCTGTACCATGTTTTCCTTGACCACCAGGTGATGGTCGTCCAGGTCCTCGATGATGAAGTCATGGTTGATGCTGTCCAGGTGCACAATGATGGACTTGATAGCCGGCTCGCACTCGATGAGCACGCCTTGGAAAACCCTGTAAGTAAACGTCTCTTGCCGCCTCTCCAGTAACAAAGCCGTTACATACCGCGAATAGCCCTGACCATGTTGAATGATCTCCCTTAGATCACCTGGACACACGCTGGAGGATATGAGAAGATAGTAAGGTTCGATATATGAGCGTATCTCAGCGGTGTGGTTGAAGAATAAGATGAGGTGGAGGATGAAATGTGGAAATCTCCCGTCCGTGTCATGAAACAAGCAGACGCCGTCCTTTCTTACACTAGTGGAGACCGAGCTTGAACCAATGATGTTTGGTGTTATTGTTACACTGTAAGACGTCTTATGTAACGTGTAACGGCGTCGACTTCCTATCTTTTGTCTTGTTTGTCTCTGATAACTCGATATTTACTCGGATGTCCTCATTGTTTTCGAACTCGCTACTTCAGGAGTATTTAAGATAGTTTTGGACGAGTCGTTTCCAAATCAGCATCTTATTAGCTCTAGTCTTTATCTTTTTTGCAGCAAGCTTGGAGCTGCAAATACATCGCCTAACCTCGATTATGTCTACAACCATGCTGTCAATCCCCAAGACCAACAGCAATCGAAGACTTGTTGCCGATGATGGCTTAACTAGTTTCTTACTCTCCTCGCTAGTTTCACGTACTGACCCTTCCAGCACAAACAGTCCTGACACCCTCTCCAGATACTGTTGCCATGGAAACCGCTTAACTCGGGAGTCGGGCAGCTTCGTCCCATGTTTTACTCTTAACCTGCGGTCTTAAGAAGTCTCGGGCCGTGTAAAAGGTCACATCAGGCTCTCGGGTCTGGGTACGTCATACTGACGCAAGCAGATCTTTTTTTAATTCTTTCCAGCTTCAGACTGGGAGCATGGCCAACCCACCTTCAACTCGTGATTTCGCCGGCCTTTCATCTGAATTTCTGATCGGGAACTAAAATTGGATGTGGCTTAATTCAATGGAGATCGACAATCTGCTTTCGATGGGGCTGCTACTAGCAGTAAGCATTCCTTGAGCTTTTGAGCTGATGAATGTTCGATGGAGAGCTAATGGGAAGATAGCTATTGAGTTTTAAGCTCATTGTTCCCCCAGAGCATCGTCAGTTGAGATCAGACTGGGAGTCATTGTTTTTATAGCCCATTAGCTCAACAAAGAAGAGGGTATCGCTATCCTCTCTTTATGAGAAAGCTTCCAGAATGAATTAAGAACCACATGCCCTTGCCCGAACAATGGCCACCTGGCCCCGAGTCCCCAAGCGCACTTCTTTGAAAAAAAAAAATCAGGCAAAAATCACCTACGGTCTGTGCTTTTGATTGGAATGCGAAGACCGCTGCATTGGATGGCCCGCATTGACTCTGAAGGACAGATGAGATGAAATGCTCAGCATAGCCCCCGACTCCTCAGGCTCAGGCTCGCTCACTCGTGCATCTGTTCACATGGGTTTTGCCCTCAGCGCCATCTTCCCCGTCTCTCCTCGAATGCTTCCTGCTCTGTTTGTTTGTTTATATTCCTGATATCCCTCTTCTGCTGATTATCCCTTCTACGCGACGGTGATTTTCTTCATACAAAAGAAGGTCTTCCCTCTCGAGGGCCAGACCCTTCTTCCTCAATCAAACAACATCATTATTACCACACTCACACACAGCCATGTCCTTAACCGATCAACCACTCTCACAACTCATCTACCCCCCATTCTCCTTCAACACTCCTCCCAACCCCTTCAAAACCCTCCTCCCCTCCGCACAAACCGCCGGCGGCGACGGCGCGATCGGCGGAGGAGCTTCCTACTACCTTGGCCCCCCGACACCCGCTCCCGACGCCCAACCCTCTGGAGGCTCCTTCGGCGAGCAGTACCCCTGGCTGTGGATGCTGCTGCCGATCGGCTTGATCTTCTGCATCGGCGCGACAGTGACCTGGTTCCAAAACCGGGCTCTGCGGCGGCGGCATGCGGAGCGTGTGGCCGAGCTGGCAGCTTTGCGCCGGCAGAGGCTGGCGTTGTTAGGGGGTTTGCCGGACCGCATGTCGGCTGAGGAGCAGGGGGATGGGGAGAGGGATGTCGAGGCTGAGGCAGGGGTTGGTGCTGAGGCAAGTCGGCATCAAGGCGTCCAGGGTCAGCAGGAACGGCAGGGTGCCGCGAGACCGCCATTCGACTGGACCTCGTTTATTCTGCAACAGCAGCAACAGATGGCGGAGGAGCAGCGGCGCCGGGAGGAAGGGCTGAACACATATGACGATCCACCGCCACCGTATGAGAAGGAACTGCCTAGCTACCCGCCACTGGCAGTCCTGGCTCCTCAGCGGGGTTTTGTCGCTGAGGAAGTGACGGGAACACCCGGACCTCCGCCTTATAATGCTTCTCCTCGCCCTTCTTCGCCGTCGGGGTCTGCGCAGCCCGTCAGGGTCCCGCCGCCCGTTGACCATGGACGGCACCAGCAGGCTGCATCGGCCTCCAGCCAAGGTCATGACGATCATCACAATGAGTGGCCGCGGGTGACGGAACGACACAGCCCTTCTCCCGAAAGCAACATCGACAACGATCCCGTCCGGATCTCCCCAGCCCGAAATCTGCGCCGCTCGCACAGCCAAACCGATCTCCGTGGCAGCAGCTCCATCTGCGAGCGTCAGCAAGATGTAGGGGCCGCTCAACCCCGGAGGGACTCAGCCAAGGAACTGAGCGATAGCACCAACGAATGGGAGGAAATGATTCGGACAACAAACAAGAGCTCCAGTCGGCGCAACAGCAACAGTTTCGGCTCCGTCTACTCACTGGATTGGCTGCGGACTGGGGAGGATGCAGGCGACAGTTCCGGTCAGGGAAAGGATACTGATCGGAATAAGGATGAAAAGGGACAGTCCTATTCTTGACCGGCATGTTGACTAGGGACAAGGCTTTAGGATAGTTAGATGGGTAATACAAGCGGATTTCTTTGTAAGGTGTGTGGACCACACTGAGCACAGGTGAATGGCATTGTGGAGAGGGGTAATGATCTGAACAACTGTCGTCAATGGACAATAGGTACCTCTCATTCTTTCTGACATCATATCCCTTCTTGCTGCAGGTAAGGTCACGATAGGTACTCAACCTCTTCGCAATTCTGACTGCCATCCAATGCCCTCCTTATTCACATGTATCCCTTCTCTGAGCCAACCGGCAAGTAAAACTCACCCAACCGAGCTATACCACGAACCCATTCAATTCACCTATTCACACCAGCCAAGTATCGTGAAACCAAGCAAATCACAGAAAACAAAGCAATGTTTCCCTTTCTCTAATGCAATAGTGGTGGTAAGAGCAAATATGTAGTGTTAATAGTGAATTGGTAAGTAGGCAAACAAGGGCCAGACAGAAAAGTGCCAAACAAGTAACAACCCATACAATAACATAAACTACATGGATGATAACACCTTACCTTGATATATACCCTTTCCTTTCCCTCCCTTTCCGCCTGCCCACCAATGCTTTCTTTCAATGCCTTCCTTTCCTCCCATTGCCATGACCATGATGTGAATGGACATGTGCCATGCTTTCTCTGCTCCTTGCTCTTTCTTCTTTGGCTTGTTCAGATAACCCTTGTCTGACCATTAACTCACCCCATTCACAACTACTTTACCTTTTTCTTCTCTTTCTTTTTTTTTTTGGCTACTCCAACCCCACACGGATTGACCCCAAATTGACGGAGTTCATTTCTTCTCATCCTTCTTTTCTTCTTTTTCATCTTTCTTCTCCTCATTTTTCTTTTCCTCTTGTTTCTCGTCCTTTTTCTCCGACTCCTCATTCTTCTCACCATCCTTCTTTTCGTTCGCCTTCTTATGCTCCTCCAGCGCGGCAGCGAGTTCCTGCGCCAACTGCGGGGTCTTAACCTGAATCATCCACGTCTCCAAGCCCTTCCCATCGTCCCTAGCAGCGGCAAACTTGATAAACTTCGGGGTCGCCGCATCGGGTTTGTATGTAAACTGCGGCAACACAAGTTTGTTGAGCGCGATGTTGCCACGCGGCTCGGCACGCAACAGCATACGGACGGCACCGGTTTGCTTGTGCTTCAACAGGCGCAGCGGACCGACACCCATCACCTTCCATGGCGAGTTACTCTTTTTCTCGGCAGGTTTCTCGCCGGAACCGTTGCTAGAGTCAGCAGAAGAATCAGCGGCCGTCACCAGTTTGACAGCCTTGGCGCGCACTTCATGGACGACGGACTCGTCCTCCTCGCCCGGGCCGCCGTCGGTTAGCGAGATTTGCTCCTGTGGCTGCTCATCGGCGTCAGCGCTTGCTCCTTGATCTTCTCCTGCTGCTGCCGCATTGGCAGCAGACGGCTCCGGCGTAGAGGCTGCGGGGGTTGTTGCTAAACTAGAAGCCCCGCCAAAGGTGAAAGGGGAATCTAACGAAGAATAAGCACTTGCTTTGTTTTCGGATTCGAGAAATGAAGGGACGTGCTTACTAGTACCTGTAGAGGTTCCCCCGACGGGAGCCAGGCTGCTAGCGAAAATATTCGACGCGGCGGGAGGGTTGTTCTGGCCAAAGAGAGGCGTGCTGCTAGGCTGTGAGGCTCCGAAGCTGAAGATCGGCGCTGACGAGGCGTTGTTGGAGGCGTTCGAGCTGTCGGAGCTGGCACCGAAAGTGAAGCTAGGAGTGCCACCACCGGCACCAAACGTGAATGGAGCCGACGAGGACTGGCTGTCGCCGCTGCCGAAGTTGAAAGAGGTAGGAGCCGAATACGAGCCGTCGGAGGCGAATGGGTTCTTAATCGTGCCATCCGAGCCACCGGCAGTGAAGGTGAACGAGGCGCTGGCGCTGCCAAAGATCGAGCCAGTTGTCGAAGGCTGGCTTGCCGTGGTGTTCTGAGACCCGAAGTTGAAAAGCGGCGTTGAGGTCGAAGTGGTGGAGGTGTTGCCGAAGAGGCCGGCGGGCTTGTTCTCTGTGGTTGACGGAGTGCTGCCGAAAAGCGGCTTCTGTTCAGTGGAAGCCGGAGCAGAACCGAAAAGAGGCTTCTGCTCGGTAGAGGTGGAACTGTTACCAAAGATGCTGGCAGGGTTGTTCTCCGTCGTTGATGGAGTGATGCCAAACAGAGACTTCTGCTCAGTCGAAGCAGGCGCCGCACCAAAGAGGGGCTTAGCCTCGGTGGTCGAAGTGCTGCCAAACAGCGGCTTCTGCTCGGTGGCAGTTGTCGAGATGCTACCAAAGAGAGGCTTCTGCTCGGTCATAGTAGTGCTGGAACCGAAGAGAGGCTTTTGCTCAGTTGAAGTAGCAGAAGTGCTGCCAAACAAGGGCTTCGAATCGGTTGCGGCAGTAGCACCAAACAGAGGCTTCTGCTCCGTGGAAGTGCTGGCAGGCGTGCTACCAAACTGGAACACGGGCGCGGCGGTGGTAGTGCTGCTGCCGAACAGCGGCTTGTTCTCCTGAGCAGGAGCAGGCGTGCTACCAAACAGAGGCTTGGTGTTAGTGGCAGGAGTAGCCGAGGTGGTAGTGGCGCCGAAAAGACCGCCCTTGTTCTCGGTCGAAGTCGCAGGGGCAGGAGTCGTCGAACCAAAGAGAGAAGTAGTAGGCTTGCTCTCAGTGGTACCACCAAAGGCGAACTTCTTCGCCGTCGGCTCATCTGAGCCGGAAGTAGCTTGGGTGGACGTAGAACCGAACAGATTAGTAGTAGTAGGCTTGTCAGCCGGAGTCGTCGTAGAGCCAAAGAGGTTGGTAGCAGCGGGCTTATCGGCTGCAGTCGTAGCAGAGCCGAACAAGCTGCTAGTAGTAGCAGGCTTGGAGGCATCCGTACCGAACAGAGAAGTAGTGGCAGGCTTCTCGGTCGGGGTCTCAGTTGAGGGAGGCTTGCCAAAGAGGCCGCCGAACTGGGGCTGGGTGGCAGGCGCCGTCTCGGTCTTGTTTGGAGTGCCGAACTGGAAGAGGTTCGTCTTCGGAGACTCAGTGGTGGCCGGCTTCGCACCGAACAGAGTCGATGTGGCAGGAGCGGGAGCAGGAGCAGCCTCGGTCGGCTTGGACTCTTCATCCTTTTTCTGCCCAGCCGCAGAAGTGGTGGCACCGAAGAGCGAATTTGTCGTGCTTGTTGCCGGCTTCGCGCTGAAGAGAGAACCAGCAGGAATCGAGGTCTCGGTGGGGTTGGTGGTAGAACCGAAGATGTTAGTCGCTGCAGGCTTGGGGGCCTCCTCAGTGGCCTTAGTCTGAGCGCCGAAAAGGTTAGTGGTAGGAGTAGCCTCCTTGGGCGCTTCAGCCGGGGCAGCAGCCTCCTCGGGTTTCTTCGTCGTCGAAGCGGCGAAGTCAATCGTGTCGGTGGTAGCAGGTGGCTTAGGGTTGGAGGAGCCAAAGATCGAGGAAGTGCCCGGGGTCGCGAACTTGATACCGGCGCTGGCATTCCAGGTGTTGTTGGCAGGCAGCTCCTTGACAGGGCTGAGAGAACGCTTCCTGGATTCCCCAGAGAACAAACCGCCTTCAGGAAGCTGCCTGACCGGCTGGCCGTTGGCGTCCCTGGTGATGCGGTCGAAGATGCTGCGACTTTGGGTGCTCTCGCCGCCCTCGGAAGGTGCACTGCTCGAAGCTCCATTGACCGTGGTCTTCTTCTTCTTCTTCGCCGGGGTTTCGTCCTCGGCTTCAGCCTCGGAGCCAGTGTCGCTTTCATTATCTTCATCCTTGCTGGCATCAGAGAGATGACCAAAGATGTTGGAGCTAGTGGCGGGGGTCTTCTGGGCATTGTCGAAGATGGAGCCATTCGGCTTGGCGGCCGTGGAAGAGCTGAACAGGGAGCTCTTGGGAGCCGTCTGCGGGCTAGCCGTCTTGTTGGCGATGCTCTCGAACACCGACTTAGTAGCCGAGGGGGTTTTCGCCGGTGACGGGGAGCCAGGCTTCTGGAGCTTGGAAGGCTGGCTCTCTTCCTCAAGCTCGTCGTTCGCCTTGCGCTTATTCGTGGCCGGGGCCTCGGTAGCGCGTGCGCGTTTGTTCGGGCTAGCAGTATGTGTGAATGTAGAGCTAGACGGTTCCAAGTCTTCTTCAGCCTTCCTCTTACCGCCACCGTTGGTCTTGGCTGGGGCGCCAGACTCGTCATCAGAATCGGGGATGCCATGCTTCAGCTTCCATTCCCTCTTGACCGCCTCGGACGCCCGAACCGTCTTGAACTCGTATAGGCCATAGCGAAGCATAATCAGGCTCCGGCTCTTCTCGTACTCCTTGGCAAAGTTTAGGATGTTAATCTTCCAGTCCTTCTTCAGGAACACTTCATCAGCAGCGTACTTCAGGCGCCGCAGGTCAAGAATGCAGAAGAACTGCCGCCTCTGGAGATCATCGAACTCAGGAGGGCAAAGGTGCGCGAGGTACTCGTCGGCGTAAATAGAGCCGGCACGGTTCGGGTCCTCGGGAACCTCCTTAGCCAACATCTCACCGGTTAGGTGGCGAGGGGGCTCGGGGATCTTCATAGGGAACAGCTCGGTCGAAGCCGTGTTCGACAGGATGCGGTTGTTGATATCGACATTGGCGGCACGTCCTGGCCTGCCGGGAGTGACAGGCGGGAAGCTCTGGGTCAATGGATGCGAGGAAACGCGTTGGGTATAGGTTGTGGCGGGCGCAGGACGCGCGTACAGCGAGTTGCGGAAGATGCTAGGACGCGGTGTAGAGGGAGCACCCGAGAAGCTGGTAGCTTTCGAGCTGGTCGCCGGTGCAGGAGGATTAGGAAGGTTCTGCAGAGCTGGAGTAGATGTAGAGGCGGCGAGCTTGTGAGGATTGTCGCCTGGTCTCCGCTTAGGGACTGGAGTGGCTGCTGCTGGGGCGGGAGTCGAAGGCGCGGGACGATGCGCAATCTCAGAGGCGGAGACGCTCTGCGAGAGCTTGCTGGAAGGGCCTTGCGGCTTGGGGATGATCTTGCGGACTGAGAGTTGAGCCTCGGAAGCGCGTTTCGCGGGGCTGAAGGGCGACGACGCGCCGTTTGACTCGGGTTGGGGAGGAGGCAGCGAAGGCGCGTTCGCGGTGACCGAGTTTGAGTTCGTGGACTTGCCCTTGCGATCCTCGGGGGGAGCAGTCGAGCTGCGGAAGAGGCTTGTGATGCCCCCGAAGATGCTACGCTTCTTGGATGGAGGATCCATGATGTGCGACTGTCTGATGATGGGGGCCTCACCTCAAGGGGCGAAGCCGACCGACGGGGGGAATCGGGTGATGAGAATGATATGCGTGATGCAAACACACAGGATTAGGGATTACGTCGATAGGATCGCAGTCGGGGGCATCCAGCCTCGATTCCGGCTCTGCGAGTGGAATGTCGCGTCGAAGGCGAGATGGACAGCGTTGACTTGTGAACGCGAGAGGATGAGAGATGGGTTGGGGGAATTTTGGCGGGTTTGCGCGACTGTTTTTTTTGCGAGTCGTGGAAGTGGGAACCCGACAGACGCGCCAAACAGGAGCGATGCGAGGGCCCGCGAGAGGAATAGGGGAGAGGGAAAACAAAAAGAAGATAATGAATGAACCCCGTCCCAATGAGAAAATTACCGACGCAAAAAAGACGATTTCTCTTTTCACGGTCGGATGGTGGCGTGAATGGAGATCCAAGCCCAGGACGATGAGGGCGATGGCGTGTTTTTGAAGGAGGGTGCCTCTCCAGCAACGGCTGGGTCGTGACAGGGAAAAAAAATTGATCGAGGGCGCCCTTGCAACACGGGGGAGGGAAGCTGGAGGCGCTTAATGGGCCGCCTGGGCAGCTGGGGACCTTGGCCCAGATCAGGGAGCTTCACGCGTGCACGGACCACAGCCCTTACTTCGAAGACTCCCAATCAGAGAGCTGTGAATCTCTGTGGCGGCGGGGGGGCCACGCGACGCGCAGCGGCCTCAGGCAACAGTCAGATGCAACCATTGCGCCAGTCGCATCATCAGACAAGATCTTGTCTGCGTGAAATCCGGCTGCGGCCCGTATCATATATTACGCTGCGATTGCGGTTTGCTGAAGCAAACTTACAGGCACACCTCAATCAAGTGTCTAATACAGCCGCTAGAAAATACTGCTGCCGAATCCATGCTTGGATCTCTCGAAGAGAGCCAATGCATCCCCAGGCTACCCATTGGCATACTTCCCTGTAATTATTCTTACGTTTTATTCCCAGCATCCCACTCCCAACCATAACTGATAACCCGAAGACACTTACCCCATAGGTGTGGGACAAGGACGGGCATCCCCCAATCCATCCCAAGCCCATCAAAAACATCTTGCCCTCTCCCCCCTCGAACTCAACAAAAGTCATCCATCCACCCATACCATCCCATCGTAGATGTTGATCATCGAGACCAACAATACATAATTAGCCAGCCAACGGATAGGGAATGCTGAAAAGCTATATGATACATAAAGCTCTCCAAAAGCAGCACATCGTTACGATGCTGGCCAGGTGAAGAGCTACCCCTAACCACCATAGGAAGCCACAGGGGCGTTGAAAGACTGAGGAATGGTTAAGATTAGGAGCTGATAGATACCAAGAAAAATATCCTCGTTCTTCTCAAAGGCAATCTGCCTTATGTTGTCAGGTTGACTCCAGAAAGTTTTGATAGGCAGCGAAAACCGCAGGCGTGGCAATGGGGCACCGGCTTACTCTCGCATACATCTTTTCTCAATGTAATTAATCTTTTGTTATCCGTTTTGCAACTTACCTACTTATCCAGTATGCCGTCTTGGATTGTAGCACAGTTCTGTATCGTCCCTGAGCTTTCTTGAGCTTTCGGCAAAGCTGCAGGACAAAGAAGCGCAGGCCCCTTTCACCCGATTTTGACATGATGTTGGAACACCGTAACGCAGCGAACAGCTGAGCACCTTGGAAGCGCAGCACTGCTGTTAAAGTGTCAATGCCGCACGGCTATACACAGTTTTACGATCAAGCATTCTTACTGTCACATAGGAAGAGATATGGCCGGGACGGCCTGCAAAACCCTTGTAGTCTAAACAGCATGCGTTTATTTCCTGAAGACCCTGTACAAAGCCGACCCTTGCTGCCTCAGAGGACAGGAATGGTATAATACACGAACGCCATCACCAAACATCATTATAATTAAGAAACCAATACAGTCCGTTTCCCAAAGAACAGCTCAGAGCTTGGCCTTGGTCTGGGCCTTCTTGAGGATGGGGTCCAGCTTAGTAGCCTTCATGACGTCGCCCTTGATCTTGAGCTTGCCAGACATGAAGAGCTTCTGGGCGTTGGCCTTGCCAGCGATGAGAGCACCAAAGTCGGCGTCAGAGAGGAGGAGGGTAACTAAAAGGCCCGTTAGCACATGCTCAGAATGATTCTGAAACTTAGGGGTAATTCATACCAGTTGGCTTCTCGGGGAGGCCCTTGCCGACCTCACCCTTGTTCTTGAGGTCGATGTACCAGCTCTCAGTCTCGCCGGCGGCGTTCTTCAGGGTAAAAGCGAAGACGGCATTGCCCTGCTTGATGGCATCCTTGCGGGTAGCCTCGCTGGCGGTGAGCGCCTTGTTGATCTCGTCGAAAGCCGCAGAGGCGGGGAACTTGTCTGGTTTGGCGGTCAGTCTGCAGTCCGGACTATCCGAAGGTTGGAATGGCGTCTGCTGTGTTGTCCTTCATGCAGGGACTGCAAAAGTGGGAAGGCTAGGAAAGGCCGTGGACTCGTGGATTGATGAGATGAAAGCCGCGCTTACCGTTTTTCAGGGACATTTTGGTGGTGGTGATGGTGAAAATAGATTAACTACTAAGATGTTGGGTTGAAGCAAGTAAGCGACAACTTTGCCGGGCAGACGAGACCTGAGCGATTTGGGGTATCAAGACGCTGTGTGAGATGATGGATGTGTTCGAAACAACATTACGGCGACAGATCGCGGGGGATCGGAGGTCCGTTTATAGCGTCTGGAGAAGATGGCACAAGGCGTTGGCGCTGGCCAAGGACAGGTTACATGTGATAGAACCTCGGCGCATTCTTTCCTTTCCTGTGGAGAGCAAGGGGAGCAATCGGCCAAAACGGGTCCATGTGCCGTGGTGGGGCGGAAGTTTGGGAGGTGGTGGTCCCACCACAGCTTCACCGACCCCACACGAGGAAGAGCAGGAAGCTCTCGAGGGGCACTTCGAGTGGTCGACAGGTGGACAGCGGGCGAGCGACGATGCGCCACTCCGCGAAACCCTCGTCCCGGGCGCCAGGGGACGCGAGCATGATGGAACGTCTTCAACGAGTTGCCTTGCGTGTTTCGGCCGGGCGGTGTGGTATTGAGGATCAGGACATTGCCGACTGCCGAATGCGACGACTCGGTCCCGAAAACACTGACGGCGGAAGAAGACAACGACAGCGAGGACTTGATCAGTTGTTTGTCATAGCTGTTGTCATTGGGGTTTGCCTTCCCCCCATGTCAGGCATCTGTGTGTAGATAGGTCAATGGAAGACGACAGAATAGATGACAACTCCAATCGGTTTCCTACCAGCTGTATGGAGAGCAAGCTGGCATTTCGAATAAGGGTACATTGAGGACGCTCGAGCAGTCTTACACCTTGACCTCTCTCCACTGACGCATCATTTATTGTAAAGGATTCCCTTGGTCTCGTTCCTCGATGAGGAATGTTACATACGTACACCAAACTCACAATACACATGGCCTGGGACAACATTGGCTCTGAGGGAGAAAAAGAGCCAAAAACAAGCCAAAAAAACCCTTTTGACTGGAAATTGTCGAAAGGGCCCAGCGCAAAAGAAATGGGAGAAAAAAAAGGCGGCAATTCTCATGCGACGTGGGCCCGATTCGAACGGACGCTCCCGAAGGAACAAGATTTCTAGTCTTGCGCATTAGACCACTCTGCCACCACGCCTGCTGGTAGTGTGCCTTCCGAAATTGGAAACATGAAGCATGCCCCTCACCTCTGGGATTGGCAACGTCCAGCTGTTGCGACGTTTGCGCTTTTGAGTGGACAACCTGGCGCGTCCGTCGCGCCAAACGATTGAAGAGGCGGCTTTCGTCCCATTCTCCGTGACCCATCACTTTTTTTCCTACGCTCAGGGCTTTCTGTTACAACTTTCCGAGTTTTAAATCACAGCTTCAAGCTCTGTTTCAAAAACTATTGTCTCGAGGAAACTGCTATGTTCTGAGATAATCACTGACCCTCAATCAGCAATTGCTGGTTCACACACACACACACACACACACATAACGATGTCCAACCTACTCTCACTCCTGGGGTGGACATTTCTCCCCAACGTAAGACTCCAAGCCCTTTTCGGTTGTGCAGAACCTCTCTAATTGTCCTTTTAACAGGTGGTAACAGGCTGGGTCCAATCCCTCTACTACTCCCTGACCATCCGCGCCGGCGACCCCCGCCCAGTCCCGGGCACCCCACGCTGGGCGGAGCACCGCCGATGCATTCAAATCGTCGTCGTCGCCCTCTACCTCCTCTACACGATCTACGAAGCCGACTACGATCTCCAACAGGCCGGTACCTTCTACACGGACCTTGGTATTCCGAACAACGCGACTGAGCGCGAGATCAAGATCCGGTTCCGGCGCCTAGCCGCGCTCTACCACCCCGACAAAGTCGCCCACAAAACGCCTGACGCCAATGCTTACTTCGTCCACTTAAAGACCGCGGCCGACACGCTGACCGACCCCGCCAAGCGCTTCGCGTACGACCGGTTCGGCCCAGACATCGTCAACTGGCAGCGGTGCGTGACGATCCGGGACTTTATGGCGCGCGGCGCGCAGGCGCTAATCCCGTACTACGGCATGACGGCGATCTGCATGTACGGGCTGTCACTTTTCGGGTTTCTGGAATGGGGCCGGTACGAGCGCTGGCTGGTTCTGGCGTCGGTTTTGACGTTCGAGGCGTACTGCATCACACGGCCCAATATGCCCTTCGTCTTGGAGAAGATTATCAACCCCCTGGTGACGGCACTCTCCCGACTCGTGGGTGACGCTACCTCCTCGCCTGCTGCCTTCATTCGCGCACCGTACCTGCCATTCCAGGCGATTGCGCTGGCACGTAAGGTGAGCGTGACTATGTTCATCGCTTTCTCGCAGATCGGCCCGCTGTTGACGGCAGATACATCGTCGGGTCGGGTTGTAGTGCGGCAGAACGCGGCTGATGAGGAAGTTCTGCTGCGACAGGCACTGGACAGGCTGGATGCTGCGGTAAGGAAGGTAGATTCGGACGCTTCGAGGTTGTTGGAAACGGAGATGTCGCCATTTAATGGGGACGAGGAGGTCAAGAAATACATGGGCGCTAAGATTAAGGAATGGTTGGTACAGAATACTATTCGTTCCGACCCCATGGTCCGAGACGCTCTAGGAAGGTCGTTCATGAAGAGGAGGGCCAATGTCCCTGCTGGGGCAAGAGGAACAAAATAATAGTTTTATTGATACATAGTGATAGATACGTATAAATAGCAATGGTTTCGTTTTCTATTACCACGAAGTAGAGCATAGTGATGAAGTCTAATGGGCTGCTTATACAAACTTGTGTTCAACCATTCCAGTCCAACCAGTGATCATAACCTTTGCCTGCCCCTCGTCTCGATCGGCACCGCACAAACAGACACGGCCGCTGCCAAAATCAGCCCTGCCGACAGGTACACCGGTGCTGTCGTCCCATCCCCAGGTACCGTCGCCGCAATGATGGGAGCCATTAGCCCCATCACTCTGTTCAGGAAACTCGCTACCCCCGTACCTGCTCCCCTGACTGGAGCAGGGAAGATCTCAGGCGTAAAGGCATACAGCACACCATACATTATATTTTGTGCAAAGGCCTCGATACATGAGAAGATCAACTGCACAGTTGGGGACCTGGTACCCAGGCGCACAAACAGAAACAAGAATACAGCTGACACGAACGTTGACAGCGCAAGGGTGCCACGTCGGCCTAAGAGCGGAGACCGCATTTCTACTGCATAAGCGGCGATGAGGCTGCCCGGAATGCCTGCAAGGCTGGTGATCGCGTAGTTGCGATAAGTAGACGGAGGTAGTTGGGGAACCGTTGATGAAGGATCGGTGGGCTGGCTGCCATGGGAGAAGTATTGGGGTAGGAAAGCGTTGAACAGCGGATAACCCATACCGATTGTTGCCCAGCAGAACCAAATTAGTGAGGTTGTGATGGCGAGCTTGCGGGTGTTGAAAAGGGGACGGATGCGGTTCGCCGAAAATGAGGCAAGGCGGGTACGAACGAGATGGCTGATGGTTGGACGTTGCTGACGGCGACGCGGCGTGGTTGTCATTGGGACCGGCTCATCGTCATCATCGCCCATAACCTCGTTGAGGATGTCTTCGGTTAACCATGTCTTTCTCCCATTACGAGCTGCCAGCCCTTGAACAACAGCAACGGCCTCAGATTGACGACCTTGAGAGAGCAAGAACTTGGGAGACTCGAGCATCTGGAAGATGGCGAAGCGTACGAGGAACATGGCAAAAGTGATAAGGCCGATGGCACAGACGAAGTAGCGCCATCCCTTGTATGCCGGCCAGTTGGCGATGAAATACCAGGCAAACAGGGATGAACACAGTTGCCCAATCGGCCACCAAATGGAGAGCAATGTCAAGAGAGAGCTCGAAGCATCTGGCAAGAACTCGAGGAACAATGCGCCGTCCACGGGGAGATTACCGCCAACGCCAAAACCAAGGACAGCGTACATGAAGCAGACGCCGCCCCAGGTAGCAGCCCAAGCTGAGACAGTACCGAAGATGCTTGCGATTAGTAGAGTGGCGTTGAAGGCTATCCGGCGGCCCATGATGTCAGAGCCAATACCCCAGAAGAAGCTGCCAAAACAAAGGCCGATGAACAACGACGAAGTCGTGTAGCGTACGGACTTCTCTGAGATGCCAAACTCAGCTGAGAGCGAGGGCAATGTAAGCGACACGCCCTGCATCCACAAACTATCGACGTCAGCCCAGTCTTCTACATACAAAGAACAGCGGCCGGACAAGATAGACACTTACTTGTCGGCAAACCAGCCAAATCCGCACAGCACAAACAGCTGCCAGTTGTATCTGCCCATTCCGATGTCCTGGATGGCCTTGTTGATGAGCCGGGACTTCACTACATAACACACCAGCATTTAGCCCTTCTCAGAGAGCACACTTCTGGGGCCTGGGACACGACGAGCAGACTCACTCTCATATACGCTTCTAGCCCCTCCTCCCCTTCCCCCTCGTACCGCTTCTCTCAAGCCCTCAATGCTGTACTCCTCGTAAGGGCGACTTGTATCGACTATGGCCAGCATTCCGGCCGTGTCCTCGACTTGATCAAGACCGTCGCAATAATCACCATTACCTTCATCATCGTCCTTATCGGGAGTTCCCTGGCAACTCATATCGGCTGTATAGTGTGTATCTGACTGCTGCTCTCTCTCAGTCCTACCGCGTCTCTTAGACCGGTATGAATGACTGTGAAGATAGGCTTCTTCTAGGGGCACCACGACGTCGGCCAATTCTGGGTAGGGCCGCGACCGAGTTCGCATCAACAATGCCGGAAGCATTCTGTATATTCCCCGTCAAAACTCGTCTATGATTGGTATTCCTTCGATACGAACTGCGATCTGCCGTCTGACGCGCCGAAGGGTGGTTGCTTAAAGCAGCCGGGCGGTGTGCGTACACTAGCGTGTATAATTCAGCGGCCGCTCAGGGGTTGCGCAAACAACTTCCAAGCTGACAAGTGTGAGCAATTATCGTGATCCATGCGCTGATAGCCCACGTCAACCGCAAATCAACCAGGAAACAACATCATATTTGACGAGAAATATCTGAAGTTCGAAATCGAATATTAAATCGAATCAGACGAAAATGCGGCGTGGCAGGAACCGTTTGAAATCGCTAGTGTGGGGGCCTGTGGCACCCTGCAGCCAATGGAGTTCGGGAAGGGACGCCACATCTCAACGGTCTCATGACTCTTGTCTTCCACTTTCAGCCTTCCAGGGCTGAAGGTTCTCAACGTCTGCCGGCCGTCAGGTCGGAGCACCTTTCTTCTGTGTAATCTGCTAGGAAACGCGGCAATTTTCTTGGGCACTTCAACGCATAGCTCTCATCCGAGCTCTAAGATTTCAACACTGTAGCCTGGCAACTGTCTTCTTTCTTCCGTTTCGGCTCTTAGGGGTCAGTCCAGTCTTCTATTCAGCCAGTTGTTCGACTTCATTATCTCTCACCTTCAAGTTCGCATGATGGCTTCACCTTGACATGGCGCAGCCAACTGTAAGGCGCTTTTATCCAGTTGGACAACTCAGCTGCCTTTTCGGAAACCTACTCGCGGATGACACAGACGGATCGTAACTTTAAGTGACGAAATGATATCTCTGTGCAACCTCAACGGTACTTTTCAAGACCTGTCCGATACAAAGCCTTGGTGTGTGGGTGTTACACCCGATCATAGAAGTGACGTCGTTGGGAGGGACATTCTACGCAGCAAGAGGCCGAAGACATATCATATATGTTTGGTTCTTTAATGCTGGTAGCCAACTCATCTTCTTACGATCTCAAGGAACTGCCAAAAGTCCGTATGATCGCCTTTGTACAGCAACAAGGTCACCGAAGGGCAAGATGGAGCGGAACTCCGTCTCGGAATGTTTCCGTTCTCGCACCACTTCGAGCACTCCATCAGAAAGTCGAGACGGCAGTGAGCCCTCTTTGTTTTCCAGAGTTGTCATTTGCCAATAATGCCCCCAGCCATCCACCTCAGGCTGTTTTTGCGACAGATGGCGTTGACTTGGGGCTCCAGCTCGTCCATCTCCAAAAACGGGAGTGCCTCGGCACCTCTCTCAAGATCTGGGGAAGTGTCGTTCTCTTGGTGGAGATGCGGGGAAGTGTGGAGGAGAACGCAGTTTCACAACCAATCATAAGCCGTCCCTCTTCCCCAAAAGGATGCAGCGAGGACCCGCTGCCCGTCGTTTGCCCCACCCATCCGAACTAAGTCGTCAACCCGACATCAACACCAGGCCCTTCTAGCGGATCAACTATGTCAGGTCAAGCTCCCCAATGCACCGTCTTTTTGGTTCAGGATACGAGGGGAGCATCTCCGTGCCCCCATCGAGCTCTAATGTACTTATCCTCAAGCGCCAAGTGGCCAATTGGAAAGGACGAGCTTTTGCTTACGAGTCCCTTCTACGGCTTTTGGTTCCTGTCCTCGAGGAACTATCCGAAAGTGAGACAGATCGCGCAGATTGCCAGGTTGTGCAAAGTTTTTCAAAATCTAATTCCTTTGGTTTTATTCAGTCTGAACTTTAAGCTCTAAGTTTGAGCGTCAGTCCGTCCAGCCTGTCATAAATGAAACTAAACGGGTCAGACCACTACCCCATTCCGAACCCCCCGAAGGTTAGCACATCTTGGCCTGAGGGGCGGTCCTCTTCAAAGCACCAACGGTGTCCTGTTCCAAGAGAACTACTTCTCCTTTCTGATGATCTTATCCTGAGCAATAAGGGTCTCCAAGGAGAACCAAAAGTACAAATATATTCCCCCAATGCTTTCTACCACCCATTTGACGGGCAGCGAGTCTCAGATCACCCATAATTCAATCCCTGGCATGAGATAAAGTATATATGAAGAGCTCAACACGTAGTTTGGACGATTTATTCTTAGAGACTTTCTGGCTGCAACCTGTGTCCTGCTGACCTTGGCTTCGTGAGCCCGCAGCTCTGGAAATTGACTCCCGTGCGTTTTGGAGTCCAATCGTCTCATCTTGGTCCTCATACATAGCCAGGCCAATGGCGGGGTATATAACCACTAGCGATCCTCCTCTGGTCTTTCCTGTCCCTTGATGTTTTGTCCCACTTTTCTTTCCTAGCACTTTCCTTATTATCCATCCAGCCAGCAGGTGGGACCTCCTCTTCCGTCTATCAAATTCTTCGTCTCTTGTGATCGTTTTTATCCTACCTCTCTTGAACACAACACAATTTGTGAATACCGAGAAACATCCGGCTCATCATGGCCGCCATCGAGTCGCGCTGGTCGGCGCCTATCCCCAACTGCTCGTTGCAGATGTGGATTTTCGGCACTGCGAGTCGCCCGATCCCCGACCGCGTCGCCTTTGTCAATGCTGCCAACCCTAGCGACTCCTTGACCCTCAGGGATTACCGCAATCTCTCCAAACGCGTCGCCTTGGGCCTTCTTGAAGAGGGACTCAAGCCCGGAGATCGAGTCTTTATCCTTTCTCCCAATAATGTTTACTTCCCTCCACTCTTCCTCGGTGTGCTTATGGCCGGAGGCATCGTGACCGGCGCTGGCCCGGGTGCCAGGAGCGGAGAGATCAAGCATCAGCTCAAGGACAGCGGGGCTAGCTTCATCTTTGTCTGCCAGAACCCACCGTCCGTCTTCAAGATCGTTTTCGAGGCAGCCAAGGAGGTTGGCGTGCCGACGAACCGCATCTTCGCCTTCGGTGGCACTGGCGACCGCCCCATCTCGGAGATCGCTCGGTCGGATCTCTCTCGCGACCAGAGTAAAACACCTACGTCAGTCCCGACGCGTCACTGGACTGAGCTCTTGACGGTCCCTCCAGAAGATGCTGAGCTGTGGCACTGGCCAGAACCGGAGAACCCGAAAGAGACGACCTGCTGCCTCAACTACAGCAGCGGCACCACTGGCTTGCCAAAGGGCGTTGAAATTAGCCATTACTCATACGTGGCCAACGGAGTCGGCGTTACTCACCTGATTCGTCTGCGTCCCGACCACGAAGCACGTCTCAAGAAAGATCGCGCATTAGCTTTCCTGCCGTTCTATCACGCCTACGGCCAAACATACTTCATCTCCATCCTGCCCTTCCTCGGCATTCCCGTCTATGTAATGTCAAGCTGGAGCCTGCCTAGCATGTTGGAGTACATCCAGAAGTTCCGCATCACCATCCTACCGGCCGTGCCTTACGTCCTGACCGAGATGGTCAACAAGGTCGATCTGGTCAAGAAGTACAACATCTCAAGCCTGGACTCTGTTGGTTCCGGCGCTGCCCCCCTACCTAAGGGTACCCACGAGGCAACGGAGCATCTCCTTCAGGCAAACGACCCCAACTTCCGTGTCCGTCAGGGCTGGGGCATGACGGAGCTCACATGCACGGCCATGGCCTGGGACCCCAACAGCACCATGGGCTACTCGACCGGTGTGGGTGAGGTCGCGCCCAACTGCAAGGCCAAGCTGATGTCCCTCGATGGCAAAACACCCATCACTACCCCCGGTACACGTGGCGAGCTCTGGGTCAGCGGACCGACACTCATGCGCGGTTACTGGCGTAACAAGCGCGCGACGGACGATACTATCGTCGTCGATGCTGACGGTACCCGCTGGCTCAAAACGGGAGACATCGCTGAGGTCGACCGCTTCGGGCCTGGAGCCATTTTTTTCGTGGTTGACCGCATCAAGGAACTCATCAAGGTCCGTGGCAACCAGGTCGCCCCTGCTGAGCTGGAGGGTGTGCTTGTGCAGCACCCAGATATCGATGATGCTGGCGTTATCGGTGTACCTAAGAAAAACGACGAGTGCCCGCGCGCGTACATCGTTCCGAGGCCGGGGTCGGGGCTTACGGAGAAGGAGGTTCATCGCTGGATTCAGAGCAAGCTGAGCCCTCATAAGTGGTTGACCGGGGGCGTGAGGTTTGTGGATGAGATTCCGAGGAATAAGGTACGTTCGCCGAATACATTAAGTTGACTTTTCAGACTAACTCTACGTGTTATATCATAGTCTGGCAAGATTGTCCGCAACCTGTTGAGAGAAAAGGCTAAGGAGGATATGGAGAACGATCCCAACGCTCCTCTCTCGTCTAAGCTGTGAGGGAGACAATCAGGGAATTAATCTGTATATACCGTGGGCTCTTCTTGGGTACTGTTTGCTAAAGCCTTGTTACGGCGGCATATTTGTTGTCATAACGACCCTTCGAGTCGCGCGTTCAGATGTGACCCGCACCACTATTGGTGTGGCATATTCTAGAGTGGAACGACTGCGTACTGTAGGACTTCTATCTGACAAACTAGGCCTTAATGAGATGCCGATCAGTAATTGTGGCTCGGCGGTGTCCTCAAGTTGCATTACTGTTGAGCTGGCGAGGTGTTAGCCTTACTCGATCCTTTGTAGGCTTAATTCTTTACCTGATCTCGCTTTTTCCCGAAGCAAGACAATCATAGGTACGCTTATTAGAACTTGATCAATGTAATGTTCTAAAATGTCTGGGAGGCATGTCAGAGAAGTATGAGATGATAACTGCCTTCAGGATATAGTTTCTCAAAATCTCCGAGTCAGACGTACAGGACCAGCGTTGAATAAGATGAAAACCAACAACATGGACCATTCTTATGTCATAAGTGGTGCTGATTGGGAAGAGAGCGAACACAGGGCTCAAATAGCACTTTCGCTGGATACATGCTTGTTCGTTTACGATGCCTTGGGTAGCTTGGGGATACAACGTCCTCCGTGTAAAGCGAGGTGGTCTGACTGTCGCTTGAGTTACGTACTGCTGAGGCTACAGTTTCCTTTCAGCACATCTACGAATCACAGTTCATGTTCACGTCGCCCAGGCAACATGCAGGAGGGGCAACCACGTCCAGAACGGCAAAAACCAAACTGGAATTTGTTTACTATCTAAGCTACCGGTAAGTACTGTCCAAAAGCGACCTTATCCCAAGAACTGTCCTCCGCTGAACTGCCCAATCCGCGAGAACACAAAAAGCGAGCGAAATCCTCGGAGAGCTAGTCCTACCGAAACACACCATAGCCAAGAGACCAAAAGACCTCGCGAAGCAGGCGGAGAGTTGCTCCTACCCAGTTTCCTTCCAAGACCCAAACTGAAGGGGACAAGACTCCCCACCAGCCGCTAACTCAGCCACAGACGCAGAACGACCCGCTTAGAACAGCTTGTGCTCCAGGGTCATGTCGTTCTCGGGGTCGAGACCCAGGCAGGCGCGGAAGATGTTGGCCATGGCGGCGCGCTGCTTGGCCAGGGCGTTGACGACGGGGGTGCCCGGCGGGGTCATGGGAGCCTTGAGCATGTAGGACAGGATGGAGAGCACCGAGTGGAAGTACTTCCAGTCGGCCTCGGTGGCATCCTCCTTGTGCAGACGCCACTGGATGCGGGTCATCAGCTCGGCGACGATCACCAGGTCGATGATGAGAGGGGAGGCGAGAAGGGAGTCCTCGCAGACGTTGGCGATCCTGGGAGGGGTTAGTATCTAGCGTAACGGGGGGAGGAGAATGAGGAAATGGGGGAAAACTCACGAGATGGTCTGGTGGCCACCCAGGAAGATCTCGCCGTGGTACTCATCCATGGCACGCTTAGAGTCGCCGACGGCCGGGACGTACTTGATGACGACGATGTGGTCGGGGTGTTCGCCGGGCTTGTAGAGGACGGTGTTGGCCTCGACCATGTCGTCGACGACGTTGCTCTTGGAGATCTCCTTGGAGCGGAACTGGCGCTGAGAGCTCAGGTTCTTGCCGTCGTTGTTGCCGAGATGGTTGTACGAGGCAATCGAGGTCAGCTTGATGCCAGCGTTGATGAGGAAGTCAACCAGGGCCGACTTCATCTTGGTCTGGCCGGACTTGAAGTCGTCGCCGCCAATGAAGGCGCCGTGGCGCTCGGCCAGCTCGATGCAGCCGGGCACGAAGGTGTTCTGAGGCGAGCCGTTGATGAACGGGACGCCCTCCAGGATGGAGGAGACGGCAAAGACGGTGGAGGGAGAGACCTCCTCGTGGCCGTTCTTGATGGCGTTCAGGAGGTTGTCAGCGGTGTCGTTGACGCCCTCAATGATGCTGGCATAGCGCTCAGTGTTGGCGGTCCACAGAACAATGACCTTGTCGAGACCGTTGGCGGCCTTGAAGTCGCGGATGTTCTTGCGGATCTCCTCAACGTGCTCCCAGCAGGCCTTGTTGCCAGGGAGGATGTTGTCGGCACGGTCTTCTTGGTTGGCAGCAATGAAGTCAGGGTAGTAGATGCTAGGCAGGGGCTTCATGGAGGCCATCTCCTTGCGGACAAGGGCCTTCAGGGACGGCTCCAGGACCTGGGCGCGATCCATGGCATCAGCCAGGTTCAGGCCGGAGATATCCCAACCGCCAATGACGATGTCGTTGGGGTGGACCATGGGCAGGACGCTGTGGAAGGGGATGTTGATGTCCTTGTGGGTCTTGGCGTCGGTGCCAAGCTTGATCGTCGAGCCCATGATGACGGAGCCGTAGTAGTTGGCCTCCTGCTTGCCGTTGCGGGTCTCCCAGACGAGGCCGCGGCGGTTGGCAATGATACCGGCCGTGATGGTCGAGCCGTTGTTGCCGCCCCAACCGACGAGCATGACACCGAGCTTGGGCAGCTTGCGGTCGACCTTGAAGTCATAGACCGTCTCGCGAGGAGTGGCGATCAAAGAGCCGTCCTCGGCGGTGGTGACCTCAGTGGTGCGGTAGACGTACTTGGAGCGAATTTCGTCATCCGTGTACACGACATTCGGCGAGTTCACCTTGAAAATGGGGGAAACAGTGGTCGGAGCGACCGTAGGGGCCGCAACGGCGGCGGCGACGCCGTTGCCGTTGGCTTGTCCACCACCGTTCGCAAGGCCCGCGTCGACCTCAGCGTGTGGCGCCATTTTGGATGTTTGGTTGGGGAAAGGAGACAAGGTATTCGGTAGAAGAGATCAGAGAGCTTTTGTTAACGCGAGGATCTTAAGGGGTCCAGGCTGAGTCCGCTGCACTTCCTGGGGCGGCCGAGCAACGGGCTCCTGCGTACGGGTGATGGACGCTGCGAAATGTCAGTCATTCTAGTGTCGGGCGAGCTAAACGGGCGAAAAGGGGAAGCGTAAGGGAGCGCGCGCACCTGTTCAGGAGGTTGGAGAACGTTTTGACGGTGGAGCGATCGCAGCCCGAAAGCGCGATCAAAAGACGATGAGTTGGTTGGTTGGGTGCCGGTTAGGCGAGCGTGTTTGGGAACGCGAACCGAAGTTCAAATGAAACTTGTTTGAGTAGACTTGTTGGTCTGGGGAAGAAGAGAGAGAGCGAGCTGGCATCGCGGGAGAGAAGGGGTCTTTATATACCTCAAGAGCGCACACCGAAGACCCTTTCTTCCTGACCCTCCCAACCGACTGGGATCATGGATGGCCACGGATGGTACCCCTCCAAGACCCTGACGGGACCCTGATGGCCCCTCCCAGCCCCCAGGTCCAACTGCAGGGCAGTCGGAGTGGGCGGTGAGAGAATGCGCCGATACGCTACTACACAACCAGCGCATCCCGGGTGTGGTTTGGATATTGCGTGCCGGCATCCATGCTGTGGGCTATGGGTGCATCGATTACGGTGCAGCCAGCGAGCGTCGAGCATCGAGCGATCATGGATCCTCTGGTCCCTGTAGGACAGCCGACCCAATGCCGCCCGCAGTCCACAGGGATAGGCAAAGCTGGCCGATGCTGCATCGCCAGGTGCGCAGACCCGTATGCGAGCAACAACTCAGCGGACCTAGAGGGCTCCACGTCTCGTCGGACAACTCGGGGGACCCGGGAATGTTGAGGTGGCCGCTCGCCTTGGGTTCGAGCTGCAGCCAGCATTCAACCATTCAACGACTTGTCAGCGCGGAGTTGAGACCTACATTGTACATACACCCCTACCTCTGCGCTCTAGGCTCTAGCGTCTCCAAGTCCTACCTAGCTTTGGCGGGTCCAATTCCGTCCTTCTCGGACCTTCTGAGAGGCTGAAATCTGCTGCAATGACAAATGTTGACCATGGACATGGATAGCAAGGATATTGGTATCGCACCACAATGATTCTCCCAAAGTCGGCCCCGATGCTGCACCCCTTTTGGTCTTTTTGCAAACTTGGCGCAAACGCAACAGCTCACTCGCAGCTTTCGCACATCTCCCCGGCACCCGGCATTGGCCAGCCAGCGAATGATAACAAAAAAAAAATCTCTGTGGAGCGCCTGGAACGCTGACCTGTCCGTAGCTCCTAGCCCAGCAAAAGAGCCTTAAAAACTGTAGAAAAAGCCCACTTAGGCCGCTGGAATCTTCGTACAACCCTTCCTGGATGTTAGCCATCCATCAGACGACGTTCTAGGATCGTCTTTGTGCGGCGTATCGTTGATCGTTGGCGTGAGATGCGTTGTTGTGCACCCCGCTCTCGGGTGCCCCTCCACAACGCTGCCTTGCTGCACCCTTGCACTTTTTCCTAGGCGCTAAACCCTGAACGGGCGTGGGGCAACAGCGGGGACCTCGTCGACACCCCTGCACGAAGCCCTCTGATTGGTTAAAGGGAGTTTCTTGTCGTCCTTGGTCCTCCAACCATCTCGCGCGACCCGGCCAGGTCCGGAACGGCTCGCCGTCCTGGTGGGACTGAACCGCTGCCTATGTCATCATACCCGCGGTTCCTGTTGACCTCCCATCACTTGCACATGAGACACTGAAGAGAGCATTTGGACGAATGTCGAGGCCTAGAGGGGCAGGGTAGAATCAATTGCTTGTGGGCAAGTGGGCGGCGATAGGAAGAGTCTTGTTGAGGTTCTTGGGTTCGATAACGACAGATGTGGGCGAGGCAATGGCCCTGGATACAGCACCCCCTCCCCGCCATCTCCCGACTAATACGCCCAGATTCCCAGAACGGGCAGGCAGTCGTACCCGGCCTCACTACGGAATATCTCGTGCAGATTGCAGTTTGAGCCGCTCAACCTCACTCGCTCGTCTGGTTGCCTGCGTCCAGTGTCTGAGCATTGTGGCTCGCTCGCCACTTGAGGGCTGACAACAGCGAGCACTCCCCCCCGCGCCTCATCGACTTCAAAGGATATCAATGGAATCTTCGAGTGCGCTTTGGAGTTGTGTTTGCCTCGGTTACCACGTCGCAGCAACACACCCTGTTGGCCAGCCTGGGACAGACCTGGTCCGAGCGGTGAGGCACCTGCAGATCTAAGCTTTTCTTGATCATTTGAGATCGGATCAAGAACGGCTAGGGATTGGTGGTTCATCCATCTGTTGTGTTATTGTGCAGAGTGGGATGTCGTTCCACCCGCCCCCGGCCCAGCTGCGTTCTGTCTGGATGGCTGCGGGGTGACTAACACCAAAGAGGGTTGCAGCCACGCCCTTGAAATGGACCGGGAGTGCGCAGCCACGACCCTTCCTGCATCGATGACGTAGTTGGAGACCTGTCGGTTCACGGCACTCGACCGTGCAGTGTCTTGTGTGCAGTCGAGGGCATTGGCAACTTGAGCTGATTCCTAGATTGAAGTCATTTATTACCAGAGTGACCTACGAGTTGCAATGATCCGGGATCTGCTGACAGTTTACTCATTGCTCTTTGTGTGGCCGGCTGTGCCGAGCATCGAGGGTATCAAAGGGCGTCATGGGTGTCGAGGGGTCTCGGTGTCGAGGGTAAGCATCAATAGCCTCAGCTCGTGGTTCCCCGCACCAATGAGGCCGGGCCACTCTCGTTGTTTCGCTTCAAAGGATCCCGATGCGGGAGTATAGAATTGAATAGAACATCAAAGATAGATTCCATAGGCCACGCAGACCACTTCATCCAGCCTACAATGCCTTTCCAATGTCTTCCCTATGGTCATTCAATGCACCTTCGCTGCCTTCCGCGGCCTGCAGCATTGCAACACACAAAGGGTTGACTTGCAGTTGGCGGTCCCTCTTGGCACTCGTTCCAACGATGCTCGCAGCTGATGTTGCCCGGATGCGGGACACCACTTCCCGTCTCGCCGACAAGTGGTTAGCCGACTATTCTGCAGACGCAGGCTCGCAACATGCGCAGCATAGGACTGCAGGGTGCAGCATCCAGAGTGGAAATCATCGGGATAGAAGTACTTGGCTGACTGGTCAGCCACTGATAAGTCATGATAATGAAGGGGCTCTATGGCTGTGCTTGGGCCGCTTACATACATCCTAGGGATATATACGGAGCTGCAGCCGTATGCATCAAAAACATTCTTGTTCGTATTTGATGTCCAGGGTCGAAGGGCGGGCATAAGGGACGGCAAAGCAAAGGGCCAGGTATCGGATATCAGGCAGCCTGTCGCTGCGAGTCTGCGAACTGGTCATGAATGAATCAAAGATCGTCTGCCCGTCCTCGAGATCAGCATGCGCTGCAACATGATCCGACTGCTGATGACGAGCCCGAGCTCGACGACTGCATTATCCGAGACTTTCCTTGATCAACCCGGCCTGTGACACTCTCCGCGGGCTTGTGAAGAGGGCCAGTCAAGTGACTGAACGCTCATGCTGCCATCGCCTTGCCAGGCGAAAAAGGGGGTAAGGGCATCGGCCAATCGAAGGCCAGGATCTCCCGTTGACATGATTCCAAAGCTCCTAAGCTTGCACTCTCAAGTGAGGTGACCCCAGTGGAAACGCAACGAAAGCAAAGAATCGGCCAACCATGTGAGAAAAAAAAATTCCCTCGCATCCCAAGCCAACTATCTGTCCTTGCAGGAGTTAGTACATGATATCGGCAGTGCGGAGTGTTCGCTCATCGTCGACCAAATGTTGGATCATGACTCAAAGAAAGGGATTAAAGGTTTCTGGAAACGACAACAAAGCGTCCAGTACAACCGAGAACTGCGGGGGTTCAAACATGCAACCAGCTGCCCGATCTTGCAACGTCATTGGACCGCGGGGAGGGCCATATCAATCTGAGGAGATGGGGGAAGAGGGGGGAAAGGGTGGGCGTCGGAAGGGATTCTCCAGACTTTCGATATTGGTGGTCACCCGGTCCAAGATGGCGATTGATCGAAGACCCTGATTTCCGAGATGAGCCTCATCATTGACACCTTTCTCAGTGCAACCACATCGACATGTTCGCGCATCGGTTCAACCTGGTCGGCGCGAGTCCTACGCAACGGAAGAGATCACGCGACAAGTGTCGCCCTCCCAGCCCTCCATGGCCACCCAGGACCAACCAGAAACTGATTCTTGCAAGTCTATTCTCTGGATCTGGAGGGGTAGAGCTTGATGATGGGTGTTCTGCAATTAAATGCTAGGGGCATAAAACCGTTGATATCTGGCGGGTTCCCATGTCTCCTATCAAATGACAGCTGAGAGTGCACAGTACGCGCTCCCACGCCCAATCATCGAACGACTCTCGATGCCTGCAAGGTACCCGCATTGGCAATCGCCAGCAAAAGGCCAAGCATCTGGTGATGTTTTCAAGTCTTGAGAACTTGTGATGCCAATAGAGTAAATGCAAAGAACTGGTGCGGGGCGGGATTTGATCTCAATTCTTGCAAAAGCTTTGCGGTGGGGCTTGCAAGATTGCGATCCAGCTTTGGTGGGCAGGATCGCCTGGTTTGTTCTGTGGTTGCTTGTGGGACATTTTAAACACTGTTTCCAGACTTGGATCTTGCGAGTTGGATAGTCAGATCGAGACGCATGATGAAGGGCATTTTGCCGGGACTCGGGCGTTGCAACAAATGGAAGGAAGAAACTCGCCGAAATGATAGCCCGGCAGACTCAACCAAACTCGAATTAAAACCACCACAGTCTGGGGAGGTTTCAGACAAAAATGCGACAATCATATGTCGTATGGTTGTAATGCTCTCACATTGGCTAACAAATGATAGCTCTCACACTTTATGGGATGGCACTAACATCGTTATCGCAGATGGGATGGATGGAATCGGTTTGCATTCTGTTAAGGGCAGGTCTGGCGTGGAGGTACACAGTGCCGCAGGGCTGCTTTGTCGCACTCACCGCCGGTGGGCCAGAGATGGTCCGTGCTTGTGGTTCTTTGCTACGGCTTTTGATTGGTCCCTTGTTGGTCCCTTTGCGCACTTCAAAGTCCAGATCGGTGCTAGCTCAAGGACGGTGAAAGGCGCCAGCCACTCGCGTCCATTTGACCTTGGCATTGGCATTTGCTGCAGATGCACAAAAAAGACGGCGTCGCTAACCGTTTTGCAGGGTTTCGCTGGGCTAACCATCGCCTTGACTGCCCATGAGGGAATGGTTGCCGCGGTCTTGACTGTCTCGATCCTCGTTCCATCGTCGCCCATCGAACGAATCGCAAATCCCCGGGACAAGCTGGGGCCCATGCTGGGCAATGTTGGCCCTGCGAGAAGCGGGGGCTTCTGGAGTGCCCTTCTTGGCATGGCAGGCCATGGCTGGGCGTGGCAGCGTCCCCCTGAAGGGCCGGGTGCCGCCCACCGAGGGAGCAGCCGCCGTGGAATCAATCATTGGCCACGTCGGGGGCTAGACCGTGGTTCTTCCTCCATCTGATGGACACTGACATTGGAACACTGAACGCACTGGACACAGTGCCGCGTCTCGCGTCAAGACCCCAAGAGTGCTCGACTCTTTTGACACTCGATTCCTTGTGTGGCTACTGGCTAGTGTAACCGTCTGTCTCATCATCCATCAATCCCGTCAATGGATGCTGTGACGGCAGCTCGGAGTTGGTCAGTTTCTCCGTCTCGTCGTCCGGCTCTTTTTTTGATGGACTCCCTCTTCCCTTTGATGCACGACATACCGCACTAACTTAGGCTCACCGTCCCTCGCCGGAGTCGTACAAGCCTCACCGTGCCCCGTACAACTGAACTCCGCGACCCGACCTGCCGACCTTCCGACCTGCATTCACGTTCCAGCAACCGCCTGCTTGGATCTCGACCTTCGGGAAGGCCAACCTCCCTCCACTTTCGAGACACGATCTGCAACAGAAGGCCCGGAAGGCCTGAATTTCCCCACAACTTCGCCTTGCGTCTTCCACGCGGCTCATAGCTTTTTATTTTTTTTTCTTTTCGCGGTGAATTCTTCCGAGGTCTGCCATTCATTTGCGTCCTGGGAACCTGTTTCCTTTTCGCGAGCTTTCGACGGCGAGGGAGCGTCTCCTTTCGCCAGAAACGGCCGTTTCAACATCTCAAGAGACGCATACCCGGATAATTCAGTAATACCTAATCACCATAATCGCGCCTTTGTGCCATCTTACCAAGCTTGACATTGCGGCTCGTGTCCAGCATCATTAGACCAACCCCTGAACTAAAAGCTGGAGAAACCACATACCGCACGCGATCGCGAGACGGGCTGACTGGCGCATCGGCCGAATACTACAATTTGAGGTGATATTTGCGCAGGACTTGGGAAGAAATATCACAAAAATCACAGTCGAGAATGGCTGCAGTACGAGAGTCGGTGTTCATGCCGACGGTGAAGTGCTCAACCTGCGGTCAGCAGGTAGAAATATCCATGATGGGAGATCACAAGTGCAATGAACCAGCGCCATTACCAGAACGTACGGACTCCATCTTCTCGATTTCTGCTGGTTAAACTTGTTTTGTATGACTCAGCTAACATCCTGTCTTGTAGCCACTCCTCCTGCCGCCACTTCGCTATTTAGCAAGTTTATGTCTTTTGGCACTGCCAACAAGCAGCAGCCCCGCGCGCCGCCCCAGGTCGACACGCTGGCAGCTAGTATGTCCCAGTGTTCTTGATTTCTAACATGTATGAGTGTGTCTGTGCTGACTGAAGCAGATCGCGAGTTCCAAAACCAAAGCCAACTGACCCCGGCCAGCAACTCGAGCGACTCTCAAACGACCCCATCTCCCGTAACGCCTACTACCACAGGACCGGCTGGAAAAGGGGATTCACCGCGTATTGCTGGGGACTCGCCACCGAGGCCATCGACAGGGAGACCGGGTGGTTATGGAGGCCTGGACGATGCGAGACCCGAGACGCCGGTGCTGTCAACACCACTGGCAAAGAAGCCGACAACGAGTTGGGCGGAGAGGGTAAATGCCATGACACCTGGCCCTTTGGATCCTCGGCGACCTTCGACGAGCGGACGTAGTGGCCCTGATGATCGCCCTAGTACCTCGGCCTCGAACATTAGCGGCATTCTTGGGAGACCAAACGCGCCTGCACTCAACGGATATGGAGGACTGGGCTCGCCTTTCAAGACTGCGCGAAGTTCGTTGGAGAGACCAGGGACGCCCAGTCGAGCCGAGACCTTTCCCCGGCCGAACGAGAGCTTTGCGCCTTTGACTCGCACGCCAACGGCCCCCGCTCCTTCAACAAACTCAAGTCCTGACGACGCGCTGGATGCGAGAAAACCAAGCAGGGCGAGCGAGACCCCCCGAAGTGGAGTGATTCGACCCAAGACACCTGGCCTGCCCACGATCAATCTTGCCCAAGAGTTTGCGGGTGGTAATCCATACCACGCCCCTTCAGAGTCGACATCATCCTCTGCTTCGGCTACCAGCAGCCAGCCCGAGCGCCGGCCCAGCCAAGCTAGCTCCCGAACGAGTCCGCCTAGCTCGACACTCGGAAGATCACTGTCCGATGCTTCGGTACCAGAGACGCGGGATGCTGCCGACAAAGCCAAACCGGAGATGCCACAGTCTCCACCACGCCAACCTCCTCCGGCGAACGAGAACAAGCCAAAACCGCCGCCGGTAGCGCCTCTGAAGTTGGGATCTCGAAGCTTCCGGGAAAGACCGCCACCGCCGAGTGCTCGGCCCCCTCGAGAACGTGGCTACGATCCCCGAATCGACCCGGCCCTTCGAGACCCTCGTTATGCTCGAGGACGCCCCCCGCTTGCTTCACCTGTCCCTCCCTCACCTGTCCCGTCTTCGGCTACACTTCCGTCGCCGATCCCTCCTACTCCTACAGTTCCCACATCAGTCCCTTTGCCACCTACTACTCCGTTGGCTCCACCATTGGCTTCTCCGCTGATCCCCCAGCCTACCACACCGTCGGCCCCTCCTGCGATCCCCGGGCCTGCTCTTTCGCCTGCACCATCGGACAGCCCGGATGAGCCCAAACCGCCGATTAAGCATCCGCGCTCTCTTACTCCCGGCCCAGCCGAAGGCTTCCCGCCCTTGTCTCCTAGACTCTCTCCTGCTTCGACAGTAAACTCGTCCGAGTCATCCACCAATAACGGCATCCATCATCCACAGCCACTAAGACCAGCGCAACCGCCACAGGAAGGATATCCGGGCTTCCGCCCATATCAGCCTCCGCCCAAACCTGAGTCCGAAGAGCAACCTCCCCCTCATCCTGAGCGTTCACCATCCCGTCCACGACCGCCACCAACGCCTCAGCAACAACCTGAGCAACCTTCATCGGCCGCCGGCGCCTCGTCGCGCGGCAATTGCAAGGCTTGCGGTGAGCCGATCAAGGGCAAGTCCATTTCGAGTGCCGATGGCCGTTTGACCGGACGGTATCACAAAGCTTGCTTCGTCTGCTCGACTTGCAAGGAGCCCTTCTCCTCCTCAACATTTTACGTGCTTGATGATCGCCCGTATTGCGAGCTCCACTACCATAAGCTCAACGGCAGTTTGTGCGGCAGCTGCGGCCGTGGCATCGAAGGACAGTATCTGGAAGACGAATCCTCGGTCAAGCACCACCCCGGCTGCTTCAAGTGCAAGGCGTGCGGTATCGTGCTTCGCGATGGCTACTTTGAGGTCAACGGCAAGGCGTACTGCGAGAAGGATGCTTGGCGGCTCGTGCAAGGTCACCCACCGCATCATGGTCCTCCAGGACCCCCGGGTCCAGGCTCAAGAGGTAGGATGGGTCCGCCTTATGGACCACCCGGCCCACACGGGTACCCGCCGCATGGGCTGCCGAGTGGTCCCGGACCTAGGGGCCCGCCCGGACCTGGTGGATATCCGCCTGGGGGTAGACTCGGGCCGCCGCCGGGACCAAGGCCCAGGATGGAAAAGAGGATGACGCGGTTGGGTATGATGTGACTTTGAGGGGAGAAGGAGTCAAGGGATGGTTCCCCTTGGAGACGAACTTTTGATGTGCATTCTTTTTTCTTCTCTTTTCTTTCTTTCTTTTTTTTTTTGCAATGATAACGACTTGAAGATGATGAAGACGCGTTGACGCGCACGAGTAGAAAGCTTGATGCTGTTTCTCTCGTTGTCATTTTATCTTTTGATTCATTAGCCTTCGCTTCTTCTACTTTCACCAGCGGCACTCATAGATTGAGGCTCCTGTTTGGTTGGGGACTTACAACGTTTTTGGCTTCTTAACATATACCCCGATGATTTATTGACCTTTGGGCTTCAATATACCCTGACACGTTGTTTCCTTTGTGTTGTTGTGTTATATATAAATAAGCATCCGATTTAACTATTATCCAGTTTTCTCGATATCAGAGAACATAAAGTGTTGATTGGATATATTTGGATCGCGGGGAGATAGTAGTTTGGTTTGATGTTACTGATTTGGTATTCTAATACTTACGCTGTTGCGATTGTCTCTTCGAGCAGGCTTGGTTGATTGTTCATTTGCTTGGACACTTGCACCTTTTCAGCGCCATCGCACTCGATCAGATCGTACGGAAGGTCTATCGTCACACCGACGGAGATACTTCCTGCATGTTTAGACGTTGCTGTGTATCCATGTTTCATCCTCGAGTGTGTGCTCCCAGCCGAGTCATGGACTGGGGACACAAGCACAGCGTGAGACGGGAACCCTCGTGACATGCTAGGCTAGGTTGTATGGAGCTGGTTCTGTGAGAGCTGTTCTATACAAATAGAAAGTAAATCACTTATTAACTTCTCACATATAATGAATTATCGAAAATAATCTACCTAATGTCTATCATTTCGACCCAGACTCGCAAGTTGTTAGGATCCCCGTGGCGATGTGTTAATCGCGCTCTTCTGTCTGTTAGGTCATCATGGGATATTTAGCATGGGCGGGTGTGACTGTAACACAACATAGACTCTAAATTTGAGACTTTGAAGCTGACGGTGCAATCAGACTCCCCTTGAGAGCATTGTGAGACTCAAAGCTACCTGCTCAAAGGTCTCATCGAGCTAGGAAGTCCCAATAAAGTCGAGGATTCTGTGGTGTGAGTTATCCATCCGAAAAAGGTTTAGCGCTCCAATTAACGCCATCGGATTTTCTGAAGGCCCTAACGCCAATAGGGTCTTTGACAACCCGCGCAACGAACGGCCGTAAGACGGCATGGAGATGAGCCAGGATTGAATGGAACGTGGCGCGGGCAGGAAAGGCTCTCCTGTTTTTATCAGCGAAGAAGGATCTGCAGACAAGCGATCCTTTATCCATCAGTGATCAGAATCCAACCGCCGTCGATCTGGATAACGCTTTTTTTCCCTTTCTCTGCGTTTCGCGGCCGCTAGCAATCTCTCTAGTGTTTGGTCAAGCCTTCTGTTACCAAGGCTAAACCTGGGCCAGCAACCCCTGAGAAACGCAGTGGCGTCTCCATCGGCCGGCGATGGTGCCACAACTCAAGGGACCCAGTTACGGCGCTGGTTTTTTTTCTTTGCCTATGGTGATGGGTGGAGAGGTAGTTGGTTCCCTCGCAAGTGGTGTACGTGCATTGGTGGTCAGCGGATGTTTCAGACGGGCAGGTAAATTGGTGATGGCACGGCTTAGCGGAAGTTTGCTTGGGTCTTGGTTATTGCCCAGTCAGGAGGATTCTTAAAGACGGATTCTTTATCCCGTGGTGCATTATCATCCGTCAAAGCTATGCCGGTGGTTAGATGTAACACAAAATCCGCGGTTGCCTAAGATTAAGCTCTGCGACGTGCAGGCGATTCCAGACGTCTGGTTGGCTGCAAGCACAACGGAGCGAACGCCCCAAGATGGAGCGCCATGCTCCTTAGCAAGATCGGAGATGTCGCCGTTGCAGGGAAGTACCCGCGATAGTAGCTGCTTCGAAACTTAGAGAAGCACTGTTTCCTCTCGTCTCCTCTTTCCCGTTTCACTCGTATTTTCTCTTTTCCATCCCATCATCCAGCCAAACCAAAGTGTCACTCGTTTCATTGTGAGGAGACTACGAGTCCTCGCGATCGCAACGCCTTTAGTTTGTTGCGCGACGCTATTTCCATCATTGATCACATCAGCCACCTATTTTTTTTTTTCGTTTCGTGACATTCGTTCGGCTCTTTTCCTGTACTCCGTGTAGTTCTCAGCGGTCCTTGCGCAATCAGTCACATCGTCCTATCGTTCATCGTCTGCTCACCGCTCGCTTCACGGCATCAGCCTGAGACAGCATATTCGTCTGAATCAGCACAGCTTTCACAGCAATTTGATGACTTCTGCGACTATGCCAAAATGAGCGAAAAAAGGTCTCTTCTTCCTCATATCACCAACTTTACAAAATCTGGGACCTTCACCGTCCTGGTGAAGGGACAGGCGCGCCGGGTTCTTACTCGGCCGAGGATACTTTTGGCCGCGGTTGGCGTTATTTTCCTCGTCTCATGGATGGGAATTTTGCGACATGGCGCCCTAGATGTGGCACTGCCCATGCTGGGCGTTAGAAAAGAGTTCGCGAGAGACCACGGTAAGTCTACTTTTTAGTGTTCTCGCGTTCTCAAGAAGTGCTAATTTCTCGATCAGATGAGCGCCGGCAGCGCGTTTTGGATGCGGAACGGGAAACTTTCCAACAAGAAGCTAAGTGGCTGGAGCGGTAAGCATTTGCGCCCAACTGCATTGCTTCTGGGAGAACGTCGCTCACTAGTCAAAGGTTTCCAGGGTACGGTGCCATCTACGGGAACACCTTGAATGATCTTATTGATGAGAATGTTCGGACGCCAGCCCAGGCCCGGCAGCTTTCGGGTGAACGCAACATTACCATGTTCAACCGCCATCCTGTCACTTTCAACCCATATCCAAACTACAATAGCCCCGAGTGGCAGAAGAGCCATGCACCATATGTCCCGTGTTTGGGTCCGGATGGAAGGCCGGTCAGAGATATCTCCGTATTCAAGGGACGACCGAAGAACTGGCCCAAGCCCGGTTTTGGCAACTACTCGATCCTCGGACTCGACGAGAACATCTGCTTTGAAAGGGAGACTCGCATGGGTCAGTACGGCTATTACCAAGTAACGGACGAGAAGGGGGCGCCGATTGATTGGGATAAGGTTGATTGGGGCGAGCTGCAACACCAGTGCTTGGAGAAGAATCGCGCTCGGTTCAACTTGACTGGCCCTGCGAACAACTATGTGCTGAAAGTGGAGGAGGACCCAGAAGGTTACGAGACTGCAATTAACGACCCTGAGTCGGTGATGAGTATGGTTCGGCCTTTCTGGCGCCTGCTCCATCCTTCATCCAAAGTTTCTAAGGAAGACCAAGAGCCATCGAGGGATACGATAATCGAACCCAGGACGGCCTTGTTGTTGCGCAGCTACAGTGGCAAGAATTATAACGACAACGACAAACAAGTTATCCGGGCTCTGATCACGGAGTTGAGTCTTCGCTCCGGTGGCGAGTACGAGATTTTCCTCTTCGTCCACGTCAAGGAGAACGACCAGAATATCTGGGAGAGCGAGGAGGCCTATCTAAAGGCGCTCGATCAGCATGTTCCCAGGGAGTTCAAGAGCATCACGATTCTCTGGAACGAGGATATGGTCAACCGCATGTACCCTAAGCTGACCCCGAAGGCGCGCCGGGTTCACGCGGGCCAGTTCCTGCCTGTCCAGGTGTTCATGCAGGAGTTCCGCGAGTTCGACTTCGTCTGGAACTGGGAGATGGATTCTCGGGTCGTGGGTCACCATTACGATGTCCTCAGCAAGCTTGCCGAGTTTGCTCGTAAGCAACCCCGAAGGGGACTTTGGGAGCGTAATGAGCGCTTCTACATTCCTTCCGTCCATGGCGATTACGACACTGAGTTCCGCGAATCTGTCGAGCGTGCTGTCGGCGGCACTCACAAGACGATTTGGGGTGCCCCGAACGTGCCTGTCGTTGAGCCTATGGGCCCGAAGCCTCCCGTAGAGAGACCTGAGGATGACAACTACCAGTGGGGTGTTGGCGAAGAAGCGGATCTAATTACGCTGGGTCCGATCTTCGACCCGGTCAACAGCAACTGGGTCCTGCGCAACCAAGTCTGGGGCTACCGGTCTCTCAGCTTCCCTTGGGGCAAGCTCCCGCGCCGTGCTACCATCATCACCCAAGTCCGGGCCTCGAGAAAGCTGCTCGATCTCATGTTCGTCGAAGATCTGCGCGGCAACCATCTCGCATCAGAGATGGTCACCGAGACGACCGCATTCCTTCATGGGCTGAAGGCCGTGTATGCGCCCATGCCTGTCTTCTTTGACCGCACTTGGAGCGGCAAGCAGCTGGCCAAGTGGTTTAACGGCGGCCCGGGAGGCCAGAGCGGCAGCTTCGGCAGCGCTTTTGGCTGGGGCCAAGAAGGCCGGTTTATGGGCGCCACCTGGTACTATCGCGCGATCCCGCCCCAGCGACTCTACAACAACTGGATGGGCTATGAGGACACGGGCATCGGTGGGTCCGAGTGGGAGGAGAAACACGGCCGGCCGTGTCTTCCGACTATGCTGCTGCACCCGATCAAGGACGTGGAGCCCACGCCGAAGGGGTTTGTGACTGAGTCGAAGCTGCCGTATGATTAGTGATTGTCGGGCTCGGGATGATTGTGATCCAGTTTCGTTGTGTCGATATTGTCTTTTGTCATGCTTGCGATATAAGGGACAATGAGTCGACGATGGTAATCGGTACAGAGCATTTCATTTTACATGGGATCAGGGAGCTCTTGCTATGAGGATATTTGCTTTATTTCGATATCTCTTTGGGAAATCAGGGACATAACGGGAATCGTACAAGACCCGCGGGTAGTAGTTTTGTATAGCTAATGTCTATGGCGCTGGGGGGGTGTTCTGGCAGAATCACTAGGCAGTTACGACGTACGGGAATCGACCTGATTTACGCATACATTACTTAGCTTCATGAAGAGGGCCCAAAGCCAGCGCTTTCAGCAATTGATGATAACGGAGAATTAAACAGGGTTTTATCTAGTCTTCAGAAGTTCGATCTCTCAACACGGAAAAGGTGAAACTGATTCAAAAGGGCGCCTGTCCACGAGGGTGCCCATCCAAGAAGGTGCCTGAGCTGTTCCAAGTGAGAACAAGGCCTATTATCTTGATGCTACCTGCCCTTTTCCTGATACTTGCTGCATCTAGAGAATGTAAACTGCATGCCGACCGTTAGGCTCTTCCTGGACACCCTGTCAATGAGCCGCATCTCGAAAACCGGCCGGATGTCAGGTCCGTGATGGATCGATCGATCGGTTCTCGGGTCTTGGGGTAAAGACAGGTGATATCGGCCATTGTTGCCAAAACTTCCCCAAAATTGGGGACTCGGAATTTCCAAATTCCACTTTGCCTGCTAGTCTGGAGGGAAGATGTCCAACGCTTGCCATGTCATCGGGTTGCACAACAGCCGAACCACGGAACATTGCGAGAGGGGTGGGGAAACATGGGACGATCCTAGCACCCACGGGACGTCGCGCGCCGACCGAATCAGCCCAGAACGACAAGCCACAGATGGGCTTCAGCCACGTTGCTTGGAAATAGGCGCGCGCTGATTGGCTCAATGGTTATATATCTCTCTCGGCAACGAGCAAAAGGCCCCAGACCTGCAGGGATGCTGGCGTCCAAGAGTTAGCGGTCAACTGACGAAACGGGTATTGTTTTTAATGGGGACCTGTATATGCCAGATGGACAATTTGTACTAGGGTAGGGGTGATGGGAAGGGGGTGTGTGAGATGGACTTGTTCGAATTCTTTTCTTTTTTGACAGCAGGCAGCCGCCTTTTTTTTTTGGCTGTTGAACCAGCATTGCTCCCCTGGGATTTGAATATAAGGCTGCCCTCCCCCTGAGTTCTACCTTCAATGAGATTTGTTCATCAACGTCACCATCCATCTTTGCTCCGTGTCATTGATTGGGAACTTACACGCCTTGAGATATCAAAAGCAAACGTTACAAACCAGCCAACGACACCAGTCGACAGCATCACATAAATCTTCATAACCGCTACTTTCTCAGCGTCCTCTCGACAAGCCACAGCTACAATGTCGCCCACTTATACCATGTCCGCACACCTGTGCAAGCAGATCGCCTCGTCCTGGAGACAATCAAGACAATCTTCTCCTGAACTTCCGTCTCCTCCGACTTCTGCTTCTTCTGTCTTCAAGCCGTCGTCCTACTTCCACAGCCAGCAGAGGCCATCAATTCCAGAGAAGCATGACAAATCTCAGTCAACTTCCTCCAGCTCCAATTGGACTAGATGGGGCTCGTCTCGTTAAGCCCTCCCTAGTCTGAATCTCTGAAAAGGGCTTTCTGAAGGAGAGCGACATTTCGTGTTTGCGGTTAGAAGCACGCAATGACTTGAGTGGGCGGCGCAAAGCCATGAGGTGAAAGAGGCTGACTCCATTTCCTCTGTCGGTTTTCAAATCTGGGCAATCCCCACCACTACTTACATGCACGAACCGATGAATACGACGCAATAAAATAATTTTAGACGGAACCCAGCAACCACTGCCACCAGCTCGTCATATTTCACGCAGCACGCGATCCTCTCGTCTTCTCGCCTCTTTCGTTGTTTTCATCCAGTCAGCTTTTACGCAATTCTCATCACCCCTATGCGTTTGGTGTTTCTCTTAGACAATTAGTGGCGTCACATTGGGTTCCGGGATTAAGGCAGGGCGCACGGAGTTAAGGCATGTTAAGTACGGGTATTTTGGGCTTTTGCAGTATGTTAGGGGCTAGGGTTGGTCTACTTCTTGGAAGCGAGCTTCACCACAATGCACGCCATCGATACCTGCTATGCCATCATCACCACTGGAAGATCATCTCTTTTTGGTTGCACCAGCCACAAACGCCCCACAGCATAACGGCATCGGCAATGGCTTATTCGGTTTCGCTCCGTTGCTGACTCGTCGCATGCATGTATGTCGAAATAACATGCATGAAGGCTCATGTTGTTTGAAAGAATGTGAGGTCAAAGGGTTGATGATGGGTATAAGGTGTGGTAATAGAGAAGGCTTGCAGGCCATGAATCGCCCCATCTGACTTGGCAACGTGGTTGGTTGACTTGCCCTCGATAGAAGAGAGTTGGTAATACTTGGCATTTATGGCGTATGATTTCCTTTGCTCTGGCCACGGATTTAGGATCTTAGTTAGCTACCACTTGTAGCAAGCACCAATACAGCAGGTAATGACATGAGCTCAGCTTGTCGGCTACTTCCTGAGAGTATGACCAGCGTGAAATTGATCTTACACTTCTAAGAGTACCCAGACCCAATGCATGCTACGTATGTCGTCTTAATGGCAATGTCATGACTAATGGTACTGATTATGATGACCGCTGCGATGTTCAAGCATGCTCCATTTCCCTTCGATTCATTTCATGGGTTCAAACAACCCTATACAATCCACTGTTGAAGAGACGAAAACACAAAGGCCGGTTGAACCCCCAAGCAATCCCCAACAATCATCGTTTAGCAAACCATGGTCGCTTGCTTACTGATTCCATGCCTCCAAACCATTCATCGCACAGTAGACCAACACTGGACATCTCACAATGACAAAACACAAAGCCCAGGTCGGTAAACGAACCACCCCTAGAAGGCCGCAACCTAAGCCGCTGGTGGCGGATGAACCTGGACTTGCAGTTCAGGTGGAGAATCCAGCCCGCTGCCGCTGTCCTCAGCCGACTCCGACACCTGACCCTGGATACGGCGCTTGGCATCAACCCGATCAACTTCCGTGATCTGAGCGTCGTCCTTGCGCATGTCAGGTGTCCACTGCGGCTCGTTGGGGGCGTGGCCGACTGACATGCCAGCCCGGATCTGAGAAGAAAGGTGGTTAGCCAATGACTTCAGTTGGAAATGTAGTCAATGTAGGGACGTACCAAAGTCTCCAACGGCTCCATCGAGTTCTCCACCAGATCGCTATCCCACACCATCTTGCCTGGTTCGAACAACATCACAATCGTGCTGCCGCCGAACTTGAAGTAACCCAGCTCCTCACCGCGCCTGACGACCTCGCCTTCATTCCGTAAGATCACGGTACTGCCGACCATCATGGCACCAACGCAGATGACCATGACGCGGCCGAACTCGTTGGAATCGATCGGCACGAGCACGCGCACGTTCTCGCCGTAGACATCCAGTGCTGAACGAATTGCCATCGGGTTAACCGTGTAGTACTCGCCGGCGATGGTCTTAGGCTTGCCGAGGATGCCGTCGACGGGGATGTGGAAGCGGTGATAATCCTGGGGCGCGAGACGGAAGATGCCTAAGGCACCGCCGTTCTCGTAGCGGGAGACATCCTCCGGGTAGGCGTCGCCCAGCAGGCGCTTGATGCTGAACTCACGGCCTTTGATCCAGATCTTGGTGGCGTGCTCGACACGATTGAACACGACTGTGCGGCAGTCGGCCGGCGAGACGACGATGCGCGGGTTGTCAGGGGCAGAACAAGGGCGAGAACCGGGCTTGAGAGCGCGGTAGAAGAACTCATTGAAGTTCTTAAACTCTTCGAGTGGCAGGAGGACCTCAGACAGGTCGAGGCCGTGAAAGGCAATGAACTTGGGAATCTCGGCCTTGGAAGCCGGGTCGTCGTATTTCTTGCCCTGCTTGATGCTGAGTGACTTGAGAAGTTTGCGAACTACGAACGTCAGCTTAAATCTTGACTACTAAGTCGACCGATGCACTTACTTTGCTTCTTCTCCATGTTGTTAGCCTTCAAACCTTTGTACAACAAACGAATGCCCAAGCGAACGTAGACACTCATCTTCTCCTCGACAATCTGGCCCGTGATGCGGTCCTGGACGAGGATATTGGCTGAGTTGGCGCCGATCTTGTAACCGCCGTACGAGACCTTGGTAATGACCTTGGTGTACCACTTGCGCTGTGCCTGGCTGGAGGTGACAAAACCGCCCATCATCAGGTTGTTAACCTGGCGCCAGTCCTGGCTTGCACAAGTAGCAATGTGCGTGATGATATCGGCGTCTTTGCGCTTATTCATGCGCGGCTGGTGACAGATCGGGCACTCGCGGATCTCGACGACATGCTCCTCAGTGCTGCTTGCGTTGAGGTCATCGCGACCCAGCAGCTCGCCTTCGTCCCCTGGGGTACTGAGTTCGGGAACTGGGAGGATACCGTCAGAGATCTGAGATTCAGACGGAGTAGCCTGACCTCCATCTGCCGGAGTATCGAAGCCCGCGAGGATCTTCTTCTGCGGGCGCGATCTAGCCATAAGCTGGTCCTCCAGGCAGATGACGGCCTCATCCATCGTCAGGTCTTCAGCATCTTCGTTGTCACCCGCCTTATGAGGGAAACGCTGGAAGAAGCTGTCGATAGTCGAGTCACGCAGAGTCGACCCGAGGGTGTCGAGCATGGTCGTCAGCTCTACCTTACTGATCATTCCACTCTCGTCTGCATCGTACTGCTTCAACATGGCCCTCCAGAACTGCTGACGAAGCGCTGGGTATGGCATGTATTTGGCGCGGATAGTCAACTTCGGGCTATGCTTATCCTCCCATTTCTCCTGGTTCTTCATCTTTAGTGGGAGGGTGTAAGTGAGGAAATCCGGGTCCTCGCTGTCAGGTTGAGATGTTTCTCCCGCTGGGGCGGTAATGGATGCTACGGTGTTGTCCCCAGGATTAAGGTACGCAGTGCTAGGGGCCCCTTCAGGCAGGCCCTCGGGTTGTGGAGTGCTGGGAGCTGGTGACGGTGAGGCTGATGGGGTAATCGTTGTGGATGAGACGTTCTTTGTCACAGCTGCTCTTCCAAGCTTGCTCAGGCTTTGGCTGGACGAGGTGCGGGACAGGCCCAGGCGCATAAACCGAGGACGCTGTACAGGAGCAGCCGGAGAATCTGGGAGTTCCCTCAAGCTGTATAAGCCAGTTTCGGGGTCAGCCTTTGGAGCCTTCTCGATCAGCTCCTTGATGGGGAAGTGCACCGAGGCGATGAAGTCGTTTCCAGAGTACTTGTCATGGTCGACAACAGTAAATAGGAAGGAGTAAGACTGTTCATGGGCAAGAACCTGGAATATCATCTTCTCGTTGAAGACAGGATTCAGATTGTGGCGGATGGTCTTGGTCCGATAAGTCTTCTTGCCGAGCGAGGCAATGACAAAAGGATCCATATCAAAGCTGGTCTTGGTAAGGTTTGACTCTGGGGGCAAATCAACGATGTTGCTGATTTCGAGGAAGATAATGCCCACCACATCACTGTCGCTGTTCGTGAATTCATAAGGGTTTTCCCTCTTTTTACGCTTCAACCCCTTAATGCGTAGCCTTCTCTTCCTCTTTTCGGCTGTTTCCAGCTTGCTTGAATCCTCATCCTCCGGTGTCTCATCCTCGTCCACTTCGTCCTCTTCATCGTCGTCATTATCATCGGCTTCTCGTTCGCCAAGAGAGGGTGAGGGGGATGGAGACTTCCCCTTGCGTGTAGGAGAGAGGATGGGTGTGCGAGAGGGCGTTGGATTCCGCGATGCATCGGCTGCTGCGGCAGCAGCCCCTGTAATGAGCGAGAACTTTTCGAAGATCTGCTCATTGGTGGCATTCTTGTTCGTTGTGTCCACCAGAGTGAACTGTAACTGGACTTCACCGGAAACTACACTCGTCTTCTTCCCGGGCTTCTTGCTCTTCAGTGGATACCATGTTGGTGGTTGTTCTGCCTTCTCGTCGGTGAATATCTCTTCTAGAGCAAGGTCAAATTCGCCCAGGTAGTCCTTCCCAAACCTGTCCTTATCCCAGCAGCACACGTCGAGGAGCAGGCTCTGAACTCCGGTTATGGGCAATTGGCATTGCTCGTTCCATTCGGGACAAAGGGTCTTGGGTACGGAGTGGGTGACATGTTTAGAGTCGCCGAGGGTCAAAACCAGGTACTGTGGCATAGTTGGACTGCGGTTAGCCGTACGTTCGTAGCCGATAGGGCTGCAGGAATAGCTAATGCCGAGCTCCAGCTCCAGATACGATACTAGTCGTCCGGCATATGTCGTGTTGCACTCACCGGGTCCGACGTGCCTGTCCTGTCCTTGGCGGCGAGATTCCTGGCCTGTTTACGAGTGTCAGCACGCCTCTTCCCTTTGCTTCTTTGGCAACGACTAGACGCACCCGTAGGATCGAAACGTTGAGAGCTAGGCCCTGGCTCTCTGGAATAGGAGAGTCCTTGCGCAATGGGCTCGCGCTGCGACTGTTGGCGTTGGAATTGGCGCCAGAGCCATTTGAGTTGCCCGGCTTGAGACGACTGGGAAGAATGCGGACCATTGCGGTGGACAAGCTGGCGCAGGGAGAAACGTCGTGTAGTTCGGAACTCTTCGAAGTGTTTGAATTCGGCCAGTCCGCAATACTTAAGCTCCTTGGATATCACGCACGGTGACGTGGTCGGCGAGGAGCATTCAAATGGCTTTGAAAGTGGTAGGAAGGCAACGGTTGCTGACCGCCTCGCTCACTTTCGCAAGGAGCGCAGTGTAAGGAAGTCAGTTGTCGAGCGGGGCCGAAAAGGAAGGAAACAAGAAAAAAGGTATTTAGAAGGGAAGAGTGCTGATCAACACACGGCCTTTCTGGGTTATTGGGTACCCATTATACAGCTTTGAACCGGAAGTTCGAGGATTAGAGCGTCATCTAACCAAACTTCCCGTCTCTATTGTGAGTGTTTGGCACAGATTACTTCTTAAGTCTGCCCCCCAGCCGCGGGCACTTTGGCAAGCTTTCAGCAGCGGAAACCATGTGGGGACTGCTGTGGACCAAGAGGTGGACCAGCAACGCGGATCTGGCGGGGCAATTGAGATGGCTTCTCCTAATTTGGCGCGCTTAGCCCTTAAACCCCACTTTCTTGAAGCGGCACACAGTGCTGATCGTGCAAGCTGGTTCACTTTGCCGGCCAGTTGCAGCTCAGCCCAAGTGTCTATGGACAGGCAAGCAAAGGGAGGCCGCCAGAAGCCACTCCTCCCATCTATGGGTCACGGTGATTGCGGACTGACTTCATTGGCGCAGTCGTATCTTAGCCGTACCCAGCGCGGATCAATGTTTGGTGACGGGACAGTGACAATATGAAAACACTGAGCCATTGGTGTAACCGGACTGTGTGTTAACAACCTCAAACTTGTTGCTTGGACTCTTCAACGGCCCGGCCCCACGGTTGCATCGACTGTCGATGCAGACGAGTCACCGCGGCGCTTGAGACAGCGCTTGGCCTCCCTATTCATGCGCTTGCTTTGCCACTTTGTGTAGAATGTCTTTTTTGGCTAACTTGATCAAAAGTCTCCCCTCCCCCACGAACAAGCTTGCTCGGCGATCTCGCAGCTCAACACCGAAATCCCAACAAAGACGTATGTAATTTCATTCGCTCCATTGGGATGCTCTGTTTCACGGGTGTCACCCCACCAGTTGAGGTTCCAAACGTGCCTTTGCTGTGCCTGGCCGAATACCGGCCGTCAGTTCATTCGCCCCCCCCCCGGTCCCCCCCCGGCGCTGACACATTTTTGCTTGGGCAGATTATTGAAAGCTACTCTACGCAGGATCTGTATAACTCGAAACACCGTTGCGCAGAGACGGCCGAACTCGAAACCTGAACACGCCACCCTCGTGGCCCGGTTCCCAAATCACGGAGAGCATGGAAAGCGAGACAGATACAGGGTCAAGGGATGCTTGGCCCGCATCACGAGTCAGGGACAGCCTGGCCACACCGAGCATGCTCCGCAAAAGCCCCGTGCCATTGCGTCAACCGTAGTTCGTTCAGGGTTTGCGTGTTGGCTTCCCATATCGGACGGCTCTGCCATCGCCAGAGCAATGTAGGGTTGCCCGCCGATAGGAGCCTAGAGAAATGAGTCCACAAGTCGTTGTTGAGAAAGTAAATGACCAACCTCCGAATTTGCAATCCATAAAGCTTAGATGCAGCCTTTACGGAGCATATACTACGTAAAGGAACCCCGCTCGGTGGTCGAAATGCGGAATTACCCCTCACTGACAGCTAAGCCCCTCATTAGTTTGGTGCGTTTACCTATGGGAAGATTGATCAGTGAACAGGGAAAATCCAAATGCTCCGTACATCCGCCAGGCTCCAGAGAGGTCTGGATCACAGGAACAGGGCTATGTATATTGCGGAGAGGTGTATCTTTCAAACTTGACCAGTTGGATCCTAGCAAGGGAGTTCCCTCCTAAACCCCCTCCCCGGGGTCTCCGACTACCGCTTTTGCTCGAACAGCTCATGAACTACGTCGTCCTATTGCATCTAGTATCCTCCGAAGGAATACCAGGTCTTGTCCGGGTTTGAAGCGCCAGCCAAAACTCCCTATGTACAGGGGCAAATTATTGGGACCAGCATCACATACGTATGTTCGTGTATTAAATATTCTTGTATTCATTACTCAACGCCGTCCTGTAATATTCAGTGAACATTATCGAAACACACGATCATGAGTAACGCATCATGCCGCGGCCTTGCTAGCCTTGTACTTGGTCGCTGCCTTGTCGAAAAGCTCGCTCTTCTCGGCCAGATCAACCAGGTGAGGATGGTTTGGATCCGCATTCCGCAGAGAACTGTTGCCGTCATTAGCAATCGTTAAGGGAAAAGAACGGTGGAAACGCTTACTTTGTCAATTCATCAACATTCTTGCCCGTAATGACGTTCAGCACGAGCAAGTTGGCGATCGCCTGGGCGTAGTTTGGATCTTTCTTGAGCGCCTGTTCCAGGGCAGCCTGGGCCTCTTCGGTCCGGCCGAGGTGCAGCTCACTGATGGCTTGCGCTACCAAAGTACGCACCGAGGACGTCGCCGGCGCTTGCGCCAGCTCTTCGAACACATAGAATGCTTGTTGATACTTCTCACCGCCCTAATGACACGGAAAGGTTAGCACGATTCCCAGTCTTGGGTAAGAACTCTGAAGACTGTAAAACCTGCTTACCAATCTCAAGCCAACCCATGATTCAGCAAGGTTAACAAGCAGACTATCCTGCGCCCATCTCCTTGCGGCTGCAACTTCTTTAACGGCAAGGTCGTTCCGGTTCTGTTGAAGATAGATCTGGACAATAAGTGCAACAGCATCCACTAACAAACATAGCGTCAGTATAGACCCTCTGGACAAAGTGCTTTGGGCGTAACAACATACAGCTCCCCTGGTGCTTGTTCAGCAACGCCAGAGCCTCTTCACTTTTCCCAGCCGCCTGCAGAACTGTCCCACCAATGATCTGTACGGTCACATTCTCCGCCTCATCGCCAGCAGCCAGCTTCTGCACGATATCGACAGCCTTATCGTTGTTACCAAGCGCCTGTTCGGCTAACGCAGCGACCGCCTGGAGCTCAGGCGCCTTCTCTCCGGAGACTTCGTGCAGGACCTCAGCGGCCTGGCCTAGGGCGATGCGCGCACGCAGCTGGAGCACGCGCGCAGGAAGCTGGTTCTCAGCGGACAGCGCGGATGTGTCGAAATCAACAACTTCTTGGTACTGTCCTTGGTGGAAGTGGTTGTGGATGTTGATGAGCTCGCCTTCGGCCGAGTAGGGATCCATGATGGGCTAATAGGGGGCAGGGTGGTTCAGCGGTGACAGAAGATCCGCAACTGAATTGGCTTGATAGATTAAAGGCAACGCTTGCAGATATGTGGGACAGAAATAGTTGCTTGGCCTGTGGGCGTCGTTGTTGGGAATCGAATGTCAACAGGGGATGTGCTTGGGCCAAGTTACGGGTCGTAATTGACCGACGTGGAACTTCACGGCCCAGGCCGAGGAATTTGGGTTGGGGGGCAATAAGTGTAAGGGTTAGGGTTAGAAGTTATCCCAGGAGCATCCTTTGTCTGGAGCTTGGCTCCTTCAACTCTTTCAACGCATCTTCATCTCCGGCAGAGGCGGTCTGCAGAGCAGCCCCCACTTCGAAGTTCAACCTGAAGCATTCGCCGTGTTTGGTGGAAGGCAACTTTCTCACGATTATCGAACGAATGTCGGGAAGACTGCTTTACTCATCTTATCCTCCTTTAAACCCAGCCTCATTGCTCGTCAGATCCTAGAATCCCGTTGACGCTGCAGGCATGTGGCACAGTACGCACATAGGACAAAGGCACGTCTGGAATTCCTCGTTCAAGTCCGTCTTGTTCCTCAGCTCAGGACAGTCGCTGGCATATCCAGCTACCTAGAAACACAACTCATACGTTCCATCGATTGGTATCCAAAGGGCAACTCACTTCGGGCACTAGTCCAAGTCTGCCATGCCCATATAGGACATTGAGAGTTTGCGCTCAGATCGGCAGCAGTGGATCATTGCCACAGGACGGGTCATCAAGAGTCTTCGTTTATGGTTAAAACAAAAAACCATGCAATCATTTTTAAACGGCGCGACCATTGAAGCTCATGCCGCTGTTACATTGTTTCTCAATCTTACTTTCTGCAATGGCCATGGTATTTTGGGTGTCCCGCGACCATTGGCTCAAACGCTCAGCCACTGCGACAAGACGCGCTTCAATATTCAGCCCGATGACCTAGCGCAGGAGCAATAGTGAACTCAGCTTTTGACAACGCTTTCTCCGAAGGTGCCGCTGGCTATGGTTCCAGCATCTCTTTCACGAACACCAGCAAGTGTTGGTGAAGGTCAAAGGCGGTCGAGATGGCCAGTTGCCGCAGTTTAAGCTTCAGGCAGAAACATATTGGGGGCGAAATGGATCGGAGCCAACAAGCATCGTCGCCGATACCGACCCATTCATAACCCTTCGCAGATTGACGTAAGGTTTCAGATAATACCTTGATAATATCCGTCAACATGATAATCATCAGAGCATAGGTCAGATGCCCATTGGGGCAGTGCTAAGCTAGCAGTGTCTTATTTTAGCAGCCCCGTGTGGACCACCAGGCAGCGTGCTTGCTATGCCACAGCATGGCGTCCAATACAGCACGCCAATGTGTGTTGGTTACTGCTTGGGCTTGCGAAGTCCGGGGTCCAACGGCGTTGTGACCAACCTCTGTAAATCTGTATTCAAGCTTGCATTGGCCGTGGAAATGGTCAAAGAAGGGGGCAGTTCCCCTCTTCGAATCCATTAACCCTGTGGCTTTGAGCAGCGGTCGCTTCTTCCTTACATGTAGGATGATCAAGCTGTGAGCCGTCACATCTATGTACCCGGAAGATCGTCTACATTCCCGTGTCTTGATATTCAGCCGATTCGTTTGTTGGTTGCTGCTTTGCAGTTAATTTTCAACTGCATGTGTTTGCTCAACGTCATTTCAAGCTAAGGGAGCTTGACACCTCCCTTCTTGTACACTACACACCAAGGACCGAAACCCGCCATAACTTTCGCGTCCTGTTCAATCACCAGCATCGCCGCATCTCCTATGTCACTTCAAGATCCATCGGTTCCACTGCAACCTTCGGTATGGAGATGACCATACCCCCGCGGCACCATGGGCCGTCGACATACCGCTACACCTGGGATGCAAATGGAGCGGTTACACAGGTAACAAGGTCTGTTGCAGCACAGTAAACACATATCTTCTTATCTTCTCCGGGTTACAGGCAGCATCTAACTTTATCTCAGAGTCAATAGCGAACAACCACCCGATCAGGAGATGCATGAGAGAGGGAGAGACAGAGATTCGGTTCAATGGCCATTTCAGAGCATTACAACCACTGATAGCACTGAACTACCCAGTTCGATTTCCACAGTGGTAGATCGCCTTCCCCAGCGTGGATCAACGCGGTCTTCTCGACACCAACAGCAAGATCAGCAAGATCAGTTCCGGCAGTCACTCCATAGTCAGTATCTTCACCCACAGTGGCAGCAGTCTCTTCGATTTGGTCGCACAGAAGTGAGCTCGCTCAGCTCAAACCCGAGGTTCCATATTGGCGAAGCCGGCGAGATTGCTGAAAATGGCGAATACAACACCCTTGCGAGTGATATCGTCCCGGACTACATCATCAACTACTTGCGTGGCGAAACACCCGAATCTATAGCTCAGCGTCGAAATTGTCAGACTGCCGTGACCACGATCCAAGCCGATCATCTGGCTGAACAGGAACCCAAATCTCAGAGTCAACCCCAACAAGAAGGTTTCCAGGTTGCCGACGCGATGGTAGAAAACCCGTATGCGGACCGGCACCGATCGAGGGTCGCAGACTTTGTGGGGTTTGATGTTGGAAGCACCCAGACAGGGCACGAATATGGAGGTGAAGTTCTTGCTGGAGCGGACAGTGGTCGCGATGGAGATGAAACAGAGTTGTTCCTAAGGAGAGACCAGCGAGGAGCGCAATGGGGCCGACAACAGAAAATCATCGAGAAAGAGAAGCACCTAGACTGGGGGAGAGGAAGCTCAAAGCGGAAGTTAAGTCAGGGTTGGCGAGCTGGTGTCGTAGTGATTGTGGCTACCATGTTTGTACTTTTGATCGCCGCGTTTATGTGTCTGGCTGTCGCGATATCAGACGAAGGACGCTCGGATGGGAGATGGGCCATATTCCAGGGATCTTGCGAAGCCGCAGCACGTTTTGATTGGGGTTTACATGCGATCATCAACGTTGTTGCCATGATCTTTCTTTCGGGTGCAAACTATGTCTTTCAAGCGCTCACCAGCCCGACAAGGGATGAGGTTAATGCAGCCCACGTCCGAGGGAGATGGCTTGACATCGGGATACCTTCGTTTCGCAACCTGAAGTATATCGGTCGTAGAAGAGCCGCTGTGGCTTCCGTGGTGCTGAGCGTCGCCTTCGTGACGCATATGATGTAGGTTTTTAACTTCCTCATGTGGACAAAGATGCTAACAGTCTCCAGATATAATGCCGTAATCTATGTCTCGCGAACGGCTCCTAACTTTACAGCCGCCCTCGTCAGCACGCAGTTCGTGGAGGGAGCACCCTTTAGCAATGCAAGCGCATTCAATGCAGCCGGACTGAGTCGCTTAGAACTCCTAGAACTTCAGCGGGAATCGATGGCTAATAAACTGATTCACCTCGCTCCAAGCACGTGTATCAAGGACTTTTCCGGACCCTTTACAACGAGTTACTCGACCGTTCTTTTTGTTACTTTTTCTGAGCCCATGCCTCCCGTTTTAAATCAGACAACGAGAGGAGTCAACTTCACCTCGATCAATGACTTTATCCCACCCGAGCTATCGCTTCTGTTTTGTCTTGTCAAACCCGCCTCGGACTTGACTTCGACATGCGAGATCAACATCAACCCTCACCTCCTAGCGGTGGTCGCCCTTCTCAAGGCGATCGCTTTTGTCGCCATCACATCCATGATCTTCGTGTATTCGTTCCGTCCGCTTGCAACTCTTGGGGACACCATCGCTTCGTTTCTCCAAGATCCTGATCCGACTACCCAGGGGACCTGTCTCCTTTCAAAAGCTGACGTTTGTAGTGGCGGCTGGCCGCTTATTGCTCTACAGGCCAGGTACTGGGTTCCCCACACCCATTTCTGGCTGCGCAGCGTCTCCCTACCTCGTTGGCTCGCCTCTATCGCAATCTGGATCCCATGCGTCGGTCTCGCGGCAGTGGGCTTGATCATCACCTTGACAAGCAATCCTGGCTCCCGCTTAAGTGATACTTTTTCCGGTGCAGCAACCTCTTCGCCATACAATTTAGTCTTGGGCTTGAGCAGTGTCATTCCAGTCGCAGCAGCAGCTTTCCTCGTCAGCCTGCCACATCTCCTGCTCGGGATGCTCTACCTTGCTACGAACGCACTTCTGACAACCTTCTATTTCTCTCATGAGTCGTCTCTTTTCGCAACAACTCCTCCACGCCCGCTTCGCGTCTCAGCCGCTGTCCCTGAGGGCGCGCAGACGCCCTCCGGACTTCTGCGGCTTACCCTACCACGAAGGGTATCAAGTGTGCTGATGGTAGTTTTCATGGTCATGGGGTTCCTGCTCAGCAGAGGCTTCTGGGCCATCGGCGTGCGATTTGTCGACCCCAACATCATGGACAACTCAAATTCTGTGACAACTCGTTCCGCAATAGGCCTCTCTCCTGCCCCGCTACTCACCCTTCTCACGTTTTTGCTTATCCTTGCGTTTACGATCCTTGGTTTCGGTCTGCGCCGCGCCCCCTCTGTGGGAGCCGGCGGCAACCCTATGGCCCTTGCCGGAGGATCGTGCAGCGCGGTGATCAGTGCGCGATGCCATCCGCTTGCCAGGGAGCGGGACGGGCTGTGGTTGAAACCGGTTATGTGGGGAGTTGTTAGGGAGGGGAATCTGCCCTCTTCGGGGACCGCGACGAGGAACACGAGTGGAAGTTGGGGATGGGGTGGGGTGGCCGTCAGCCATTGTGGGTTTACGGCTGGGAGGGCTGGGGTGGTGGAGCCTGGGAGGGAGTATGCTTAACGAGATTGGTGCTTAAATTCTGGTTATTCGTGGTATATTCTGGCTATTCATCATCCGTTTGGATCGATTTTGTTTGATTTGCGTGCTGTCTTCTAGTTTTGGATACCCGTTTGCAGGTAGTTAGGTGGTGAGAGACCACTCAGGAACCCCCAAGCACATAGCACCTGCTTGAGACTTTGGTTGGATACCTCTACTGTAAAGAATAACAACTGTTTTGATAACAATGATCACAGCTATGTAGGCTTTATGTGCCCAAGATTTGTTTGCTATGTCCTGCTCCCTGCGGCTAGGAGCCCTGGATGCACGTGTTCTTGGAATCTTGAGCCGGCCCGCGATGACCCACACCCCTTGTCTAGCTTCCGAGCGGGCCGGACGCCGAGACGGGATTGAGCAATTGCTCTGGACTCCACTCTGATGGGTAGGATTTAACGTCCTCCGTGTCATCGTCAGTCAAACACGAGATATTAGAAGCAGGATCACTCTACTTCGACCCCGTCTGACTCAGGGACAATCCTCTCCAAAAACATTAAAATACTTGGTGCGCATTATTTAATACCAAAAGCCGCATATGAGGATACAGCTCCAACCAAAGATGGTGCGTCTCCGTTGATCTCCACCCAGCAGTTTATAAGGATGGAAATGGGCTTCATTTTAAGCAAGGAGCTGACCATCTGTCTAGGTCCATGCTGATGCATCCAACTTCGCCGATGGCTTGACCAAGGAGCAGGCCTACCAGCAAGTTTTAGACCAAGCTGAGGGGTTATTTTATGGCCAGAGGAATTGGGTATGTAAGTCAAGTTTGTAAAGACCTGATCCTTGACGAGGGCTTGACGGATACTACATGCCCACAGAAGTCGGCACCTTGTTGAGGATTGTTGCTAACTATCTGATTTTCCTTTCCTGAGCAGGTCTGGTAAGTCAGCACTTAAATCTCTGACATATCTCAGGAGACATCTTTTTGACTTGACTTGCTAACATATCGTCTTCGTAGTAACCTTTCCAACGCAGCATCCCTCCTCTGGCATGCTTACAAAGCCCTCCCATCTCCGAGTAACCGTGTCAATTGGGCCGGTATGTGCTGTGATATCCAATCGTTAATTACCATCATAGTTCCACTTTCAACTAACCCTAACCTTAGGCTTCTACACCCTCGACCCACTTTCCTCGCCAACCTCTCCCTCCCTGATCTTGGCCCCCTTCCAAGGCAAAGTAGCCTGCCAAACTATCCCCTTTGGCCGTGGAGTATGCGGGGCAGCTGCTGCCACAGCGCAAACACAGCTTGTCACCGATGTGGACGCATTTCCGGGCCACATTGCTTGCGACAGTGAGAGCAAGAGTGAGATAGTTGTGCCTATTGTTGTTGGAGGGGAAAAGAGGAGAGTAGTTGGGGTTATTGATGTTGATTGTGCTGAGAAGAATGGGTTCGATGAGACGGATCGTGTTTGGTTGGAAAAATTGGCAGAGTTGATTGCGAACGGGTGTGACTGGCCTTTTTAAGATGAGTAGGAGTATTGCGTAGTCAGTTGAGATCTTCTAAGTTTTTACTTTGCATCCACATTCTATATCCACGTTAATGGTTCAGAGGGATCTGCAGACGCGATGTCAAACACATCTCTAACCTCTTCTCTTATTTAATGAAATGCCAGTGTTTAACTCTAATTGACCCCATATCTTTCCAAATTTCCTGAGGAATTCAAAGCTTCCAGAAGAGGACATGGAAGCTATGTTCACTGATCGAGTCCGAAAACATTTCAATCCCGTTTCACTATTGAAATCATAGGCATCGACCTAGAAGTAGCTTATTATTTGTTTGTTCATATTAGGAGGCAATGCCTGCGTACAATGGCTGTTTGCCTAGGGCCTGAGAACATTTCTCTACGCAGGTAACGACGACTTTCCCTTAAGAAGGTAATCGCTACGGAACAGCAACACCAATACACCCTTGGACGCCAAGATGGGAGAGCTCACTTCTATGCTTGAGCACGGGAAGCCAATCGTCTCAAGGAACCCTGTATCCTGCTTCCTTTCGTTGACCGACTGCCGAACCTAGACACGGCGCTGAAGGCAACTGGCTAGCTATGAGGCCGGTGCGTACCAAACTCTTGGGCCCGGCCCGGGTCGGGGATCACCCATAGACGGCCGGCTGTTCATGGAATAACCAAGGTCCAAGCCCGGGCTTTTTGCCCACAATTGCAGAGCCGACATCGTCCCGGCCACACCCACGCTGAGCAGCAAGACCACCACGGCCGTGACCACAAGCGGGCCCTTGGTAACAGTGACGACCCCCAAGCTGACCATGACGTTAGAATCGGCCGAACAAATCTGGCTGCTGGCCCACAGAAGGTCTAGCCGCCAGGCGAGTGCCATCAGTCGTTAATCAGATCAGGCGAGGGCTGCCACTCTGAAGGGAGGATTTTTGTGACTATAGATCGCTGTTGTTAGTAAGAGTTAGGATGGAGGATGGAGCTTCATGAAAGTTGAGGCCGAAGGACTCGCATTTTGTGCTCACTCGGGGGAGAGGGCGGGCGCTAGGCGGGAATGACACAAGACAGTTTGGAAAAATTTTTGTTGCCCGATTCTGTAATGCAAGTGTTGCCAAACCCGGCACTGAGCTACCAAGAAGAAGTATAATCGTTGCTGTTGAATCAGTTGTCAATTTGGTTCTATCTTGGAGACACATCAGCAGCGAGATTGAGATGGGTATGAAGTGTATGAAAGGAAAGAACATTAGTAAGGTTTTCAACAGAAGCTGCTGGCATGAGTGCTTCGTAAAGTCGTTGTATGTCTTTTCAAGAGTTCGCATGTTTCCTACACACTTAAAGCTCCTGAGCACCACATGCATGGGAGATTGCGACAAACCTATCCTTAGGTTAACTGAATTTGGGGAGATGATCTTTGCTGGATAGGTTTCATTTTTTGACCTCTTTAGTTCGATGTCTGCTTAGAGTCGTCGAGGTTTGAAAACAAAGCATTGTTGCCGTTATAATCAGATACAAATCCACATTGGCTCGACACAGGATCCGATAATTGAAAATCGGTAGTGATATATCGGATGCAAGATCGAGTGAACAATGAAATGCATGTAGGGGGAAATACCCTGCCGGAAGAACTCAGTCGCCTGCTCTGGTCCAAAGCTATGATCCCCATGGAGGAAGTGTAACCACTTTTCAGTATGATCACCACAGCAAAACAACTCCAAGCTACCTAAAACTGAAATGCACAGGAAAGTTTAACTCTATTCGATGCCAGAAATGCAGGAAATGACACAAACGGATCGGAAGACGCCTACTTCTACTGCTGAACAAGCTGCACGTAACTTGCTGGCACACTCTTTACAGCACCTCCTTTCTCAACTTCGACCCAACCATCTCCTGGGTCATCCTTTACCAACACAAACCGTTCACCTTCCACCATACTATGCTCGGCATCACTTTGTGCAGTGTAATCGTACAACGCTTCGACATAGCGTAATTTCTTAGCACCACGTCGGGGCGCCACCGCTGGTCCTTTCTTCTTAGCAGTTGTTGTCGTGGTTGATATTGACGCTCCCCCGACGGATGACCCGCTGTTCGTAGAGAAGGTTGACTGGCCTGTATGTTGTGGGGCAAGGCCTGTGCTAGTTGGACCGGAAGATGGAAGTATCTCGATGTAGCTGGCCGGAACAAGGCCTTCTTTGTAGCCAGCCCGAACTTTGACCCAGCCGGAGCCGTCTGGAACATGCGTTAAATCGGTTTTGTGGGTTAGTAAAGCGGATGGTTACTTACTGTCAGGTTCCAAGATTACTAGTTCCCTACCCTCTGGCACTGTCAGCTCCCCAGGCCCGGCTGCCTCAAAATGATAGAGCATCTTGGCCTTCTGTTGCTCTTGCTGTGGTGACCCATTTGGTAGGCTGCCTGGCAGCTCGCTGATGTAATGCGTAGGCGGAGGTGCGACGATACGATTTCTCTTCACACCTGTGGATGAAGAGGTTGTGCTTGTGGGCCGAGTAGAGGTTGGGACTTCTGGGGCGGTTTCTTCTGACTGCTGGACGCTAGGGGCATACCCAGACACCCGCGAGCTTACAGTGTCTGACCTACTAAGCTCGCTGCCGGGGAGCTCGGCGATATGTTCAGGCGGGCCCGATGGTGGCATGAGCAGCTTGTTGGCTGCTTCTTGACGTTCCTGTTTCAGCTTCTTGCGCTCATCCTTGGATAGTTCGCCAGGACAGTCCGCCGGGACCTTCATTTCGCATTTGCTATGGCACGTATATCCGCAGTCCCGGCAGTCGAACCCTTTTGCCGACAAACCCCATATCCTTTCACCGCATAGGTCGCAATTTGTTGGGATCTTGAAGGTCTGTGCCTTAAAGTTGTGGTTCTTGGCCCCGATTGTTACGTCGCCCACCGCAGAAGTAATCGTTGTTGTTTCAACCTCGGCTGTAAGCCGCTTGCGGTCAATCTGGTGCAGCTCCTCCTGTATCCCGAAAATCTGCCAAATCAGAGCAATCTCGTCCTTGTCCTCCTCACCGCCCCGAACCTTCTGCTTTGTACGCTTTAGAGCCTCGACTTCTCGCCTCTTTTTGTCTGCTTCGCGTCGCAATTCCCCAAGCTGGCTCTTTGATTTGTTGAGCATGTTGCGCAAGTAAATCTTTGCTGCCTCATCCACGATCATGGACTCATCGTCGTGCCAAATCGGACTGGGCTCAAAGACCTTATCCGGCGGCTCCTGGAAGCTGCCCATGTTGTGGCGGATGTACATCATCGAGTCCAAGTGTGGTAGGTTCCTCTGAATCTCCTGAGTCAAGTTGTCGACCTGGGCAACACTCTGCTGGAGCATGGCGCTCTCCATCTGCGAGGCCAGTGTCCATAGCCCGTTCAGTTTATGGGTACGCAGCTCGGAGAGATCTTGGAGACTATCCATCAGCTCGGGCAGATATTCGTGGTAATACTTCTCTTTGTGCTTGTTTGTTACGTTGATCGAGATCAAATAGGTATTCTTGACATTGTTCATTTCCAGGATCTGCTGCTGGAAAGCGCTCTGCGCCTTGTTCTTGTCGAAGGCCGACTCGGCCTTCTTACGCTTGGCTTCTACTTCCTGGCAAGCGGCATCGTACTTTGCCTTGACCTTCCGAAGATCGGCGTACGCTGCATCCCGCTCCCGCTCAAGCTTCTCGGCATACTCGGCATGGCGCTTGCGTAGCTCCTCAAATCTGGAGGCCATCTGCTTCAGCGGCTCCGCAATCTTCCCAATCAAGTCGTTCGCATAGCGTTCGTGCTCGCTCGCGCGTGCTTCCAATGTGGTAAGGTGCGTGGTCCATGTGGTCAAGGAGGCGCTGCGAGCATCAGGGTAGCGTGTAAGCATGAAGCGAACCAGGCACTGCGAGCAGCACGGCACCAAGGGAGGATGATGCCCGGGACTACTGGAAAGCGCACCTCTCGAGCGAGCCGGGGGTCAAAGTCGGAGTATCGCCCACACTTAAACTGGCCGACTTGCGCGCCTTCTTATCGAAGTACTTCTTTGCCAGCGCATTGAGCTTCGCGCTGTACTCCTTCTCGATTACACTGCGTTCGCGGTAGAAGGCTTGGATGTCGTCGAGCCAGGCAATACCGTTAGCGACCCATACGTTCGCGGGTTTGAAGCCATCCTGTAACCTGCCTGTCAGTCACCCACTGCATGTGAACAAGAGATGACGCCGGACTCGAGATGCAAATGTCCCTGACCTTGCACTCAGACCCCAGGGTTGGGATGACGTCCACTTCAGCCATGGTTCCCGCACCCTCTCAACGTTCTCGATTCTTGGGCTCTAAGCATGAAAGGTAAAAGAAGTTGAATAACCATGCGAAGAAGTCGTCGTCCAACGATACGGTGGTCAGTCGGGCAGTTTCAAATTCCAGGCTGGCCGTTGGCGGGGATCGAAACACAGTGGCACGGTAAGCAGGAGTTGAGCAGATGAGAGGCCAGCTACAGCTTGCCACTTTAGCGCGCCCACTCCCCTGTAATTGGCGGGAAGGAGGCTAAATGCAGCCCCGTTAGCGATGCATGGAAGGATGCCGAGACCATCCTTCATTACGGTTCTCACGGACTGCGCAGCCGAGAATCCGCACACAAATGGCCAATTAAAGATAGTTCCCACGAGATTCTATGGCATTGTTTTTGTCACCAAGTTCTAGCCATGTGAACAGCATGCCACATTGTTGAACCATTAGAGCTCCCATAACTGTATATGGGACATAAATACACACTTGATACGTTCGTTTGTAAAATACGGGCAGATGGGTGGAGACTGTTGCTGGACCTGTCACCAATCAGGTGCCCAGTGAACAGCATTCGGCGAGCACAGACCATATGGTACCCCGCCGAAGACCTTCAGCGGGCTCTGGCCACGCGCACCAGCCCCACCATCAAGGACCTCGAACTGCTGGTCTCGGGCCCGAGTGTTTGCGACAGCAGCCTTAGGAACAGCCCAGAGAAGCGGAATCGCGCCTCTCTTAATATTCGACCGAGTCGCCAGCCGGACTGCGGCCGACTATACTTTTTTGTCTTTGATTTTTGTAAGTTTTAGTCATTATTGCCATCCTTTCACGGGCAGACTCGGCCCACCGTCCGACTGTTTGGGCTTTGGCACATGCCTTGCGTGGCTGACACCAGGCTGATGGCCTTGTGATGGTTGAGCTGCTGTATGCTTGCAAATCAGCCGGCTTTCCCTTTGTTCAAAGACGAATCTGCTCCTGGGACAAAAATAAGGATAAAAGTAAGGCTTGTATCTGACACTTCAGCTCTCTAGCGCTTCCTCAGCTCTCAACGACCGACTTCGAAACAATGGCCGACCTTGCCAGTCGCATCACCAAGCCCGGCGACGCACCGGCAGCGGATCAGCCTGCCGATGCCCCTCAGGGTAATGGCAATGGCAATGAGGTCCCGGTGGATGACGGCGCGAATACCGGTCTGGTCGACTCGACGTACGACGTCGAAGTGAAGCTGAGCGACCTTCAGGACACCGACAATCCTCTTTCCTCCAAGATTTCCTCTTTCGAAGAGCTGGGCCTGCGCAAGGAACTCAACGAGGGCCTCTTGGCCATGAACTTCAAGAAGCCTTCAAAGATCCAGGAGCGCGCGCTCCCGCTCATGCTTGCCAACCCTCCGCGAAACATGATTGCCCAGTCGCAGTCGGGTACCGGCAAGACTGCCGCTTTCGTACTCACCGTCTTGTCGCGCGTCGACTTCACTAAACCCACGCAGCCCCAAGCTCTGTTGCTAGCGCCTAGCCGTGAGCTTGCGCGCCAGATTCAGACCGTCATTCAGCAGATTGGCCAGTTTATCAAGGACCTGGTCACGGAAGCCGCTATTCCTGGCAACGTTTCGCGTGAGACCGGTGTCCGTGCCAGCGTCGTTACTGGCACACCTGGCACAGTAACGGATCTCATTCGACAGCGGAAGTTTGACGTCTCTCAGTTAAAGGTCCTCGTTATTGACGAGGCAGACAACATGCTTGACAAGCAGGGTTTGGGTGACCAATGCGTTCGTGTCAAGATGTACGTTTCACCAAGAAAAGTGTTTTCTTCGATCACTAATACCCGTAAAGGATGCTGCCCAAGAACATTCAGATTCTTCTGTTCTCAGCCACTTTTCCAGAGAAAGTTATGAACTACGCGAGGAAATTTGCGCCGAATGCCAACGAAATTAAGCTGAGGCACCAGGAGCTTACTGTCAAGGGTATCTCTCAGATGTACATGGACTGCCCTGATGAAAGCAAGAAATACGACATCTTATGTCAGCTTTATGGCCTGATGACTATCGGCTCATCTGTCATATTCGTCAAGGTACGCAGTTCCAATGTTGAGAAGCATACGGGAGCTTTTCTAACAGTTTCCCGTTTGTAGACCCGGGAGTCTGCCAACGAGATCCAGCGCCGCATGGAGGCCGACGGCCACAAGGTCTCTGTGTTGCACGGTGCTCATGAAGGTCAGAATCGCGATGCCCTTTTGGAGGACTTTAGGACTGGGCGGTCCAAGGTTCTCATCACTACCAACGTTCTGGCCCGTGGTATTGACGTCTCGAGTGTGTCGATGGTTATCAACTACGACATTCCCATGAAGGGCCCCGGTGATAGGGAGCCTGATTGCGAAACCTACCTTCACCGCATTGGCCGTACGGGTCGCTTCGGTCGTGTCGGTGTCAGTATCAGCTTTGTCTACGATCGCAAGAGCTTTGAGGCTCTTTCTTACATTGCCAATTACTACGGCATTGACCTCATTCAGCTCAGCCCAGACGATTGGGATGCCACGGAGAAGAAAGTCCAGGAAGTCATCAAGTCGGCCCGCGCGCGCCCGGAGTATAAGCCCGCCAGCGAAGCTACGTGCTAGACTTTTGGCACTGTGGCGCATCAGGGTTAGACACGAGGAAGGACATAGATTTAATGATCTCATGTTCTTCCGGAGTAGCTTTTATCCAACAGGGCAAATGGAGTGCCTGTTGTGGTCCCAGCTATGTCCATGAAGGTCGTGAATTTTCAGTCATGAATGATGGTCATCTTGATGGCAAAGCTTGGAATGCAGGAATCGATGGAAGAGAAGCTTCCTTTTGAGAAGGGATATTTCGCAAAAAACTGAGATGGCCTGTTACCGGGAAGGACGGAGATTCTTGATACACCTACTTAGGCAGACACCAAAATGAGACACTAAGCAATGACTGACTGCCGAGATAATGTATGTACCATATACTGCGAGGTTAACAAGTCGCTTGCTAGGCGCTTGATTAGCCTGATAGCGCGTTTCTGTGGTGCCATTAAGCGCGTCTGGCCGTGGACCTGAGGAACACAGCGTCTTCACGTGTATCACAAAATGCTGGAGTGCATACGGTTTCGGCATCCTTTGTGACTGTTCCTGGGCGCTTGCGCAGGTCTGGTGTGGGTTTGAGCTGCAAGTCTGTCCTGCGAAACCCACCTCTCTGTTCCAATACCCGCGCTTCAGCCTTACAGACCATTGCTTCTACGCGGTCGGGCAAAAGCCACGCGGGAATTGTGCAGACAGATACTTGGACCACCATCAATACACATGTCATCTGAGTTGGCACATGTGCTGCAGAACTTTTGCTACTTCGACAAAAGTACCCTCGTTGCTTTTCACCCACGTTAGTCACCTTGTTTAGCTGAAAACCGACCCTGCATGCATTTTGATAACACGCTGTACGTATACAGTGGTTGAGTCATCAAACTTGCATCCGCAAGGCCAGGCAAAGCTTTCTGGCTGTAGCTTTTTGCTGTTGGTCAGTTGGAGGGGTGGCAGGACACCGCAGTCGTTGTGGAACTTTGACCTTCTGTGATCTCATTGGCCGATGAAAGGGATGCCATATCACGTGACTGTATAGTCGATGAAACTCTATTGGTTCAAGTTCCAGAACCAACCTGGCCGCGTCTCCACAGACCCAAATTTAGACCTTAGACGCCGACCAGCAGATGCTTCGGACTTGCACGCGCGCGCGCAACCCAAGCTTTGATGGGATCTGGCCATTCGGGCACGCATTTCGAGGTGGCATTTTCTCGACCAGCCAGTCGTCCGAGCTTTCTCGCATGCAGGAACCATAGCGAAGCTTCTAAAGTCTTTGCTAAGCTGCAAGAGGCTCGAAATTTACTGATTACTTTGTGTACGTACACAAGGTCTTGGGTGCTCTGTTGATAGGTTTTACTCAACCGCCACCATAGCAACCCTTTTCAGGTTATCTTCGGCTACCTACATGCGCAATTATGCATACACACTTTAACTCTTTGGTCCCATCCCAATGGAGCCAGCCATGGTGTCTGCCAATTCCATCTGAAATGTTTCCTCCTGGCCAATGAGAGGGTCAAGTTACGCAGATCTGCTGCTGCGTGCTGCGCGATCGGATCCTGCCCACCCCTCCTCCAGTGTCCAGACCCACAACGGTAACCTTGTTGCTGAAGAGGCAGCATGTCAAGTCGACTTCTGCGGCCCGTCAGTGACCCTGGTGTTGTCCTCGGGTCTCCTACCAGGGGTTGTGACTGGATAGACGCTTCCCCGTGGCCGAGCACGAAGGCAGTGTACACGGTGTGTGGCGGAAGACAATCGGATTGGATGTCGTGTGGTCGCTACAACAGAAACCGCCTCATTTACCGCAGGCTGTGCTATCTCGCTCCATAGCGGCGGCAAGAAGGGGGAGTGAAGATGATCTAATGAGTGCGCCACGGCCACATCAACTGGTCTATCTGCTTCCCCTTTCTTTCCCTCCCATCCCAACCACCATTCAGTCATTCAGCTCTCAGCTTTTCGTCTGTTCAGTCGTTTGCTTCCTGTTGTGCTATCGTCTGGTCGTCTCCGATTCGACATCGTCGGGTGTTGATCCCATTGTTGTTGTGAGACATCGAATGAGCTATTGATTATTCTCGGGCTTGTGGTTGCCGTGCCTTGGCTCCAGCTTCGATCCCTTATACTTTCGTTCAATTCAATTTCCGACCTGCTCGTAGACTTCAGCATACTATCAGAGGTGCTGGTCACCTCTCCGTTAATGTTTAGTCTCTAGTCTGCGACATCACTAAGTTGGCCACCTTCGCCGTTCTTTCTACCTGACTATTTCCCTCAAGCCCAAGCGCCGAGGGCACCCGGTGGTCAATCTCGTCACAGATCAGATCCGACCTTGGCAAATCCGCCACAGCTACCGCCTCTTCCTCCTTTCATCTTACATTTCCCAAGCTCGTGAAGTTCAGGCTGCTCTACTGCTCTGCTGCTCTACAGCAGATGGACTAGATTCGCGCTGAGGTACGAGCGAAGATTCTTCTCCACGAGGCTCAACAGTCCTCGCCCTTGACTCCGGTCTCCGATTGTTGACATCCCATACCAGATGTCGCACTGGAGGATGGCGTCCTGGTTCTTCCTTCTGTGCCTTGCGATATGGACGGTAACTCCTGCCGTTGCAATCGCCACGAACACCGATATTCCCGATGAGGTTGTCGACTCTATCCCGACATGTGCCAGAGCTTGCTTCAGGTCCTACATTTCTGACAACTTCAATGCCGACGGGTGTGGAAACACCCTAAGCTTATCTTGTCTTTGCCGGCAGCGTGCGCAGTCGGGATACACCGTCGGTGAAGCAGCCGTCTCGTGTATCGTAGGCGAGACCAAGTTCGGCGCATGTAAAGGCCAAGATACTGGTGAGTATTTTTCCGCTTTTTGAAGATAAATACCGTGCTAAACTGTCTTGCAGAAAGCGCCACAAAGGCTGCTTACAGGATGTGCGCAGGAGTTACAAATGCAGCATCCCCAACTCGTGGTACTATTGCTGCTACGCTTCTCTCAACAGGAACAGTGTCTTCGACTCTTCCTACTATCATCGCTAGTTCCATCACAACAGGGACGATCACCTTATCACGAACGACGTCACTGTCAACTACAACAACCTCGGCTATCACTCAAGAAACGTCATCTACAGCTACTCAGTCTTCAGCAGCGTCCTCTTCTGAACCAACATGGGCAACGCTTCCTCCATCCGACGGTACGGAAGAGAATGAGGAAGAGGAGTCGAGCAACAGCTCGAAACTCAGCAGCAAGCAGGTTGTAGGGATTGTTTTTGGATGTGTCGCCGTAGTGATTTTCGGTATTTTGATGGTACTCCTCGCTCGATGCGTCAGACAGAAGAGAATGGGCGATCTCGAGGCCGCCTACAACACAGGCTTCGCCAAGCTCAGGGAATCTGTCAGTATGAAGAGAAAAATTAGTACTAGCACAACTCCTAATCTCCCTCCGCTCGAAATTTCCAGTCCAATACCCCGCATCAGGACGCCGAGGAATACGGACAACAGTCTTCCATGGCACACAAATGCTGGCCTTGGTGTTGCCACGATCAGTTCAAACCCGGTGCCGAAACCGCCGTCAGCCACGAATTCTCATTCTGGCAGTCCTGCTCCTGCGACTACAATCCAGGCAGTATCAGCCACAGCTGCCACGGGTGAAGAAGATGCCCGCAAGATTCCCCAAATCATGCTCAGCTCTGCAACCTCTTCGCCCAGCATCAAGGAGAGAAGGCAAAGTCCTCCTAAGCCGACACTAACCATTAACATCCCGAAAGTGTCAACCTCAAACCCAGCTATGCGCATCCCAGACAACAAACGCGAGAGCGTGGTGACCGAATTTGCTGAAGACGGAGAGGATCTTCCCCCTGGAACTCCTATCTGGCGGCCACCCGTGACGGATCCTCAATCGGCAACGACTTTTTATTTTGCTGACAAGGCAGGAAATTGGGTTCTTCGCCACACATCTAACCGGCAGAAGATGGAGAACAATGATGACCGGTCGAGAAGGCCCCCGGTGCCTCGTAAGAACACATCCCCTAAAGCTGGTGCCTCACAGCGGCCTTTGGTTGGACTTCCTGGCCAGAACCAGCCAACAGAAATGGGTAGTACAAATGTCCATCAAGACTTTTCTCCTCCCAGCGCTGCCCCTTCTCCGCTCAGGGTTCCGAGCAAACTTGGCAAGGGTAAACTCGGCTCACCTATCGCTTTCAAAGACCAACGCCGAAAAACAACGCTGTCTAGCCCGGATCCATCTCTAAGGTTGTCACAGACAGCCGAGACACTCGAGTCTCCACCTCCGGTCAACAACAGCAGCAACAATAACGGTCTTGGTTTGATGGGCGAGGGAAGGAGCTTGACGCGAGGTGAATCACAGCAGCGTCCGCGAGCAGCTCGTCGGGTTTCTGAGTCTTCCGCAACGTCTATTGAATCAGCTGCGGCAGAGGACATCGTTGGAGATGGTCGTCAAGATGGTCAGGGTTTGTCGCCCGTGGTAGAGGCTGAATCACCGAAGACACCAATTTCGCCTGGCAAGTCTCCCGTGAAGTACCCAAAGATCCCGAAGCCCAGCAACAATGGGGTTGCATCGGGGCAGGACTTCACCCCAGCTGTCAAGCAATATAGCTGGACTGCTTGGAATCCTTCAAAGCATCCTAACGCGATCGGAAACGGCGTGCTGCTCAAGCATAGAAGGAATCTGTCGTCTGCGAAGCCAGATGATTCTTCTAATTGGCCGTGGAACGCTCCTGAACCCGGTCCTGCGTGCAGCCGCAAGACTTCCCACCAATGGATGGCCTCTCGGGACAACAAAAAGCAGTGGCAGAATCATTCCACTCTGGAGCAACAGTATTGGGAGCATCAGCGGCAGATCGGCAATCCTGCTTCCTACTGGAACCAGGAAACCCATTCTACTCGCCGTTATGATGGCCCTGAACAGCGACAGCCGACACCTCCCAGGCAGCAACGGGACAGGACCCCGCCGCCACCGCAGCAAGACCAACAACAACCGTTCTATCGGCCATATCAATCATATCACTACTCATCAGAGACTCAGCACCATGACAAGCTCCAGCACCAGCTGCAACGCTTCCCCGTTCGCCCAGCCCAACTTCCGACCCCGGCTCCAACCCCTCAGATGTCTATGGCGTCTTCTCCCGCCTTGTCATCCATCAAGCTCCGCGAAAGAGACATCACCCCGAACACCATGACCACAGCGATCTCCACAAGTCCCAGGGCCACTCCCTCCCCGAAGGCCTCGACAGCGCAAACCAGCCCGGCGGCGAGCTCTCTCCTCGCCAAGCGACGTGGTGCCGAGAAGGCAGCCGCCCTGACGCTCTACAGCAACGGCGGCAGGAACAGTAGTTCCGAGAGCGTTACCGGCAAGCGGACCAAGTGGGTTAAGGAAGGGTCATCTCCTTCTAGCCAAAAGCAGCCGTCTTCGGCTCCAGCAATCTCTCTGTTATCAGGAGGAGGTGCCACTGAGTCGGTGATGGTCGTTTCTCCGCTATCTGAGCCGGATCATGGTCTATACGGCCCGGTGCCAATTACTCCTGGCTGGGTGCCGGAGCTGACGCCGACAAGGAGGGGCGACGATTTGGTGTTGGATGTGAAATAAATTGTATTCATCTATTCATTGTGTATTCTTCCACTCATTTATTGGTTTTTGCTGTTTCAAGATTTTGGGTTTTGGAAATTGTTCGGACTTGGAAGACACGACCTCAGGGGACCCCAAGAACATACACTGCCTGCCATCAGAGCATCGGATCTTTTTCTTTTCTTTTTTTTGACAGAAGAGAAGAGGACAAGACATGGTATAAGAAGAAAAAGAAGAGTTGAGTGAAAAAGGCGAAAGCATACACTGGCGTTGGAGCGTTTTTGGAGCTTGCATGAACAGATGATCGTCATATGTGCCACTACACTGGCAGATTTTCGACTGATAGAGACTTGTAATTATTTGAGTACTGTGTATTCTAGAATTCGATTCTTAAAAACAATGCAGCCATCTAGAGTGGTTGTTATAAAAAGTTTCTATCTGAGGTCCCCGATCAGGATGTTGACATTGACCTGGTGGTGCTAGTCCTAGGGTTGAATACAGGACTTCGGGGGTCCAGAAGAACGAGTATTCGGAGATTTTCCGGAGACTGCCACCACAAGTTCGGTAAGTTACGGTATGAAATACACACTGCTGCCCCGCCATGTTACGAATCTTTCAAGGAGGGGTTTACATCCGACAAAAATTCTGTCGCTAGATCTGTTCAGAAAAAGACATCACAGCCACAACCTACAACGCTGTGCGCTTCACGTGATGTCGTATCAACACAATAGAGACAACTAAAATCACAGAGATGAAATGAAATGGGTCAGCGAAGGAACAACTCCGGCCCCAAGAGCGCGAATGCGAGCCTGCCCCAAAAAGTTCTGCGAGCGTATTTCTAATCAAGACGCAGGGGTCCCGCGTCACGCCAACACCCATGCACTGACACGCAGTAACCCATTTGCACCGGCGTTATGAACTTTCCCGCAAGGACAAAGTGCGAGATGGAGATATTTCCCGCTGACCAGGCCCTTGGCAACCGATTTCTTAACAATTCCTGACCGATTTGTGGTTGGAGTCTGTTCCGTGACGCGAAGCGCCCAGCTCCACATGCGGACGGCAGCTCTGTAGCAGGCTGACAAAGGAAACCCAGCCAAACGGTTGTTAGGGCATGGGTATGGTTTTCAGAGACGGGCAAAAATTTTACCAAAAAAAAAAAAGATCGGATTGACAGAGAGAGCCCACCGTCCGTCCCGCCCGCTCAGGTCCCGGCTAGACGGTGCCTTCGTTGGCCCCGCTGTCGGAACCCTTTCTCCGTTTTGGGGAGGTGCCCGTTTCCCATTGTTCAGCGTCGCATCCCCTTGTTGCCCCCATATCCTGCGAAAATTTCCAGGCACCACCTCCTCCCAGATCTTGACGAACCATTTATTGGATGAGTCTGTGAAGTATATTACTAACCGACGCTTATTAGCGGGAGTCAGCGGCTTTTTGTTGATATTTATACCTGCTTTGTGCTGGGAGGTGAGACTGAAGAGCAGCAGGACGTCGCCAACGTCATCCGTCATCAAGTCAACAGAGACTCACCAAGCAAAAAACCCGCTTTCATTCCACGGCTCGACCCTGTGTTCACATCTGAATGGCGTTCCTTTCTTGGACACCACCAAGAAGCCCTCTACACATAACACGCCATCCCCGAAAGCCATCTAAGTTTGCAACTCATACGGCGACACGCATCGGTCTGGGTAACAATCTCAGCATCAAGGTGCTTGTTTAATGCGGCTTAACCCCCGCGTAACACGGGACTGGTTAGTTGGGAGACGGTGCGATTGCGTGCTCTGAATGACACCTTTACTCCAGCGGTTTGAGCTCGTCTTCTTTACCCTCTGATTCGGCATCTGCACGCCAAGACGCACCCAGCTGCGAGGCTTTGGCTGCTACCAGGGGGAGAGCTCTTAGACCTGAGAGGGGTTGTTTACGGAGTGCTACGCTGTTGTCGCCACTCACGCTGAACGAGTCGTCATCCACACTGTTGTGTCTCTGCCCTGGTGTTGACGAGCACCATAGCAAGAATTGGTAAAGCGTGAGCCCAAGTGCGTGGGAAGATTTGGGGAACTTGTGTGAGTAATAGAAGGAGAAGACCGAGAACGCGGTTAGGAAGTTTTGCCTAAGGAGGTTTCTAAGTCACTATCAGCCATCAGCCCTCTCCTTTCTCACGACATCCAGGTACCAATCCGGATTTTGTGGGAACATTGCTGCCACTATCATCATCGGTTATTCATCTTTGTCGCCACCAGCCTTGCTCTCTTAGTTAGCTGCCGAACAGTCGTTGGCAGTTTTGAAAGCTTCAGGATACGGTCCAAAGTTCACGGAGTCATCAATCAGCCTTAGATTCTACCGTTTGCAAAGCCACAGTCTTTCCGTTTCTTAACCATTCAGACAAGCCATCTGCCGCCGGATATCTTCCCAATATCGTCTACAAGTGGACAGCAGCAATAGCCCGTGTAACAAAGACGATCTGTTGACATCCATTCAGGGGTAACTGGCCACATAAGTTTACATAACAATGGGTCTCCTGTGCGTCTCCCCGCCCCCTATTCCGTCTGCCCGTTACATGCGCCGCGGTATCGCACGCTGCGCTGCAATCCATCTTGGTTATTTGTTCATGACGACATACTGATATTCTCCGTAAAGAGCACTTGGAACGGCCTTGGATTGGCCAGATGCCAAAAAGCAGGCCAATCTTGTCAGGTCATGGGGTATCAAGGTCCGTTCAGACTTTATGTTGTCCCTCCTGCCTTCCGTGAAGGCTGGGAAAGCGAATGATGCAATGGAGATCAGGCTGACACCGTTTCCGCAGCAACTTCTTGAGATATGGAACAAAGCCAAGGGCAAAGAGCGTGATGCGATGCTCTGGGGTGATGAGGTAATGTTCCTTGCTTCCCAACACAGATCGCTTGCCTGTGTCTAATTGCATTATAGGTTGAGTATCTGGTTGTGGTTTATTCTAAGGAAAGCCCCAAGGTGTTGTTATCCTTGAGGCAAGCAGACATTCTGAAAGCTCTGGAGAACATCAAAGATGTGCCCGAGAAAGCTGCGGATGGGCAGTCCACACGGTCACCCCCAGTCTTCCACCCTGAATTCGGCCGGTTTATGCTCGAGGCTACCCCTGGGAAGCCATGGGGAATCGAGTTCAGAGAACTACTGGAAGTCGAGCCGAACATGAAGGCCAGGAGGAGGATTGCCAAAGCACACATGTTGCCAAACGAGTATCCAATCACCCTAACGACCTTCCCGAGACTCGGTGTCCCGGGGGTCTTCACGGAACCGTTCTACCCAGTCTCAGGCCCCAAACTAAGGTCACAATTCGTCCCTGACGAGATCGCCAACCCTCACATTCGCTTCCCGACACTCGCTGCAAATATCAGGGCTCGCAGAGGCCGCAAGGTGCAGGTGAATGTGCCTGTCTTCCGCGATGAGAAGACACCTTGGCCATGGAAGGACCCGACTGTTAACTATGACTTGCACAATTGGCCCGAGGACGACGATGTACGCAACGGTGCGGCTCCGGATAACTATATTCATATGGATGCGATGGCTTTTGGTATGGGTAGCTGCTGCCTGCAGATCACTTTTCAGGCCAAGAACATTACCGAAGGTCGCCAGATGTACGACCAATTGAGCCCTCTGGGTCCCATCATGCTGGCCTTGACTGCTGCCACTCCTATTTACAAGGGATTTTTGGCCGATACAGATGTCAGGTGGAATCAGATCAGCAAAGCTGTTGATGACCGGACTCCTGAAGAGCTAGGCGAGAAGGTGTGCTTCTGTTCTTAATTGTTGGAATATCATAGCAGCTAACAGGTTCGACTAGCCCCTGAAGAATGACCGCTGGCGGATTCCCAAGTCTCGCTACGCCTCTAACTCGACATACATCTCTGAAGACCCGAGGCTGCGCCCCGAGTATCTGGATCCCGATCTCGTTATTGATGAGTCTATCAAGCAGCAGCTCCTGGACGGCGGCATGGACGACCGGCTGGCCACTCATTTCGCCCATCTTTTCATTCGTGATCCCATTGTCATCTTCTCTGAGGACCTCCAGGAACTCGACTTGACTAAGACAGACCATTTTGAGAACATTCAAAGCACAAACTGGCAGCACATGCGCTTCAAGCCCCCACCTGCCGACAATAATATCGGCTGGCGTGTCGAGTTCCGGCCCATGGAGATCCAAATCACCGACTTCGAGAACGCAGCCTTTGCTGTCTTCATCGTTCTTGTTACTCGTGTCATTCTCAGCTTTGGCCTTAACTTCTACATCCCTATCAGAAAGGTTGACGAGAACATGGAGACTGCTCATGCCCGCGACGCTGTGCTGACTCGCAGATTCCATTTCCGGCGCAACCTGTTCCCTCCCTCACGGCCATCTCGCTCGGCCTCCTCCCGGTCTGGTTCGGGAACCTCAACACCAATGTCTACGTCTTCTGGTTCGAGCACTCCCGCTGCTCCGGTTGAGTCTGAGTACCGCCTGATGACCATCAACGAGATCATCAACGGCACTGCCTACGCTCGGGCAAACTCTCAATACCAGAGACAGCAGCCTGACCTTCAACAAGACGACTACGACCACTCTGATTACCTTGAGGAGGAGGACTTCCCTGGTCTGATCCCCCTCGTTGAGTCATACCTCGACTCGGTCAATGTCGACGTTACGACCCGGTGCCAGCTGGCGCGGTACTTGGACCTGATTCGCAAGCGTGCCTCAGGAGAGCTGTGGACCGCGGCCCACTGGATCAGAGAGTTCGTGGCGAGACATCCAAGGTATGAAAAGGATAGTGTTGTTGGTGAAGAGATCGCAAAGGATCTTGTGGGAGCTGTTGTGGCTATAGGAGAGGGTAAGGGGGAGAGCGTGTGGGGAGTGGACAAGTTCTTGGGGAGGTTTGTTCCTAAGGATCCTATCCATTAAATTCTGGGGTTGTCTGAAGGTTTTTAATCGGGCTGCACGTTCACAATGTACTCTTGGAATGGTGGAAGACAGCTCTGGAACACTCTGACTTTAGACACCCGTCGCATTCAACTCAACCGAGGATATGACATGATGGATATCAACATCGTGTATGGGAAGGCGATCTGTTGCATAGAGCGGGTTGACAGCACTTTGCGAGTCTTGCTATTTCTAAGTTACTCTCTGCTAGTTCACAGCAACTCTCATGGTGTTTCATGCTTTGATGGTGTCCATTCACGAACTTGTCTGCACATGGATGGTTCGATTGTCCACTTTGTCAACTGTTCAATGGCATTTCTGTTCCATCACGGACTTCATGGCAGCTTCTCGAAGTTGCGGTGTGGTTCTTGACATTTCTCCATTTTATCTCCTGATTCCAACCTGACTGGTCTTTAAGGCTTACCTGATGTGTTCGGGTTTACCCCTCCTCAGCCTCCTCATTCTCGTCACCCAGTCTTTCTTTTCCCAGACAGGGCAGTCAGTATCTTAGGCCTTTCTTTACTTAATCTACGGGTTTCTTCCACTCTCTAGGATGTTCCCATTCAGACGAAGTGAGCTCAGTTAGGGTAATGAGTCAGAGTGAAGATGCTTCAACTTCAGCTCCTTGCATCCGACGACTCTTGTCAACTCAATAGGGTTACATGTCAGAAACAAGATAGCCAGTCAAAGTCATCAATTCTTTATCTTCAAAACCGTTGCTTAAAGCTCCCCCCCCTGCTCATCGTACGATTATAGCAGACCTGTCAGAAAACACGCTGTTGGAAATACTCTGGTAATTCTCATCCTTTGTAGGACTTTCTCCCTCACCTGCGTGCTATTGTCCCGTTTCGTCATCCTCACCGGGCAGGGACTTCGTAATGCTTACCAACCGGGCCGAGCGGCAGACCGGATGCACTCGGCTCCATATGTTTCTTTTTCCTTTGCTTCCGCTCCCGTACAGTGGTCAATCCCAAGCCTTCACGAAAATCGCAAGAGGCGAACGCAATAGAGATCTCCAGATCGTACCATCTCAACGGCTGGGATTGGCCCCCAGCCAGCCACGCGCGTGCTTTTCACACGCTTGCCTGTTATGTGAGTGGGCATTTGCTTTTCAAGGCGGGAAACTTCACGGTGGCGGCAGGGATTATGAGTGGCAGTGGTGGAGTGAAGGAGGGAATTGTTAATTGAGTTTGTTGTGGTTGGTTTGTCGGCTTTCCCTTCGCCTGTTGGTTGGTTGGTCGGTCACTTGGTAGCTGACGTGTGATATTTGCATGCTGCACTGTACAGGCTGTATGTCGCAGGAGGGGGGAGCACATGGTTGGTGAGATCGGCGAGAAGTGAAAATCTTGGGGAACAAGTGAAGAGCCACGATAACTACCTCATGTTTAGCGCATAGCATATGGCGAAGTTGTTATGCAGAGAGTTTATGCTTCTCTTAGTGCATACATAGCGTTTAACGGTCACTTCTTATCCTTTCGCCGGTATGGACGTGACTTGATCTCTATAGGTGTTGCGGTCATGAACTATCTGACTTATCAACTACATCTACACCGGCATCAATAGAATTGACACCTCTTCAGCCCCTAGGGAGTCCCAAGAAAGAATCCTATAAACGATCGATGAGAATCTTCCCTCATACAGGATGACTGATTTAGTACTTGACACAACTTGCTTGTCTTGTCTTCATGCAGGGCAACCTCCATCCATCTTTCCGGCACACATGATGCATGCAATTGCATGTCATTCACGCGCTCTGTATGTCTCAGCCCCGAACGCCTACACATCCGCCAGCAGGGAAATGCTCTCGTTGATCAGAGCGGCCTCTCAGTCTCTCAAGGTTTGCCTTTTTTGTAGTCTTGCACGCACTCGCGAGCTGAACGCATGTGCTCTGTTTATTGAGGATTATCTAGGTACAGTGTAGGTAGGTGTGGTATCTAGCAGTATCGCCAGTGCGAACTGAATGTCAGCAAGCAAGACAATTGTCTTATTTGGATATATTATTTATCTCTGTGAACATAATATTTTGAGTTAAGGTTGTTTAATCAACCCTTCCCAAGGATCATAAACTTTCATGTAGGCTTCTGGCATATGTTTCACAAGGGATCGGCAAAAAAAGCCGGCAAAATTGATGCTCTCAAAAGTGAGAAACCCGAATCCAGATTTCTGAGCCTTGAAGCTTCAGTTTGCATCCTGTTTAAGTTTATGGCTTAGACAGATACTCCGAAGCGTATTCAAGAAAGGTCGTGAATTAGAATTCTTCGTGGCTAATCAGGCAGGTAAGCATCCGAACTAAACAAGCTTTCAGCACTGTAAAGACCAATGATAGGCAAATGTGATTTTCCAAAAGACCTACGGTCTAGTTTACCTGTAAGTGCAATCCTGGGTAGCAAGCATTAATCTCGGCCTCTCCGTCATTCTTCCGTGACGGCATACCACTGCAGACTAATTGATGCCATACAATGGGATGATGTCTGGTGCCTTGATAATAACGTTGATACAGGAGTCAAAGATGTCAGGCAACATTTGTAGGGGATTGACAGGAGCACAAAATGCATTACACTTGTAAGTCAATGAACTTGTAATCAAAAATGCTAGTCTGAGCTCTTCACCACCCATTCCCTCATTTTCAATGTTTGTCTCTCATCACGCATTGTGTTCCCTGGGTATTGAGGAAACCACCAGTGATAAGAAGGACCGAGTGGTGCACTGGCCCTGTGTTCCTGCGGCGTGAAGGAGAAGCACCCCAGACAGGGTCCTGCGCTAGCGCATGCAAGTTGATCTTGCGTTTTGTTTCCGAATTCCAGCGGCTTGGTTTGGTTACTCTTTCTCGTAGCGAGATCGATCTGGGTCATCAGATCATGTTGGGTCGATCGGGGGCATGGCCTCGCCAAATTCAAAAATGTACGGGTCAGTGGGTAGAATGAGAACTACGGCTTACAAGCACATGCGCACGAATCCAAACATACGGGATCCATTTTTTGAGGTCAGCATTGACGATGAAGATACTATAGGAGCTTGGTTCACTGTCACCATCCCCGGCTTGGTTATCATCAGGTTCCCAGGTTTGGTATGTTAATCCACACTCCCTGGCCACACATACCCCAGTTATCGCAACCGCGCTTCCCCAATTTGGGAATGAACAACGGCGGCTTGTTCGTCAAAGCAGTAAACGTGGTGGCCACGCGCAACGCAACGGTGTCGGGTGGAGGGAGAGAAGCTAAGTAAACAGGGATGTTTCCCTTCTCATGGTGATAGTTCCTCTTGGAAAATGACACCCCAAGCCAGCGCCACAGCCAAGCATTGCTTTTCTTTTTCTTCGCGTGCCCACGAGGGTGATGTCTCTCGCTCATTTCCGTTGTTGCACGTGGGAACCCGCGAACGGTTGATTTTTGCGTTGAGATCAGCGCTTAAGTGCGCAGCCGCCTTGGGAGTTGGTGGGAAAATAGCGCCCGTCCCATGTGATAATGTTTGCACAAAGGCAGGATATCTTTCCTGGAATTGTGCACTTCATGTGTGGTCTTAGATTGACAACCCTTCTGTGCCAAGCTGAAAGACTCACTGCTCCCAGAAAGCGTCCACGATTGAGACTTTTCATGGCTGTGACCGTCTTTGCTAGAATGATACCGACATTGTTCTTAGTTTCAACCAATATGGTGGACTGTGTACTGAGGGACTCGTAAATTGTGCTGTCTCCATATGCAGCGTTGTATCGTGGCGTCCCGCCTAACTTTCGGGTCGAGTTGGTCGTCTTCAGCGGAGAGATACATCCGGACACGTGCCCAATATGCACGTTATACTGTACGGATCGTGCCTTGCCGAGATCCTCGACGGCTTAGGATGGCCGGCCAAGACCTATGGCGATAGTTTGGCACCCACGATGATATGGCTTGTGATATTGTCTCATTCGTGAAACACCATACCACGTGAAGCCTGTATTGTATGTCGAGCTTTGTTTTGATGCAAGTGGTGTAGAAGATAGTGCTACTATGTACTCAGCGCAGGTATTTCTCATGGTCTACCTCCTTTCGGGTTGCTGGAGGGAGCACAAGATGCTAACCGGTGTGACACAAGCTACAGCTACCTGCCGCGCCGTCCGTGGCAGTTGCCATTGTTGAAGACCGTGCCGGTGCATCCATGAGCAAGCCTCCAGATGCCTTTGGCCGTTTCGGGCAGGGAGACGAAAACAAGAAACCGGGTCGCTGCCCCTCCATTCGGAACATGGTGCTCGAAGCCTGGTAGGGGAGCTCTTCAACAAGGCGAACTGCAGGCTGACAACGAGTCCGGCCTGATACATCTCCCCAACTCGTCCCGGGACATGCAGATGTCAAGTAAATCAGTAACCAATAGAATTGTAATCGAGTAAGACAAAACGTGGAGGGGGATGCATCCCCGCTATATCGATGCGTGTTGTGCCTGTGTCGGTTCGAGAGATAGGTAACCGGCATTGAGCGTTCCCACCAAGTGTTTCAACCCTGCAGAGACATAATCCGTAAACCGGGTATTGAGCAGAGCCTTGTCTGTGCTTGGTTGGTCATAGGAAGTCCTTCCCGGTAGGGTTCTCTTTTGTGTAAATGGATGTTTGAAGCCCTGATCGTTCTTCGTTTGAGTTTCTGCATCGTTGAGCAATGGCATACGTAGCACAACACCAGGAGACAAAAATTTCAACACCAATGGCTTGAGAATGCAGCTATAACCAGAGAGATTCACCTACGACATATTCCGTCTGACATGCCATCTAAAGCAGAGCTCATTGGTGTTTGATACCCAGGTATTTGGCTGCCTAGTTACTGGTTCACAGCATCTGAGCCGAGAATGTCAGCGAGGAAGACGGGGAACAGCCACGGGAGTCTAAGACGTGCCAATGAAGAACACGGCGCTGTCGCGACCTGCAGTTAATTAATCGGGCACACATGCACGCACAATGTCCAAGCGGTTGGGCCGGCTGCCAAGGGTGCGTCTTTGCTGGATAGGCCTTACATTAG